ACATAGTAGACATACGCATCCTGTGATCCGTGTTAATTGAATAACCGTTTGTGGTAGGCTTACTTTTTTTCTGGATTAACCTGGAGAAATAAAAAAAAAACCAATAAGACCACTTGCTGTCCGTCAATTTGTTTTTCTTGATTTTTGACAAAAATTTTATCTTTTGTGCTTAGCCGCTTTTGAAGTTGAAAGGAAGGCATTTCAAATTCTCATCAACCCAAATTATCAAAGAGAATATGGATATTCAAGAAACCATTCAGTTCAACTTAGGTGCAACATACAATGAAGGTTTAGAGGAGGGGAGGAGGGATCTGAGCAGGCTTTTACAGATAAATGAAAATACACAGAACAGGGCTCACAAATCTACTTTTACCAATTAACAAGTCACTTTTGCAACCGAAAAAAAGAAGGATAAATCTCATTACCCTTGTCATATTTCGAGACAGTTCATTTCAAGACGTCTCCCTCTTGAACGGTTCGATTAAATAAACCAGGGAAACCAATGAAAGTTTTGACGCTCAGAGGAAAGGGAGATGGAGGAAAAATAAAACTAGGACCCCACAGTATGAAGGGCCTTCGAACAGATCAACCGCGACGGCCGCCCGCAAAATTATGAGCGTCGAAACTAAGAATTCGCTGCGTCAGAAAGCATGCCAAAATCAATACCCTAACCAGAAACTTTTAAACCGATACCACATTGAAAGGACAAGAATTTGGAACATCTATCTTTACTTCCGATTGAACGACTTAAAAGGCCTGAAACTGGAAGATATTTGCAATGTTCACTTCTTGGTTATGTCACATATACAAATCGGCTTTGGGTCTCCCGTGCGATACAAAGAAACCGCTAAATTGTCGATAATTTGATTGTGATAATTGCTAATAATTGCTAAAATGTTTTATTTTTAGGTGCGTGGAAGTTTCTAATATTAGGAGAAAATTTCAAAACAAAGGTCTTTCTAGGTAAAAATTACCAATCAAAGTCACCTACTGAAAATCGTTAATTTGTAAGATAACTCGTAATCCCTCCACAAATACACTGAACAGTTTTACCCATTTAATTAAAGATAAATTAATGCTTTAGACAACCTATATCATTGGGCTATAAAAGAAAAGTCATAAATTTTATATGCTGGCTATATCATGGTTGTTAATTATATAGCGATCACTTGAGTCACGCAAGAATAATTTGTGAAAATATTGAGATAGACTTTCAGTAAGACTTGCGCTTTTTGGACCGTGACAATTCCTAACACCGACAATTTACTGCTTACACCAGAAGAGAGTTTCCCACGATCTCTGGCTTGACAATCTATGCTCGGTTGATTGTCGTAAAACCAACTACTAAATCCTTACAATGACCAAAATGTCATGTGGAGCCAGTTTGGATTTTAATTTAATACAAATATGCCGTAAACATGAGTCACGATTTTCACTTTGAATCTTATTGGTTGAGTAACGGCGCAAGTTTTCGCCACCAATAACAATAAAATCCCAGATGACTTTCAACACTTTGTAGAAAACTGCTCAACAGATCAAGTATACGTCGTTCAATTTTTCTCCACAAAGTCTGATACAATATTTCTAATTAGCATTTCCCGATAGTACTTTTCAAGATTAATTTTCAATACAAATTAACAAATATCTAACTAATTAAATAATAATACAGTGACAAAAAGTGAAACTCCTACTAATATCAGTAATGTACTTTGAATTGTCAAGTGCTGATAAGATAATATCAATAATATATATTTTCAAGAACCGACCAGTTAACATTCAGGTTCGAGGTTGTTCAGCGCACAAGCACTTCAACTTTATGGCTAAGTCTCTTAAAGAAGCAAACATTATCACTTCCTGACAGTGCAACTCGACAAAACTGAACAGAATTATTGATCAGCGCTGATGTGAAAGCTTCAAAACAGAGACAAAACAAAAACGAACTCGCTGATCAGAAGCCAACAATCTTCGAATGTTGCTAACAACGTTCTTAAAGACGACTGACGTCTTCGCAATCGACACCAATACAAATGTTTTAATTGTTATTCAAGTCTTTGCACTTCAATCAATCCCGCGAAACCATATCATGGTTGCCACGGTAACTGGTTACCTAAACTCATGACTCTTCCCAGATAGAAATATAATTTCCGACCAAATGTCCAATGCCTCTTTACAACGTGACGCATTCACACTCATTCGACCTCATCACCAGAGAGTTACAAGAAGTAGGTACACTGTGACACAAACAATTGCGACAACACTGCATTATTCACTATGAAGAATATCCGCAGCCTTCTACGATATTAAGCACAAATACTACATACAACAGTAGCCAGTTGACCTCATCGCCCGAAGAAAGCTAGCAATATGCAGTCCAAACGTCGCGATAAACGTCGGAAGTAACTACATCGCGAGACAAAAGATAGACGAGAGAGTTTATTTTTGCGGGCACAAATATGTTTAGGGCCTGACTCAGAGTCATTTCAGGCCAAGTCGTTTGGCGAGGGTTAAAATGAGCTTTGAGAAGGACCAAAAACATATTTATGCCCACGAACATAACTGTAGTATTATTATAATCACTTTGGAGGGCATCGAGAAAATAAAAACTGAAAAAACGCCAACGAAACGGTCTGGACGATCACGCGAGCGTGTGAGAGGGCTACCATGTACCGCAAAAATCTCCAACAACGTTTTTTTACAATACAATATGAAGAATAAAATGTTACATAAAACAGTGGCGTCCATCCTCCCCTTAAAGGCGGAGTACTATCCATTGATACAATTTCACATATTACAACAAGAAATTTGTATTGACCACACAATAATACAACGAAGACAGGTAAACAGACGCGTCAACTACATATAATTTTAGTTTCCGTGACTTTTCGTTAGAGTTTCAACTTTCCCATGAATTTCTCCTGACCTTGAAGAATTTCTCTCTCCGGATCATTTTTCACTGTTTATAAAACAAGAATAAAAAGAAATATGTTGATAAAGGACCATGACGTGACCATAAAAATAGCAATAGCAATGCGTGAACTTTTAAAACTCTAGGATTAGCGATAAGTTCACAAAGAAGATGACGAGCGGATATGGTTGAGTGTCAGATTCTCAGTGGCGACTATTTTTTTTATCTTTGTCCCACACTTGTCGGTGCCAAGTCAACAGACTATTTCCGAAATGCCATAAGAGTCTCTGTTTGATGAGGTGAAGCATTTGATACAAAAATAACTTTTAAAAGTATTGCTTTTTGGAGCCCAAGAATGGCGTTTGTTCAACAACCGAGTTCAAACTTTAACATCCTTCTCACTCTTTCTCCCCACAAAACGCTGTCAACTCCGCTCATCCCAGCAAAATGCAGAACATTTGTCACATATGAACCTAGAGTGTCGCCTGGCACATCCAGGGCTCCAAACTGCGACTGTTATAATTGCCATGGCGAATAGATGTAAATCTTGGCGACTTAGACGCCAATCTCGCGACCTGTAATCGGCAGTCATGCATTGCAACAATTTTCTTATTTGGTGTTAAGGATCTTACGATAAGCTGAGATAAACATTTGTTTACATCATCTTCGCCCGTCGTCTTCTCTCACCAAAATTTGCCCCGTTTCTCCTTGCTTGCTTTATGCCTCATCATGATGCTTCATTTACTTTGCCATGAATTTAATTATCAAGTTACACGTGTAAAAAAATAAGAAACTATATGGATGGCGAGGACGCCCTTGAGGAAAGCCAAGATTTTTACATGATGGGATTCCTAAACAAATATTATAATCGCAGTTTAAAGTTAGACTGGCGACGAAACAAAGGCAGCGTTGAAACTGGGTCGAGCTAAAATGTTGTCTAAGTATGTAGCTCCCGTGAACCTCAAAAAATGGTTGTCAGATAGCTTGCTTACTTTTTTTTAGCAAATTTATTATTTCTTTGGCGACCACTCAACGATTTTTGATGGCCAAACGGGAACTTCTGTCTATTTCTCCTTCTTTATCAAAGTATGCTGCCACCGTGACATAAAAAAAACCATTGTCAGACGGTTTTTTTTTTTTTTTTAAACAAACTAACTTTATTTGGCGACCATGTTTTGATGTTATAGCGCCGAATGGAAACTTCGGAAAAAGGTGCACTTGAAGTGTCAACATCAAGAAGTCCTCTGTAGATCCGCGGTTAAGCATCCAACCAAGAGATTATAAACAGTACATGATCTCTCGATCCAACTCATTTTCGGAACAAGCTGCATGAAGTTCGTGTCCTTGTAGGAGACCCAGTTCTCTTTTTTTTTACTGGTTGTGAAAAATGACTCTGAAATCAACTTTCTTAATGGAACCTCTTCAGCTCACTAATTTCCTTAATTAAGCAAATGTAAGTAACTGGGATCGAGGGGTCAAATTCATTTAAGGTGGCACGCAATCTTTTCCTATTGCAAGCATTTCCTGTCCACTTAACCAATGAAATCTAAATTAAATTAGGCGCACAGACGATGCCTGTCAAATGTGCATGATGTCAGGAATTCGTGTTGGGCTGACACGGAATGGTTACAATGAACAAAAATAAAGCTTAGTAATTCCAAATTTTTTAAGGAAATTGACTGGAAAAACATGTTTCTTCTCCCTCATGAAGCCAACCACATGAGTAAGGTAAGACGAAAAAGCCTCAAAGCCTGCCAATAGGCGTACTTTTTGCGAGTGAACGCTCAGTATTTCAGGACACGTTTGGCCGCCAATTTAGATTTCAAGGCAGAGGAAGGTTGGGGAGAAGTGACATTTCTACCGCTGGGGGTGAGGGAAAGTAAAAAGGAAAGAAAGTCGTCTCGACGTAACTCGCCCCTCTCCTCTCAGTCAATTCTAACCGCACATCAAAGATGGCAACTTAGTAACCAAGTAAATAATAAAGCAAACTATTTGAGGATCTTTCCTGTAAGATGCCAGCACCGAGGGCTAAAGATAAGTGACTCTACACTCTATGTTGACGCACGATCCATAAATCAAGGAAAAAAAAGACATGTTAATAACTCACACTTTTGTTGCTTGACCCGCCCAAGCCAAAGCCTCGTCCAAACACCCCAGACCATGATGACCTTGTGCCTTGCTGCGGCAGTCTAGCCTCCTCTGCTTCTCGAAGCCTAGCCTGGTTTCGTTTGAAGGCTTCAATTATGTCATCTTCTTGCCGATAGAAGTCTAAAACCGTGCGGATGTCTTCAACATTTGAAGTGGCAATGGCTGTGAGAGGATGACCGCAAAAGAGGTGAGACCATATCTATACTCGAGGATTTCATTCATGCCAAAACACCGCATTAATTTGCATACAATTGTGTTGTTAACTCTGCATCCTCATTGCGGGAGTTTTGTCTAAACTTCCATTGTCGGAAGCGAAAAAAAGTATTGTTATTCCTCCCCCGCCAGTCCATAACAAATTACCCTTCAGCATTTTGTTCGCTTTATCAAAAATTGGGCCAGTATCCATTTATACCGAGTAAATTATATGGAGTAGGGTGTTACGTTCCTACCACTTTAAAAACAGTAACAGAAATGTTTTGCACAAGAGCACAGCTCACTGACCCGACCGGGACTCGAATCTAGACTTCCTGATCAGGAGTCCACCGCGCTGGACACCAGGCCGCCGGCCCTCGCAAACTTCCAGAGTCAACGCCTTGCAGGTAAGCATTTTTCCCCAGCATTATCCTGTAGATTACAGCTTTTCTTTTACTTAACTGTTTTTGGAACTGAATGATGGATACTCACTTAGAAGAAAAGGAATAAGATCGAACAACCTTCTGTCGGTCGGGTCACCTTCCCATTTCTTGAGAATGATGGCGTTTCGCAGGTTGTCCCTTGGGGCTTTTTCGTCACAGTCGATCATAATGACTTTGGAGAGGTCTCGGTTTAGAGCAGACAAATCCTGAAAATAAAATGAAAGGGGTATGGATATAGGCCTGATAACCAGCCGTCGTTCGGAAAATGAGTCCACGCTCCTTCCTCGGGGGAATCGAATACTGGACCCGAAAACACGACAAAAATTGAGTCAAGTTGGGAGGGTTTGCCAATGACAGAGAGAGAACTTGTTTAAAGGAGAAGGGGACACCTTTCCATGTTCAGATCTAAACAGCACGTTACATATCCCTGATCCCGATCTACTCCTCCCTCCTCTCACTCCCGGGCTATATATCCTTACACCCTATCCACCCCTCCCTCCTCTTACTCCCACGCTACATATCCCTATACCCTGTCCACCCCTCCCCCCTCTAACTCCTGTGCTACTTATCCTTAATCCCTATTCACTCCTCCCTCCTCTTACTACATATCCCTGATCCCTACCCACCCCTCCCTCCTCATACTTCTGGGCTACATATCCCTAATCCCCATCCACTCTTCCCTCCTCTTACTCCTGGGTTACATGTCCCTAATCCCCATCCACCCCTCCCTCCTCTTACTCCTTGACTACACATCCCTGATCCCCATCCACCCCTCCCTCCTCTTACTCCCAGGCTACATATTTCTAATCCCTATCCACCCCTCCCTCCTCTTACTCCCTGGCAACTACAAGTAGCCCAAGCTCAAGCTGTGAGATGAGCATATTGGGTAGGAAGAATCAAGCTGAAAATATAAGAGTTTGTATGGGAATATTTACGACCACTCTTAGGGATAGAAAATACAGTCAAATTCTTGATAAAAATACCTCACCTTACTTCCACAGTGCTTTGCTTGTTGTCCAACCGTTACTATGTTGAAAAGAAGCCATTTCAGCGAGTTATTAATTCTAAGTTTCCCACTCATAAGAGAAGGACCTTCCCTTAGGAGTAGTAAACCTAAAAATGGATAACTCACTCAAACGGCCCTGTTGCAACGAAGTAAGCGGTCACAAACAAGCAATGCAATCAGCAGGTATTTTCATTGAGAATTTGACTGTACTTTTTATTCCTAAGAGTGGTCATAAATATTCCCATACAAACTCTTATATTTTCAGCATGAGTCTTGTTATGCAAGATGATCATCTCACAGCTGGTGCTTCAGCTGCCTGTGAGGCTACATATCCCTAATCTCTATCCACTGGTATTCTTACCTTAACATGTGTCCCATCAGTATATAGTGTAGCATCTCGATACAGCCTGTACATGATAAGTCCATTTGGATCTAATCCATCCACTACAGGTGCTGCACTCTTGTTACAAAAAAAAACATATTTAAACAATTTACCATCAATTCTTCCTTTATTAGCTGATGCATTTTTGTGTCTCTTTTCAGCACAATACACGATGAAAAATTAAAGTTATTTATCAAAATAATTAGCGCTAAAAAGGTTGATTGTGGTCTTTCCTTGCAGTCCATGGTCATTACTTATAATTTCAATTTCTACTTTTAACAAAGTTGAAGTCCACAAATGATAGAACAAAATGAACACTCTGAAATCAAACCAGGCACCTCCCATCATATTTATTACTTGTAGTTAAAAAAAGCAGCTTCAACAAGTGTGAATCATACAGCACAAACCAATTTGCATGTACATAAGCTGGGACCTTGTCGCTTCCCTCACTGTAAACCAGTCTAAGCCCTTACACCCCTAAGACTGACCAGCATCTAATTTCTCTGTACAACTTCACCCCTGAATCACACATTCAAGTCACGGGAATAAAGAAAATGATCACCACTAATATAGCTCTCGATTGTCACACAAATTCTCCTTTTCAGCACCTTAGAGGATAGTAGGAGAAATGTAAGGAGAATATGCATGTACTGATGTTAGGGTGTAAAGGGTTAAATGTGGAAGTTGAGGTTGACCCATAAGTCATGCCAAGGGAGATTGGTTTCAAGATCAAAATCAGCATATCAACTTTTCACAGTAAAAAAGTATAAAGATCTAGTTAGAAACAAATTAACTCACAAATCCAGCTTCATGTGTGTATATGACGACTTCAAATAGAGGTGGCCCAAGCTGATTGAGAAAAGCATCCACTCCTGGTCTTTTCCTGAAACGCCAGCCACTTTTACGCTGTGAAAGAAAGGATAATCATTGTGTTGATCAATTGTGGTTGCATTATATTTTTATTGAAAAGAAATGATCCCACCAGCTGAGCTGCAATAACTGAAATTGCATAGAAAAAGTCTGGAAAGAAAAAAAAGGCTTTGACAGGATTTAAATCAGTGTCCACCAGAAACTAACTAGGTGCTACTACCAGTGGAGCTACGAAATCACATGCTGAGCACGTGACAAATCCTAAATGGTTCTTTATCCCCTGAGGGAATCTGATCACAATCAAATGAAACTCATAATAATTTGATATGTGGATAATGTTCAAGGAAGGAAATGATCCTGATCCAATAACTAAAATTGCATAAAAGGTTTTCAATTGGATCAAAATAGTTCATCATCTTACTTACATCATACTCTGGGTGAACCAAAACATCTTTTAGCTCAAGCACCAGTGTATATGGGGGCTGAAAATAAGGTTCTTGAAGGGGATCGGGTAATAACATTTTGCTTGATGGTGCAGCAAACATCTGTCATGAAAATGGAAAAAAAAAACAAAAAAAAAACAACTTTGAACTGAGACAAATCTTTGGCTTAAAGAATAACATGATGTGTCAAAAGGATTATTCTGAGTAATTTTAATAGTTTACAACATCTCTATTTTATAGACATTACCTAAAATTCATACCCATATGATTCAATCTAAATCATAGTTAAAGACAACAGCATGGAGATATGATTATCAATATGAAAGAGTTATGGGTTAGGGAAAATGTTTCTTCATTGCATCCAATTTTAAAATAAGCATCACCCCCAAAATAAGCACCACACTTGACAAGGTGCCACACTAGAGATGAAAAATTGATTATGAACTATCATGGTGTTTATTCGAGAACATACAATATTTTCTTGCTACTTTTACTGCTCCTGTATTTCTTAATGTCATATCTTAGGAGTAAAAGTGACAACTACCGCAGCAACCACTTTCAAAACTGTAACCTACATTTTTGTCAAAAATTCCTTGAAAAGCTTGAGTTGTTCACTTTCTCCAGCAGTGAGAGTTCTCCTCCCCTGACCTTCTACGGGTAGCAACAATGGCCAAATTGAAACATACTAAGAAATGGATTTCCATATTTCCATGTAATTTCTTTGTGTCCAAATTTTGTTTTGCCACAGGGTGTTTAACCCTTTCACTCCCAAGATCTCATTGGTAATTCTCCTTACTATCTGCCATACAATTCTTGTGATGTTAGTTCAGAGAATTTATATTGTATCAATTAATTAATCCCTTAACTGATATTTTTCTTTTTTCTCATCACTTGCATACTTGATATTGTATTGATATTGTGAGGAGAAATTCTGGTCACTCATGGGAGTTAAGTGTTAAAATCCTTACCTCATAAAAATCCCAGATTTTGTCTCTTGTTCTATAAATAAACTGCATTGGCACCAACTCTGTAAGAAAGATGACCAACAGCTGAAAGCCTTCCCTCAAAATGAGAAAAACTGACTTAAATAATCCATAATTTCCATTTCCAGTACTAACCATTTTTGTATCCATCTTCAGGCTGAAAAGAGAAAATAATTTTGGGTCAGATTTTAATATTTCAAATCCTAAATTTCATTTTTATGGGGGAATCAGTTTCATTGTTGACCTACTCAGGGCAATATTTGTTTCAGATTACACTGTATTGGATATTTCTCTCCAAAATAAGAAAACAAACTCTCTGTTCTCAAAGGTTCTTGAACAGCTTACAAGGTTTTCTGATAAGAAATCCCAGAGGTGAAAAAAATTTTGACTATGAGTATCAGATTTCCTTCTCTTTCTCTCAATATATACATATTTCTTTTGATTGATAAATGCTTCTGTTCTTCACTCCTTCATTCCATTTTGTGTTCACAAATTACTGCCATCAGTTGGTAGATAGGAAATATTTCAGACTGTCTAATGCACCCCTAAAATTCTGGGTTGTGATTGATCTGAGATCTGAGCAAAGTTGGCTTCTTTTGTACTGAGTTTGTCTTTGTGGTAGCAATAGCTTGGATGGCACAAACAAATTTGTTGCATGGAACAGAAGTGCATAAGCTTCTACAATTTGCCAACCAGAATACAAAGAAAAATATATCCCTCTCTAGATCCTGTTATATCATCTTCTAGAGACACTAAGGTCATGCACAACTTGAAATCATATGAATATAATTTCCTACTGACTCCATAAAAATGTTTAGAAATATTTTCAGAAGTGTTAGGTGTAGATAATGAAATTTTAACTGTAAACCTTTTCACTTTACTTACATTTTCTGGATCAGGTAGCCCTAAGAAATATAGAAGTAAATATCACTGAAATTTATCATTACTTTCCTTTGATGTTAATCTTATAACTTAAATGAGTAATCAAAACAGAAGTACTCCTAAGCGATATCAAGCACATAAGTAATGAGGATGAAAAAATATCAATTAGGGGATTATTAGTTGATCCGATACCAAATTCTCCAAACTAACATCATTAGAATTGCATGGCAGAGAGTAAGGAGAATTGTTAATGAGATCTAAGGATTAACACTAGTGAGGTGAGCAGGGTTATCATAAAGAAAGGATGTGGCAAGAGAATAGTGAAAAGCAACACAAAAGTTTTCTCCATGCCTGAAGAAGAAATAGCATAGACCATCAAAATTTTGCCTTAGCATTCTGTTTAATGACTGGAGAATTCACTGATGCCTGATGCCTGGTTAACAACCCAAGTGAGGGGCTTTAACTCTGCAACTACCAGCCACACCCTAACCCAACTCCCTGCCCCCCCCCTCTATCTGTACAGTTGAGCATATTTGGCCATTGGTTCTTATAGACCATGAATCAAATTAACCTGGACTTGCATTCTACCCAGGATAACTGTTTTATGTTCTTAGGCAAGAAACTTTACATTCACAGCACCTTTCTTCATCCAGATGAATATATGTTTACAAAACATAGTCAAAGGAACTAGGGAAAATATTTGGGATTATTGGCAGATGAAGACAAGTCAACTCAAGGAGGAGGAGTCTGTTGAAAGTCACTCTTGTAAGCCTCATTTGCCTTTTCCTTGAAATTTTAACTGGATAGGGGAAGTAGGACCAGGTAAGATCTTGAAACACTTCTATGGAATGTTTCATCCTTTTACCATACCCCTAAAGATAGTAGGCATCTGAGCCCTTAAGTTTTTGTTTGCAGCCTTGGTAAAATGAAATTCAAAGAAGTTTGGTTTTAGTCAGCAGCTTTGTGAAGTCAGAGGGCTCCACATTCTTCAGCCTCTTGGACAAACAAGATCTCATCTCTCCTTACTAAAACCAGCTGTCTTCAACCCTTTGAGTCCCAGAGGTGATTAATATATTACTTCTCCTTATAACATACATACAATATCAAGCAAACAGGTAATGAGAATACTCAACCTTATCAGGGGGAAGTTATCTTGATCTGACATCAAATTCTTGGAACTAATTTACCAGGAAATGTGCAGCAGCTTGAAGGGAGAATTAACAATCTGATCTTGGGAGTTAGATTTAAAGGGTGGTGGGTAGGTGCGAACGAAAAATCCGCACGTCCATGCGAGCACAGACCCTCTGGGCGAAACAATATCCAAATTAGCCTTTAAGTTTAAATTTTAAGCCACAATATAATAACTCCTACCTAGATAAATCACAGCTCCTGAGATCACTCCAACACCGCCAGCTCCAAAATATAACCAACCCTTCAATGTAGGACCTTTCTTCTCTTTTGGCTTCACGTAATAGAATGCACGTGGACAACGCAAAGGTAATCTTGTGACCGGTCTAAATAATCTCGTTGTACACGAGAGGGAAGAGAATTGTACGGATGGAATAATCAAAGTTGTACTGCGGCATATCCTTGAGCTAAGCCACCGATAACAAGAGGAAAGTGCAGAAGACGACAGAACCGCCATGATGAAATGTGAACAAACAGTCACAGCTGATCAGCGGACATACTTGAATGGTCACTATCGTCATCCAGAAAGAAAGCGAGGCATATGAGGAAGGGAAAGCCAGAGCGATGCAAAATGTAGCGTATGACAAAGAAATTTTAGCGCTGAATGTAGAGGAGTGGGGGCATAGCTCAGTGGTAGAGCATTCGACTGCAGATCGAGAGGTCACCGGTTCAATCCCGGTTGCCCCCTTTACTTCTTGTAAATAAATTTTCTTGTAAGAGAGACAAGCAGTTAACAGAACATATCCGATTCAGCTACTTTTTTTTGTTTAATTAGAATGGCTCGTCGTTCTCTTTGACCGAACTTTTAATTAGTGATTCCTCGTGGACGGTCCGGGAATGCTCTTTGTTGAAATTTTCCTTTAGTGCCTGAATAAACTTTGAAACGTTTTACTTAAAGACAAGTAAATTTTAAATTCTTCTCATTGAGAAGTGTAATATGCTCCTGCCGTTAAAAGAATTTCGGTGTCTTGTGTCGGAACAGTAGTGCATAGGGGGTCCACAAAGGACGTGTTGGAATGTTACTGCATAATCCTCTGCACATGGTATTCATTAGACATCAGGGAGGCAAGATTTTTCATGCTTCTAAACTTAATTCTCTATGGAACTTTTTCCTTTGCTTGAGCTAATTTTCTTATTTTTCAGTTACATTACACTAATCCTCTGCTTTTATATTTTAAGAATGCTTCCACACCATTAAACATTTATTTCAGAAATGCACCCTGACAAGTCAAAATGTTTTAATGACCACTTTAATACTACATTGAGATCAGATGTACATGTACAGGCATTACAGTGAAATAGTTGAACTTTTTTACAGCAACTAACAATGTTCATGAACTAGACTTGCACAATGAGCCAGTAAGAGAGCAAGAAGGTTAAAAATCACCTTTTATAATACACTTTTGGCTTCTGCTCCAGAAGAACTCTCAAATAAAACAAAGAAAAGGCTTTCCCTCTGATTAAAATACCTGCTTCCCTCTTTTCTTATAACAAAAGCTGGTTTGACTTTGTAAACATCAATTAAGAATCGCGAAGCAGTGGCCGATGCTAAAATACTATACTGAACATTTAAGTTGAAAAGAAAAAGGGGATCATGTCACCGACAGTAAATGCTGCATAACAGGACAACAGTCCATTGAGTCAAGAGCAAGTGAGAGATGATTTACAACACTGCTACTTTAGGATGACTAAGTAAAAAGCTACTACGCTGATATGCAACTTTGACTTTCAAGAGCCAATCCACAACAACAACAATGTCCTCTTTAATCAATCTGCTAACCTCTAAGGAGACTTCCCTAGAAGCAGAAACCTTCTTGATGGATAGAAGCCATGTTTGTGCTAGATTTAGGGGTAAGTATGGAAGAAACGACTGTAAAATGTACATGGCTGTATCTAGAAATTCTATCAAAGTTGCACGGAACCCTTGACACAAGATTCCTCTGTGAACTCAAAAAGGTTCCATCCATGAAAATCTGTACAGTTTGCCAGAGTCCTTGAGAATAGCATTTTATTTCCCTCCTTTTGCATGTGTCAAGATATGCGACTTGAGATTTGTTGACTGAGCAAACCTCTTGTTACAGGAATCAAAAGGACAGACATACGGTCTGTCACCAGTGTGGATACGAACATGAGTGCGTAGGTTGAAATCCAACGAGAATCTCTTACCACAACCTTCAAATGTACACTGTTATGAAAATAAAAAAAAATATTACTACACGAATGAACATGGGCATTTTTTTAAGCTACATTACGCCAAGGATATTGTCTTGACATGACACCCTACTCTTTGGGTTTTCCAACCAAGAAACGTATTATCATAAACAGAGGGATTACACCCCAACGTCGCTACACATATTATCCCTACTTTATCTCTATACACTTCCTAAGGGGCTTACAAGAAGAATTTGTTTATCAATCAAGAGCTTCTCTCAGGTGGTGATCATTTTCTTTATTCTAACTTGTGACCCTAATGTTCAATTCAGGGGTGATATTGTAAGGAGAAATGTGGTGCTGATCATACTTAGGAGTCAAAGGGTAAAAATAAAAAGGTGAAACCATACCAAACAAACACTCATACCTGGAAAGGTTTTTCACCAGTATGAACAAGTTGATGTCTCTTAAGTTTCGAACTCTCCACAAAAGCCTAAAACAAGAAATTGAATGAACTGAAATTGACAATATCAGATGTGATACCAAGAGTGAGTGATAAAAATCACTCATTAACTTCAGACAGAAGGGCTGTTCACTAATGAATATTGCTTACAAATTCCTCAGCATAATTTTTGAAAAAATAACTAAGGGAAGAAAGACCTTTGCATTATATCAGGAAAGATGACAGTGAATTCCAAATACATTATAAACAAGGCTACATACCTTGCCACATTCAGCGCAGACATGGACTCTTGGTCCATGCGTATGTAAGTGTTTTCGCATGGCAGAGTTATCTCGAAACATCTTTGTGCAACCCTAAAACAAAGCAAGTACAAACTTAGTCAAAACAGTTTTGTGCACACCACCTGTGAGGTCTGGGCACAATTAATTCAACACACTCTTTTGTTCACCGCTGCAACACAGTTCAAGGATTAGATTTGTGATGAAAAGCTTCTTACTTTATGCGGACAAGCTATTGTTCTTGCTCCTTCTTCCTCTTTCATCTTCTTTGGTCTCATCCTGCAAAACATATAAACCTTTCCTTACTAAGCAGGGGTTCAGGTGTGATTCTGCTTTAATTATTTCTTTCAAATAAAAATCCTATTTTGTTTTGGGTAAACTGACAGTATATACTTTAGGAAAAAATGTGGCATATCAATAGACACTTCCTTGAAAAAACACAAGCCAGCCAAAACAAGGAGAAAAAAAGGCAAAATATCTAGTTTCTTTGAGGCTTTTGCCACTACAAGCCTACAAAATTTATAGCTTAGAAAAGGGTTCAATTAAAAGGCAGCAAACTTTGCTGATTTCTCTGCAAGGTCTGACTAACTACCTTAGATGTCATAGCAACAAGCCAAGTAAAAGACACAAGTCACATGTGACTAATCTTCACAAATCCTCCTGGTTTCTGCAGCATGAAGCTACAAGAAGAGATGCAGACTTCCCTGGAAGGGATGCTAGTCCATTGCAGATTACTCCCCCACCCCCTCCCCCCTCCACTCCCTTAGCTGGTACCCATTTACATTCCTAAATGGAGAAAGGCACTGCAAGAGTCAAAAGTCTCGCAGATGAACAGAACACAATCAACCAACAGAGGTTAACTCTTCATCTACCTCTGGAATACATAATGAACTAAGGATAAAAAAATTGAAATCACAGGCTGATTTCCAGTCAAATATACCCCTTAAAAACTTAGAGAAAACCCTGCACAACATAGATAGACATAAACAATGGGGAAATGAAACCAGTGTCTGCTAATTTCACCATTTTCCTTTCAATTCACATCCTTTACAAAGAATTGCATACATTTAAGTTCCCATCTTATATATCCCAAATCACTATGCATTGATGAGAAACGACATACATTGTAGTTGGGCAGAAGGATCAACTACTTCCTCTAAGTCTATGGCAGAGGCCTTGTACAGAACTCAGAGAACAATGCATATTTCAACAATTCTAATGAATTAACCTCTCAGCTGTTGCTAACACCTTCTCCTTGTGTCTAAAATTACTCTAACATCACTCAAATTTGCAGATTTGGTTACATTTACAACAAAAGATTGCTACACTTTGAATGGAACAACACAAAATAAAATAGGCAGCAACAGGCCTGGGCAGCAAATACCTCATTTCATTTTGTACTATGTACAAATTTCTAGAACATAACAAACGAGAAATACACACACGGAATTAACAATATCACATTTTTATGACTGGCTCCCATTTCGTAATCGTTGTTTCTGTCCTTTCAAGAGTGTATTCGTGTTTTCTGTATTTTCCCCAAAAATTTGCCATAATACTTCAAAAGCTCGCAGAAAAGTAAAAATGACGAAACAACAAATTAAAAAAGATTTGACAGGGCCAAGTCACCAACATTTCACGACAAGTAACTGAGAAGTATATCAAAATGTGTTCAAACAACCAACGCTGAACGGTTAATTTCACTGCGGAAGAGAACCTTTTGTTTATCGAAAAAAAAACGCATGATTCTGTTTCGTGTACTCCATACGGAAGAGAACTTTAAAATTGTAGGTAGAAAATCCACGAATATATCTTGTAACATGCAACACGCAAATAAGTATCCTTTAGAAAGGATAGTATAGAAATAGCACAGATTATCACTTTGCATCGAACGAACGGCGGCCATGATGCAGTCCGCCATTTTGGTTGTAACAAAGGCTGCTGTTTGTCATGGGATTTCAAAATGGCTGCCAAACTGGACGAAAAGTCATCTTACCTTGCAAACTCTGCTAACTGTTTCGGATCACTTAAATCAATTCCAGGAAGACCACCAGGAGGTATCTTTTTTCCAGTCATGTACTCGGTGAAGTCGGGAGCTTGATTCAACTCTTCTTGCTGAGCTTTTTTCTCCTCTATAGCGTCACCATAGCCCGTACAAGACAAGAAACACAAATGAAAATATGAGATTTTCCTGCCTCGCAGGAATGCTTAACTCTTAAAACCAACTTAATCTGAAAAAGAAGGGCGCCCATTTTACAGAAACGTACCCGACGCCCACATTGTCACGGCAAATTCGCCTTCGAGAGTCTTTATTTGAACTTGCTTTTGTTCCCATTTGCGCGTACCTGAGCGTTCAGTATCTCCAATACCACCCCCTCTCTCACTGTTCGAGGCGTTTGACGCACTCGATGTAGTAGAGTTAACATGACCCTTTCCCGATCTTCCCAGACCTTTAGTCCTGCTTCCTCTGCTTTTTCTCTGTTTGCCTGAAGGAGTCGTGGAGATAGACACTTCTTCAACTATGGCGTGTTTTGATTCCTCGATAACTTCTTCAGTCGTTTGAACAACGATTTCTTCGTTCTCAGGCTCTGTCAGAGGCTGAAGGGCTATCATAGGCTGCGTCTCAATTTGAACTTCTTGTTGAGGTTCCACCATAGTTTCCACCTCAACTTCGACTTCGGCCACACCAGTGGTTAAGTCGGCCATGTTGGCGCCTGAAGTTACCTACGCTGGGGGTGCTCACTGTCAACTGAAATATTCAACCTCATTTCGAAGTCAGACAGACCACGTGGGCACTGTACTTGCCGAGCCAATCAGAACAAAAAAATTTGGTATTATCAACTGAATTTACAACGTAAATTGGCCATTGTAAAGAGTTTCAAAGCTGGTGTTCCGAGCGTTAGCCTTACGTCAAAGCGAAGAGAGGAATTGTAGGTTGTATGTGTGTTTATATTCGGAAGAATAGAGCTACGCTATCGGTGGGAACATGGTAACGAGAAATACAAGAATAAATTAGTTTAATTCAAGAGATGTTTTCGCTGCAATATTGCTAAAAAAATATTCAGTTCTTGAAGTCCCTCCTTCCCAAAAACAGAGAAAATCAACGGATGAAAGAATAAATGGAATGAAAATGAGAATAAGAAAATAAAATTATAAATCTAATGACAAAAAAAAATTCACTCTCACGGAGCTGAGAGACTTCCGCGAACGTATTTCAATTAAACACAAGATTTGATTTTACCAGGAGTAATAGGCTCCTTATTTTACACATTCACTCTCAACATCAACTTTGCTTCTTTTGTATGTTTGGTGTGTAAGATATTCATTTTCATGAGCATCAAACAAACAACAACAACAAAAAACTGAAATAAATATGTTGTACCCTTTATTAAACCCTACCACCCCTCCCCCGCCCCTCCCCTTCCCCACCACCAACACCTCCCCTACCCGTCACCTGTTTACGGCAGCCATATTCGTCTGTCAAGGAGGTGGCCTTTGGGGAGAGGTCTGATTGTATTTCTAAGCTTATTCATATGCTAATCTATTAATAGATGCATTGTCTCTTGATGCAACTGTCAAGTCTACTGATCACGTACCAGCCTTCAGCAGCTACGAACATCTTTCAGCAGGCGGGTCGATTTCCTCTATGAAGGCTAAAATTTTTTGGTTGAAAGAATATCATTGCTCGTCGCAAAAGAAAATGAAAGTTTGTTTAGCAAAAATAAGTATGAGGAATATTTAGAAAGAAAAGCATCATAAACGGCGGCCAAACTGTTTCTGGACTGAGTAGCCATGTAATTTATTTCATGTGATTGAAATAAAATAAAAGATCATACAAATTAATGATGAGATTATCCCTTCCACTCCCAGGACTGACCAAAATTATATATTACACTACAGTTCCAACCAGGTCTCGAACCAGGACCTCTCGACCTGGAGTCCAGCGCACCCGGCAACCATTTGGACACTGAATCTTCAACTCCTGGCCTCCCAAAATAATTAAATGGTGTTACTGTGCCCACTCGTCTTTTACATTTTTACGGGAAAAACAGCAGGTGGGTAACCGACTTTGTGTATCCTCAGGCGTATTCTGCAGGCAACGTTGCCATTGCTTATCACATGATTTTTTTTATTCAGCTATCTTAGATCTGATTTACAACATATTGGGCCCCTTTGCGATTCATTATAAGTTTGGATTAGGCTAAGCACGAAAGTTGCCGCCCGCCGGCTATAACTGAGGTTTGACTGACCAACAGGCTGCTACGTTCTTGGGCAAGAGAGTTTCATGGCGTTTCTGGGTAGCTTAAGTGTAGCCGTATATTCCCCCCTTCCCACCAAGGTGAAACGGAAGCTTCCGTTTCCCCTTGGGGGGGGGGGTTGGGGAGGGTACGGAGGGTACGGCTGACACGTCCGCTTTCCCATCGACAACCGTTGGACGATGAGGAAATGCAAAATACAAGTAACTTTTCAACGGCTAACCGAGTGCGAGGGTCGCACCAGGACAGTATATATCAAAGCCAACTGTTTCTTTGATGGAAATAGGAGAGACGCCTCCTTGAAACTGACTCTTTTGGTGCTATAAGTACTTGTCACTTTCTCACGGAACTATCCGTTAGATAGTGAGACAGTAATGCTGTTAATGACTACCTCAAAACTTCAAGTATTCCAGCTTTAAAAGAGAACAAGTTGGTTTGTTCTCTAAAACATATAAACGCACTTTTAAAAAGCATTTCCTGAGGTAAAGAAGGTAAGTTTCTGAACAAACTGTTATGCTGCATCACTCAGGGATTTTTATAAGTTCATTTGGTTCATCAACTGTGTTGATAGTGTGAATTGGCCAGTGTAAAGAGTTTCTTAAGCTGACGTTTTGGGGCGCTGGCCCTTCGTTGGAGTGGGGCCCTTTTAGATTTGACACCATACAGAAAAAGGTACTCCTTTCTCCTTTTTTCTTCTGAAAATCAACTTTCAGTAAATCAAAGATCTCACATGAAAATATAAGATTCTTGTAATATTTGTAACTCAAAATACAAAAGCAAGCTCACAGAATTGTTACAGTTTAATATAGAGTCCTTTTTCCCATGTCACATTTTTAAATGCCATAAGATGAAAACATTTAGCTCCCATTATACCAAGGAAAAAATACACTCCTTCTCCAATTTTAGCAGTTACAGTTATCATCTATCAAATTGATATCCAAGGAAATAGATATACCTGTCTTGACAAAAATCTGATAAAATTGTCTAATTTGTCCAGAAATTCTTAAATTGAAAATCACATAAGCTTTCTAGCATTGCATAAAGCTCCATGAATGACAAAAGCTTTTAAAACTTCAGTTGTGTCTATAAATCACATAATGCTCTATTTTAAGTGACTTCTTACACTTACCTAACACTTAAATAGATGAAGAAATAAATTACATTACAAACATTACCAATTAAATAGAAGGAAAAACTAAATCTTATAAATACCTTGTGAGAAAAATATATTAAATAGCTCATCTCAAATTCTTTAAAATCTCGTTTTACCAGGCATCTATTCCCAAGGATATCATTTCACAGTCTAATGGATGAGGAATTAGTTTACACCAAACAATAAATTGTAAAAAATCAAACCAGTAATGAACCAATAACAATAAAATATACAATATTACATTGGTAGATTATTTTACCCCTTCAATCCCCTTTACCTTACATAGAAAATTTTAGTCCATGCAATTCATGCTGTATGGAGCCTGTAAAAAACTGTGTGGGTCCTTCACCCTTCATTTCCCAAAGGTGATCGAAATGTAACTTCTCCCTGTAACATCCATAATATATCCAACAGACATGTAATGAGAATACTCAAACTTACCAGATAGGAGTTCTTATCTTGATCTAACATCAAATTCTCATAACTAATTTACGAGGAAATGTGTAACAGTTGGAGGGGAGAGTTAACAATCAGATCTTGGGAATTACAGGGTTACATTAGATATAACATACTATGTTTGCTGAGTGATTCAGTATACAAAACATATTTGGGCTTTAGCTGAAAATAACTGCATACCATATGATATTACCTTAAATAGTATGTTAAAAATACCCCATTACATATGTAACATTAGCTACTTATAATATTTATTCCTAAGTTTGCAAAACCTTTACATTATAAAACCACCAATACCTTATGCAATTCCTTATCAGATGTGTCATACCAGTTTACACATGATAAAATAAAAAATATAACAGCTGCATTGTCTCCAAGTTAAACAACCTCATTAAATGAGCTACCATTTTATGAGTAAGTTAATTTATACAAACAGTTCTGAATGCTAGGGAGTAATAAATGTACTATAATAATTGCTTTTCTCTTTAAGCCTGAAAGACCAATATTTTACTGCTAAAACTTACAAAAGCTTATAAGTAGAAGCAAATTGTTATCAAGATTTTAAATGGAATCAGAGAAAACCAGAGGTACATTATTTTTAATCTGACTTAACCTCTGCAATTTTGATTCCTTTTCAGTCAATTTTCAATTTAATTCTTTACTAAATTCCCTAGTAAATAGCTTTTTCAGGAATTCTCTTTAACTAAGACTTGTACAAAGTATGGTAACAGAGTCCCTTAATATACAATTAGAAATTTAAACTTCAAATTAAGTTTATTCAGCATACCTGCAATCCTAAAATATGTTTCCTGTTATGTAACAAGAGTTTATGCTCTGCATTACTATGCAAATTCAGCCTGTTTCTTGTGGTCTCTGGCAATCCTTAAGGTGACAGTAACAGTTGCTAGAGTGGCTGCATTGGTGGGGAATGCTCTCAGAATTGTAGCTGATAATCCTTGGGAGAAAGCATGGAGCCCACCACTCTTGTAGGTTTTTTTAACACAGTCCAAAATGCTCTGATATCTGCGGTTCTTTCCTTCACCATCTGCCTGGAACCTTGATTTAACAACATCTATTGGATAAGTGAAAAACCAGGATGATATACCACTTAATCCTCCTGCAAGCAGCAATCCTAAAGGTCCAATATGACCAGCACCATCTCCCTCAGGTGTCATGGCATTGCAAAAAAACTCAAATGTTCCAAAGTATATAGCAAAGCTGGGGATTTCTCTAGTGAGTGTTATAGTCATCCCCTTGTACAATCCCGTGATGCCATTTTTCTTGTAAATCTTCTGTAAGCAATCAATTGATCCATGGTACAATGGCTTAGAAGTGTTTTGAACCTGCACAAGAGTTTTTGCTAATTCCATTGGGCAGCAAACAATCGACTGAACTGCACCTGCCACACCTCCTGCAATACACTGACTGGATAAACCTGGCTCAAGCAGGCGTGACAAATTCCCATGGACCCCAAATATAATAGCATTTATCAGCCCTACACCAGCCATGGGGGACAACATGCCTTTGTACAAACCAAACACCTGTGTCAAGAGGCAAACAAATTTCAACAGGAGTTATCACATTAAATAGATTAAAAACCTACCATTGTAGAAACATTTCCCTAAATAAAACCCCCAGATGTAGGGCTGACAACAAGTTTGAAAGTCACAACCAAATTGCAGATAATGGGTGACCAGGTTATTGTGGACACCCAGTTGATTCATCAGATTTCACCTAAGAACTATTCGTCCAAGTTAAATGTCCCTGGCATTCTGCAAAGTTTGCATGAACCTTCAAGCCAGTTCTGAAAGAGGAGTGGAAAAGGAATTATGTGCGACGTGTGATTGAGGCCAAACCTTATGTGTGACGTGTCAATTTTACAGAATTTATGAACTAGCAAGAATGTGATTTGCCTACTGAAATATACCTGATCTGTTAATTTTTTCTATCAGTTTGTGAAATCCTCAAGATTTCCTTGAAACCTTGTATACTACAAGAGAGATTTTCAGTTTTCCTGTCACACAGGTAATGTCACCGATAAATTATGCATTTAATCCCAGTTAACACTGGGATATGGCCTCAACATAAATTCTTCATTGATATTTTAATAACTTTTTCATCAGCACCTGTGGTAAACTGATGTGAAAGTATCCACCTTAAGATGGCAGACTACCCAGCAATTTTGACCAGCTTTTGAAAATGACTGCACAAAAAGTTACACAGGTGAGAACTGCTGGTTGCCTCACAAGAAGTCTCTAATTCAATCCTTTACACCTTTACATCAGTATACATATTCTTCACACTAATCTCTTCACATTTCTTATAGTGCTACTGAGGAGAATTTATTAAACAATCAAGAGCTTCTTAGGCGGTAAACTCCTTCATTCTCATTACTTGATTGTTTCAATTAAAAGTCATACACTAAGGAGAAATTAGATGCTCATCAGTCTTGTGGGGTTTAAAAGAAATGTCTGTCATAATCAACCCACTCTGGATTTCAAACATAATGTGTAAATGTCTAAGTAATTAGAAAATAAACGTTTGAAAATATAATTATTCATTTAATTTTTGCGTCTTTCGGTTTGTCAATTGTCTTAATTCAATTGCCAAATATCAAAAGTTTCGCCAGTATATTTGCCACTCCATTTAAATAATTTACATCACGATATCATGTGTCATTTACCTGTCTAGATGATAAATTACAAACCAAAAACGGACTGGGTCTACCTTCAGGTTCTTGGCTGACGAAAAATTAACTTGAAAAGCATAACGCCCAGTTTGTCATCATTAGAGCAAAAATTCTCGAACTATCAAATATATTACCGCTACTAACCGTTTCTTGTTTTACAATTTGCGTAAAACAGTTGATAGTCCCGACGTATCGTTTCGATACTTGCGTTTGAAGTCGAACCTGGAAAAAACATAAACAACTGAGCTGTCTGAAGATCTAACCTTCGATAAAATAGATGCGTGATTCTGTCTTAAAAAGGGTGATTGAACAAATTGAACGTTGTCCTGTATTTAGAATGCGGCGTTTTCTTACTTTGACTGTGTCGAAGGGATGTCCCACTACTATGCCGGACCATCCTGAAGGAAAGAAACAACAATTTTGAAATTTATAACAATAGGCAATGTTTACTACCTCCTATGGAGAAAGCAAGGAAACATGAAGGTATGGAAAGATGATCTAACCTCCAAGGCATCCCGCTACGAAATCCAAAGCCATTACAAGCCGTGCTGGTTACAACTTTAGCTTGAACTCGTAACAAACAACGACGATCGCAGTTCTGAAAGCCAATCAAACACTAGCATTGCGTTAATACGTTCACATCCTCAAGGCTACTTCACTTTCACGTATACAAACGCACATGTCGGAAATGCATGGTTTACAGTTTCGTGCCTAGATGAAGGCAAAATTCTCCTAAGCGAACCAATCAGAAGCGACGAGTGCCTTTTTGTGCCAGTCAGTCACGGTTACTACGGTAATGCGGGGCATGGGGAAGAGACACAGCAGCCACCCATGGCCTTTTTCACCAGCAGAATGGGAGTCCGAATCTGTTTAGAAAGTTACCCCCTTTTTAAAGTATTAGTAATTGCTCCCGTGATTAAAGAGATGCGTGCGCTCTGAGGTCGAGGATAGCATCATGTCTTGCTTAAATTACCTCCCACAAGGTGATCTTAGAGCACTCTATTTCAAAATGGCGAGGAAATGATAAACGCGATAGAAGAATTCAATTGCAATGAGCAAAAAAGATGCTGCTGAGTTTGGTGAAATCACTTTCCAAAATAAAGATACGAAGTTTTTGCCCACTGAATTAAAGAAACATGTTAAAACTGCTTGTTCATTTTGATACGAGTAATCGACGCAATGGGAAAAAAGATGCTAAATGCTTTCCTTATTTACAGAATTCGAAAGCACCTGAGCAATTATACGAAAACAATTATTCGCCACAGGCTCAGTTAACACTGTTGAATAGTCCCCTCGACTCCGTCTCGGGTGATATTTAACAATATTCACTTCGCCTTCGTCTTATAATTACATAACAAAAAAAAAAAGATTCCAATCAATAGACAAAACATCTTTAATCCCCAGCGTCTCCTATAATCCCATCTTATATTTTCTTTTCTCATTCATTGTAAGGCCCCATTCAGAAAACCAAACACTTCTTTAGCCAGATCCTAAAAAAGTTCAGCGTCTGAATCAATTAACCCTTAACACCTCAACTTTACTTTGCGTGTTCAGTTCCATGCTGTTTCCTAGACATTTAACATGGCATTGACAAGGAGAAAATGGCTTCCAAAGGGTCTTGATAGTAGCAGGCAAGTCAAGAATTTGTAGAAAACGACAAAACTTTTGAGTTTGTAAAACATGTTTGGACAGAAACTTCTGTCATCTTCAGTTAATTAATGTACAAAGCTTTAGAAGTTGAATTTATAATAAGTAAAACAATGCTAATTATGATAAATGGTGAAAACAAGAGAGAGGCAAAGCATGAAAATGTGAGAATTAAAAGGATGGCGTTGGATTTACATGATGTAACTGTTGATTCAAAGAGGGTTGTGCTCTTTGAATATGCATAGCCTCTTTTATCTTAAGTTGAAAACCGATAGAGGCGTGATCCAAAACAGAGATGCTCTCTGCTGAACACAAAGCGCGACAATATTCAGAATCTTGCAGATGTTTCGAAATGTGAGAGGCCCTGTCACTGTCTAAGTGCTGTCTAACACGCGTGGAAAAATGCCGGCACGTTTCGCCGACGTAACAGGCATTACAGCCAGCACCTGCACACTTGTGAAAGGTGCCCGTCAGGGACAGTATCTTCACACCAAACAAGTAACCAATCTTGAAAGAAGAGAAAACTAACCTGATATCCAAGTCATTGCAGTAGCGCTTGATAAAATAGCGAATCTTTTTCCGGGTGATAGCTGAAAAATGGTCTATTTAGAGTAGTTGGTGGGAAGGGAACCACGGGGATGATGATTGCTTTGGGTCCCGGTGATGTAACGGTTTATAATCTTCTTGATTAAATGAGCAGGGAAAATATTCTTTTTTCGAATATCCATAAGCTTAGTAATGTCCTCATGAAACCCTAACCAGGTGTTATTAATCTTGTAGGCCCTGTCAACGAGAGTCTTAATGAGACCTACCTTGTAAGAGTGCGTGGTGAAGTTGAAATAATTAGTTAATAACCCAGTGAAAGTTTTCTTGCGGTGAACACTGGTTAGAGAAGAATTGGGGTCATTGTTATCAAGCAGGACATCCAAAAAATAGAACAACCCTCTTTGAAACCACAATTACATCAAGTAAATCTAAAACTACCCTTTAAATTCTTACACTTTTATGCTTTGTTTCTTTCTTGGTGTCACTATTTATCATAATTAGCATTTTTCTACTTATTATAAATTCAACTTCCAGCGCTTTGTACATTAATTAACTGAAGATGACAGAAGTTTCTGTCGAAACATATTTTACAAATTCAAAAGTTTTGTCGTTTTCTTCAAATTCTTAATTAATGGCTTCTTTTGTTGGCGATGTTTTCTTTGATTCTCTGGATCTTACTGTTAGATTCAATCAGGTATCCGCAGGGGTTACAGGGTTAAGAGCGAATCCACCGACAGCATCGCTTGCTAATCCAGATAAAGCCATGAAACTCCCTTAGGAAAGGCTAATGAAAAGTTCAAATTTTCTTGTATGCGTCAGAGACGTACCTCACAAATTCAAGCCGCCTTTACTTCATCTGCATTGGGTCTTAAAGAGGTTCTTTTAAGGTGAAGATAAAATACTTGCATCAAGTGACTTGATAATGTGAATTGGCCACCGTAAAGAGATTCTACAGAGGACCTTTCCAACGCTAGCCCTTCGTCAGAGTTTATTAAGGAATTATGGGTTGTTTCTGGTTTCTAAACAGAAAGGCAAAGCTACGCTATTGGTGGGAACACGGTAACGTGAATAAATTAGTTGAATTAAAAGCGTTGTTCGATACCGAGGCCAATTTATATTATAAATTCAGTTCATAAAACCAAACTACCTTGCAATACCCAATCCCTTCGTCACCACAAACGCTACACCACAGATTCTTTAAAAAACTCGCCCCATTTACTAGAACAAATAATAAAGCTTACGAGTAGAGCGCGCCCAGAGGAACCTATTAAACAAATTCAAGTGGCCTCTACCTTAGCATGCAAACCTTTTCAATTGCACTGGTTTAAGATAAATCAAATATTTCTGCAAAAAACTTTATTGATAAAAAAAGGCAGATCAGTTTTTCGACGAGGCGACTTTTAGAAAGGAAAAAAGTATGGAATTGTTTCTCTAAAGCTTATAAGGGTAAATCATTTAGGCGGAAACTTGCAAGCATAAATACAACTTGAGAACTAAAAAGTTCTCGAGTAATCTTTATTTTTCTTGAGTCACTTTTCAAATTCAATTGTGTATTATATTAAATCAAATTATGTCATATTTCTCAGAATATTTCCCTGTCTCCCCTTATTGGCGCTTTCAGACCAGTTGTCCGGTCGTTGGCAATGTCCTCATTTTTCCGTACAAAGCTTGATCCTATTTAGAAGAAATCAAAATCAAGGTTAACCCTTTACACCCGAACATCAGTATGCATATTCTCCATACTGTTCTTTATACATTTCCTAAGGTGCTGACAAGGAGAATTTGTTTACCAATCAAAAGCTTCTTTCGTTGGTGATCATTTCCTTTATTCTCATGACCTTAACATGTGATTCAGGGAAGATATCGTAGGGAGAAACGCAAATGCGAGACAATACGTCATCAAAAGCGTTAAGCACAGGAGAAGGTATATCTAGAATTCTTATGCAAAAGAGAGCACTCTTAAAATCAATGATACGTTTTTCGCATATCTAGCCGAAGGCTCCACGCCTTTAACTGATTCTGACCCGTCGCTGAGAAAAGAGATCATTTTTTCACACTTGATTCACGACATTACTACCGACCAGTATGGTTTTGACCTCACGACTTATTTGAAAAAAATCTTTCTTTACGATGATACTCATTTCGTGGGAACACCAACTGGGATGGCAAGGTTTTCCGAAGTAATCTTGTAAAGTATCTCTCCTTACCTTCTTGCTCACTGACGGCTTCACTTTCTGAAAGGCCGCCAAAAAATGCCTCTTACCCACCCCTAAGGGGCTTTGTTCCGGGGGAGGTTGATTCTCAATGGACTCGTGACCAGTGGAGTGCACGTGGATTCGTTCTCGTAGAGCTACCATACAAGCTTCGCGCACCAATGCCGCTAAATCAGCTCCCCTGGAAGAGAGAATTGTCAGTATAGGATTATTGAGACTTTTTTTTGCAAGACTGAATACAATGAATTCTGTTCCAGTTCGCAAGAACTGAAGTTAATCACTGCAGAGAGTGAAAAGATTGATGCCATAAGCGAAACGGTTTGGAAACTTAACCAACGTGGCACGCACTTAACGAGAACTCAGGTAAAACGCGCGAGAGAGAGGACACACGAGTCCTTGGCTCGTAATACTTCATATGCTTCCCCAGACGAACCATTGATCCATGGCGCGTTACCCCACTTCTATAACTGAGTACTCCTAACGTTTCACCGGCGTTCATTTCAATTCGTACTTGGAAACCGGCGCTGTTAGCGTGCGTGCATGCCGTCATTAAATAACATTAGCATTGCAAGACGCGTGGTTTTACTATACTTACGAAAGGCCTTCGCATCTTTCATCCTGTGCAAGATCTCGGACACTAACATCAGGCAGAAGCAATGGTTTCTTCCCATCCTAAAGAGGTCAGTGAGGAAAACATAAAACTCATTATAAAACCAAACTCAAAGTAATCACAACAGGCAATCAAAACACTATGAGAAATAAACGAGAGTGACTAATTTCAGTTTTGAATATGATTGGTCAAGAGAGAGTGGCGCGAGTTTCTGAAACAAATCCCAGAAAGAGAGCTGAAAAACAGATGCGCATGGCAGGAACTTTCGCGGGCTCACGCTTGAGACCATAAGAACACCAAACTAAAATGGCGGAATTTTTCTCATCCCAGAGCGAAAACACTTGTCAAATTTTTTCTCGAAAAGTGTCGTTGACAATTTTTCTTTCTGAAGTCAATAGCAAACAAAAGTTTTACTTCGAGAGAACTTGCTTGGGTCAATTTGGTTTTATACTGAGATGTGTAATGAGAATGCACCTACCTTGGTGAGTGTTCTGAGGATGTCTTCTCTGTCGTCTGTGTCCGGAAGACCAACATACAGAACTTTATCGAGTCGTCCCGGTCTCAGCACAGCCGGGTCGATAATATCTATCAAAAAATGAACAGAAGATTAGAATATTACTAAACAGGTGTCAGTTCCTTCTAAAGTGCTTCTCGATTGGGGTTCGAAAAACTAAAACCGCAGTGACAACAACGATCAATAAGAACCAAGAACCAAAGGAAAGGAAACAACAAGAACTCGAAGCGAATTCACATGACCGGCGAAAAGAGCGACAAAACGCAAGTGATTAAACCGAAATAGGCTTCACTTGGCAGAAAAGGGACACACAAGTTTTCTTCAGTTACCAATCGCAGAGCGTCGAAAAAGCTCGACTACTGTAGTCCTGGAGTGCCTCCGACACTCCATTGAATATTGCCACATTTCAAGGTTTCCAAAGTTCATTGACCCGCTACCCCCTAACATCAGTACTCATATTCTCCATACTAATCACTATAAATTTCCCAAGGTGCTGACAAAGAGAATTTGTTTAATAATCAAGAGCTTCTTCATTTGGTGATCATTTCCTTTATTCTCATGACCTTAATGTTTGATTCAGGGGTGATATTGTAAGGAGAAATTAGATGCTAGTCACTCCTAGGGGTTAAAGGGTTAAGCGACTAACAGACTTGTTTCACCTGGTCGGTTTGTAGCTCCCATGATGAATACTTGTTTCCTGGCCTCCAGACCATCCATCTCAGTCAGCAGCTGATTGACGACTCGTACGTTTACACTAGACTAGAAACCGTAACGAGAAAATGTTAATGCCCGGCCAAACGCACGCAACATTTTCAACGCAACATCATCCAACATTAGGGTGATTAAGCAAGAGGACGGAAACGTCAGTTGACAACGGCGTGCGTAGCTAAAAGAGCGGTAAGAAGCTGGGTCGAGAGCTTCGCCCCGTTTGCGCACAACGTGTTGCATACGTTTGGCCACCCTGTAGCAACTTGTTGCATGATGTTGGATGATGTCGGATCAAGTTTGAAACTGGTCAAATTTTTGTAGCAACATTTTTGGATGTTGGAAGATGTTGGGACAGTTAACATATAAATGTCACATTTGAATCTGTAAAAATGTGACATAAAAAAGAGAGAAAGTGCACAGAGTTGTAAAGTCGCCTTTTCACTCCTGCTGGTTGTGTCCCAAATTCTAAGACGAAAAAATAAATACTCGTAATGCTAGGGAAACCATGATATGGTAAGATAAGACTTCTGGCTCGTAAGCTGACGTTACCTTTTACTTTGATTTGATTTTTGTCTTTTGCATTGAGCTCCAGATTATTACGTTACCTCTGCACTGTCGGATCTCCTAGGGCAGAGTGCATCCAGTTCATCGAAGAAGATTACACACGGCGAAGAATTCCTAGCTCTTTGGAACACTTGTCTAACGGCTCGCTCACTTTCACCAACATACTAAGATAATGTACGAAACAAACAAATAAACAATAAATTGAAGTCACTTTGGGAAATTCAATTCTTAAGAATGACCAGTTCAAAACTGACAAAAGTATCACCGAATTTCATGGGCGACATGTAAACAAAATTTAAACTCTATTAAAGCAATAATCCTCCTAAGTGAGGTGCAATTGCTAAAATTGCGGCTCAAATGACATTTATTTAATTAAAAATTGTGATCTGATTTCTCCGCTAGAAAGACGTACCCTCTAAAATGTGCCCCGCTCCCAACATGTAGCTTTGAAGCTCAGTTGGTGGTAGCGCCCAACTATCATCTGGGACGCCTGAGTTCGAATCCCGTCAAATCCTAAATTTTTTTCAAGGTTTTTTGTGCAATGGCTGAAATTACAGTCCGCTTGCGAGGATCACTACATTGTTTGATTTTTAATCCGTATATCAAATAAAATATATATCATTACTCATTGTGAACGGAAACTTTCCATGGAACTATTAAACGCTGAAAATAGCAATATTGATATTGGCGCTAGATAAGTATAAGTATTATTATTATTATTATTATTATTATTACTATTATTATTAACTATTAAAAAAAACCTTAGCTGAGCCATAAATATTTATAAACAGTACTCAACAAACATCACTAAAAATACGAAAGTACTGAAGAGAATATTGTCATTCTTCTGTGAACCAACGGTTTATCCTGTCGGTATCTCTGTGTAAGAGTAAATGACTGTTTTCTGTGGGCATTGATCGGTACCCGACACAACAATGAAACGTCGCGTGAGCTTTACAAATGCCATCGAACAAAATTCGATCTATTTGTCACCCAATAGTCTCAACATACCATGTTAAGAAGTTCTGGTCCTTTGACGGAGATAAAATTGATGCCGGACTCATTTGCTATCGCCTACACGACAAGGAAAATACGGACCATTAAGGATGGCAAATCAAATGATTACATATTTAGACGCGGATTTAAAATCATTTCGCACAATTGGTGATTTGTTTTTTTTTACAATCACTCAGCTGAAAACTGATTTCAGTCTGTCTGTCTATATCTATCAGTATCTGTCTGTCTGCCTGTCTATCTAAGCCTGTCGGTCTATATGCTTGTGTGTCCGACTGTCTCATCTGTTTGTCTATTTGTGTCCGTCTATCTGTTTATGTCTGTTTGTACGTCTGTCTCTGTGTATCTGTCGGTCATTCTGACTGTTTTCCGAAACGGACGAAGGGACAGAAATAGTGGCAGACAAATAAGCTAAGAAAGGAGGCGGACGAAGAAACACCAAATTAAGAAGCCAAAGAAGAATACAAAGAAATGACACTGCCTGACTCTCTTACTTGAATTACTGCGGGCTAATCATAAGCTCTTCGTTTTGTGTACCTTTGCTAGAAGAGTTTTACCACAGCCTGGTGGTCCAGCCAGTAGAATCCCCGGGGGTTGAGTGAGACCGAGCGCTTGGAATTCTCCTGGATATTTCACTGGAGCCTGACAGAATGGGAAGTCAATAAAATTATATATTGTAACCCAGAAAACTAAACCGTAAACGCTTGGATTTTCAGTCAGTTGACTTAAAATTCTTTTATTGATACCACAAGGCCAGCTGTCACAATTACCTGAAATAAATTATATTTTAAACGATGATTTTATAAGCGAAGAAATTATCCTCACAGGTTAGCGGAAGTTTAATCCTTTACACCCTAACATCAGTATGTAAATTCTCCATTCTGCCCTCTTTACATTTCCCGAGGGCTGACAAGGAGAATTTGTTTCACAATCAAGAGCTCCTTTGGCTGGGGATCATTTCCTTTAATCTCGCGACCTTTATGTGAGACTCGGGCGTGATATTGTAAGGAGAAATTTCATTGTGGTCATTCGTAGGGGCAAAGGGTTAAGAAATTTCAGAAAGAATAAATTCAGGCTTCGACGGGAATCGGCTTAAGGGTAAGTGCAAGGTGTGTTTACCAGAATAGCCATAGTAAGCTCCTCTCTGACATCTTTGAGTGCTCCAACATCTTCCCATGTCACACCAGGTATGGTGGCAAATCCTTCTCTCTTTGCTGAAGGCTGGACTTGAGACAAGGCTGTCTATCAAATAAGGAATACATGATTTTCATATATCAACAGTCATTTATTCATCACTTCACGGGTTTATTACGAACCAATATAATGACCAGCTCCCAGTTGGCTTGTTAGCTCAGTAGGTAGAACACTGCATCGGTAACGCAAGGGTCATGGGTTCAAATCCCGTACAGGCCTGAATTTTTTCAGGCCTTATTTTCACTACTGCTTAAGTAGTGTTCATTACTGCGAAGATCGCTCTCATATTCATTTCTCAAACGGCAGTTCACATATATCTACAGTCATTCAAGTACGGAATATTTTTGAGAAACAGAAAAAAACACTTAGCTAGTTGAATTAAAGCGGTTTTCAACGGAGTGTGGAAAAACCAAAACCAAAACCAAAGAAAAAATCAGCGATCAATCAGGACAAAAGTTAACATTATCATCTGCCAATGTAAACTCAAAGTGAAATCAAGGGAACTGCTTGAAGCGCGGGAAAACATATCCAGTACCTTGAAATCATCCATGTTAATACAAAGCTTCTCTAACTCATTCTCTGTCAGCGGTGATTGCTCTTTTAGCCATTCAGTCACTGCAACAAGAAGAGAATCCAAATGCAATCAATTTGAGCGCCTACCGGATGAGTGTCATAAAAACCAAAGTAGTCACGATGGCCAATCACAACTAAGGAAACTATCACAACAAGCCAATGAAAATTCACAGTAAAAATGGGCGGGAAATTACAAGTGACCAAACGCGGTTGGTTTTCGCTTTGAATCTGATTGGTTGAGGGGGTGGCGTGATTTTTCTCAACCAATCGTGAAGCAAAACCAACGTAATTCCAGATTACTTACGACATTCAGTATTGAAACCTGGTCTGTCGTCATCTTTGAGATAAGAACTATTCAGAGATTTACAGGGCATCTTTTAGGTGAATCTTTTCACAGGTTTTTACCACGAAATTTTCCTCCCCGTGCTGACTGCTTAAGGTTCCTAAAGTATTAAACTTACCACTGAATGACCTAGGAACAGTATCAGAGGATTCCCTTATATCCTGTAACCCGTCAGACTCTTTCTGTTGTTCAGTGGTCGCCATTGTCTCATTTTTTTCACGCTTGTTTTCTGCGTTCCTTTCAAGTTCTTGAAATATCCTGAAAGCACCAAAGGACTCAAGTTCAGGGTAAACTACAGGCAACGTATTTTTGCTGGTTCAATTTGTCGTGAAAGTTAAATGAAATGTGTCAATTTTCCCGTTTTTTTTCAGTTCACACAACAATCTAGGCTGGAAGGAGGGCCAAGAAGATTCCTAACTAAGATGCCATAAACTACTCAAGAAGATGAAAAGGAGCCACTTACGGTATACGTTTGAAGCATTGTTAATCAAATGAATTCTCCTTTTCAGCACCACAGGAAATTTATAGAGAACAGTATGGAGAATACGCATACTGATGTTAGGCTGTAAAAGGAAAAGCTAACCTACAGTTTCCTGCTTTAGCAAAACTATGAAAAAAAATTATCGAAAGTGATTGGTTATCACCAGCCCGATTTGAGCTCTAATAGGACAGTGAACGCGTTATGCTTGTAATTGGACAGTGTGATAGGACAATTATAGGGACAGTTAATACGTCATGCCTGTGTAAGTGGACAGAACGCGTCATGTGTGTGCGCTGTTGTCTCGCATTTCGCCGAGTTAACTGTTGATTTTTTTTAATGAAAACGTACAACCGATGTCTAGTTTCTTTCTCAAATTTTGTCACAGTTTTGATTAATTGGTAACAGGACTTCTTGTCGTCCAATTCGGTGTGTAATCATACTCGTGATTAACAAATCGGACTCCCGCTTAGCGGTGGTCCGATTTTGTCAATCACTCGTATGATTACGGACAGGATTGGACTCCACTTGGTCCTATTACTATTATGTATCATAAGAACATTAGAACATTGCTACAGTATTATAACATTATTGTACAAGCATTGCTACATTAATGTGTTATCATGCCTGTTAACTGCTATCAAGGCTGCTTCTCTTGCAAGTGACATAAGATCTGCACCAACAAATCCTGGAGTAAGACGAGCCAGCACAGAAAAACAAAAATTTTCTTCTAGCCTCAACTTCTGGCAAAGAACTCTCAAAATCCTACGGAACGAGAAAATGAGAATACCACTAACTTAGGGAAAGTAATTTGAGATTGGCAGGAAAACGTAGCATGTCAAGTCAAGTTCACCAAATTTAGAGCAATTTCCAATTGACTGTGGAAAGTAAGTCAGGATTTAATCAAAAACAAAAGACAATGGATGTAATGGAAGTAAGCTATTTTGAAATCAACTGATAACTGCATGTAAAACAGAAAATTCTGATGGTGAAAAGAGTGCATCAAGTAACAGACCTTTCTCTTGCATTTTCATCAGGTATGCCCATAGAGATTTCCCTGTCAAACCGACCAGCACGACGCAGTGCAGGATCAAGCGAATCCGGCCTGTTGGTTGCTCCTATAACCATGACTTGAACATCTGAGTTGCTGTTCAGGTCTGAAAATCAAAGAAAACTGAATGTTATCCCTCCACAGTTCAGGTTAAAAAGATCAACAGCAACAGTCAACAGTTAGAGAAGAAAGATCTAAACCATTTCACTGCTTGCTAACACGTGTGAGCTCTCATTGGTAAATGGCATAGATTTATCAATATCATTCATTAACTTGGCTAACCATCCATGCAAGTCAAAAGCTGTGACACAATTCTCCGTTCCATGTCTTTGGAAGCTGTTTCTCTTTTGGGTGTAATAGAGTCTATTTCATCCAGAAATAACACACACGGAGAATGGGCCTAAGAAAAAAATGACAGATTTAGGCTACAATTTACATTCATCCTATTCATGAACTCCATACAAGAGAGCTGTTACAGCAGCTATGAGGAGGCTGCAAGAGCTCCTTTCCTCGACAATACAGTGCTTCACAAAATTTCTGCTAGCTTCTTTGAAAGGGTGCATCAACTACCTACAGTTGGTGCAAACAAACTCTATGCACCTTAAGTAGCTGCATGGTTGAAAATCCTGGAAACAATGAATTTAGGACAGGAGAAAAAAAATTCTCTTTCACACTCTCTCAACTGAAGTTGGACTCTTCAACTCTTCATCCTCAATCAATATACTGAGCTGGAGCATTGACAATGGACCTCTCTCTTAACATATAAGAAAGAACCGAACTACATGCTCAACATAATCCTGTCATACCACAGCTCGTGAAAATAACTCTCTGACTTTCTCTTCTGATTCTCCTGACACTCCTGACACAATTTCCGTGGCAGCCAGTTTGATGAAAGGCATTTCCAACTCCTGCAGGTAGAAGTTACTGTATGATAAATTTTCATGAATGAAAGTGGTGGCACCAATGTGCTGCAGTTTGAATTTGCAGAACTTTAATATGTAATTCTTTTTTCACCACTTTTAAGCCATACTAGTGCCTAACCATTTAACTCCCAAGATCTAATTGTTAATTCTCCCCTCTAGCTGTTACATATTCCCTTTTAAATAAGTTGCAAGATTTTGGTGTTAGATCAAGAGAACAACCTCTACCTGATAAGTTTGAGTATTCTCATTACCTGAATGGATATTAAAGGGAGAAGTTACATGTTAATCACCTCTGGAGTTAAAGGGTTAAGAGACCCCTATGGCTTTTTATTGCCAAACATATGTCAAAAGCATTGTACAGTGAAGAAACATTAGAACCAAAACATGCCTTTCCAAACCTGATTTTTTTTTGGAATTGCCAATATTAAACTGTAGCATGATGGAACTTGTAAGTTATTGATTATAGTTAATTAAGGGTTAAGTTTTCATGGATCTCTGCTGTCAGAATCAATACCACTACACCCAAACTGGCCATGAGGTAAAAAAAAATGAACATACCCCTGCGATAGCATGAGCTAGTAAGGTCTTGCCACACCCTGGAGGACCATGAAGGAGGAACCCTCTGGGCGGGGTCACTCCAAGCGTGCGGAACACTTCAGGATGCTTCATGTGAACCAGCAGTTTACAAACTTGATCCACAGTGTCATCACAACCCCCAATATCTGAGAATTTTACTGATGATTGGGTGAGCTCAAATTCTTCAGAAAAAAAAAATTATCAAAATATGATTTGTGTTGTTAACACAACATCAAAGGGTTTCCTTGTAGCATTTAAGTCAAGCTTTTCCCTTTAAATCACAACATCATGATCTTAAAACTGGAAGAAGTCTTGAATTGTTCTTTAATTTTTCATTAAATTGACTCAAGTTTAAGTATGCAGAACATTCAATCATATACAAGAAAAATCAATTTTGCTCTAACCAGGATCTTTCGCAGGTTTTTCTTTACCATTCCTCTGTAAACTTCTCCTGCTTTTCTTGGGTGTTGTCCCTGTTTCCTTGTCATCTTTAAGGGGGCTTCTTTTCCTCTTCCCATTTACATCTGTCATTTTATTCTAAAACACAATTTCAGAGCACTTGTCAACTCTGTCAGCCTATAATCAGAGCTACAACCGGTGCTTCTAGATAACTGATATTCAGCTATATTTGTCTTATTCAAAATACCATGTTAACCATTTAGCTCCCATGAGTGATAAAGATCAAATTTCTCCTTATAATGTGAATACAATATCAAGTAGATAAGTGATAAGAATAAAACTAGATTATAAGTTGATCCAAAACCAAGTTCTCCAAATTAACATTATAAGAATTGTATTTCAGACAGTAAGGAGAACTGTTAGTGAGATCTAGAGAGTGAGAGGGTTAAACAACTCAAGACTGATAAATGACTGCAAGAAAGTCATGACTATCTCAGTCAAAGGAAGAGAGGAAAGGTGTTTGCCTGTGAAAATTTACCTCACAGTGTCCTTTTGGTCTAAACAAACAATGAAAATAATTTACTTACAGATGAGAGATCAATATCTTTCATCATGGTTTGGTTGATATCTGAGGTGCTTATTTCATTGCTTGACTTTTCTTCATGTCCATGCATACTTTTACTACCTGGAACAACTGTATCTAAGATAAAAAATGAAACATCAGTTGATAGCAAATGGGGGGGGGGTCTGACATGGCAATTTGTCAATAACTCTGTGGCAAAATTATTTGTTTAGTGATAAACCTCCTCTACAAGTTGGGAACTGAGTTCAATAGATGAGCTTGTTTAAAAGGTAAGTTTGTGTAACAAGTGTTGTTTAAAATGAATTTAGGTCAAAACAATTTTAAAGTAATTTAATTTTTGTTTTGCATTGTTCAAGAAGATCTACATCTTCCTTGCGGCACACCTATTGAGGCAAACAAACTTTTACTTTTCAAGCTTCTAGTAACTGTAATAATCTGGACAATGACATTAAAAACAAACTGCATAGGGGGGTAGAATACCTGGATAAATATTATAATTATCATTATTATTATTATTATTGAAATAAATCCTCATAATCATCATCCATCTAACCTAAATTCCATTTTAAACCTAGAATATAAACACTACCCAACTAATTTGACTTGAAACCTGCTGAAAATTTTGTTATCTAGTGGTGGCATGTACAGAGTTTACCTTGCATCATTTCATTTGCTTTGGAAAGGTCTGTTATCTGATCATGCTCTCCTTCATCCTCAGAGTTTTGACCTGAACTTGTGGCTTTGTACATTGATTGCATGGATTGATTCATCATGTTTGTATCCTGTAGAGTACATTTTCAAAATACTGCTCAATACTCATGTCTACATACAAGTTGAACAGCCCATACCACCAGAGGTAATATTTTCCATAGAATTGAGAGACCACAGGCATTGCTCCTTTCCCTTGACTATTTCATTACAGAAAATCACCCCCCCCCCCCACCTCCCTGATCCTTTCAGTTTCTTCAATAGTTTGCTCACAATCATTTATTTTGCTGGCTAACAAGAAGACTCTCTTACAGTGAAGTGTCTTGCCTAAGAATGTTATAGAATCAAGTAATTTCAGTTGAAAAGCCTGAAAATGCAAGTTAGGGTAACTTTTTCACTCAACTTTCATCTACAGTTTGAATGAAATTTATTTTAACAAAAGTTGTAAAATAAATACAATAAAATGTAATCCTACACAACAAAGTAAGAGAATTTGCATTCTTGACAATGAATAAAAGATTTTGCATTAAATGACATTTACAAATTCCATGAAACAAATCATTGATAAACACTATTCACCATCTGTTACCATGACTATTTTTGTTCTTAACAATGAAAACAATTTTTACCACTCACATGCACCTCCATAAGTGGTTCATCTCCTAAGGAGAACTCACTATCACTAGATCCATCTTGACTGTCATTAATACTTCCCTGTTCTCCATCATCATCATCATCTATAATATTCCTGAAAAGATAAAATCAATATCACTCAAACACACCAATTTTTTTGCCCCAAGACAAATAACTGATAGACAAAATTTATGGCAATGAATTGTACCTGAGGTCAGGTGAGTTTTTTCGCTTTTGAAGAAACCTTTCTTCCAAGTGCTGAAGGTGTTTGTCTTCCTCTCGCTCCTTAGCAATTGCATCACAAACTGAAAATAATCCAAAGTACAAAGCAATAATTTAGAAAAAATTAAAGATAACTTAAAGCAATTTTACTAGGAAATACAATTTTACCTTTCTCCACAGATTGCTTAAAAGCTCTTCTTTTTCTTCTTGAATATTCACTGTAAAACAAAACAAAAATTAAAAAATGGGCTATGTTTTTAAACTTTACAAAATATAATATGATTCTGCAAAGATGGAGGATAATGCTCTTCCTCTAAATTACATTGATTAGTCATTATAAAAAAAATCCAAAAAAATGCTGTCATAGATGGCAACCTTTCCAAACAGCTTAGTGGGAAAACAAACAGGAGAAGTTGGTTAAGACAAAATGAAAGGATGGAGCTTTTTGTTGACTAGGTCTGGCACACATATGCATCTGAGTTGTAACTGTAAAGTATTGATTGTCATCAAAAGATACCTTTATAAAATATAAATTAAACCCTTGAAAAAATAGATTAATGGAGAAGATTGAGTAAATTGGTTAAGTTAAGTCCAAGCCCAAGCCCAAGCCATTGTCAAGTCCTTGTCAAGAAATTAAGAGAGTCATCAATTCATGGTATGTAAATTGCAGACAAATGGTTTTTTTAATATCAGTCAAACATTTCGGATAGGGACTGAGCCAAGGATCTACTTCTTTCTTAATTTAATAATTTTTAGACCACATATATATCTAAAAACCAGCATATAATGCAAAGCCAACCTCAAATTGAATGCCATACTTCAGTCAATAAATGCTAACCCAAAGCAAATTGCAGCTAACAAATCCTAACCACCATGCAAATTAGTTCCTATTTGGAAAGTTAAATAACTGTAAGTCAGTCAACTGACTTGGATCTGGGCCTGAATCTGGCTCAGAATTTACTTTAAAAATAAATCTACTTGTCAGAAAGAGACGATCGACAAAACCATCAAGATTGAAAATTATAAGATAATCAGGTTTAATTTTTCAGGTTCCAATAACTAAGGTTGGGCTACAATCTAAAAATCTGAGCACTTAAAAGGGCCTAAAACCCCGAATATAAAGCAAAACAAAAATAACACTTACTTATATCTTGTCTGTAAATGGTTCACCAGTTCTTCGATGTCTGGTTGGTGTCCTTTTCTAAACTGGTTCAGATACTTTGATTTGAGGAACAAACACACAATGAAAAATTACACTTCTTGTTTTAATCAAAATCAAAGTCTTCCTTCGCATAGAGACAAAATTTCCTTAAGTTACTCGCTATTCACTTCCTGTATTTACCTCTTTCACTCGTGGAACAAGCCGTTTATCCAAAGTGTAAGCGCCCTTAGGAAGTTTGATGCTACTTCTTCGACGATCCTGTTTCTTTCGACCGGAATCACGCGTCATCCCGAACACACTATGCAAGATGAGCCGATTCCAGAAATCCTTCTATATGCTATTTAGAAAAAGAGCCCATCTCTCCAAAAATTTCGCTGCTTTTCAAGCACAATGTTGCAATAAAAACACGTGTAATACCACATCTATGAAGGCATCGGTGCATTTTCAACAAGGCGTCGAGGAAGAACTCTTCACCAAGCCCCTTGCGAGTTCAAAATGAACAAAAAAGCCTGGGAAAGTGAGGGTGGGGAGAGAGAGGAAGGAGGTGGGGGGGGGGTTAAGGGAGTGTGATTGATCGAATAGAAAGGAAAACCACCTGATTTTTCAAAAGGGATAACACTTTTGTTCTTAATTTTTAACTATTCCCTCAGAGGTTACTTGCATCATAATCTTATCACTGACATTTCTGAGAGAAAAAAAAAATTGATGAACAAAAATGAAAACTAAGGAGGAGCTATGCAGTAAACAATCTACAGGAAAATACGACACATTGCATGGCATCAAAGATTTTATCAAGGGGAAAGGTTGTCACATAATCAAAGGATAAATGTTTTGATGATCACCTATTATCCTTTGGATCCATTATCTTAACTTGTAGTGTGACATACGCCTCTAATAGAGAGAGAATATTGCGTGAAAACCCAAAACATCAGAGAAGTGTGAAAGAGATTCAGTGATCACCAACTCTCTACATTTTAAGTGGGAGTCATTTGTCTGAAGCGAACTCACTGACTCATGTCATAATTGCTTGGGGCAAACACATTTAAAAAAAATTGTAATGCTCCAACAAAAAGCTCCTGGGCAGGGGGGGGTGGCCTTATCCAGGTGTCTTAACAAAGAGCTTAATAGATAGGGGCTCATAGGAGAGAGGGTATAACATAGAGGAAGGGCCTACAAGAGAGGCTTTTTTTAGGTCAGGGGGCTTATTACAGAGGTTGAGACTATTAGAAATTTGAACTTTCAAATGAAAGTTAGGGCAGGAGGGTAACCAGAACATTCCCAGTATGTTGTTATTGTAGAAAGGAAATCATCTTCCACTAAAGTAACCCACCACACCACACCCCATCATAATGTGAACAAAATGTAATTTGAGATGATGCCAAGAGGACAAACGATCTAAACAGAGTGAGTATTATACTTGTAAAACAGTTGTTTTATTTCTCTTGTTATGTACACGTAAGATTAGCTGTATATAATAATCCAATCCATTAATATATCCACTTAGTAGTCTTGATGTCACTTTCTTATAAATCTCTGCAGTTTGGGGAACAACTTCAAAGCATTCTTGGTCGTTTCTTCATAAACTGTCTGAACTGGAATGCCTTTAATTTGAGCAATTGCTTCACAGGATATTCTGATATTCTTGGGTTCATTTCTTGTCTAAAAAATAATAAATAAATAAATAAGGTACATCATGAAGAATTCCCTTGAACATAAGCTTCAATAAAAGCTTACAAGAGGGAGTCACTTACAAGAAGTGGTTGCTTAAAAGAAGTTCCACTTATAGTGATTTAACTTGGAAACTTCTGGAATTTTGATAAAGGTGTTCCCTTATGAGTGGTTGCAAAGGGAGGTTTGACTGTAGTTCACTTTCACAAGCGAATGGCTCAGAAAAAAGGTCTACAAGGTGCACCTTTCAAAGTTTGGTCACTATGTAGAGAGTCAAGGTTGCTGATTTTGCATTTTACACACAAAAAAAGTTAATTTGAACAAACCATTCTTCAAGAGTTCAATTGCCAGGGCATTGCCTGGGGGGGGGGGGAAGAAAGATACTGAAGCTTTGAATTGATGGACACATAAGTACCATATAAACAGAAGTGTTGTTAGTAGACTGAGTATTGTACTGTAAACATTGTACTAGCAAATTTCAGTACTCTTTGTCAAAAAAGACAAATGGTTTTGTGTATGTTTTATGAGAGAGAAGGCAGTAAAGCCACAGAAATGAGCAGAAGGGCTTCAATACAGCCATATTTTCTTTACTCCTGAATTCAGACTTTAGTCTTAATACCTGTTTTTCAGCTGCCAAGGCTGGGGAATCAGTTTCCAGAAGAAGATTTGAAAGGGGAACATTTTTCACAAGCTTCTCTTTCTACAAACACAAACACAAATAAAATTGCAAGAAAGATCCTCATTTAGCCACCTGTGCTTGGCAGTCACACAGCAATCTGTTATGATTTTATTACTCAGTGTATAGGTTTAAAATCATCATGACTTTTAAAAATGCATCTACACTGTCAATGTTCCCTCAAGGCTCTTTCTCCTTGCTTCCTCATGCATTAACCTTTTGACCCCCAAGAGTGACCAACATCTTATTTCTCCTTACAATATCACCTCTGAATCACACATTAATGTCACAAGAATAAAGGAAATGATCACCAACTAAAGCAGCTCTTGATCATTAAACTAATTCTCCTTGTCAGCACTTTAAGAAATATACAGAGAACAGTATGGAGAATATGCATACTGATGTTAGGGTATAAAGGGTAAAGCTTTATGATGTTGAACCCCAAAACCCATTGCCTGTAATTTCAGTTATTCTATACACAAGTGGTGAGGTCAGCAGCATGTTACAATGCAAAAAGTTTCTTTTTCCTTTGTCTTTCTTGGCAACTACAAATGACATTATATGAGTTTGCAAATGACAACTTTGACAACAGTTGAGCTTGAAGCTTTGATCTTACCTGAGGGGAGCGAACAATAGATGGTGGAATTGAAAAGTAGTAGCCTTGTTGAACTCCCTTCAGGGCATTGGAAGGTTTCCCATCAAAAGCATGAAGCAGGACATTTCTGGCCCCTTGTGAAGAGACAATAAAGCAAACATCACACTCAGAGATGTTACAAAATATATTTTTTTTAATTCACTCTCATATCTGACAGGCCAACTAGATTCAAACTTGTTGGCAGAACTTAAAGAAGTACCTTAATTTAATTTTACCTTAAAATTATTCTTACTATAGAACATGGGAAGAGTTTAATAATTTGTCATGAGCCTATGGGACAAAAAAACTAAGTTGTGCATGAGAATTTGAACCTCAACTGGTTCTGATTTCACATGTGGATACTCTGTCAATTACTAAGAATTCATCGCCAAGCAAGTTCAAACTGAACTTCACATGTGGTAAGTATATTGATAGGATCCAAAAGGTTGAAAGCATTCTGTGTGGATATTTGTTAGTAAGAATGTTTTGGTTAAAAACTGATATACTAGTTTTGATTACAAAATATAACTTCCTAATTAAGAGATGAGAGAAATCTCACACTATAATTTAAACCCTTTGACTCCCTGAGTGACCACTTGGTGATCATTCCTAACAATATCGATACAATGTAAATCCGAATGGTGATGAGAAGAAAGTAAGATATCAGCAAAGGGAAATTGCATGATCTTATTTCACATTCTCAGAGCTGATACTATGATAGATGTACAACATACTTTAAGGAGAATATATATTGTGATCTTGGGAGTGAGAGCATTAGGCTCTGAAAGGTAAATAAAGTACCATGTTGCTGCAGCATTTCAATCACATGTCTTCCTGCTGAGCGTGAATGCACATTTCTGCAAACAATAACAAAAAAATGATTCCTTACAATGTGTTATTGAATTCTCTCTGTACTTGTGCATGTAATTAACAAATCCTACCACCAATTTTTAATCCTATGCTTTTGTAAATCACTTGTATGATCAAAGACCAAATATCAATCCACTCTGCCCATTACCATTATCAATACCATGCAATAATTTTTTAGGGTTACAGCACAGAAGATTGGTGAGTGCCTCAAACTCACAAATCTCACTGTGACCACTGGCTGGAAAATAAATCTCTCCAAAACGAAATGTGTGCAACATTTTCCTACAACAAGGTATGTTTGATTGTACTCATCACTACTTTTGATTAAATTATTTAAATGCATAGACTGCCTGAAAGTAAACTGGATTGGACAAGGAAACCCCTGCTATAAAAAAACTCAACCCTTTAACTCCCAGAAGTGATCAACATGTAACTTCTCCCTAAAATATCAATACATTATCCAGCAAAAAGGCACTGAGAATAGTCAAACTTATTAGGTAAAAGTTGTTGCCTTGATCTAATTCAAAGTTTTAGTGACAAGTTAAAAAGGAAATGTGTAGCAGCTACAGAGGAGAATAATAATTATTATAACAGTTGTACCCACATACAAAGGAAGATTGAGTTCCAGAGCAAGCTTTATCTGCAAAAGAAAAGATAAATACCGATACTACCAATTGACCATAAACAGAGTACCATTTGAAGCAAATCATACCAAAGAGTATTATTATTCGCAGATTTCATCCAGTTTTGAATGGAATGTTGGCAATAAGGGATAATGAAGATATCCGCTAACTACCTGTCGACTGAACACTTCTCTCTGAATATCTTTATCCTCCTCTTTGCTTATAAAGCGTGGAGTAAAATCCAGGCCAACCTTCATAGATAATAATGATAGACAATAATGATTATTAGACTACGCAAAATAACTTAATTTCATGATGTCAAGGCAAGATCATAAAACCTCTGAAATTTGAATATGAACTCACAAGAAAGTAATTCTATCTAAGCATAATTCTCAGAAATTTCTCTCAGGTGTTGATTTTTTCGCATGCATGAAGGTACAGTCCACAACAAGAATTTCCTTGGTTCCCTTTAAACTTCCCAAAGTTTTGTAGAGTGACCCTCTGCTATAAACCCTTGTCACATTTCAAACAGTATGTTTAAATATACCTAGTTTATAGCTATATAAAAAAAAAGAAAAACAATTTTACTGGCCTGAGCCATTTCAGATTCAGATGTGGAGCTACATGTATCATTATACATTCTCTTGCTACCATACACTTTTCTTCTGCTAATCTTTCTCTTGCCCAAATCAAAAGAGAATTACTTTCAAACTAAGAATACAATTTAATACGATCGAGTCGCTACAACACTTACTGCAGAACACAATTCTTTCTAACCTCTCCAATTGCAACAAGCTTTTCATGATTTTCTCTGATAAATTCCTCAACACCATCAAGATCCTGCCAAAAGAACAGATAATAAGGCTGAGATCATAGTTTTAATTATGTACTTGAGTACCTATAAAATAACACTGATGTTTCCAAACATACTTCTAAGGTGGCACTGCGATCTGGGCAGAGACTCTGTACTGGGTGTACACCAAGACATGGTGCTATAAAGTCTGGATGTCTGAAATTGAAAGATTCCAGAATTGTACAACTTTCATTTTTTAACAACTTCATTCCACAGTAAAACATCACTGCTCCATAGTATTAAAAAATTTTTATGTTACTTAACCCCTTAATACCCTTACATCAGTAGTCATAATCTCCATACTGTTCCTTATGCACTTCCTAGGGTGCTGAGGGAGAATTGGTTTCACCCTTTTAATCCCAAGATCTCATTAATAATTCTCCTAACTGCGCACCCTACAATTCTTACAATGTTAGTTCAGAGACTTTGGATCAATCAACAATCACCAAATTGATATTTTTCTTTATTCTCATCACTTGTCTGCTCAATATTGTATTGATACTGTAAGGAGAAATTCTGTCTTGGTCTAGCGTGGGAGTTAAAGGTTAACCATCAAGCGCTTCTTTAGTTGGTGATTACTTCCTTCACTCTCATGACCTTAATGCGTGATTCAGAGGTGATATTGATAGGTGTGATGTTGGAGCCAGCTCAAAAAGATTTCAAGTCAAGTCAAGTCATCTTTATTTAGGCAGGGTAACCCCATCAGCCATAGGTTGGTATCACAATATGAAAAGGGGATATTCCAACAGTCACTTTAAATTAGCAGAATCAATATGGTCACTGTTGGACTGGATGATAGCCTTTGAAAGTCTTACTTTCTAAATAGAAATTCCTGTAAACTCAATGGTTAATATCCATTCACAATTCATAGCACACAGTACATTTTTAACACACCTCTCATGAAGTTTGAGCATTCCGGTGAATTCTGTTTTAAACTCTGTTACACCAACTACAGCTCTTACTCCAGCCTAAAACAAAACACAGCTATTAACTGACTAAAACAAAGCCTAACTACCATTTGAAAACAGTAAAATGGTACAAAAGTTCACAGCATTACCAGTAAGTGAATGTATGTGGTACATAAAGAGGATTAAAAGCAGAGGTGGATGTTTGCAAAATGGGCATGAGTTGGTCTGAGGACAGGGCACAATCCAAATGTTTGATATTAGAAGAAAATCACCTTTTTAAAACATTTTTGACTATCATCTGTACAGAATAGAGGTCTCTTGGGTTATGAAAAAAAAATTAGAAAAAAAGAAACTATCACCATGACCATAATAATGCCAATAACAGTATTAATCAAAACTATGACAAAATTTTCAAATGTAATTGGTTATCACCAGCCCAATTTGAGCACTGATAAGACAGTGTATGCATCATGTTTGTAATTAGACAGTTTAATAGGACAATTGACATGTCATGTCTGTGAAAGTGGACAGTGCACCCATCATCTGCATGCACTGTCAATGCACATTTTGGTGAGTTACCTGTCATTTTTTTTTTACGAAAATGTATAAATGATGTCTAGTTTCTTTCTCAGATTTTGTCATAGTTTTGATTGATTTGTAACAGGACTTTGTGTAATCTAACTCTGTCTGTAGTCATATTTGTGATCAACAAATCGGACTCTCGCTTTGCAGTGGTTGGATTTAGTTAATCAATCATATGACTACAAACCGAATTAGACTCAACTTGGTCTATTACAATTATTAATAGCTATAAATTCAAAGGTAAATTTATTTCATAGAGTCTTCACAACCACCAGTAAACTTTACTTCATAAGCATACTGGAAAATAATCAACAAGGTGGAAGCCAAGCAAGAATAATAGTCATTTGGTGCGTACAAATTTTTTCAAAAAGACTTTAAGGGTTGTGCTCTACGCTGATGGCATACCTGTTTTGCTTCGTCAATCACCACATCTACATCCTTCGATATAAAAAATAAACAATAACAACAATTTTTCGGACACAGCTTTTCAAAAATCAACTCAGTATCTACTCTTTACAACGTACACAATCTGAACAGCGTGACACACAAGTTAGCATTACCAAAGCTTCACACGAACGATTCGTTTAGCCTTCATGTGCCGTCAAAGCCACTGATTAAATCTAATCGAGTGTCCAATGTCTTGAAGTCAATGAGTGGTGACTCTGGGGAAAGATTTCCTGGCACAGCCCCATACTATTGTAAATCAAAACCATAGTCCAAAGGGCAATCTATAATTTCGCCTTTGTCTTCTCTATTCAAGATTTTTACGGATAATCAAGAACGATGCTGTGCGAAAATCTATCAGCTATCGAAACATTTAATTGTATGTCTACGGTGGACGAAGTATAATCCACTTTGATATTGCACGTGGAGAAAAAGCATCCCGTGTAGTAACGACAGCGTATCCGAAAAAAGTATTTACATTACCTCACTAAATTCTTTCGCTGATATATGCGCGTGGCAGTCCACAAAACACACTTCCTTCGAGTTTAATTTTGTTTCGAAAGCATCCGCCATTTTTACACAGTCTGATTCCTGTCATGTACAGGTACATGAAGTGACTCACATCAAATTAACACAACATGCTATAAAGTGCTCTCCATGCCTCTATTTCTATCATCCATCACATATTTTAGCTCGCGCGCGGATGGTCTAAACACAGTACGAGGCAGAATATTCCCCTGCTAAAACTGGGTGATATCCGAGAGTATCACCCGAGTGATATTGCCCATTTCAAACCTTACGTCCACTACGAGAAGTCTTCGCTTAAAAAATTTATTTCGAGACAAGAGAGTGTTTTGTGGTTGTCACAAAAGAAGGGACATTTTATTGTTTATAAAGTTTGTACCAGTGAACACTTAAAGAAAACACCTCACGCTGCATACAGTAAGCTCTTCATAAACATTTTTCACGTGCATTGCAAAATATTTGAAAGGGAACAAACACAATAGCCCCTATTTTACGCAAAAATATGCTGGTATGTTTGTCCTTGAACATTGCCTGTTACTCAAAGCTCACAGTTTTCCTCGAGCTTTGCCCTCGGAAAACTGTTCGCATCTTGGAAAAGACGATGTCCACGGACAAATATTTGTACATATTTTCGCGCCAAAAAGAGGCTATTGTTTTTATATGCACAGCTCTTAAAAGTACTTGAACTCATGTTTCACGGTGGGTCCAAAACGCAGGTGGGTCCAAAATGCAGGTGGGTCCAAAATGCAGGTGGGTCACGTCAGGTCATGTGCCCACGAGTTGTAAAAAACAACTTGTACAGTCCACCGATTTTCCTCCCATTACCGGTCACTCCCAGTAATATCTAGGGCCCCCCAAAAATCCCTAACTCTGACAACTCTCCCACTTTGTCGTATACCATTAATCGCGCCGTTGTGGGTCATCAGTCAATATGTTGTCAGTCGAATGTACTAAGTCCGGTTCGTGTAAACTGGTCGGTCAGTTTAGCCGTGACCGATCAACTTACACGAACCGGACTATGTACATTCGACTGACAGCAACTAATCTCTTGACTTCGATGATGACATCCTCTCAGGTTGTCGAAACGTCGGTTAATCCTTCTCAGGACTACAGTATACACTTAATATACGGTCCCGAGGGAAACAGTTAGTTCTGTTTTCCCGAAAGTCCTGATGTCCTGAAGTTGAAGAAAACGTCAGGACTCGAGGGAAAACAAAACCAACTAGTTTCCCGAGGGACCACACATTAAGTGCTTTGTTACATATTTAGACTTTCCCTGAACCAATCATGTGCTGTTGTATTCGGCGCGCGGGCAACAACTGCGCAATTGTATCCCCAGCCTAAGTGTAGCCGTACCCTCCCCAACCAAGGAAAGCGCCTCCGTTTCACCTAGGGGGTGGGGAGGGGGAAGGGTACGGCTACACGTAAGCTATTGTATCCCAGGCTTTAAATCCCGATCGGGAAACATTTGAATTTGATCAGGGGCAAGAGATTAAGAATCAACCAATCATAATGCTCGCTCTGTTGAGTGAAAGTCTGGGCATAAAACAATAACACATATTAGCGTTGGGTTCAACCCATTCACTGTAAATTGTATTTATAACAAACTGAAGACGACAACACGAGACTCAAGTTTCAACAACATTTTACTACAACTTCCATGTACCTATCTATCACGAGGCATGTTAAATCCTTATATCGATATCATTATGAACGACTCTCTTTCTTTCTTTCTTTTCCCATGCGCCATCGCAGAACTCATTAAAAACCCATCACTACGTGACAATAGATGTTCCCGACAACCTCTACTGTATTTACAAGACATTACAGATCATAAGCACCAACGTTTTAAAAACCGCGAACGGGTAGGGAGAGAATGTGATTATGAATGCTTTAAACTACCTCATAACCCGCCTACTAGCCCCCCGCCCCCCAACAACGTCACCACCGACCCCACCCATTCCGTTGGACACATTGTGTCATACAGGAGCCTTGTGGGAATAATTAGAGTCGCATTCCCTTTTTTTGAAAAAATACCTTCATTAAGTACGAAACCAAAAAATTAGGTTGTTTAAAACAGAAAAATACGAATAAGGTAGCATAAAACAAAAAAAGCAACGAAAATGCCTGCAAATCAAGATGACTGTCTCAGATGGAAATGACAAACATGGGGCATTCCAAGGTGCATAAGCTGTGATGTCTATTCCTTTCCTGAGTAACTTATCCGTATTTAACGGCCAAGCAGATTTTGCAACTCATTTTCTTAGTATTTTATCAAATAAAACTGACAGCTAAACAGATTTAAACAGATTTTTCCACAGCTTTGTTAAAAGAACTATCGCCCAAATTCCTCTCCACCCTTGTCAACCTGATTCCTTTTAAAGCTGAATCTCTTCATTTTCGTGTTTCCATCTTGCCATGCTTACATTTTAATATCTTACATCACTCTGAAGGTAAATTAGCACGTTCAACAAAAACGACTCAAAATTAAGCTCATAGCTCCCTTAACCCAATCACTCACAAAATGTGAAAAGCAATTCTCAGCACTGCGTTGCTCACTTCTTACAAATGAGCTCTGAGTAAGGTGAAAAAGATTTCTGAATTGGTCTCACTCTTTTTCTCGTCAAGTGAAATTCCTCTTCTGTCACACGAGGGAGGAAGAGAGTTGATAAAAACCCTAACTGACCAGTAAACAAACATTGTTTAAAAACATAGCATATAAAAAATTTCAGACTTGCAACCTGATAACAAATGGTTACCAACTTAACTGAAAAAGCTTTACTAAGTTCACTAAAAAGAGGTGTTCCTTTGAGATCGTAACCCTCCACAAGCTTTACTGTTTGCTAAAATTGGCCATACAGCCAAAAAGACACTTCTCATATAATAATGCTTGTCTGCTTGTCAGAAAGACTTGAATTACCACAAAGTATGTATTCAGTCGATCTGAAATAAATATATCTTTAAAAAGAGAAGTAAAGAGATGGATCAATAAAGCTTTTACAGTTAGGCTGGTTTCAAGTACAGCTATCTCCAAAATAATAAGTCATCTACATATGGTAAAATAATATCTTAATTTTTTGTTATTATTTTGCTAATAAAAATAATAAATAACAATTGTCACTTGTAACTCTCTCCAAGAGGAAACAGTTGCACAAGGACACAGTCACCAAACTGTGACAGGAAACTAACTTAGTGAATGCTCTAAAAAGTAACCCCCTCCCTTCTATTTAACAAAATAGAAAATGGTGGAGTCATTGCCATTTGTTTGGGCTATGTAGCATTTCAGCACAAACTATACTTAAATTCAAAGGCCTCTGAAGGTTCCAGTCAAAATATCACAGGTCAAAGAAATGCATTCTGAATACAATATTCATTAAATCTGAGCAACAGTTCAGATGAAAATTTAACATTTTCACTTGAGTGTTTGGTGGGTTTTCATCAAGATCTATCTATCCAAGTCCCTTCTCAAATAAGCCTCTTAATTGGAAAAACTTGCACATCTAAAAGGACCCCCCTCTCCAAAAACCCACCTCTCCGAAGGTCCCAGGATTTGATAAGCTCCCTCCCCACCCCTGACTTACTAAAGCATTTGCCATATTACAGGGGAGATGACATGTTGCAATTATAATTAGTTGTACATAAAATCCTTGATATGAATGGGGATAGTTTTTCACCAAACCATGCAAATGTCTGGGTTTTTCTTTTTTTCCAAATTTCACACTTAATTACAACCATTACAATTTCCTTAAATGTGATTGGTAAATTTGCTGCTTTATTTTTCACCAATCATTCTGTACAGTTGTGATCAGACAGTGTAATCAAACAGTTGGCTGTAATTGGACACCTGTAATTAGACAGTTAAAGCAGCCAATCACTGTAAGTCCACTCAGCTAAATCCACCAATCACAGAACTGATCACAATAACCATAGCAACAACCACTTATCCTGAAAAAAAAACTGGGGAATTTCCAAAATAGAGCTGTTTTACTCACTAGACATTGTCCCTCCCAGAGATGTCTGTCCTAAATGTATTTGTTGTTGTTGTTTTTTTTTTGAAATTGTAATGGTTATGATTAATTGACAACTGGACTTAGTGTTGTTCAATTCTGTCTGTAATCATGCTCGTGACTGACAAATCAGACGTTTGCTTCGCAGTCATACCATTTTGTTAATTACTCATACGATTACAGACCAAATTGGACTTCACTACCTCCCACTACCATTATTAATTTTCTTGACCAAAAAGTGACCCTAAAACAAGAAACTTTGTGGGATTAACAAATAAAAGGTGCTTCTTAAGGTTGCTGAAACAAATTTCCTGTGTAGTTAAATATTTAGAGAAACTCATTTCAAGCTGTCAGTTTGCAGACCAGCCCACTACTATGAGAAATGATTTCTCAACTTGTAGCATTCTTCTTTCCACAAAGTAGTTTTCTGAGAAGTGAATTTTTCACAATTTCACTAATACCTGAATTCCATGTTATTATATACATTTTACCTTAAAACACATAACAACACATTTTTTAGTGTAACCGTAAATCAGTCACTGTAAGCGACTCTGAACCACTAAGAAGAGTTCTATTGTGCCACACCCAGATGGGAGGGGGGGGGAGGGGAGAGAAGGGGGGGAAGAGGAAGAGGGAAGACAAATGGACAAATTTTACCCCTCTGCTGCTGTGGCCAAGTATTCATCTGGACTATTATAGTCTGACAGTGCCTTCACAGTACATGTGTCATGAGGAAGCTCAGATTTCCGCCGTACAAACTTTTTGTTCTCTGGTTTCTTTGATGAAAATTCCTTGAAAAAAGAAAAATAGAAAGAAAAGAATAAGAAAACACTCTTCCACTAGATGACAAAATATTTAAAGTTCTGACATGTTGGCCATGTGGTAAGCACATAAGACTATGGTTAGGTAAGGTTGCATAAAAGTCCTAGCCCAACAACTGTGTTGGGTTTTTGAGCAAACACTTAATGCACCTCTCTCTTCCAAGGAGTGTAAATGGGTACTAGCAAACTATGAGAGAGAATCCTTGACTTTTTGCAATAAATAACAAAATTTAATTTTAGACTTTTTAATAGCAGTGATAAAAATTATATAGTTTTCAAAGCATATTTCTCCTTTAGGGGATGAATTAAACTCCACAGGAAAATAGCAAACAGCCTACCGTTTTCGAGACTCCTTGAAGAACAACCACTCCATCTTCTACCCCTTCCATCTCACAACCCTGGTCCATAAGCTCCCTATCTCTCTCATCATCAACACCAGCTAGACGGGCAATCTTGATATACTGCAACAAAATAAAGATGTCACATCCTTAAGTATAAAAAAAAACCTATTAAGCCCCAATACAGATAATGGTCAGATTTTACTACAGTTCATCCGTGGACTGTAGAGCTGCATTTGTTTCGTGTGTGTATATATCAAAAGTTCTACCAGCTATAAAAAAAATCAAAGATACACATGACAAAAGTGTACAAAAAAAACACACAAAAAAATTGGTGTATATAGTGAATTGAAAGCCCACTGTTAGGCTAAAAGCTAATTTTAATTTTTATCAAGAACATTGTTTGACCATCCCCATGACTGATTCTCAAAGATTTCCACTACTCCACCGATTAATAGGAATTAACAAAAAACTCACAACAAGCCTTCAATGTTCACTGATTCCAAATTTAAGAATGCAGTGATTCTGTCCATTGTGACACTGAATGAGGTTGTAAACATTTTGCTATATCTAGCTTAACCCTTTAACTCCCATGAGTGAACAAGACAGAATTTCCCCTTACAATATCAATACAAAATCAACCAGTTAAGTGTCAAGAATAAAGAAAAATATCAATTTGGGAATTAGTTGATCCAATACTAAATTCTCTGAACTAACATTGTGAGAATTGTATGGTTGACAGTAAGGAGAATTATAATTTAATCTGAGAGTTAAAGGGTTGACTTTCAAAGCCAAAGTTCAAAGCCTTCAATTCATTTTGAAAAGTTTCTCAACATAATTATACTTACATCAGGGTTCTTCCGAGCTAGTTCATCAATTTTTAGCCATGCTTCCTCTCTCTTTTTGAGATCCTCTTTTTCTCTGAGAGTGATAACCAGAAACCCTATTAAGTACTTATTAACTGAAACATCACAAATTAACTTTTTGACTCCTAAGAATGACTAGTATCTAATTTCTCCATAAAATATTACCCCTGAGTCACACATTTAGGCCACAAGAATAAAGGAAATGATCACCACCTAAAGAAGCTATTGATGGTTCAATAAATTCTCCCTGTGAGTAACTTAGGAAATGCAAGGATAACAGTAAAGGGGATATCTATGCTGATGTTGGAGCATAAAAGGTTAATTCTCACTTCCAAGGAAAGAGCATATTTGGCTCAAATACCATCATAATAAATTTATTTGGTCTAGTTCATTCTAAGCAGTTTGTGCTGACAAACTACATAAACAGAAGTGTCTAAGTAAAGAACTAGCCTAACTCAGAGTTCAGTAAAGTGCATCAGTTGGTGTATTTTCTATCACAAGCAAAAAATTGGAATTACCGGTAGTGTTTATTTGAAAGAGTTAAATGCTTAACACATCGATCCATTGTGTTCAAGTCAAAATAACTATAAATACAATTTGTAATTTTTAAATGGTTAGATGTTTACTTCTGCAAATAGCCATACCTCTGTCTTTCTTGTTTATATTTTTGTGTACATTCATCAAAGAGCTTTTGATTCATCTCCATAAAGAGCTTTAAAGCATTGTATATGAGACCATGTATTGTCCTGGAGAAGTAAGTTATGAGTTTTAGAGGTTTGTTTAGATTGGGGAAGGAGGGGATTACTATAATGAAAAGCAGCGACAACTCCTGGATGACAGCCCTAATTTGTTCACATGCTTGCCACAGTCATAGATTTTTTTAAATTTCCAGCCTTCTCTCTAACAAATGTAAAATTTCCCTGATGAACTGAATTAACAATTTCACAAATACATCATTATAATGGGCTTCAACCTCCCCTCACAATCATCCTCATCCTCATCCTCATCCTCATCCTCATCCTCATCCACCCATGAATTGACACTTTCAGCAGGTCACACACAGATTACATGAGGTCATAATTCCTTAAAGTAACATGACAAAAGTATTAATTTTCTTGGAAACCACACATCAGCTTTTCATTCAATTTCATTAAAGTTTGCACTCACTTCTTCACCAAAAAAATCCTTACTCTTCTTCTACTTGATGCTTGCTTATGGAAGACATCTTAAGAAGTTAAACCATGGGTTTCCAGGTTAACATAAATTTTAGTTGAAAAACAAAAAATTGCACTTACTTGTTCCAGTGGTTCTTTGAGTGTTTGTAAAGAGAAGGAAACATGATGGGCACTATGACACCAGCATTATCACTCATCAAGCTCATCACATACTCGTTATTCCAGTAATACAATGCACGCTCAGCAACCTGTACATCAAAACAAGAAGAGTGATAAACTGTAATTTCAATTACGGAAAATGATTCAGAAGTCACAACGTCTAACTAACACCTGATAATCTTTACATTGGCAAGTAAGCCATAGGCCAAAGACAAGTAAGCCATAGGCCAAAGACAAGTAAGCCATAGGCCAAAGACAAGTAAGCCATAGGCCAAAGACAAGTAAGCCATAGGCCAAAGACAAGTAAGCCATAGGCCAAAGACAAGTAAGCCATAGGCCAAAGACAAGTAAGCCATAGGCCAAAGTAACCTTCCATTAAAATATGCAAATAACTCAATTTCAGAAAGACAACCCGAAAAAGAAATTGATAACTGAAATATCCAGATTCTGAACAGGACCATTCTGTTTAAGTCTGGAATTTTGATCTACTCTCCTTAAAACAACTAAAACCTTGTATATAAAATAAATAAACTGAATCCTTTCATCACACTGTCTCCTTTGGATAATCATAACTTTCACTGTTTAAACACTGGTTGGGGGTCCCTTTTTGTATTTCTACACCTGTCGGCGTTAATTGCCTTGTTGTTGACATACTCTTTCACACAACACAGTGGGAGGAAAAAAATCATTGTTGGATACATCTGTGTTTGTTTGAACTGAATATCTTATCTAGATAGAGACACAGCTGTGTTCTGACAAGGCAAAGCAGAAAATGCTGAAAAAATGTTAAAATAAACAAAAGCAAGTCCCTGCACTTACTTGAAAGTGTGGGCTTGAGATACACTTTGCCAGTTGGCGGAAGAGAGGTTCAAGGATTTTGGCAAATTCTGATGGCTCAATGACATCAAGAATTTCTTCAAGTTCATTAAGAAACATAACCTAAAAAAAAAAAAAAACAATATTTAACTTCACCTATTAAGATTTGTTAACATATCTGCAATTTTAGCCCCTCGTTACTCCACATTACAATTATGTCTGATAACTTCCACCTTATTTATGGCCTATTATTGAAGATCATTTTTGTACATAAGAGGCATTACAATTTGGGTTTGTTATCATTAGACTTTTTCAACTCATCAATCACATCCCTTTGTTTTATTTGGGGATAGTAGCACATATTTTTAATAAGCTTTCTTCCCACAACCTTCCTTAATCCTTTTACTCCAAGATCTCATTAGAAATTCTCTTTACTGTCTGCTAAACAATTCTCATGATGTAAGTTCAGACAATTTAGTGTTGGATTGACTAATAATATCCTAATTGATAGTTATCTTAATTCTTGTCACCTCTCAACTTGATATTATAGGAAGAAATTCTGTCTTGGAAACTGATAGAAGTTAAAGGTTAACCCTTTACACCCTAACATCAGTCTGCATATTCTCCAGACCATTCTTTATACATTATACAGGTTCCTTCCCTGTTGACCATTTCCTTTATTCTCATGACCTTCATGTGATTCAGGAGTGATATTGTAGGGAGAAATTAGATGCTAGTCACTCTTAGAGGTTTTAAAGGGTTAACCATTTAACTCCTAAGAGTGTATCAGACCAGTATGATGAACCCCCCACCCCACCTTACTCCTTCACCCTTTCACCTCGACTCTATTGCACCCCCACCCTACTCCCCTGCCTCTTAAGACATGCCTGCTGCTATTCACTATAAACTAACTTACCTCTTTTGGACTGTGAACCTTTGGCCAGAACTTCATAAGCGACACAATCACCTAAATATAACATGTACATACACAAGGTTAACATAAAAAAAACATCACAACAAATGATTCTATCACTTTCACTTTTTGATGACTGTTCCATTAACATCAATTTTCAGTTTTTTTCTTGTATTGAGAGGATTTTCATCATCCAGGAGGGCTGAACAATGCATCATTCCTTTAATCATAAATGGATATGCTGAGCCAAGGTGGAATATGTACACTGAGTGTGATGAGTTTTCTAAGCTAACCAACAAGAAAAATGAAAGAACACCAATGCAATAGCCAATTACCTATGAAACTCAACTGACCATTGCTCCAACAACACCAATAAACAGTTTCAAATAGAATAAAATTTACCGGTTCAGTGAGTGTGGGATCCTTTTCCAAAAATTGTACAATGCAGTAAGCCAACTGAGAAGAAAAGAATAGCAAACAATGAGGAAAGTGAGCTTTTTCTCTAGCAGCCCCTTTTAGGTTTTCAGGTCACCAAATGTTGACTTAAGAAAAGTTTGAGCTTGGAGCTCTGAAGTGTACTCATCCTAAACATTTGAAGTATCAATTCAGAGTGATGAAATTAAGAGTCAATCCCTGGCTAAAGATATTAAAAAAAACTACAATCTTACCTGTGGATGGTACATACTGAGTGCTTTGACCTTGTGGAGAGGCATAAGAACTTTCATAAGGAAATACTTATGTTCCTCTTTGAGTGGAACTGCAAAGCCATTGATGATGCTGGGTAAATAATTTAAAACAGTTATTCAGTCTAGGATATCCCAACAACTTCAATGCATGGTAAAGAATTTGTATAGCAATTGATTGTTCCAATAATCTTGCAGGTATTCATCACTGATCCAAAGGGCCCCTTAAAAAGTGTTTATTCAAATTGTAGCTAGTCAGAAAAGATAGAAAGATCTCCTACCTCCCTAAAATTTCCAGCAACTCTGCAATCCCATTGTGATGTTCAGTTTCATATATAAATCTAAAGGGTTAAACAAGCAACACATGACATCATGTCAGACAAAAGTGTAGTTTCAAAATATGCCCATTCCAACCAGAAGAAATTTAACAGGAAGGGTGTCTCCTAATCAAAAATGTTCTACTTTCAGTAGCATGTAGCTGCAAGGAGTGTTGCCATACCCCCTGCATAAGATGTCATTTTCAGAAGGATCCCTTGACACTTTGCTAATAGCCCTTTTTGGGAGGGGGAAAAAGGAGGCACTGGAAGGGTTTAGTACCAAGCCAACAAACACAACACAACAAAATGACCTGGGCAAGGTTTTAACTCCAACCATTTGATCTAGAGTTCCCCACACAAATCACTAGGCCAACATAACTACTTCAAACTCTTAGGAAGTGCCCTTCAGGGATTTCAAAATGATTTGAAGTAAGCATCACACTCTGCAAAAGTAGGTGACTGTGAAAAGTTTATTAACCCTTCAACTCCCAGATCAAATTTGTAACTCTCCTTACTGTCAACCATACAATTCTTATAATGTTAGTTCAGAGAATTTTAGTGTTCAATCAACTAATTATTGGAAAAGTGTCAATTACCAAATTGATATTTTTCTTTATTCTCTTCACTTATCTGGTTGATATTGTATTGATATTGTGAGGAGAAATTCTGTCTTGGTCACTTGTGGGAGTTAAAGGGTTAAGGACTAAAAGGAAATTATTTTGTCCAGAGTAAATGGTGACATGTTATCAAGTACCCAGCAGAACTCCAGCAATTGCTGATGTGTCCTGCAACATGGACATTTTGCTGATGCCAGACACTGAAAAGTCAAGGCCCACCTCCCGAAAAAGTCCCGAGTACCAATATCCTTGCTATCCAAAGCTATACACCAAGACCCCAACTTACCGGTAAAATATATTATTTATATGTTTTCTGATATATGCTCTGAGTCCAAGGAACTTGCCATATATTCTGTGGAGAACTGTCTTAAGGAAATCTCGTTCTCTTGGATCTTCACTATCAAAAAGATCAAGAAGCTAAAAACAAACAGAAAAAAAACAATTCAATTTTTTGTTAGTGAGAAAAAAAACCCTTGAATGGTTGTGCTTGCAATGTTTTTGTCTTTCACACCAGCTGTTTTCTGGGTGAACTCTTTTTGTGGAGTGAGAAATACAGTTGTTTGCCAAAGATCTGCCACAAATAAAACTCTCATGACCTTCAGACTATGTGTCAGTCAAGCGACAGCTAAAGTAAATACCCTCAAACAAATTGTCAAATCTCTGTAAATTAACAGATTCATTTCTGTGCTTTTATTAATTGAGACCTGCACTACCTATTTTATAATGATCAAAATATTTTCCTTTGAACAAATACCATTACCTGCATAACAAATTTTTGATCAATAAATTTCTTGGCCAATGCTGGCTGAAAATCCTGAGACTCCAGAAACCTCAGGAATAATTCATACACAATCTGAAAGACAAAAAAACAAGGAGAAATCCTTATTGACTCACATCCTTCTTTTCACTAGATCTTAAAAATGAAATAATTCAAAACTGGTTAACGTTATGATTATAATATTAACCTTGTAGCCTGCTGAGAATTTTTACCAGTGCCTTTAACTCCTAGAAGTTGCACTTAGGGCACCAATTTCAAATTTGGGCAAAGATGGCAGTGCCTTGGTGAGGGGAACGCTTATACAAGGGGAAGAGCTGATTACACTTCTCCCAAATCATGGCTGGATTAATTCTTTTTTCTGGTAGTATAATATTTGACAAACAGTGAACAACAATGCAAACTGTGTATTAATATACGCAACTGATCTTTATGTTATCATTTTAGCATTTTAGTTGGTTCTTATCTTAATATTTCCCAAAGTTCACTTGTTCTTGCACTAAAAGAAAGAGAGATATCATTGACTAAATATATTCACCCTTTTACCCCTAAGAGTGACTAACATCTAATTTCTCCTTACAAAATCACCTGCAGATCAAACATTAAGGTCTCAAGAATAAAGGAAATGATCACTGATTGTTCAAAAAATTATCCTTGTTAGCACCTTAAGAAATGTATATATTACAATAGTTTGGAGAATATGCATACTGATGTTAAGGTGTACAGAAACAATCAATTCCACACTTCACTTGGTTGGCACACACAATTATTCATTTCTTAACAAGGGGATAGACTGGGGTGCTTTTTACAATTTTGGTTGTAGGGGGTAGTGCTCATTTGAAGAGAAAAGTGAGTTGCAGCAAGAAAATAATTTTAGTATAAGCAGCACTTTTCAATCGTTGAACTTACTTGAAGATGTGGCCAGGCAGCTTCTAAGCTTGGTTCATCTTCTTCAGGATCAAACTCTGCTCCATTTGGATTTGATGGGGGTGGAAGAGTCCTGAATGTGTTGACAGCAAACTGCAAAAGCCGGTAAACATTCATTCATTAAATGGAATAAGAGAGATGGTAAGTTTTGAGCTTGGTAAAGAGATTGAGAAAGATGTTTTTCATCTAGTCATGAGCTCCCTTCAGTTTGCTTTCATGAAAGACATGAAGATACATATCAACTTGTTTTTCAACAGCTGTGAAGATGTTTACTGCACAAAAGTTAACTTGCACTGAATCTCTTTGAAACCTGGCCAGGAGTCTACATGTAATTGGATCTGCTATATAAATTCAAGGCTTTCTGGTAGACTTCCCACCACAATAATTGCAACAGCTAACCACAAGTTTCTTATCTGCTGTTTTCATGAGGTAACATTGAACTACTACAAAAATTATTCTCTAAAATTAACTCATTGAGCTAAAAAGAAAGCCACTAAAGACAAATTTAAAAAGGAATGAAAATTTAACTTTTTAACTCGTTTTAAGTAGAAATCTTACCAAAAACCCACCACTTGATGAAAAAACCCAGTTTTTCCAGTGTACTTCCAGACACACTCATGTAAACTATTACATCAATCAATAAACATAAATTCTGCATCTTTACCATACGAGTTACTTCAGGATAAATTGGTTCTGTGATCACATTTTTGTTGTGAGTGATAAAATCAACAATCTCATTAAGTGCCCCTCTTTTGACTTCCTTGAATTTGAGGTCACTTAGCGGATCCATCACAAAGTCGAACAAAATGCAACACTGCTGAAGTTTTTGAACAAAGAGTTGTTCTCTTTCATTTGGTGCTGTATCTGCAAAAAAAAAAAAAAAAAAGGCAATGAGTAAAACTAGTGCCAAATGCTACAAATTTCAATAGCATAAAATATTGACAATTAGCATAAAAATGCACAGGTAAATAACACTTTTTGTGCACACTGGTTTGGAAGTAATGCCAAAACTGCTTGTTAACAATTTCATTTCCAACCAATTTTTGGTATATTGACAGATGAACCAATTTTTTGGACCAATTAATTTTCAAGCGTACAATTTTCAGAATTTCAACAAAAAGCTATGCTTTCTGGCCATGAATTATAGTAAATAACTATTCAAGCATGGTGAATATGCTACATGTACTATTCATAGTTTTTCAGGAAGTAAGCAATTGTCTGGTAAACCGCACACATGAATTATAGTAAATAACTATTCAAGCATGGTGAATATGCTACATGTACTATTCATAGTTTTTCAGGAAGTAAGCAATTGTCTGGTAAACCGCGCACACTTATAATAAAAATCTTTTTTTTTCCCCTGCATAAGTTGTGACTGTTATGTTGAAATAAAAATTGGTTTATACTTTTAGCAATCATTTATCAAGATATGAATGCACTTGGGAATTTTGGAGAGCACTCAGGAGCCTAGAGTTGCCCTTAGCTTTGCCTTGAGCAACTTATACACTTCTCTCATGCTCTCTAAACTACCAGCATGCATCTGTATCCCACACACAGTAGGCATGAACCAATTGTAAGTTACAAACTAAAACAATTTCAAGAGTCTATGGAAAATGGGAGAGACATAAGATAATCCTAATCTAACCAGTTAGAAATTAATTTCCTGTGCAAAGAAAAAAAATCATTCTTAAATGCCCTTTTCTCATAAGATCAAATAAATATATACCACACAGGTGAAAAGTGCTTTTAGCATACAATGATTGGCTGATTTGGAACTGACTAGCAACTACAATTCACCTCAAAGCAGCTGAAGAGACAAAATCCTGCATCAAAAATTTAAATTTCAACCATTTCTTGTTATATACAGTGGTGAATTTTTACCTTGCTGCTTGATGGCTTAGTAAATATCCACCATTATTCACCACTACACATTCCTAGAACTTAAGCTTTTCATGGAAATCAAAAATTTGTTTCCATTAACCATTTTCTAAATGTGGACAATAGTCTCCCTTTAAACACATTGAGTTGATTTGTTAAGAAGCTATTCACTGAGGAAGAGGCATACCAGAGAGTGGAAATATTACCAAACAACACCTTACTTGTTTCATTTCACAGGGGTACAAGGAACAAAACTGCTAACAACTATTTAACTTCCTAAAATACCAAAATTTGTAAGAATTAAACTAGTTACAGAAAATTCACACAATATATAAGTTTCCTGAAACAAGAGTGCCAGAAAGAAATCACTTGTTTCTTTTCCCCAGGATTATATCAGTTGCAATTTAATGCTCAAATCACCAAACAGCAGATTTAAGATCTACTGTTAGTTAAAGTTAACCCTAGTAGAAGGAGTTTCCCTCTCCTCCAACAATGCCAGCCATATAACTCCATTACTCGACAAACACATTTCTTGGCAGGTGTTCAGACCATGTAAATTGTCTGCTAACATAGCATGGACACATCACACACAATTTGACCTTATTAAATTACACTTTCAAGAAAAATCAATGGGTAGATCTGCGCCAAAAAAAAAAAGGTACAGATGGAGGTAAAATTTCCAAACAGCCCCCCACTTCATTATGCACAAACTTCTTGCATAAAGAAAACAATGGCGAAAGCAATCAATTGCGTTTAAGTTTCAGAACAGTATGGGGCTTTACGGAAATCTTACCATATTTGTCAACTACGTAAATTAGAGAGTAAGTAACACATTTGGCTTGAAGCAATATCTGTTTCTCTAGAAAGCCGGAAGATTTTACAAAGGAAACAAATCACGAGATTCGTATGGCTTTTTGATTTTAATATCTAACAAGATCAAATTGATTAATTGAAGTTCCTGCGGAGTTGGCTTGAAATATTTACTTTATCGACACATCAGCTAATCAGGTTCTGAAGTCAGAAGACACTCGCTGATATCGCAGTTCCAAACAAAACTTCGTCCAGCAGGCTTTTAATGAAATTCTCATTTGAATTATTGCTTCAAAACAAGAGTAACGGTAAAAAACATTTACCGTCACAAAAAGGATAAACTTGTAAACAAAGCAAACCCGATGATAATTCAGAGCAACTTGTCACAGACGTTCCTCGATGTGTACGTTCATGAATGTTGGTAAACGAGTAATTTAAAACAAAACTGTTGGACCACAACAGTGAAAAGGACAAACGTCAACCGTGGTGAGTCAAATACCATTTTTGCTGTAGCACAGTACTTTTCGAATACCTACAGACATAATAAAAGCGCGAACTAGACAAGATATTCTCGAATAGCGTTGTCCGAACTTACCCTTCAGGGGAGGCAATTTGATTATCTCCCGATTGTCGCTCACGTTGAAAGACGAAGAACTCTGTCTCTTTTCCTTCCTCATAATCGATGGTCCATTTGCATATTGTCTAAGTTTCACTGCTTGACTGGGAGGATGAGTAGCGGCTTGAGACTTCGCTTTTGCCTACAGAGTTAAAGAAATATCGCACAAGAAAAAAAAATAAGCTTAAAATAAGCAAGGTCCGTTGACACCCATCCCAGCTAACAATATCTTCATCTATAATACGACACATCAAAACAACAATGAATTTCTGGTGTGAAACGTTAGATTTTCACCTTACCTCATCGCTTAAACCGTCGCCGTTTTCTTTATTCGCTTGCTTCGCACTCCCCCCGGCCTTTGAAGCCTGCTATTTGACCAAGAGAAATAAAGTCAGTCCATAGAGCCAGAGATCTGTCATAATTGCTAAACCCGTCACGTCCATATCTTAGCTTCATACCGTTGAAATTTACCGACCACAGAGCTTCCAAAACATTACCTTCTCTTTCTTTCCTTTATTTGGCATTCTCTTGATCCATTTAGCTAGTGTACACGGTCAACATAGGTGAGATAAACAGAGATTTTGCACCAACGACGTCGAGAACCCGCGAGTATCAATATTATGCACCTCTCTTGCAGAGCAGTAGCAAACTGTTCAATAATTGGTTGATATTTTCTAAAGCATGCTATAAATCACGTGGTCTCTTCTTTGATGAAAGCGCGGGAACATTTTTGTTGATTGAATTTTTCCGATACTAAAAATATCTTCGGCGGTCTAAAAAAATCCTCTAAGAAGGTCTGAGTAAGATTTATGGTAAATCTCTTTAAGAAAAACTACACCAAAAGCACACAATTTACGAAGAAGTTAACGTTGTTCAGGAAGGATCTGAAAATTGGATGTGCAGCTTCTGGAGATGCCACTGAAGAAAATTCTTGAAGTATTTTAAAATTAGGTGCAAAGTTAGACAGCGAAGTAATTAATACCTTTCACGAGCCGAATCGAATTCAATGGACTCATTCAGTCAGGCTTATCTCAGGGTGATTCAAAATCGTTTTGTTGATTTCAAACACCCATTCTTCGACAGATCCATATTTTCACATTGTTTCGTTTATTGCATTGGATACTGAATAGAAAAAGAAATCTTTGATTGTATGTCAACAAGTTGAGATAATTTTTTACCTATCAGTCTAACCTACAACATCATATCCTCTCTGTTTAAATGTATGTGCGTATGACTCAAAGACGAGTTTGAAGACCTCCGCTTTTCATTCATCAAGATTCAAATTTCTCAAAGGTATTAAAATATTTACAAAGTTACTCTCAAGGACGATCAGTAATTTTCAGCCCATCCTTGCCCTACAAATAGCGCCGAAAGCGCCGCACATATCTTGGAAACTGACCTTAACCTAGGAAAGAAAAACAAGAGTAGTAAAGCTTATATCTAAGGAAAACTGTTGGAAACTGATAAAGTTGCTTCATTCCAAGGGCAACAGGCTCATCAGTTGATGTTCTTTTCGTTGTCACGTAATTTCGTTGTCACGGAATTTTCAGATTAGGTTTGCTACAAATATTTGTTATTCAGAATGAAATAATCTGTGGGTGTTGTGCCTTCATCAAATAAATTTTTAATTTAGCCGCGTTTGCTAAGAAATAAATCAACCGAAAACGAAGTTCAATCTGTAGTTTGCAAGGTGTATTGGTACGCTTTTTTGTAATTTCTCAAATATATTAAGTGTTGAGTACAAATTCCGTAATATTGATTCCTCCAAAGATGGCTCAGCAGGTATATATTTTTAATCAAGGGGGGCGGGGGGAAGGGAGAAGATACATCCCTACTCGCGGAAGTTTACCCCTGGAATGTGTCGGCCAAAGGGGTCATGACTTTCGTACTATTGATGAAGAAAGGGGAATATGTAATAGAGAGTTTCGTGAAACGGTCCATAGAGTTTCGAAAAGTACGAACGTAGACATTTGAGTAGAAATTTAAGATTACACAAAAACAGGATCCCATTTAATGAGCTCCTGACAAAAATAATTTCCCCGAGAAAATGCGATCGATGACAAATAAACTGTAGTGCCCCAACTTTGATTTCAGTAGCATATTGAAAGGATTACTCATTATCTAAGTGCAAATAAATTCAAACGGAAAGTGATTGAGGTCCGTCTACATTGCCAAGCGCATTCTAGCCCCAGACCTCTTGACGCGCAGTTTCCAGCCCGGTTTTAAAATCATTTTGCATGAACAGGTGTAAACACGCCTATCACAGCATTTTCTCCACCAGATCGCCATCGTTCGCCTGATTGGTTAATATAACACAAACCCATGGTGAATCTCAATACCACAGAAGAGCAAATAAATCATGATTTGTCATCATTGTCTCAGGGTATAACAACGCCCTTGGTCTTTTTGAAGTCTCGAATGTATAAAAAAGAAAAACCAAACAAAACAGCTGATAATTTCTTTATTTGCCAGGCGACAAGTCAGTCGAATTCTGCTCGAATCATTCCACCGTTTGCTTGTGAAATCTCGTTCGTTACTTGCAGGTAAGCTCCAAATAATTAATAGTAACGTAGTATTCCAATTGAAGTAATATGTACACGGCATCACATTGTTTGTTCACTTTTAACTTACAGAGTTTCACTCCAATAGCGAAAACACAATGTTATCTAAACCCGAAGGAAATGTTCTAATGAAAAAGGCCATTCACGACTCCAATATTCCTAAATATGATGAAAAAATGAATTTTGTACAATCTATCGAACCGGTAATATAAACTGTTTCTGATTTATCGATACAAGACAAATCTAAACGTTAGTTTCGAAAAGGCAGAGCGATTTCTTCGAAGAAAAACGCCTTTTTTGCCAACACACACATATAGATATATATCTAAAATGAGCCATGCGACTGAATCTACTCCATGGCGAGAAGCCCTATATTCAAAACATTTCACAGACAATGAAACTAATAATTAACCGGTTGGTGGTTTTCTGTGTGCGAATAGGCTCAGACTAAATATTTCAGCTTGAATTATACATTAACCTCTCGGGGCGAGAATATTCTAGTTAAGTTCAGATATTTAAATACTGGTACCATGGCATTATAAATTGCAAGATAATTCCTGTAGCTAATCATCGAATTTTGACCCGAGGGCTAACTTTTTCCTGTCGTTCGTGTGACAGGACACTGAAAAGTGAGAACGTCGGGTGTGTACGTGGGCTTTTTCCTTTTTTTCATGGATCGATGGGCTAGAAATGTACTGAAAAGAGGTTTGTCTAGTCTTGCTCTAAATCTGCGCTATTTTGCGGTTCGTTGTTAATCTGCGGGTTTTCTATACCTTGTATAAATACGCCGACGAAATTCAGCCGGTGTGTTAAACATTCTAATTCGATTTCTTATTACTTTTCAAAGTGAAGTGCTCCTTTTCACAGAGAACTGGATCATTTCCTTGAAAACAACGAAGGTTTGATAATCCATTCTCAAATCAAGTAAAAATTCCTTTCACTTATTTTGGCTGCCAAGATTATTCATCAAAGATAAATCCGGATGGAATTAACTTTCTGGAGATTGCAGAAATTTGATAAAAACGGCTCAGCACGATCTTCTTTTATGCCAATGACGTTGAAAATCCGAAAAAGCACCTGACAACCAGCCCGCTCAGTGCGCGCCCTGGAAGTGTGGGATTGGGTACTGGTATTTATAATTTGCGCCAGCTCACTCACAAGGGCAGTGGAATTGATATTTAAAAAGTGGGATTTCCATTTTTCACCCTTCAACGCTTTTCTCACAGTATACTTCTGATTTACAAAAAAATTAGGAATTCTACTTTGAAGTTGTTAAGACCCCGACCACGTCGCAAATCCGGTTTTAAAAATTCAGATTTAGTCTCGACCAAACCGAAGCAAAATATTTTTGCCTACACCAGCCTTTTTGTTTTGTTCTCAGCTGTCTGCACCATTTTTCTGTTTGTGTTTAAAAACGCATATCTTTTGAACTTTTCGTCTTTGCTTGAACTTTCGTTCCGACTGAGGAATTCTGAGCGTCCGGGTGAGTGCAGCCCTGACAAGGACTGTTGTCGATAGTGGTGACTGCTGTTGTCGATAGCGGTGACTGCTGTTGTCGATAGTGGTGACTGACGTTTCGACAACCTGAACGGAAGTAATCATCAGAGTCCAGAGGTGCTATACAAATTTCTACAGAAACTGTTGTGCTCCGTCGGTGGAGGAGTATAACAAGATAACTTGGTTTTATCAACTAGGTTGATAGTGTAAACTGGCCACCGTCAGAGCGAATGACGAAACTAAGGGCCTGTTTACGCGGAGGTAGGAGACTCCAGGTAGGTGAGGTAACCCGCCTAAACGTGGTCAAAAAATAGAACGCGTTTATATACAATCTTACAACCCCAGGGTGCTGGGGTGAGGTTTCTTGAGGTTGTTGTTGCGCTTAGAATTAGGGAGTTTGAGCACAGGCGTCCCAAGCTCACGTCTCGAGAAAGACGAAAGGTTAATTCTCGGACACTTATGTATTTATTCACGAAAGAGTCCCGCGTTGTTGTTACGCGGTGTTAGATTACGCGAGGAACCGTTAACCTAATACGTTATAAAGAATAGTTTGAAATATGGTCGATTTACGACGCTAAATATTCAGAAATATGACCATTTCACACTCCTTGTGTGTCCGTCGCGGTTTCTGGGGATTTCTGCCATGAGAAGGCTAGGAAATGTACAAAGTTTTAAAACATACGTGTTTCGCTTTTGAGCTTTTTGCCATGAAAGCGACCCCGGCTAAGCGTACCTGGATTAAATGAGAAAAACGATGGCGAAATACGAGTGTGTTAAAACTTTGTACATTACCTAGCTGTCCCATGCAGAACTTAAATGTTAAAACACCAATTTTCACGTCTTCTTGGCAATGAAACCTCGACAGCAATTCAGTCTCAACACTACATTCGATTCACATGTTGTGCCGAAGTGAAGACGTAGTACCGTCAGAAACGGTCAACACATATATGTTATTTACCCTCTGTCTACGGCCTCGGGCACAGTTTTTCCCAATACGGAACGACCTTGGCTGGTGAATAACATTTTTATCTTTTTCTAAAGCATAACAAATGGTTGCGAAAAGAACCTGAATGATAAAGGGCTGTAATTACGGCAAGATTCTCCATAAACGGAACAATTTATGAGCGAGTAGATGACAGAGAAAACAAGGGCAAAGCAAATGAAAGAGAGGGGTTTCATCAAAACATATTTATTTCCGTAATGATATTAAAAGGCGATTTAAAAGGTTTCCAAGAAAACTTCGAAACATAGGATCGGATGCCGCCCGCTGTGAGCGGGCCGGGTGGAGAGAATACTGCCCGCTCACGGAACCAATCAGATTGCAGGATTTGTAGAATATCGCCCGCTCACGAACTGAGAAAAAAATAAATCGAGCCACTGGCGAAAATCTTAGAAGAAAATAAATTACGTTTTCACGGCAACGTTTTACCACACGTCGCCGTCGTGACATCTTAAACTCCTTAACTACAAGTGCGATAACAACCTCGAGAGACTTCACCCCAGCATCCTGGGACTGTAAGATTGTATGTTTTTCGACCATGGCTAGGCGGGTCACCTCACCTACCTGAGGTCCCCCACATCCATGTAAACAGGCTCTAAAGCTCGAAACGTCAGCTTTGAAACTCTTTACGGTGGCCAATTTAAATTATCAACTCAGCTGATAAAACCAAATTATCCGATTGCCAGAACAGTTGCGATCGGTTTTTGTGGAATAAGGAGAGAGAAACGTCATTATTTATCACCTGACGGGGAGGGGTGGGGGGAATTTGGTTGTGTCACGATGACATGGTGAAGACTGATACCCCCGAAGTTCCCAATGTTCACTGTTTGGTTCCACAAAATCCTCCATCCCTCTCTCAGCGGTAAATAATGACTAATCCAAGGAGCTCATTACTTATGGGCTTCTGCCAATCCCTACTGATCTCTTATTTTCTGAATAATTTGTAGAGTATAAATAATCCAATTAGGACCATAAGGATTGAGTAGCGAAAAAAAAACTTGCTATCGGTTACACGTTTTCTAACTAAATTATATCTAGGCAAGCGAAAAGATGAGGGGCGGACTAAAACCCATTTCATCTTAAACCAAACAGTAAAATGGCAAGATTTTGTTTAGTTAGCTACTGATGCTTTAAAAGATTCATCATTCCTGTGGCTTCTTCAGAGTGAATTTCATTACCGTTCTATATCAAAATTACTGTCGAGCGTTTCTGTATCCAGGAGAAGTTTCTTGTTATGCAAAATCAGTCCAAACAGAGGGCTGGCCTTTTTAAATTGATTCCCGTGCGCAAGTCTTTTGAGGGACCACAGCCTCTTCCAAGCGAGAAGGTAATTAGAGCGAGAAACTTAACCATGAGGAAGTCTTTCAATATAATATTTGGGTAACAACAAAATATTCCTTAGGAAGCTTCATTTTATTCTTGCAATCAGGTTTGCAAAGACTATTAATTTTATCAGAGGTGATTAAGCCCCTTCCCGATCAAAAAGTGATAAATAAGCTCAAGTGTAGGGTACCACCGTGCGATTTCAGACGGTTGTCGCGTTTTTCCGTCAAAAGGACGCTGGGTTGCGTACGAAATTCTCGCATCCATTTTCGTGCTTCCAGACCCGAGAAGGGACTACCGTCTAAAATAGACCGTAACTCGTGGTGTTCATGTTACATTACCTTCTGAGCTTGTTCTCGGTCTGTTCTCGTTTCTGTCGCAGAATGAAATAAGAAGCGATTTTACTCCTCTCGAATGCGATACTGGTGCCTCAGAGGTAAATCTCTGCCTTTCTTGTCCGGGAGGAGTAGTGAAACGTACTGCCAAGTGCTTTCTGCGACAGAAATGAGAGCAAGCTCTCAGGAGGTGAGATCAGTCATCGCCAACAGAGTATACAGGTGGGTCTGTTGAAAATTGACTGCCAATCAACTTCTCACGACGGGGGAATCATAAGAATGTTCAAGAGCCTTATGGGAGGGGGGGGGAAACAGGTAAATTATATTGTGACACAAACAAAATCTTCCGACCCACCCCCACCCCCCCAAGTGATCAATACAATAATGACCGGTCCCAAAATCGACTGAAGAGTTTTTGGTCAGTCTAATGAAATAAGTCCGGTTCATGAAAACAAAATTGTATTTTTTTGCTAGTACAGTTTCAATTTGAGGGCCTAAAAAATAGTAATTGGGAGTTTCGTCGGTTCGAACCAGACCGTGCAATGATCACGTGAACTACCACGAGACGATTTGGATGTTCCACCAATTGGAAGTAGGCCCTTGACCTTTAGATGGCGCTTTCCATTCAAAGAGGAAATAAACCCAAGGTCTTGTAGAACGAGTCCACGTGATATTACCGCAGTGATTTAATTCCCATGCCTTAGAGCGAGAGACTCTTCATTATATGTCAATTTGGCTAAGGAAGGCTGGGGACTTTTTGATCTAAGCACATGAAGAGCAAACTGAAATCCTCTTGAGTGCGTACGAAAGCTACTCTTCCAGACCAGGCCTGCTTCAAGAAATTCCGAACCACCGATCGTACTCTGACCCTCGAGCGGACAGGTCCAATGTCCAGTATTAACTTAAATTTCAATCTTGATCAGTCAATTCATTTACAAAACAAAGAACGTGCACAGACGGAATCAGCAGACCGGTTGTTCGTAGGGTAGATAACGGTATCCACTGAATAAATCTCTATCCGTTGGATAATAAAATTCGTTTCTTTGACTTTTCTTTGAAACTTCAGAATACCCCGCAACTCATTACATGTCATTGAAGAAGAATAGCGTCTATTGTGTTATGCCTCGATCTTCAAAGCCTCCCGACACATGTAAGTGAGGCGGACCAAAGTTGCGGGGTATTCTGAAGTTTAGCCAAGATGGAGGCATAACACAATAGGCGCCATTCTTAGTCAATGACATGTAATGAGTTGCGGGGTATTCTGAAGTTGACACTTATCCGCTGGATAGCGATTTATCCAGTGGATAGCGCTATCTGCCCTTTAAGGAATTAATGCCAGTTACCCAAGTGCGCCGAATCTTTCATAAGACTGGCGCCGAGTTTCGGTCAATTGCGAAGGTGCCTAAGGGCGCATCTACCTCGAAGAATTTTCACAAATTGATATTAGAAATTCGAACAGTGATGCATTGTTCCACATTGTCGCTTAATTAATTCAAAATTGAAACTTTCATCTTAACAGCTTGGGATTAGGTAAACGATGCATTTGATTTTCAACTTATAAAAAAATATATATATTTTCACAAACTTGACAAGCATCGGCGCATGGTCTAATCTGAACTAAAAAGGAATCATAAAATGCTTATCAAATCAATCCTAAATATTTTTGAGCGACACTCTACTGTGGACATTATGCAACCATATTGCTTCATCGGTTTTAACTTAATTTGTTTCCATCGCACAGGAATCGCCCCTGATGAGCTCGCGGGAGTTGCCGTCAGAAGGCGCTTCGTTTTAGCATGTTTCAAGGAATATTTTTCTTTTTTAAGAAAAAAGCATCGATAATTGATTATATAAACTCTCTTGTTTGTGACAATTAAGCTCGTGCAAAACGGATGTCAGTTACGCAAATGGCTTTCCACCACAGAGCTATTTTTACGACTACGGCTTCTAATTGGTCAAAATTAACGCGCCATTGTTTTCAGCCAATCAGAATGCATCTGGTGATATAAATCCTTCTGTGTACCCTCAGTTGTCTTTTTCTGTCGTTATCGTGTGAACGCTTGCCGGCAGAAAGGTTCCACGAGGCTTAGAAAAAGCCGGCAAATTATTCAAATCTAAGACGAAATTTCCGTCTTCTTTTCTCAGAATGAAGGAGATAAAATACTACAGTCTAGAAGAGGTGAAAAAACATAACAGTAAGGGCGATTACTGGGTTGTCATCGATGGTGGAGTTTACGATTTGGGTCGTTGGGCTCCGCATCACCCCGGCGGAGAGCTTCCGATACGCTATATGGCCGGTCACGATAGTACAGACGTTTTCCGAGCCTTCCACTTGCCTTGGGTAGCTGAAAAGAAATTGCCCGCGTTCAAAATCGGTGAAGTGAAAGACCAATGTGAACAGACAGTGAAGGAGTCCAGTCTGATCAAAGACTTTCAAAAAGTACGGGATGAAATTGAGCAATGTCTTGACACAAACTGTAAGTTGATCTTTTGTCACAGCGTAGCTGTAGAGTAGAGTAGTTTGTGTTTCTTGTGACTGTAGTTGACCTTACCTGGTCGATATTGTTTAAATATTCAGGATTTTACACTTTGAACGTATGAAAATACATGCTCAGGACCGTCTCGATGCATGGAAAATCCTCTGATTCAAATTTATTTGTATTAAAATCTAAAACCCCGCTTCTCTGATTCAGTGAAACCTCGTTGTTGAAATTGAGTAATTTTATAGTCTCAAAAGCAATTCACGTTGGAGTCTCTAATGTTTTTAATAATTTTTCTATTGCATTTACTTGTGGCGTGCTTGGTTTGCTTCAGTTTATTTACAAATTCATTAGAATGGCTTCCTTAGCTTGGCAGCGTGACTTAAGGTTATGCCATCATGAAACCCATTTGTAGGCGAATTTGAGTCTTTTCGGGGAGTGGTTTTGCTTTCATTTACTGTTTGACTCATCAGTACACTTAATCATGGGAGCAATGCTCGAGCTTGATAACAATTTTAGTATTTACCCTCGTCGGATCTAAAGACTCGTGACGAAGTATGGCCCTGAAATGAAAAAAAAATTGCGAACAGCAGAATCTCTATTTCCATCTTCCTTGTGTACTATCAGCGATTTCATGTCTCGAAAGACCCTTATTTGGAAACAAAAATCGATAACGGGAGCGGTTATAGGCAATTTCTTCTCGAGACGTTAATCCTTAACCACAAATTTCTCAACCAGCGCCAAATGTGTATTATCATATATCACAGTGTACCTACAACTTTTTTTAATGATCGTGCAGAAAACATGTAAGAGGATTCTCAAATCATGCATGTACGATAAACAGAATCTTGCTTTTTAGCTCATACTTCCTCGATTCCGTGGAAATTGTACTAGTTCTTACAATTGTCATGCACGAGGCACCACATTGTTCCTAATTTGAATACAGTCGGAAAGTGAAATTTGTGCTATATGCATAACAAAGGGTTGCTCGTCAATTTCGCTTCCGTTTTGTCATGTCTCCGGAGTCATAATTGGTTTGAAAGACGTTTTCTTTTACGGAATATCTCTTTAATATCACAGTGGGTATTTGTAAATGAAATATAAAAGGATCGTGTGAAACAAGAAGATATATATTTCCACATTGTTCTAGTTTCAAAATATTTTTTTCCCTTGAAACTGAAATGTTTCATTTGTTTCCTGAATTTTTTTGAGATATTTAACACCAGCTTGACCTGACAAGATGTTGTAAAAGGTGTAATGTTATTGTTGTCAGAAGTACTGTCACTTACCCTTGAGAAATGAAAAAAAAAATGTTCAAAGTCATGGAATATTTAAAATTTTGACAAAGAAATTATAAGGAAGGCAAAATGAAAAATTTCTTGTAATTTATTCATGGAGATATGATTAAGATGATTGTGAGCTGACAGGAAAAATTGGTGTGCAAATTATTTGATGAACACTTGAAGCGTAACCCAGTTGTCAATGTGGTCACAGATGTCATGGGCAACTCGGACAACTTGTTAAGATGAAACTGAAAACCCAAATTCTTTGTAGGCCATATTGTGTACTTTTTAGCTGTGAGTAATGTTATGAAGCCAAACAAGACTTATCAGTGAAATGAATAATTGTGTTTTCAATCAATCTGCATACTTAATCAATAATATCCAAGAATGAAAGGAGGGAGGAGTAACGATGTAAATATCTGGTATAGGTAAACGCGTCCTCTTAAAAAACCTGAATAACTATTAGGTTTATGTTCAGGACACCTGATGGTTGTTCCCAATAGGTAATGATCTACAGTGATTTTGGTTTTAATTAAACAGCAAGCCCGTATTTTTATTTCTCAGCTTTTGTGGAACTCTCTTACGCTGATGTTGTGGTCAATTGACTCAAAAATTCATTAATATCACCCTTAAATATATTGTGCATCGTGTGGGGTATTTCTTGGTGGTATTTTAGTTCCCTTTAGTTCAATTAATTTAAGAAATGAGTTCTGAAATACTATGTACTCTTAGTGCATTCCCTAAACCTTGATCTTCAGCCAAATTTCGAATTACCAGTATAGTATAGAAGTTGAGGTACACATTTTCAGAGATGATATGTAACAGTGAGGGGTCAGCTTGCTAGATTCCTAAATAATTGAACACTTCAAGCAAAAAAGGAGATATGAAGAACTTTGGACAAATTTTAATTTTAACAGGACTGAGCAAATTCTCAGCATACTGATATGGTTTGATTAAGAAAATATTTTTCTGCCATTTTTTGTTGATTCAGTCCTAGTTTCTGGGAAATATGATGTGTAGAAAACATTGCTTAACGAGCATGTGGGAATCCGTTTTGCTTGGGGTTTTGAATACATTAATACTTGGAAACTAAGGATGGATGAGCCCGAAAAACAAAAAAAAAAAAAATGGAGTGATGTTTCCCATCTTATGTGGGATCAGATTGGCAGAAATTAGCACAATCTTGTGAAAACAAGAAATAGGCACCCTAAAAGCAAGATGATTTTTTTTTTTTTTTTTTTTAATAGAGGACCTTCCCACAAAACATCTCTCTTTTTGGTCATCAAAATTCTGGTTTATATTGGGATAAGAGAATCAAACCACTGCTTGTAACCAATGGGAGTAACTATTTACTAACTCTGCTATATTTAGTTAGTTGTCATCACTTGACAGTGTTGGTTATTTTGTCTTTTTACTTTAGATTGGTTCTATGCTGGGCATGCAGTCAACTTGAGTGCTATATTTACTTTGCTTGTGTACGGTGTTGTCTTCAGCAACAATGTTTACATACAAATGGCCTCTTCTGTGCTTGTGGCGCTGTTTTGGCACCAAATGGCATTTATTGGACATGACATTGGTCATACTGCCATCACTCATGACTTGAAGACGGATAGCTCGATCGGCATATTTGTTGGCAACATGACAACTGGTATCAGCATCGGATGGTGGAAGAAAAGCCATAATGCTCATCACATTGTGACAAACTCAGTGGAGTTTGACCCAGACATACAACATCTTCCAGTGCTAGCCATTACTGACAAGTTTTTCAAGTCAGTAAGGTCCATGTATCATGAGAAAGTCCTTTATTTTGATGGACTGGCAAGGTTCTTTGTTTCCTATCAGCACTGGCTGTATTACATAATAATGGGTGTTGCAAGGTACAACTTGTACCTACAGAGCTTTCTTTTAGTGTTTTCCTTACCGAAAGGACGTAATAAAACCCTTGAATTACTTGGATTGGTATTCTTTTGGACATGGTACATTTACTTGTGCTCATATCTGCCCAGTTGGCCTGCTCTGTTTGTCTTTGTTTCTGTGGCCCACTTCCTTGCAGGGCTCCTTCATATTCAGATAACTCTGAGCCACTTCTCTATGGAAACTTATCATGGTCATCCCCTGGACGCTTTCAAGAGCAATCAGTTCCTTCTTTCCCAGCTGGCAACTACTATGGACATTGAATGTTATCCATGGCTGGATTTTGTCCATGGTGGCCTGCAGTTTCAAATTGAGCATCATCTATTTCCAAGGCTACCTCGTCACAAGCTGCGTGATGCCAAGGCGAAAATTCAGGAGTTATGTAAAAAGCATAACATCCCCTACAGATCTAAGACTTTCTGGGAGGCAAATATAGAAATCATCCAGAAACTCAAGGAGACAGCTGCAAAAGCACAGTGTATCTCTCCCATCATCTGGGAAGGAATTCATGCAATTGGTTAGACCTTAAATCCATTATATGAGGTGTTATTTGATGATAAAGAGAATAGCTCGGTGGAATAAAATCCACTATTGTAGTTGAAGGTATTCAGTTTGCTTCTTGCTGTATTTAATTATTTTGATGAAAGGGTACAGCTATGTATGTTTTTTCTTATCCTGTTTTTACAACATTATTGTTCAAGTTTCTATGAAGTCAGTTGAATCAGCCAGTCAGTTATCTGATATCTATGCCTAGTTTGAAAAATTCCAAAGTGAAATGTTAGACTGTGGACTGAGAATTGGGGAATTTATTAATACAGTAGTCAGTCCCTCTCAGTTGTCCTTGTGAAATCTCTGCAGTGTTAAGAGGTGTCTTTTTTTCGGTGGGGGGAGGGGGGTGTCTATTATCTCATTTCACAGAGGGAGGGACTGAAACGAAATTGTAGCTTTTAGGGATGAGGTCAAGTGTGTGGGGATGGGTTACACCCAGATTTAGGGAGTGGTAGAGAGTTAAAAGATTGCCAACATAAATTGTAGAAGATAGAAGGCAATGTTAACTATATAAACATGTGTATCAGGGTTAGTGGGTTGGTGGGTTGGTTAGATTTGTTTATAATGGATGTGCAACTTACTATTCAGCAAATTTTGTTGCAAAGTCTCAAACTTTTAGATTAACCCCTGGAGAGTAAGGTCTTAAGGCAATGCAACACTTAGAACTACTGTCCACAGTAGTGCTATTCCAGTTTCTTATATTTTTCTGTTCAATATTGTGATATTAAGTTAACAGGATGGTTAAGGGGTTACTATGATTTTAGAGATAAGACTAAATCTACAAAAGATACCTAGATTGTTGTTTTGCAGATCATTTGTTCATAAATTGTGATTCACAGATACTGACCCCTTCCTGTTCTCTGTAAGACTTTTATGAAGAGTTTAAGGTCTCATTACAAGATTGCATTTGAATCTAGAATGTAATTTTTAGAGAGTAATTGAATAGCTCTGAAAACCTGTTATGATAAAAGTTGTGATTGGAAGCAAATTCTTTTGGAGATGATCATCAAGAAGTCAGTAACAAAAAAACAAAGAAACAAAATTAGGGTTCTTGTCACCAGTTTTTAGGAGCTCAAAACTGTAAGTTATGTGTCCAACAGAGTGCAGCTCAGTTAATTCATTTCAATTGAGTTGCATTACATTGCAAATGTTTGGACTTGAGTCAAGAAAACTGGATTAAGTACATGAAGATGAGGCCCTCACCCTCTATAATCACATCCTCTCCTTTTCCAATCTCTTTCACTCTCAAGATTCAAATAGCTTTTATCGCAGTGTCTGCTGTACATTTGTTATGATTATAGCCCAGTTTGATACTTGATCAAATACAATACAACCTTAATTTTTTCTGTTTCTATACAACACCTTTAAACCTTAAAATACATTCATTTAGTTTGAGTCAAAAAAAGGGCAAGAAAAGCTACGAAGGTTTCTTTTGACAGTGTAGAGGATGACTTTTTACCATCTCTTGCCATAAAAGAATAAGAAGAGGCAATGTGTTTTCAGGCTAAGGCCTGTTAGGTCAGTACTGAAATGTTAAAAAAGAAAAAGGAAAGTTAAAAAAGTTCACTTTTGCAGTTTCACAGTTTTTGTCTTGCTGTATTTTTTTGAATCAAAACTCTAATCAAGATGTATCTTGTTTCATACAATTCATCCAAGGAAGTTTACTGGAAATTATCATGTTCTACATATTTTAAACCAGTTTTCTTGGCTTGAGTGTCAATTTTTTCTGGGCCATGTTGTCAAAGGTAATATTTTGGACTGTTGCTGATAATATTTAATTGTTGGTTGACTGAGCAAAATATATTTAAAATATTTAGACAAATTTATTGTTTAAGATACTGAGACAAATTTATTCAAATTATATAAAATAAATTATATATTTGAAAAGACATACTAAATTACAATTTTGACTTATATTTCAAGGTACCTTACTGGTTTTTAGGGATGAAGACAAAACTGCCAGTTATTAAGTTATGTCTTATGTCTGTTTGGCGAGACTTAGTTTATAGCAAAGTATTTGTTGTTTTGGGTTGTATGAATCCATAGCAAATTTTGGTTGAGATTTTCAGTGGCGTACAGTATTTCTAAAACTATGAAAGCAACTTTTCATAGCTGTAGATAATTAGATATACTGGCAGTTTATTAAATGTTCTTGTTTCTTGCTGACTGTTGTTGTTTTATTTGTCACACCCTGTTTGGCAGACCAACTTCTTCTCTAGCTCTGAATGTGGCAGTTACATACAAAATGTAACTTGGATGTACTTGGACCCATTTGTGTATTTGAGGGCTTACAATATCCCTCACAAGTGTGCTTTGGCTAGGAATGTGAGAGAGATTTTTAATTTGAGAGGATAAATTCATATCCACAGGCAAACACAATTGTAAAGTATATTTTACAACACATTTTATGGACACCAAATGCAGAGATCACCTGCAAGTGAATTCAGCTCACAGAAAACCTTCTTCAAGGTGTGATAAAAAATTTAAATTGAATACACATAAAAAGAAATTTCTTTTTTTCAAAGAAATTCTAGTTCAACCTTATTGTTTGAAAATTTTACAGAAACCCCTCATGAAAAACTAAACTACTTTGTGGATCAAAGGGGTAAGTTTCTAAACAAACTGTGATGCTGCATCAGTGGGGGAATGTGACAAGATAATTTTGGTTTTATCAACTGAGTTGATAATGTTAATTGGCCATGGTAAAAAGTTTCAAAGCTGGCATTCTGAGTGTTAGTCCTTCATCAAAGCAGAGAGGAATTGTGGGTTGAATGTGTTTACATGCAGAAAATAGAGCTTCACTATTTTGGAGGAACACAGTGACAAGAAAAACAAGAATAAATTGGTTGGATGAAAACCATTTGTTAATACCATGGGGATTAAGAGTGCTGATTTGAATGATAAGTTTTGTTAAAGAGTTTTCCAGCTTTCTGAACTTCCTAGATGTGAGGAAAGGCCTCAGATTGCCATGTGCTGCATAGAATGATTAGGCGATTTAAGTGTCTGTCAACTGATTGGGATGCATTGGATGCACTATGTTGATCACTGAAGTTATCATAATATTTTTGATATCTTCACATGTGAAGATATAAGGCACCTGTCAGTGCAACCAGGTGGAAATGGTGGACAAGAAGAGCCACCTGGTAGAACATCTACAGTTCAATTCCTATATTTCTATTTCCATGATGCTGTTGGCCTCTTGGAGCCCCTACCCTGTTATAGTCTATTCTGTGGCCAAATAGACTCCTCTTAGTTTTGGGTTAGTGTAACTTTTGCAATCCCAACTTAATCACTGTCTATTTATGCATCTACCTTATAAAGCCTTTTAAGTAGGTCATCCTAAAATGAATTGACACATTTGTTTATTGAATGACTTGATTGTAGAATGATTTATTTTCCACCTGCAGCACAAACATCATGGTACATAGGTCTCTTCCCATTTTAAAATCCCTTCTTATCAGAATTTTCTTACCTCCAAAATCCCAAAAATGTGCCCCCTTCCCCTTCCCATTAACCTAACTCTATTGAAAATACAACCCCATTACATTCAATCCAGTCATGACCATCAACCCCATCCAGTGGCACTTAAGCCGATTACTAGAAAGTACCCCCTTCCCCCTTACCCCAACACCCTCTTATTGTTCCACAAAAGTATTTTGTGTCTTCTGTGTTGTAGAAATATGTTCTTCTAAATTTTCATTGGTCTATTTCTTTAAAGTCAGGCTTAGGGTAAAGCTGGCCATTCTGATAAAATCATGCATGAAGCCCTGCAAGTAATATGGCAACGAGTCCACAACTTTGAGTCATTGTACTCTAAAAATTGCACTTGCACTATAACCCAAACTTCATGATGTTTATTCAAGTGCTAAAATAACAGCTCTAGTTTAATTTTATGAAACTATCAAAGCTTTTAAACTCTGATAGGGAAAATGGAACAGAAAATGCAACATCACTTGAAGATGATGTCTTGGTCACATAAGCGTTTTACTAAACATGCTCTCATTCTGATTGCAACACTAAAAGTGCTAAATTTATGAACACCATTATCTTAAACAAAATGAGTCTACCAATAAATTTCATTTAGTAACTTGGAAATACCATGGTTACATCAAAATATTGTACCTAACTTCCACACATTATAATACAGTACTACAATGGAAGTGCTAATCATGTAGTTATGCTTAATTTATTCAGCTTATTTTTCAAAAACAACATTTTCTTTCTCACAAACATCACTTTCCTCCAAGAGAGGCAAAACTAGTAATCCATCCACTGTTGTTTGATATTCTTCACCATAAATAGAGAAAACAAATGTACTTATCACAAGGAAACTCCCAAAATCTGATTAAATATTTTTTGGTATTAAATTTCTGATCTATAATACTTTAAAAGGTCTGTCAGGTTGAAGATAAATAAATTTGTAAAGCTGATAAACAATCAGAAAATATTGTAGTGCAAGTTGGCAACAGGTTTGGTTGTCTAAATCATGATAATAGCCTGCATAGACAGAGATCATCTTTCCAAACTGGGGAAGTATAAGGCAAAGGAGAGCATGGGGAAGAAAATGAGTATGAAAAGGAATGTGTGGGGCAGAGAGGCATTCAGTTTTATCCTAAAGTAAGAGGATATCCAACCAAATAGTCCCATAACATACACTTAGTTTACAGAAGAGGAATCAAACCAAATTTAACTATCACTGTGGTTTTCCTTTAGAGCTATACTGAACTGCTCAGCACAACTTATAAAATTGACCATAAATTATAACTAAAGCAGATCCTATCAATGTAAAGCAAATTAAACCATATTTTCATGAAGCTTAATGTTATCACAATGAATTAAGTGCTGCATGCACTAAGATTTTCCGTCAAATTTTCTGTCGGCTGTCTGCCTCCAACAGAAATATCATTACCCTGGTCCACAAGCTCATTGTTCCCCTGCAAATTCCCTGTTAAGTTCTGTTTTATCTGTGCACTGACATCCCCATTGAGTGCAGATATCATGTCTTCTACAACGCCAGTTGTAGCATCACCCTTAAAATGTAAGTTCTTGACATGACGCCTCAAGTGGCTTGGGTTGTTAAAAGCTTTAGGACAAAAGCTACATTTGTAAGGCCTTTCACCTGTGTGGATAAGAACATGCCTCTGAAGGTTTCCTGAAATAGAAAAAGCTTTGGAACAATACTGACAGCGGTAGGGCTGCTCTCCAGTGTGGACACGAAGATGCTTCCGCAGAGAGCTGTATTCTGCAAATGACTGATTACAACTTGTGCACTTATAAGGTCTTTCCCCAGTGTGAACACGCACATGTTTTTGTAGAGAGCCTGGATCACGAAAAGCTTTAGGACAGAAAGTGCACTTGTGTGGTCGCTTCCTCATGTGAAGAGCAATGTGATCATCAAGTGTTTTGGCTTCCTTAAAAGGCTGAAAACAGATTGTACAAGTATAATGCTGTCCATCATCTGTATGGAATTCTAAATGTTTCTGAAGTCCAAGGGAACTTCGAAACAACTGAGCGCAGACTTCGCACTTATAAGTAGACTTGTCATTTGCCATGTCACCTCTCAGAAGGTCATCAACAGTTGGAATTGCATTTTCATCGTCAGAAAAAAACCCCTGTTGATTATCTACTGGCTTTGGGGTCAGTTCAGTGAGATCAACTGATTTCTTTTCACTTACTTCAGTCACTATCTTTGAATTGGTTCTGGTTTCACTCTTGACATAAGCAATAACACTTGAATGAGTGCTTTGAACTTCATTGGTTTGATGTGAATTTGTCAGATAAACCACGGCACTTGAAGTTCCAAGATTATTTTCCTTGATGTTACACTCTTGTTTTGAACTTTCAGTTACTGATATATCACTGGCTAAATAATGATTACTACAAATACTCTGTGATTCCAAGTTGTCTTGTGGCTGAGACTGGAATGTTTTCACAGGAATGCTTTCTGATGCATCCTTTATCACTGAAAAACTTCTGGGAGGAGTATCTCTGACAATAGTTTCACTGTTGGGGAGTACAGTCTTTGCAGATTCTACATTCTCATGATGAAAGGTTGCAGATGCTACAGTCTTTGATATAGGACTCTCAAAAGAAGTAGAACTCTCAGGCAAGGTGTCTCCATAAACATCTACACTTTCAGTCGAGTTAGGAACTTCCTCATTGACAACAGAGGTACTGAAAGAAGTAGAATCAGGTCCTTTTTCTGGAGGTTTCTCTGATGCCTGCTTTGTGCCACTTATTACAGGTACATGCATGAAGTCGATGAGGATCTGAGCAACATCCATTTCTGTAGATTTGCTGTCACCAATATCATGTGAAGAACTACCTTTTCCAGCTGATGATGAGTCATTAGATGTAACAGAGACTTCCTGAGAGCCTTTTTTCAGCAATTCTTCTTGCATGGCTGAACAATCAGGTTGTGGTGACTCCTCATTGATATCCATACTTTCTGACCCATTATCAATGTCTAAATCCTTACTCTGAGTTTCCAAGCTAGACTGACTTTGGTCATCTACACTTGGTTTTTTGGGGAATTCACCAGTTGGTACAGTTAAATAAGGGAAGTATGATCCAAAAGGAACAAATCCACCGAACGGAAACATTAGTGGGGAGTTTGAAAACTGCGGGAGAAACGCACCTCCCTGCTGCTGTTTGTTATATTCTGCTAACATTTGATTCATGTGACTTCCATTACTTGCAAAGTCCAACACAGAGGGTCCAGAAGATCCAACGAAGGCTTCAACTCCATGGGGTTGTGCTGTTTTAGTATTTGGCTCTTTTCCACTGCCTGTTGATTTACTCATGGTGTGCAACATTCCTGAGCCTAGTGCGCCCATGTACTGCTGCATAAAGGTACTATTTGGTGGCCAGAGGGGTGGCATCATTCTCATAGGCATTACTTGGGGAGTGAATACAGGAAATGGCATTGGAAAAGCAAAGCCAAACATGCCTGCATTCATTGCATTCACATTTAAAGGGGGAAGTCCAGGCTTCTCTTTTTTCTCTTCCATTCTTTTTTCCTACATAATAAATGAAAAATGAAGATATTTCAACTTCAAGGAATGTTAGAATTTAAATACAAATGTGTAAAGAATTGATAAGACCCTTCTCTGACAAAGGAGGTGCAGTGGCCTCATGGTTAGTGTGCTCGACTACGGATCAGGTGGTCCAGGTTCGAACCCTGGCTGGGGTCATTGTGTTGTGTTCTTAGGCGAGACACTTTACTCTCACAGTGCTTTTCTTCACCCAGGTGTACAAATGAGTACCAGCAAATGTGCTGGGGGGTAACCCTGCGACGGACTAGCATCCCATCCAGGGGGGAGTAGCAATACTCCTAGCTGCTTCATGCTTAGAAAACTGGAGTTAAGCACCGGCCCCATGGGCCACTTGGGCCTGTATAAAGGCTTTACTTTCTCTGACAAAAAGTTGTTTTAAGGAAAATATTTGATGAGGCATAAGAGAATACACCCCCAAAACTGTGTACAAAAAATTGATGGCACATGTTCTTGAAGAACTGACAGTCTGAACTTGAAGTTGGTTTCAGTGACTGAAGTTATGACTCAAGAACCCTGTCTTATAGTGCGACTATATAGAAAAATGTTGTGATGTCATTGTGGCAAAAGCATTCCATGCCTAATATTGCCCCTCTGTTTCAAAGAAAAAACCGTCCAAATCTTTTTTTACAATGAATTTTTTTGGCATTAAATGTCTGCCCTTTCTAGATTAGTTTCTAGAGGTGTTATACTGATAGAGCTGGATCACGTGGGAAAGTAGTTATAACTTTTTCTAGCGATATCTTTCAGTCCATGAACCAAGCCAATTTTTTGTGCACTATTTCTGGATGAGAGCATTTTTAAGTGTGTTTTTTTTAAATAAATGATGAAAAGACGATGATGGAAGGTTTATAGCCATTTCATTCCAGCCTAAATGGAACAGATAGAGAACAGTGCAGATTAAAATAATTAACGAACTTAACACTTTTTGTATTACAGCATTAACGAGGCAGCTGGTGTGTCATATGGAAATTCTGTGGTTATGGCAAAGTTCTACAAAACATGAAAGGTCGGTTATGTACACGAGTTCTAACCCAAACTGTGGTTTTACACAGGTAGTGGGCCTCAGGGATTCTCTCTAACACTGTTCATGAAAATAAATGTTCAGATTAAGGGTTTGGCTGAATTAAAGATGGCTTAGAACATGGTTTTGTTAAACTACCGCTAAACTTTGTTTAAATAACCTGCCCAACAAGTCCAATAAATGTCTATTTTATTTCAATTTTTCCTTGTTTTTTTGTTTGGCACTATGATTCCCATATAATGCATGATTATTTTGCCTAAATATTATGCTCAAAACTATGTGGGCAAAATAAGGACAACCCTACATACAAACCTGTGTAAAATGAATTTATTTAAGACTTTTCCAAGGTTTACCATGTGATTTCCAATCAAAAGTGGCTGAAGAAAATGTAAAAAAATACACCAAAAAGGTTAAATTCAGACTGGACATCAAAAAGATATACAACCACATCCTTTTAAAGGAGAGTGTAGGCTATTAGTAATCCTTTCCCTGCATGCCTATATTGTTGCACTGTCTCTTCAGACACTGCACTCTCTTTTCAAAACCTTAAAATCAACTGTGTCACTCGAAAAAAAGCGTTTTTTCTGAGTAGGTATAAATTTGCCCCTCAATAACTTAAATATTCAAATGCACTGCTCTCATCATGGTGGAGTTTAACGATGTTTTTTGTTTTTGTTTTGAAAGAAAATGGGTGATGATTGACAGCTTGTTTGAAATCTACAGGGTTAAAGTACACTACTGGGCTTAACTTGATTCATGCCACGTTCTTTTCAGCTGAGAGTCAAGTGACTGGCACATGATAGCAACGAACGCCATCAGATCTATAAAGCTTTAAGCTTGATTCAATAGTTCAGAACTTTTCCACCAGAAGAACAAATTATTGTTTATATTTTAATAAGCAAAGGGAGTTTGATGTAGAAAGCGAACAGAGTGTTACTGTCTGGTGGCAACTCAAAAGAAAGCAGTTCATCTCTGGGCGCAAGAACGCATGCAAAACTCTTCAAGCTGCCATAATCAGCCTAAATCTTCACGACGCGCAACAGCGAAAATGAACAAAGCAGAACGGCTCAATTTAGAAGAAATACGTTACGATTGGTATTTTTTTTAACAACCCTGAAAAAAATGAACGAAACACAGTGGTTTCTTAAAATTTCAGACGGGCTGCGTTAAAAACATCAATATCATCAATAACAATTACGAAGACAACTCGGCCATATTTAATATTTGCCTAACAGGAATAATCAAGTAAGTTGGTTCTGTTCGACGCTCGAAAAACATCCTTCAAGTTTGTTTTCAGATTAAAATGCATTCTTTCATGAAAAGGAATATTATGAAAAGAAAAAAAGGGATTAAGTTTCAAATCACAAACACAGACCGAGAGGGAGGGAGTTTTAATGAAAAAGTAAAACATGTGAAGCACTTCCGAAGGGTGTACCTATTTAGAATTCAACATGCGTTTTCTCAGCACAGTTCGGTTAAAAACAGAAAAAAAACTTAGGTATTATAAAAATAGGTAATAACAAAACAACTGCGATATTTGAGAAGGAGTTTTTGGGAATAAAGGATACACAGTTCGTGTTGTAATTTTCGGTTCGCATTAGTTACCTGTTGTGGGGGAATCTCCTCTACTCCTTTCGTTTCTTGTGTTTCAAACGAGTCCTGCGTGGATACCGGCAAAAATTAACTACCCATCTAATTTATCAGCAACAACGAATACACACTACATGTTCAAAAACGAGGAAAGAAGACAGTATTTTTTATGAGGGAATACCTAGCCAATGATGTAATATCTTGGACGTACGTCAATTTGTTGTCCGGTGAGCTCACAGAACAACGACAAACGAGAGAGAAGAAGATGAAAACGCAAGCAGTCTTGGGAAATGAGATCACGTGATTATTGTAATCCCCAATGGTATCCCCTTTACCCAGACTGCTTTTAGCGGGCGTTTCGCTTGGATGGTTTCAGAATGACATGTTCCTGTTACGGTTGACTTACATGGAAGGAGATTAGAAATTAAAAAAGTTTACCTGGCTGCGATATTGCGAAGACAAAGGCCACTTCTTTTACGACGCTTTACAGCTGGTGTTCACGGGATCTTGTCTAATTTTCCGAGAAAAAAAAAACGTATTTATTTTTGTGGTGTTTACTTGGCAAAAATAATAGATATCACTTCAACAGACAGCTGAAAACTTCGACGGCATATGTTAGGAAACAGTGGAGGTCTTTACTGCTTCAATGCAGTGTCCATCAACTTACTGGAGTCCTGTCTGATCTGTTTTGACAAATTCTCACGCTGAATCCATATGATATTAGTTTATAATTCTATGTTTCGAAAAGAGCGTCACTTTCGCATCCTTTTTCGAACCATTTCACTCACTTCTAGTTCTTTCTGTTGGCAGCGTGTAACTCAAAATGTTCTTCCATATCGTTCCGACATTAACATATTATTCAGAGAAAGCGCAACTGTCGCATAACCCTTCCGCAATTCCGGTTTGACCTTACCCAAGCAGACCAAAAAAATTTCCTCAAAAATTTCCCCCTTTTCTGATCTAAAACACAATTTGTAAACGTTAAAAAAAATTATTAAAAAAAGTTTAAAAAAAATCAAAGAAAGTACTAATGCCGCAAAGAAAACTGGGAAGACCCTTAGCGACCGAGCTCAACATGCTCTTTACTTGCGTTTCTTCTACTGGAAGTAATCGAAAGGTGCTAAACGCAAATCCAAATTCGTCGTCATTTGTGGGACATACTCTTATTGATGTTTTAAACAGACGTAAAAATGAGTTCTAGATTGATAGCAGGAATCGTGGCAGGGATTTGTGGCACATTTTTCCTCGGATATTGTATATACTTTGACAAGAAGCGAAGGAGCGACCCCCTTTACAAGCAGAAACTTTTAGAGAGTAAGTTTGTTTAAAGTTTGTGAGGGAAGAGAGTTAACGAGGAAGCTAGAAGAGATAAAAAGTATCAGTTTTCATACCTAAAAAGCTCTGCTAAATTTTAAACTTTCGTGGTCGAATGATTAGGTAAGATTCCAATTTTGCGAGGCCGTGTAACTGATGTAACACGTGAGTGTATTTCCAAATGTTATCACAAACTGCTGTGTCAGTAATTAATGATTATCACGTGAAAATTTTTGATGATTGTGCAGTTATCTAAAGGAAATTTTTGGTTATAATTGTGGTTACTTGTGGTTACTTTCTAACGTCACAATTTCATAGTTGAAAAACATGTTTGTCTCGTTATGCAATGCAGATGTGCAAGAGCTATAATTTACCGAGGATATTGTGAACACATTTTCACCAAGACCTTCAATTTTGCATTGCATACCACAGTTATTGCCTATTTCCATGTCTTATTTTATCTTAAATTAACAACACACAAGTGTGTTCTTGAGGTCTTAAACAGCAGTCATACAAACCCCCAATTTGTTGACTATCTTTGTTGCTTAATGAATTAAGGGGGTGCGTATCTAAGGAAAATGTGGTGCTGCGTTGGTGGGAGAGTATAACAAGGTAATTTGGTGTTATCAACTGAGTTGAAGATTTAAATGAGCCTCCATCAAGAGTTAAAAAGCTGATGTTTCTAGCATTAGCTCTTCATCAGAGCAAAGGACTAATACTTGAAACGTCAGCTTTTAAACTCTTAACCCTTTAACTCTCAAATCAAATTTGTAATTCTCCTTACGGTCAACCATACAATTCCTATAATGTTAGTTCAGAGAATTTAGTATTGGATCAACTTGTTATCTTCAAATTGATATTTTTCTATATTCTCATCACTTATCTGATTGATATTGTATTGATATTGTAAGGAGAAATTTTGTCTTAGTAACTCACAGGAGTTAAAGGGTTAATGATGGCTAATTTACCTCATCAACTCAGGTTATAATACCAAATTATCTTTGTTTGGCTGTAGCTGGAATGTGTAACGTTTTTAGAATTTAGAGGAGTTTGCCATAGTTAACTGTATTATTTCCTAATGATTGTTGTATTTAGTGGGCTATCAGGTCAATTCCTGAATGTAAAACCATCATTCCCAAGTGATTTTAATCCATAGTTAACTGTATTATTTCCTAATGATTGTTGTATTTATTGGGCTATCAGGGCAATTCCTGAATGTAAAACCATCATTCCCAAGTGATTTTATAGTTACAAGTGTGAGGTGTCTTCTTTAAGTTACAGTGTACATTGGACACAGTGAAAACTTCCTAAAACAGTTTTCTTAGCATTTACATTCAGTACTGTAGTAAATACCTATTCCAAGATGAACACCACAAAGGTGATAAGGCAGTGGGCCATGAAAATGTCCTTGAATGACAAGGATGTTCCATATCTATGCAGGAAGGCTTGAGCCTGGTTTCTAGCTACCAATCAGTATTCTGTTTAATTACTCTGTTTGGTAATATCTACATTGTATTTATAGTTTTGAGTTGAGACAAAGTGTCTGGCCTAAGAACATATACACAACTTAGCCACATCATTCTCTAAAGTAAATTCTCCTTACAACATCAATACAACATCAACCAGAAAGATGATGAGAAGATGGAAAAATTTCAACAAGGGGAAATTGTTTGAGTTCACGTGAAAATCTCAGAGCTACAAAAATAAAAGTAAAAGACAGAGAAAAGAGTTGTGCACAATTATCACTTCATTGTCATTGTGATAATCACTAATAATATATAGATTTACGCAAGCCTAACTTACCGTAGGAATCATTAATTTGTTTTCATTTGATTTTCAGGAAGGAGACAAGCTAAGCTAGCTCAAAAGGAGGAAGACACTAAGGTAAGATCTAAAAAAGAAATAAATGTAAAGATTTTTCTAGATAAGGTTGTAATAATTAGACAAGCACTACACACTAAAAGTTCTTAGTTTTAGTGTGCATTCCAGCTGTTGCTCTGTACAATCAGCTCTAGAAGTGTGTTAGTTAAGAATATCCATCTTACTGTTGAAGTTTCATTTGAGCATTTAATCTGATTGCCAGAGTGAGGGTACTCTTGTGAAGGACTGTTGTCTGGATAATCAGAATATGTGATCCAATGTGAGTATTTTCAAACCTTATACTCTATGTGGAATATTCGTTTCTGCCCCTTAGAACCGTGCACCTGACAAGACAGATGCAGCCGCTGTTCAACAATATTTCATGGAAGAGGTTCAACAAGGGGAAGAGCTTTTAACACATGGTCAGATTCTAAGTTACCTAAGTTGTCACCTTTTATAAAATATTAAGTTTGTACACACATCCATCAGTAGATAGGTGTGTTTTGATGAGAGTTTGTACCTTCTGAAAAGTCTTTTATTAAGGCAGTAAATGACTTGTCCATATTACTCATCTCATCTAAACTCACAGGAGGCTGGGAGGACTGTTGAAAGTTATGCAAACACTCCATTGTGTCTTGGGTTTGCATAAGATTCTCTCTCAAAATCACCCCCTCCCCCATGTTAAGATGAGGCTATGTAAACATAGAAAAAGTTCTCTTCTGCTTTAACATAAACTACACTTTTTCCAAACACCTAACTGATCACAGTGAAACTTGCAAAACTCATTAACAAGAACAAACTCTCAGCCCTTCATGTTTTCTTGACAACTCATTGATTTGTATGTCATGTGATTTTCTTATTCTTCTTTTAGGTGAATATGAACAAGCTGTAAAACATTTAACAAATGCTGTTTTGGTTTGTGGACAGCCTCAGCAACTCTTGCAACTGTTTCAGAATACATTACCACCCAATGTCTTTCAAATGCTGGTTGAGAACCTCAATGGCCTACCGACTGGTATGAAGGAAGTAAGTGAGAAGTATTTATGCAATAGGCTTATTTGATATGGACTGTGTTCTATTATAATACAAGTATTCTTCAGAAACCAGTATAATTTTCATCTTTGCGATTATATGTAAGAAGGTTTAATACAAAGTAAATACCCTCTGTGTTTGAGATTCCAAACAGTAATCTAACAGTTTGTAAATATTCTTTAAAATCTGAAGCAACTGAAATATAGAGGCCACCATTTTGAAAATGGCTATGTAACCCTGGCTGCCCATACAAACCTGATGTTGCTAATTTCTTTTCATTTCTTGAGTACAAGTTCAGTTAGAGTTATCAACTGAGTTGATAATGTAAATTGGCTTGTGAAAAGAGTTTTTAAAGCAATAATCCAAGCATCAGCGCTTTGTCAGAGCAAATAGAGGAACTATGGGTTGTTTGTGTTTTAAATTATAAAAGAAGATGGAGCTATACTATTGAAAACTCTCTGTGGTGGCTAATTTACATTAACAACTCAGTTGATAAAACCAACTTATAACTCCAACTGATGCAGTATCACAGTTTCTTTAAAAACTGACCCTCTTTATTAATTTCTTGATATGTTTGAGTACATTTTCATTTTGTAAATGTCTTCTTCGTCATCCTAGGCTTAATTTTTCCAATAATTTCATGTTGTCACAAGTGTTATCTTTCATTTCTTCATAAGAAATCTGATATAGTAAACTTCTCATTTGAGATGTTAATGTTCTTGGTTTTAGTGACTTGGTGTTCTTAACCAGTTTTTGTTTCTTTTTCAGAAATCAGAAGAGGGAGATTCTTTGGATTGAGTTTGGAAGCGTTGCAATTAGTTTAAATTTTGAAAAAGAAAATCTACTAGGGTTGTTGCTCATTGTGTTTGTTCACTGAAGTTTCAAAATATTTGGCTGAAGTTTTGCTAAGTAGGCACTTGCTTGAACAAATTACATGTACGTTAATAAAAATGTTTGGTATGCTTGTTGTTGAGTGATATTTGTAGCTAGATATGTCACTCATGGGAGGCTATTACAGTAGAACCCACTTGGTGAGATGTAACTTCAGCCATGAAAAAATGTGAAGTTGGATTCTTTTTTTATTTGACATTCTACAATGGGTGCCTATAAACTCATATGGAGTTCTGCTTACCATCTGGCAAGAACTTTTTGTCTTGGTTTGGAAAATTTGATCAACTAATAATCCCCTAATTGTTATGTTTTATATTCTCATCACTTATCTGCCTGATATTGTATTGATATTGCAAGGGGATACTCTGTCTTGGTCTCTCGCAGGGTCAAGGGCCAAAGAGAAATGGGAAATGCTGTGCCTACCTATCCATTCTCAAACTTTTTTCTTAAAGGTAATGACAGTAATAACCATTTCCTATCAAGGGGTAACCTGAGCGCTCAACTGTTAAGTTATGTGTATGTTTTAAACAATAAATTATTCTTAGTGTTTGATTTTGTTATGTTCACAAACCATTTCTGGTGTATTGGAATGAAGTTAAGTTTTTTTTATGCTTTTAGGAACAGAAAAAGAAAAAGAAATAGTGACCATGAAATTGATCTTCATGGCAATGAACACCTCTTGAGCAATAGCAAAAATAGGGTCTTCTCCCTGTTAGCTCAGTTGGTAGAGCACTGCTCTTACATTGCAGAGGTCATTGGTTCAAATCCTGTATGGGCCTGAAGTTTTTTTGCAGGCCTTATTTTTACTACTGCTCAAGTAGTATTCACTACTGCAAAGATCGCTTTCATATTTCTTTATTTGCAGTTCAGATGATTTTTGCATATTCACAGTCAGAAAAGGAAACAACTTGAAATTATTGAATGTATGAAAACTTTTAATACAACAATATTTACACATCAAACAAGGTGTATTTACATCAATATTTGTTTGTCTAACATGGAAGGTCATATGAGAGGTGGAACATCTGGATCATCAACAAAACTTTCCTCCTTTGATTCTGAGTATGTGTTGACTCTCCCAGAATCTCTTTGTTTGGTTTTGTCTTGGCTATTGTTTGCAATCTTACTGAAGTCCATATCACTGTTAATATTGGGTTCAACTTCCAATCGTTCATGATGAGTTCTGTAAAAACAAAAACCATTACTTAATTTTGGAACCAACTTTTCACCATACCTCATGGAAAATGTCAAAAATAGAGCTTTGAGAGAGCTAAGGAATTTTATTATTTTGAAAGAGTAGGAAGTTTGATGTGAATGTTCATGAAATTTCACTTGATTGATTCACTCATTAACTCCCAAGATCTCATTGTCAATTCTCCCCTCTAGCTGCTACACATTTTCTTGTAAATTAGTTACGAGAATTTGGTGTTAGATCAAGATAACTTCAACCTGATATGTGTGAGTATTCTCATTACCTGTTTGCTGGACAGTGTATGAATATTATGGGAAGAAGTTACATGTTGATCACTTCTGGGAGTTAATCGAATAAGTTCTACCCTTATCAACTTAACTTCGGCTTCAAGGTTTGGTGTCAATATCAAACAAAGTTATGGTCAGGAGTTTGGCCTGTTTTAATGTTTAATCAACAGTTGATTTTAAAGTGACATAATCACGGCTAAATTTTTCACCCTGAGAATTAGTTTGGCTCCAGCTGTTGTGATACCTGCTATGTTTACTTGGATCTGATGATGGCTGAGCTTCTTGCTTTTGTCTACTAGGACTTGGTTCAATTTTGGTTGGTAAAGTCTTCTTCAGTGGCTTTACAACTTGTTGCACCTTTAATGTAACCAGAATGTACCATCAATAGTGACAACAAATTGTTTGGAGCTGTGATTGTGTTTGTGTTTGTTTGCAAGGGGATCCAAAAATACAGAAAACAAAAATTCCTTTTTTACACTCGAGCCCAATGAAGCTAAGGTTTATTGCCAGAAGTGTTACATACCTTGGGCATTGAAATTATCAGATGACCAGTTGTTTGAGATCTCTTGGCTGAGCTTGAGTCAGGGTTAACTTCCTCGGACAGAGCCAGTTGAAAAACCTACATTAGAATTATGTTATTTGTTTAAAAATCATTTTCATATCATTTTATAAAATTACGACATTCAAATAGTACCCAGTTAAGAACTAATTATAGCTCTAATGGCCAGTTAGCCCTTCACTATGTGATGAGGCCAGTTTTCCTTGCTACAAAACCAAAGTTAAGTTACTTCACAATTTAGTGCATCATTAATAATAAAAGTTAATGAAAGATCAGCCAGTTTTTGGGATACAGAACTTGTTTTACGTCTTTACAACTTTTGATTGTAGATGTATGAGTGTTGAAATGTTTTTCATCTCAGACTATAAAGCCAATTTCAATCTAAGGTTCAACTGGACAGGTTGCTTAAGGGCCAAGTGCACATTTAACAGAAATTACCACCTTGGATGTGTTGTTCAAAACTCAATTAAAGCTCACTCAGGGCTAGCTACAAACAACAAACATAAATCATTTTTAGAGTGGTTAATGATACATACTGGTTTTTTCTAACTCAAATTTCCAGTTTTCCTATGCATTGAATGGCATAAAACACCCTTGATGACTAAGTAAATGAAACAAAATAATTTTAATCCAATTGGTGAAACTCTTGTAAATCCCATCATCTCATATGTTTTGTGTGGTCACTGGATTCCTGCCAATTAAAAAGTTCTTTTCTTCTCGTTATTGTTAGCACCCAGGTTTAAGAATGAAAAAATAAACTATAATTCTTTCCAGCTCAACTTTCTTGTATTATCTATTTTGGTACCTTGCCTTTTACTGTTACTCTCACATAAGTGGGCTGTACATCAACATCAATAAGAGATGTGTCCAGGTGCCTCGAAGGGAAAAAATTGCACAACAATGATTTCCTTATTGAGCTTGTTCAATCAAGAGGGCTGGATTATACATAAGCAGAGTGTTTACTTTGACAGACCACTAAGGATTTTACAAATAATATGTAGTCGAACCTGTATTAGGAGGTCACCGATGGGAATGGTGGAATGACCTTTTAATACAGGTTGACCAGAAAATGACTTGCATATTGTACATAGTGCATAATATTTGTCCTAACAGTCAAACGAAGAAATATAACTTGCTATGTGTTTCGGACATTTGAACTCAAAGTGCTGATGTTGATTTCAGGAGTTAACCCTTCAACTCCCATGATCACATTAGTAATTCTCCTTACTGTCTGCCATACAGTTCTTGTGATGTTAGTTTGGAGAATTTGGTATTGGATCAACTTATAATCCCCAACTGATATTTTTCCTTATTCTCATCACTTTTCTGCTTGATATTGTATTGATATTGTGAGGAGAAGTTCTATCTTGGTCACTTATGGGAGTTAAAGGGTTAGACAAGGAATAAAAGGGTGTCTGCTCAATACAGTGCTGCTTAATGAAGGGTCAACTGTATCACACGCACAAGAACCAAGTATTTCTTTTATTTAATTAATTTTTACAAATCTTTATTGACAATGGCATATATTATGTACATTACATAAATTTCATTACTAACAACACAACACCTACAATACATTACATAAAATATATTTATTTAGTCACAATGAGCTGCCTAAGAACTTATACTACCACAATCTTTGCCATAATTCTTGCAACTTTCCCACCTCAGATCCCCCTTCTCCTATTTCACTGTTGGCAATTAAAAAATTACATGTGCAAATAATGCGACATTCAGAGAGAGGAATGGGGTTTTCAGAAAACTTGATGAGGGCTGTAGACTTTGAAGTCCTTTCATGTTGTGGTGAAGAGCAGAGGCTCTTGAGGTGTGAGCCACTCAGCCTGTGCACTGAAATTACTTCTGCTAGTATTTATATATAGGACAAAAATATATAAATATAAAATCATGCAACACTTACCTAAAACAAGGTAAATCCAAAACAAATCTATTGTTGTCTTCATCATCATCAAACTGGAAATCCCATCTGTATCACCAAACAATCAACACAAATTTTTAAACTAAAAAAATGGAGATGTCAACTCATACCAAAAAAAAAGACAATTAAAAAAAGACATCTGTAAGACCTTGGGGGTTGTTAGTAAGCTAAAGAATTTACAACAAGGATACATTCATTAACAAATTCGAAAGTCTTGAAAAGTGATCCAATTATTTTACCGTACATCTTACACCATAGCATGTTCAAACAGTGCTTTCATGCTCACATTTTGAGTACTTAAGCTCTCTTGAGGTTTTACAAAGATCTTCAACCACCATGTAGAGCAAATCTTACTAGCTCATTTTGGTATATATGTACTAGCATCCTATCACAGATACTGCTATCTGATTGACTGCGCAATATCATCTCTCAATACCATCATCTAACCATCTCTACTATTTCCATCTAAATAAATTTCACATTGCCATGCGTCTGTTCAGCAATGGATCCCACTATGTGGTAACAACAACAGAGTGGTACACAAAATGTAACTGAAAGTGTCACTGATGTTTTTACAACATTTTGACCTCAGAGAATATAAAAAATTACTCACTTTCCTTGGTTTATATTCAACACATGGCCATCGCTGGCAAAGAACCTTGTTTCTTTGGCTGGCTTATTTCTTCCAATTCTCCTAAAAATAAAAAAAAAGAAAATTCCATGATAAACATCTCTCAACTGCATTCTGTTATAAATTTAAGCTTTTCATTTTAAATAACATGCCAATCAATTTGAAGCTTCAACATCCCCTGCACCCCTCCAGCAACCCATGGGCATTTGGGATGGGGCATTTGAACTGGTAGTGACAAGTTTTTCCAGTATAATACACATGCTTTAATGGTTGGGGTAGTTTAAAAGTAAAGAGTCTGCTTTGGTGAGTAAATGGTTCAGAAAGACAATTTTCACTCCATACAATGATTCTTACAAGCAAAAAACTCAAGGGTAGTAACAAAATACTTTGATCATACAAACAATTGTTCAATGGGTGGGGCACTGAACACAATGTTGGCCCCTGAGGACAGGAATTTGAAAGAGCAATCTTCAAAAGTACAAATGCCTAGGGGATTTGGAGAGGAGAAGATGTTCAAGCTTCACATTGATTGACACATTCAAATGTTAATGATTATAAAACAAGCAAAGGTACGGTAGACTTTAAAGAGAGAAAACATATAAACATGGCCACTCTTCCATCTCAATTCTTTATTTCAAAATATTAAACTTTATACAACTAGTCTAAGTAATGAAGGTTTGCTTAATGTTGCATTTGCTTTGGAACTTTTCAGGAATTAAAATCTATTCACTCACTCATCATCTATCTTTTCCCTCTGCTTGCGCTTTTCCTCAATATGTTGATGCAACTCTATTCGGGACTCTGGGGTAAAATCTGTTTTCTCCTGCCAAAATCTGAAATCAGGAAAAAAACTTTGATTATGCTTAACCTTGGGGAGGGGAGGGGAGGGTGGGGGAAAGGGGATGGAATAGAGGTCACCATAAGAGTGTTCGCCATATGAGCCATTTAGGCTTTAGACTTACAATATTCAGTAGACCTCCATCTTAGCATAAACTGTTTTAAGTCTTATGTATATAATCATTGAGTTTCATTTCCTTTCATTTTAGTTCATAGTAAAAAAATGAAAATTACCTTATGACCATAAAAGCCACTAGAAACAGAATAGTTTTGATGCTATATCCCACTATTTGAGACCCTAATTATTTTCCCTTTTTACATGAGCTGATCATGATCATTATCTGATTTCATGGCTGTTAAAAGCTTGGAATGCAAGGATTTTCAAAGAAAATATTCTTTAGAATCCTTTTTTCAGGCTTATAAAATATGTTTGTTGCTTTAAAAACTCATCCGACCTTTTCTCCTCTTCCTCTTCTTCCTTTTCGGTTTTTCTTTGATTTTCTTCACTAGATTCACTGGGAGTAAAGACAGCATTTACCATCAATCAAAGGCAACAAGAAATACATAAACAATTGAAATACCTCTAGTTTTCATGACTATCTGAGCTCATTTGCTTGTGTGGGGTGGGGTGGGAGATGTTGATCATATATTGCAGAAAAGAAAGAAAACTGTTCTAAAGGAATACAGGGGTTAACTTTCTAAGGAAACTGTGGTGCTGCAGGCAATAATGCACTGGTGCAGCAATGCTCTGGTGTGGCAATGCACTGGTGCAGCAATGCACTGATGCAGCAATGTGCTGAGCACCTCTTGGTTGCTCACATTACTCAAGGCCTCATACTCTACGGTGAGCAAAGAAACATACATGCTGAAGCTCTTACAATGAAGGCCTGTTAACAAGCTATTCAAAGGAAAATAAAGGAGGTTGAAAATCTACATGTACACCCTGATCTAAGGCCTCACCTGATACAATCATTTTGATTTTCATTGCCTGACTGTAACTCTTTTTCAGCTGTTTTTGTTTTGGCTGCTTCCTGTTTTTCTCTTTCCTGAAAGAAATATATTTTATGAATATATATGAGAGCAGTCCCGAAAAGCACTGATATTGGTGACAGCAACTGAGATTTCAACAGTCTAAGAGGAGGTCTTTGGCAGAGTTCAGTGCAGGATTGGTGAATCACTGTCATCTGCAAACTGTGGTGGATCCAGGGGTTGGTCTGAACCTCCTCGTTATCAGGCCCTTATGTGTTTTTACTAGTTTTTCTTTTTAAGTTACTTCAACAAAATTATTGCAACTACAGGATTAGAGGACTAATTTACAGCAAATATAATTCTTTTCTTTTTTTAACCAAAGTTTAGACACCCCCTCCCCCCCCCTCCCCCATCATCAAAAACTACTGGATCCACCCCTGGCAACGGTTCTTCTTAGGACTACTCTCCTCTGGAAGATCAGATCATTCAATCAGCCACAACTCCAAGGTTCCTACAGTTTACTTTATCAACTGGTCTGCTAAATAAAATGCAGTCTAGTTTGGAGAAACAGTTCTCATTTTGGCCTAGTTGTATCAGTTGACAGACTGTAAGTTGCAGACTGTGATGGTCCTATGATGGTAGCCATACAAAAGGAATGTTGTCATTGAAATTGGCCCAGGAAGGACTAATCTTTACCTAAAAGTATAAAAGTTCTTTTTCAGAGAAGTAGAATTGACTTTGTGTCTGATAAATGGAAACTGATTAATAGGCTTTCTGTGTTACATGACATTGTCTGTAAGCTGACGGTACTAAAAAATTTAAGAGGCTCGTCCACAAATTCTAATCCACTGGTGAAGTTAACACTCTAAACAATTGGTTACTACTATTAAGTGTTCTCTATTTAGCTTAAAAAGACAAGAACTAAGCAATTTTACCCTTTTCTTTGCATGGTCAGATTGTTGACTAACGATCTTGTTTCTAATGTTCTCATAATCCTACAAAAAGAAAAGAGGTCATTAAATAAACTCAAACATTGATATGTTCAAGCTACCATGAGTTCTCTTCATTGGGAGTCACATTGTATATTTAATTTATTAAAATTTTTAAAATGGATCCATCACATAATTATGCCAACTCTTCTGGATTATCTGCGAGTCACCCAGATACAGAGCCAATCTCCCACTCTCCCGTATGGGTGACCAGAACTCCCAGATGAAAGGAAGTTTGGATCAGTTGCCCACAAAAAACTAAGATTTAAGCTTCATATGTTCCAAAATTCCAAAATCACTGGCTTCTTGTACTTGTATTTCAGTTTCTGGCTTCATTTTCTTGCAAAATGCATGTTGTTCATTGCAAACAACTATATAAGCGAGAGCCTAATTAGATGAGTATTCAACAAATTGAAGTCCCTGACAGATAGATCCACGTTTTCCCTGTGAAATTGCTCAAATAATAAAAAAAAATTTTCCAGGGGGGGTTGCATTGTCAAATTCTGTTGGGAGGGGGTGCTGGTCCGAAAAAAAATCTCCAGATTTGAGATCTCAAGAGATTGGTATCTCTGCATTCACAAGTAGATTTTTGTATGACTTCATATAAGAAGGCAAGTTGTAATAAGCATTCTAAAAAAGTGAATATCTCAAAAGTGAAAACTATTTGCTATCATAATGTTATCATTGACTAACCTGTTTGGCTAAAATCCTTTCAGATTTATCAATCTCTTTTCCATCCAGCCATTTTAAACTATCCAAAGTTGCTATGACATATTCTCTGTAACCCTCATACTCTGTACAGGGATTTCCTGTTAAATAACTGACCAGAAAAACCAAACGACATTCCAATGACCAGCTTACTTTACCCTTTAACTCCTAAGATCTCATCAGTAATTCTCTTTACTGTCTACCATACAGTTCTTGTGATGTTAGTTTTGAGAATTTGGTATCAGATTAATTAATAGTCCTCTAACTGATATTTTTCTTTATTCTCATCACTTGTTTGCTTGATACTGTGTTGATATTGTAAGGAGAAATTGTGTCTTGGTCACTTATTGGAGTTACAGGTTTAAATAACCAGTGTAATTAATTGTTTTGCTATAAATCTTGTCAAAAAAGTATGCATTACAGAGCTTAGACAGAATAGGGTGTAAAAATATTAGTCACTTTCCCAGCCTTTTCCCAAACCTTACGTTTTACTTCCTAAACTCAAGGCATCAAAGTAAATCACATGGCCAAAGCAGAACCAAGGGGTTTGTACCAAAGTTTAAAAATTATTGGATCATTCTTAGAAAAACCAATTTTGACCAGGGTAGTTTCAATGAAATTTGACAAACTAAGACAATGTATCTCCTCACACTATATTATTAAGAGCTTGTTCTATTGGAAAGAATATCCAACATCTTGCCATTTCTAATTAACACTGGTTTACCACATTCTTTTCTCAAATTAAAATATTGGTTAACAATGATTTCAAAAACAAACGTGAAAATCCTTACAGTTCTCTGAAGTGGTAATTTCCTCTTAGTGATTCAACACTTGTCAGTTCTCCAATGAAATTGACAGTCAGATCCAACTTCTGCAAGGACTCACACCCTGAGAACAGAGTTAAACACAGCCAACTGTTTAACAGTGGGACAGATTTATTCACATAGGTAAATGATACCTATACTTAAAACTGAATCTAACATTATATTAACAATTAAAACAGATATGCAGTACTTCAATTCATGTATACATTGAGTTTTCTCACCTTCTAGGTTTTCAACCCTTGTAACATTATTCAATGCCAAATTGAGGTATTCGAGCTTCTTCAGTCTACTAACATTCTCTGGATTACACAGGTTTAATAAAAGAAATAGTAAGTTAGTGATATAGAGATCAGTCAAAACTGTTCAAATGAAATCAGAGATGGGATCAACCAAAATAACAGCTTGCTTAAGAATGCTTCATGAGATGATACATCAAAATAATGCTTCACCAAAAGTAAACACTTTTTTTCTGAATTGCCTGTAATAATTAATTTAGTAAAAGACCTAGGAAGATGGTAAATTTTGAGCTCATGATCTGCAGTCATGGTAGAATTACTTATCAATCTCGACTACACCTTAACATCAGTATGCATACAGGTTTTCAAAATGTTTTGAAGTAAGTGTCAGATTCTCACAAAATAGGTGACTGTAAAAGGTTCATTAAGGGCCAAAAGGTAATTATTTTGACCAAAGTAACCATCAACATGTTATCAAGTAGCTGATGGTCACCAGCTTGCTTTGAAATCCTTGTGCATAATTACTCCATACTGTTCTCCATACATTTCTTAAGGAGCTGGTATGGATAATTTTTCAAACAATCAAGAGCAGCTTTAGTTAATGATCATTTTCTCCACTCTTATGACCTTTATGTTTGATTCAGGGGGGATACTGTAGAGAGAAATTAAATACTGGTCATTCTAAAGGTTAAAGGGTTAAACTTTTCAAGTAATGGACCCAAGGAAAAATCCCCAACATAGAATCAACCCTCTGGCCACAGGCCACCCCTAAGAAATGCTTCATTTCCCATCCACCCACTTCTGAAAAAAGGAAGGCAATAGGAAGGAAAATGTTTCATGTCCCTAAAAACAAATTCTTGAAAAAGAAAAACTCCAAGGGGCCGTTTCTCTTTGAGTTCTTGATAGAACCTTCATTCCTCCTGATGGATACTCTTCTCTCAACACAACTTACCTATCTTTGGTATTAAATTACTCTGTAAGTAGAGAATTTTCAGATCTCTGCACAGTTTATCAAGGAGCTCGATCCTTAAGGAAAATAAAGGAAGAGTCATTGGCCGGTAGCAAAACATTAATACCAAAATATAAATGCATCCCTGAGAGTGATCTAAATTGTTCAAGATAAAACTCAAATTTTTGAGTGATTAGGATGTGAGATTTACTCTTTTTAATTTGGTTAGCCCTTTCACTCTCACAATGTGACTAAGACAGAATTTCTCCTTATAATATTGATACAATATCAAGTTGGTAGGTGATGAGAATGGAGAAGAATATCAACTATGGGATTATTAGTTGATCCAATACCAAATTCTCTAAACTAACATCATAAGAATTATATGGCAGATAGTAAGGAGACTTACTAATTAGATCTTGGGAGTGAAAGGGTTAACTCTTTATTCAAGTGTCAATAAGACCTAGCAGTTTTACTCTAATTGAGGAGACTATAAAAATTCTAAAATTATAGAATTTTAATTGTAGTTAGCTTAAAATTGAAAATTGATTCTAGATTGTAGAGAAGACATTAAGATTTAATCATTTGAGATTGGAATATTAAAATTAAAGGATAAATGTCAGTATCAGAGCAACCGCACACCTACCCCTCGCTGCGTAAGTTAGGTTGGATGTTGAGTTAGGGAAGGGGTACGTACACGTACAGTCGCTCAGACACTGATTTTGATCCAAAACAAGATACCAAAAAAATTTTAAAAATCAACAAATGTTTAAGGACAGCCTGATATAGATTCTTTGTATGCTTTGTCGATGCTAACAATTTAGAAACTTCTTATGCTGGAGAAATTAGGCTGGGTGCAAATTTAAATGCAAGCTGGAGTTAGGATCACCTCTCAATTTCTTGTTGATGTAGTGAGATTTCTTCGAGTGAAAAGATCTCACAGTTGTTGTGTTCGGCTCTCTTTCGAAGCAAATCCTCTGTAACTATGTGAAAAAAATCACACACAATGGTAACCAGATAAAATCAAAATAGTTATGTTAATCTTAAACCAATTATGAAATTCTTACTTCTGACCATGTTTACTTCGTAGAAGCGTTATTCGACAGGCGTTTCTTGCAGTCGTACTTTGTAACCAGGCAAGGGCATAATACTTGTCCCCATAGTAACTTGCATTTCGAAAAAGTGGCGAAAGCCTGCCTCGATATTTTCGCAAATCTTTCCGTCTAAGGAAAGTTTCTGACTACTTTCCTACTGCACCAAAAGCTCTTTATTCAACTCCCAAAATGATGAATGACTCAAATTTAACATCCTGTTACACATCAGTCATGCATTTCAAAGGATATAGCATGTTTCATGTATTATCTCAAGTTTGACCTGATCATGAGCCAAACCAAAGATAGTAATTCAACGGTAATTAGTCTCAACCACTTCTCTATGCTTCATCGCATAAAAGTAGAGGCTATTTTTTGAGGAAATCTCTACCACTCGCCGTTACCCGGTTTTGCTTGGACCCATATTTATCTATATCCTCGTATCACCTATATTAAATTAATTGCGGCCTGAATCAGATGCCCTTTATAAAATGAATACCCAAATAATTTTACATTAATATATATCGATATTTATTTCAAATAAAACGATTTCAAATAAAACGATTTCAAATCTGCTCCGCTTATCGTTAGTCTCATAAACGATTGTATAGCCACGCCCATGAATCGTTTCCCCACACTTGATTGTAACAGCACGATTTCAGAAATAGCAGGGTTCAAGCACATGCACATTGCTATGTTACAAAAAAAATGCTTTTACTTCCATTTAGTTAAGACCTTGGTGCGAAGGGTTTTAGGTGAATAAAAATTTGAATTGTCAACGTTCTTGAATAACCTGGAATTCGTTTCCTAAAGACCGGACACCAGCGAAAGTAAATTAAGGTGCAGTGTATAAATATCTAGTTTTGAGTGTGCACTTCTGTTTATTAAAGAATTTTATTTTAAAATAGACTCTCGCGTTTGATTATTGTCTCAAACGTTTCATTAATTTTTTTTAGGATTCCGTTTTCCTTGCCTTCTCCAGCTGAAAAGCCAGTGTCTTGACGTCAACGCTCTAGACATCCGGGACTCCCAATATGGCGGCGACCAGTTAGCCAATGAGAAACGGCGATGTTTGTACGCTGGTTCCACACTTCATAGCTTGAAGGTATCTCCTCCAAAGGATTGTTTAGAGCAGGAAAAGGAATCAAAACGTAGTAGTAGGCCAAGAAGAGGAAGCGATCTTCCCTCTTCCATCGGGAAATCGCCAATTTGCTATCCACACTTACCATGGACTCTGTGGAAGTAAGTAATGAGTAGAGATCACGTCAAGCATGCTGTTGTTGTCGTTACGTACGGCAAGCACTCGCCTCTGTGCAAACATACTCGCAGTCTTAGGCTTATTTCGTCGCCTTTTCATCTTTTATACTTCAGGCAAAAAGGCCAGGTATTAATCCTGCCCCTGCTACCAGTCATCCAGACCCATTTAATCGAAAGTCTGTGAGGAAACCGCAGAAATCTCAACAGAAAAAGCAGCAAGGATCGTCAAGGTTTCGGTCTAAACCAAGCTTTGAAATTCAACCTCTTGGTGCTTTGAAAGGTGGGTGGCAAACTGACCGTAAAGCAGACCTCATTCCTCGTTGGTTAACTCTTACATATTTTAAATCTAAATTTTTATCCTAAATAACCGTTTTGTTTACAAACCAGACGCATCGCCAGCCGAGCAGCAGGAATTGTTCATCAAGAAACTACAGCAGTGCTGTGTAGTCTTCGATTTCATGGATCCAGTTAGTGATCTAAAGGGGAAAGAGATTAAGCGAGCATGTTTAAACGAACTTGTGGACTATATTGCATCGGGTCGTGGAGTCCTCACTGAGCCGGTGTATCCAAAAATAATCGAAATGGTGAGTGAGGGTCAAAAATAGCGATTTGTCTTAGTGTATTGTAGGAAATATCGGGGAGAGAGGATGGTTGTATGCCCACAGTTACACAGTGCAAGCTAAATTGGTTTGCGTCTATCTTGTGAAGGCGTAGGGCCCTTAAACTTTCATATGTCCAGCTCTCAGCAGTACATCTTTCTCTTATTGCATATATTCAATGTTTGGAAATATCCTTGCGCTTGAAAAAAGAAAAGAACTAGTGTACACCGTGAATGATAATCAGCATCCGTCGCTAGCCAATGTTGTTTTACGCAAGGCGTTAAACAAGTTAAGGAACTCACTTTTGACAAAAGATTCAGGAGTTGAAATTTATTGCACATACATCATTACCCGTCAAACTTTGTGAATGGAAATGAACTTTGGAAAATTCTAAAACGCTTCCGGACAGTTGCAGCAAAATGCTGATAAGTCCTCCACTTTCCTTGCCGGGGTATTAAATATGTCTCCCAATGTAAATATCATTCCCTGCAATGTTTGCTTTGTACACTCAACTACGGCTAAAAGTGCATCTGTGAATTGTTCCTGTACATTCCCTCAGGTCTCCCTGCGAGAGCTCATTTTTTTCAGTCAGTCGAACAGTATTGATAAAGAGATCAGTTTACCTGATATTGCCGCAAACAAGGAATAACCTAGCGAACACGTCTTACGACCAGAGTGTTTGCCAAGTCATGTCTTGAACTTGTTATGATACAAATCCCTGAGTAATGAGACAAATTAAACACTTGGAAGTCACCTTTTTCTCTTTAAACCTCAATCATGCTTTTTACCTTTCGAGATTTTCTGATTTTTTCTTTACCTCTTTCAATCAACGAGTAAGATATTTACCGGCTGTGGATTAATATTTTTACATTCAATTCTTCGCGTGCTTTATTCTTGTGTTTTATTGTACTCTTACAATTTCTCAAGCGAAGTAATTTGCTGCAGGGTATTAGTGGCATACTTCCTTATTTTAAGTTCTTAATTTCGAAGAAGTTTTGCAGACATAAGCGGGGAAACCATGACCAGTAGTGATTTTACACTTTCATAGTGAATTGCACTGGTTTGTTTACAAGTTACTTTATATGTGCAATTGAGAATGTTTTGAAGTTATGGTCATGTAATTTGTGTCAGTACAGATGTCCCTTTATCCAGAAATCAATTTTGGAGAAGAACATGTACCACAACAAGGCAACATAATTTATATCTTGCTCTGCATTGAGCAAATTGAAAATATCAGTGTGTATAAGCAATCAATATGCTACAAGATTGATTCTGAAAATCAGGTGTTTTCTCAAATTACAACTATCTAATGAAATTTATCTCCAAAACTACACTTGATGTAATCACTGCAAAAAATCATGAATGAGTGAGGGATGTTTGAAGTGGAATAGATTATATCGGATGGAAATACAGACAGATCATTCAGAGTTAATACCTTCTGTCCATAGTAAGGCTTATCATGTACTCTGAGATCAACAAACATTTTCTCCACTGAAAACACTAAAATTTTGAAAAAAGATATTGGTAAATATTTATTTTGTCTTTCTTGACAGGAAGACCAATGTCTATAGGTGTTTTTTTCAGAGGATAATTGATTCCGTGAAATGAATTTGTTCACTTCTAAGTCTCCTGATTTTCAGAGTGATAAATTGTTGTTATGTTTCATAGCATTTTTTGGTTAAAACTTTAGTGTTAGAAACTCTCCATCAATGCTTTGCACTTGAGGCAAATGGCTTCATTGAATTATATGCAAGTAAAATAATTATAATTGTCCAAAGTAGCTCACAGCTGGTGAACATATTGAATTGTTTGATATCACCCACTGCTTCTCTGCTAGGTTTTTATAAGTAGTAGATGGTATTTGGAGTTTAGGTACTTTCAGTTGGCAGCCTGCTCCTTGAGAATTTCTAAGGAATTATGACAATATTCACAGAAATTATAATTGATTGGCTAGACAAAACCATGCAATTTTTGGTGCCTAATAGAAAACTGATCAAAAAGATCTTCATGAGAAAACCAATATTACTTTCTTAACATGTTCTTTTATCTTATGGGAAGAGCATCTAATTATTCAACTTGGCTCTGGACTGAGCCAAATCAATTCAAATCATCTTCAATAGGCATACAAATGGCTTTGTGTTTCTTCAGTTTTAGTTCAAATGTGTATCCTAGTGTTTATGTAACCTCTCCGACTTCGCTACTCTCACCATGCAGATCTCCCCCACATAAGTAAGGAAAGTGTTGTAGTTTATGATTTCGAACAACCTATGATGATCCTTAATACCAGAATTATTCGAGTAGGGAACCCTTTACTCAGGAACTACCTCCCTTCAGTACTTCCCATCAAGTGCTACTCCCTCAGTGCAGTATCTTGAGTCTCCAATGAGCAACCACTTCTCTCAATTTGTCTCTGGCACCAACTTGGTAATGAGATGTTCACTGCAACACAGATGTGTCACCTTGATCTTGTAGAATTGCCATGAATAGGTGTATTCTTGAGTAAATTGTTTTGGCAGTATAGATGAAGTTTTTTTAAAGTATTTGTATGGTAAGACCATAGTATATGGACGTGTATTCCCCCTCCAAGCCCTGGTGGGTACTTAAGTGTGTGACAACCTTGGCGATCTTTTTCTCTTAGATGTTTAGTGTTTTCTTACCACAATACAAGAATGAATTTCTTTTTTCCAAATAATTTTTTATATGAGATTGCATGCACATTTACTTAGGTATTGATTAAAGAGTTTTTACGATTTAAAGATAGATTAGTGTTTCAAGGAGGAAAGCAAGGTGTGCTATGTTCTCTATTTCTCTTTCCCCCCTTCCTGACCAGGCCTGCCTTTCATTTTGACCTCGTATATAAACAACTGTCTGTCCTGTTTTTCTCTAGTGCCCACCTACAGTTGGATCAGTTGAAATGTACATAGAAAAATTGTGAAATTACCAAAAATGCACAAATACCTAAATTTCAGAGTAAAGAACAAAGAACTTTTTAGAAGCTCAAGCATTAGCTTACACTAAAATTATCAGCTGGTGATGTTCATCACATCAGCTGTTCAGGTTATTTACCCCGTCATTTTATCGGCTGGTTTTTTTGTCAGCCTGGATAAACATACATTATATTTTCACCTCCTGATTTTCCTTGGTCCCAAAACAAGTGATGTGTAATGCTTATTCTAAGAGTTTAATTTTTGAAGCTTGAGGGAAATCTTTGTTTTCTCATCAACATTGTGGCTTGTTTATCAGCAATGCAAGAAAAATGGGGCGTTACAGGTAGATGGGTTAAATTGAAAGGAATCAAAAATGGGACATCTGAGCAACCTCAAAAGAAAAGGTCCATGCAACTTTTTTTCCCAAGGGTAATTTTTGAAGTGTCAATCAAGAAGCTTGACAAATCTTGTTTGTATTTAAGGGATCGTTATTGTCACAAAGCAACGGGAATAAGCAAAAACATGGTGATCCAGTCACGTGATTAAAACTTCCTTTTGTGCCTTAATAGGTTGATGCAAACATTTTTCGTACTCTACCACCGTCTGACAATCCAGACTTTGATCCTGAGGAAGATGATCCAACTCTAGAAGCTTCTTGGCCTCATTTGCAGGTGAGATCTATATTCATGTTCATTGTAAGCTGGTCAAAGCAGTATGTTTTTATCCTGGTCTGAGGTACATGCAATTTTTTCAAGTTACTTTGGTAGTTTTATACTTGTTCCAACGTGCTCTGGATTAAAGTGGTCCAGGTTTGAGCCCATCCTGAGGTCAGTGCATCTATTCTTAGAAACATTTCCCTTTCTCGAGGTCTCATTTAGTAGTAAAAGTTTGTGGGTTTCACATAATTATTAGTTAGCTGGTGACAGTATTTGACATACCTTCTGATATGTACTAGTTAGCATTTTAGCCAAGAGAGACGTTAAAACTCTCCAGTTGCTTCACATGTGGGCTAGTTTATCAAGATTATGAACTTTGTTTCTGAGGAGTTTAGGCCAAATGTAATGAGTGCTTTTTGGAAAAGGTAGAATTTGTCTTTCTTGGAAGGAAATCTCTATATATTGGTTTCCCTTGAAGGGCAAACATTGGAAGAAGCAGCAATTTAGCAAAATTGATTTTAAGAATAGTGATCCTTTAACAGGATGACAAATAATGACCTTGAAAAATGCAGGGAAGATGTTTTGTTCAAACTATGATGTACCTCTGTAAAAATTTTAAAAAAATGTGTTTTGAGACAAAAGGGTGCACTGCTGAAATATTGTTACCATTTTTTTTGCCATTAGAAACTCTCCCAAACTATGATTTTTTGTGTATTTTCCAAAGTAAAGATAAAGAAATAATACCCTTTTACCAAAAATTCTCTGTACAGTTACATCAATTTGTTTTCACTTGTTGAAGGCATAATGGTGCATGTGAAAAAATTTATTTCAGTGACATTTTGAAGAAAATAATGTTTTAAGTTCAACTCCTGTGATTTTTATGTATATTCTTTGGCTTTTAGATATTGATTTAAGTGGCATAACAGATTTGTTGGTTTTTATTTGGAAATTGTAATGTTTCCTCAGTATTTACTCTCTAAATTTACATTTTAATTATTTTGTACAAAAATTTCATTCACATCTGAGGCAGAGCACTTTGAAATGTGATTGTCTTGAATTTTGAAATGGCAGCCAAATAAAATATGTTTCTGTTAGCTGGACATCAAACTGATGTTACTTTTTTTATCCTTTTTAATATTATGTGTGATATTTATTCAAGGTGTGATATTTAGGTGGTTCTCTTCTCCTGTAATAATTTACATACCACTTGTGATTAAAATGTCACTTTGGGTGTATGATAATCCAACATTAAATGAAATTGATCCTACATTCTACTTAGGAACATCGTCTTGGCACTAAGAAAAAATCTTGTGGGAAAGATTTAACAAATAAATAGGCAAAGAAAAACTACTTTACAGTTAGGGCCATTTTTTTCTTTTGCTGGTTCTAGGAGGGTTACATTTGTTTTATTTATTATGATATATTTTGAGTTCACCAACTGTATGTCTAGCTTGACAAAATTTACAGTAGTTCCAACTACACGATTGAGATGTCTCATCGCAAGGAGTTCCTAATAAAAGCAGTTGAAGTTTAATTAATCACATTGATGTTAATTTTTTCTTGGCTGTAAATTCCAAATTTTGGAGGGTTGTATCAAGTGAGATAATTCCATGTTTAATTATATTTCTGCCTACATAAGTAATTACATGTTTGCTTGTATTCTTATCGTGATAAAGTGCAACAAGATGGAAAAAGAACTTTAACATTGTTGATATTATTTGCCTTTGCCCTTTTTTCGAAAATCACAATGTCCACATTAGATGCCTTTTTCCATCCCCGGAATTTTCCTTCAGTTTACATTTAAGTATATTTGAAATTTCTAACCAGGAGGTACTTTATTAATTGTTGTTACTTAGCTGATCATAAAATTTTTAAATCACAAAGGGCAAAATTTCCCTGTTGATATCCAGTATGATAAATGATCACTAATACAAAACTTGAAGAATAGATTGATAATTAAGGTATTCTTCTCTCTTCTAGTGTGTGTGTGTGTTTGTTAGGTTTTTTTGTTTTCCCCAACAACCTTGTTTTTTATGTTTTAATTCACTCTAAATGAAAATGATTATTTATTCTCTGACCTTTCTAAGCTCCTTGGAGAAAGTACAGGAATAACCTTGCTTCCCATTTTCTTTTCACTGTTTTGCAGATAGTCTATGAATTCTTTCTTCGCTTTCTGGAATCTGCTGAGTTTCAACCCACCATTGCCAAAAAACACATTGATCAGAAGTTTGTTCTACAGGTAAAACTTCTTTACTACAAGTCTTTTCTCTGTCTTTTGTACAAATCTGGTGATTTTAGTACTGAGAATCCAGTGTTAATTCAAAAAGTCCCCTTGTTGATATTTTTCTTTCCTCTTGTTACCTTTATCCTGTGCTGATGTTGTAAGGAGAAATTGCAATCAGGGAGTGACGGGGTAAAGACGACTTGTAAAGACGCCTCGTTTTGACTTACATACAGACTTCAAGCAATACCACTGAATAAAGACATTAAAAAAAGCTATGGGGGCATTATGTTAGTTTAAATTCATTACCAGTCGATGGGTGTGGGCTCATTTAAGGTTATTGTTTGTCAAAGGCAATCCTGTAGCAGGAGCTCCCCTAGTAGAAACTGCTAACTGGCACCAGCATACTTGAAAGATAATGGTAGAAAAGTACTCTGGCAACTAGATATGAGCCAATTCAAGTGTTTGTAAAGCCTATGAGTGAAAAAGACTGTGTGAAATGCAGGAAATTCAAGATCAGCTTTAATTTCCCTGAGGACTCGTAAAAATTCTCCCTCATTGAAAGCAGCAGCTGTTGACAACATTGGCTCAAGATTGAGTCAGGCTCATTTACATTGCTCACAATTTCTTAAAACTTTATGGATAGAGTTATTTCCACTTTCGAAAATATTCTGCTGATAATATATAATTTTTTCTTTGTATTTTGCTATGTAGCTTTTAGAACTCTTTGATAGTGAAGATCCTCGTGAAAGGGATTTCCTCAAGACTGTGCTTCACAGGATATATGGGAAGTTCCTTGGACTTAGAGCATACATCCGAAAACACATCAATCACATATTTTTAAAGTACGTGCACAAACTTTTTTGGCATCTTTTGGTGGTTTGTTTTCTCAATTCATGGTGAAGTGTAATGTTTTGTCATTGCTTGAAAAGGGTTTGAGAATTTGATTTATGTTGTGTTGCAGATTTGTTTATGAGACAGAACACTTCAATGGGGTGGGAGAACTGCTTGAAATCTTAGGAAGGTGAGTTTGATAACTATTCATGTTTCTGTAACCTTCACAAATCAGCTTCTCTTTTACCTTTTTTAATTTTTTTTTTTTCGTTTTACGATGCAACTTGAATCATTGGCTGAAGTTTTCTGATACATGAAAGGAGCATCATTTTTAAGAGGAGATTATAGATGAAAGATAGAGGAAAAAACCTATGTTATTTTGATCATTTACTTGTATGGTACATTCAGTGACAGAGCTAGATTTTTACTCAAATCTGTGTAACAAGTTAAGGCTGGATAAAGCTTGGTATTGTGGACATAGATAGAGTGAAACAGCTCAAAAGTTTACGTTTATGGTTTGCTTAATCTAAAGTTGAACATTTGAATTTGTCTGAGTGAAGATGGATGGTTGAGTTAGATTTAGCCATGTTCAATTTATTGGAAAACAAAAATGATTTAGTACTCAGTGATAGGAAGATTGTCTGTGTTTATTTTTCAGCATCATTAATGGATTTGCACTCCCTCTTAAGTCTGAACACAAGATGTTTTTAAACCGTGTGTTGATTCCTCTTCACAAAGTCAAGTGCTTAGGCCTCTACCATGCACAGGTGAGAAAACAAGAAAACATCTAAGGAACCTTGAACAGACACCTGAAAGTTGTTGTTGATTCCTTGTTGCACACTGGGACAGATGATGAAATATTTTCTAGCATTCATTACATGGTTGCTTGTAAATCAGTGCTTCTTTGCATAAGATACATTAACACAAAGGAATTACTTGATGTTATTTAAACATAATATAGCCGTCTTCTAGACTTTGTATAGCCATGGCAGTGGTTTTACCTGTCAAATCCCTCTTCACCTTTTCACTCGCAAGATCTCAATATAAATTATCCACTTTATACACCATAGGCTTTTCATAATTGTACAGCTCCGAGAATTTGTTTAGAAATCAAACAATATTCTTCGGAGATAGTTTTCCTTCTTGTCATCTCTTTCTGTTTTAAAATTTTTTTGATACTGTATGAGGAAATTCCTCTTTGGTCAAATTAGTAATGAAAGGTCTAATTTTCATGCAGGCATCGATGCATCATAACAGGAAAAGAAGATTGCTTACTTCTGTTTTATTCATTCTTGAGTAATGATAAGCTTATCAAGATAAAGGTTTCTGCAAATCAAATTAGGATTGTTGCACAACTTCTATCATTAAACATTTCCTTTGGCTGGAACATCATACAGGTGTTAGTTCTACTTAAAAAAAAATAATCAGACTGTTTGTGGTACCCTGTTTGTTGATGTACCCTTTTGGTTATTTTTACTTATCTTTCTTGTTTGTCTGTTGATTTCAGTTAGCGTACTGTGTTGTTCAGTTCTTGGAAAAGGATGCCACACTTACAGAAAATGTGAGTATTTTTAAATGGGAATTTTGATTTTTCTGGTGTTTTCAGAGGTAATGTCTTTTTTTTTATGTGATGAAAGATAATGATGTTCATTCATGAGTGAGCTTTCTGCATACATGGAGAAGTTTTGGAGAGTTCATTCGTAACCCTTTAACTCCCATGAGTGACCAAGACAGAATTTCTCCTTACAATATCATTACAATATCGACCAGATAAGTGATGAGAATGAAGAAAAATATCAATTTGGGGATAAATAGTTGATCCAATACTAAATTTGCTGAACTAACATCATAGGAATTGTATTGTTGACAGTGAGGAGAATTACAAATTGGATCTGGGAGTTATAGGGTTAAAGTGTGACAGTTTTGCTCTCACCTCTTGGTTTGGAAACAGGGAAAAGGTCCAACACTAATGGGTGACTAGGCTTGTTAGTGACTGTAGAATCAGTATGCACATTCTTCTCCACGTTTCCTACAACACTGACTGGGAGAATTTGTTTTATGATCATGAGCTTGTTTAGATGGTGATTACTTCCCTCATTCTCATGGCCTCAATGTCTCATTTACCAGAGATACTTCAATATTAGTCATCCTTAGAGGTTTAAGTGTTAGATCTGTCTGTTTCTTACAGGTTGTTTTAGGCTTATTGAAATACTGGCCAAAAACAAGCAGTCAAAAAGAGGTGAGGAGGAGCCTATTGTATCAGTGAAATCCTTTTCTCTTTTCAAACATCTAGTAGGGTCCTCAAAGGAAGATTGTTTAGTAATTGTTGTCTGTAGATTGGGTTATTTGTCTACCAGAATTTCTACTCTGTATTGCATAACCTGTGAGATGTTGACAATTTTTTCAGTGTAAACAACCATGTAATTCAACATGTACACTCATTTCCTAGTTACAGTGTACATGAGAAACTTCCCTTGTAGTCATCTGTAGATTTGGAAAGCTTGTGCATGTTCCAAGTTAAGCTTAGTACTGGCCATGTGTTGGAAGAATTCTGGAAAGTTATGCAAACATTAGACCGTCTCAGGTTTGCATAACTGTTTCCTAACCTCCTTGGTTTGTTGACGAGGCCATGTAAACAAGGAATCAGTCTTCTTCTGCATAACTTGTAGATAATCAACTTAGTAAGGTGCAGCTTAGCAGTTTCTCTAGCGACAAATAACTTAATTTATTTGATCTTCTTTGCTCCCTGTTCATACAAAGGCATTCCATTCGTATTATAGGTGATGTTCTTAGGCGAGATTGAAGAAATTCTAGATGTAATAGATCCAACCCAGTTTCAAAAAGTAATGGAACCGCTGTTTAAAACTATCGCAAGATGTGTGTCAAGTCCTCATTTCCAGGTAAGTATGCTGGGAACTTAAGCCTGCAAGCAGGCAGTCAGCGGTGCAGTGCCTTGAACAGCGCAGCAGCGAGAGACGAAGCAGCTCGTGTTGTAGGAAGTGCATGTCATTCTCGTGTGTGCCAGTAAAGACCTCCACAATTGTGCTAATGGGCGAGACGTGAAATTGATCTAAAGTCTCGCCCTTGGGAATCCGGCTGTCGACAAGACTGCTTAGATTATCTCTGTTCAAATACAACAATGCAGCCAAAAGCAAGGATTACGCCCAATAACAAAGGGAGTGGCGTCTCACACGCTGTGAGAATTTTGTCAAACCTTTCTAGTAAGCTGTTAATGCTGTAGCAAGGCAATTTGCACATGCGCAACTATTCCCTATTAGGGCATCACGACTGCGTTTACAAACCTCTTCTAAATTCACCCATCGTAGGATTGTTTCCTTAGCTTCACCGTGAATGAGTCCAAACTTTCCGAGTAAAAGTCAGTGGCAAATTAGCAATAACAACAACAACAGAAACAAAACAATAATTTAAACGTAGCATGTTACCGTATTCCTTTCAAGGGAAATAATTTTTTTTTGGGGGGGGGGGGGGCTAACTCCAGCCTGAAGGGAAAAGCCGGTGATTTCTCGTAAGCGCGCACAGTTTACGCGTAAACCAGGCATAGTAAGGATGTGCAATGCAAAATAGCCTTAAAACTTGGGGGGTCGGGAGAATGGACACAGACTCTACTAGTGGCCTCTCTAAAGAAAAATAACTCGTGACACGTTTTCTCTATTTACTTTTCAGGTCGCCGAGCGAGCGCTTTACTTCTGGAATAACGAATATATTATGAGCCTTATTGAAGAAAACTCGAATGTCATCTTGCCGATCATGTTTTCATCCCTCTATAGGATATCCAAAGACCACTGGAATCAGTAAGTGTTAGAACCATTGTGACGCTGTTATTATCGTGTACTCTCTTCTTTGTGCGGGCTGCGTGGAATCGTTTCAAGTTTCGGGATCGTTTCCCTTTAATCCTTAACCTCCAAGCGTCGTTAATCTTGTTGAGAAGGATTATTATAAACAATTTAATGTGTCTGGCAACAAACTTATACCACACCTCTTGACTTAAGACTCGAGTTGTTAAGGTACACGCCAATTCAATTTTCTGGCGCAGTCGTGGTGCGGGAGACTGAGGTATTAGTGATGAGGATCAATATCCTTAACACCGAGCTGTTTTATAGCTGACAACCATATCGAGAAAAGGTATTCCCGGCTTAAAGCGCAACCTCAGGAAGGCGTGTTAAAATCCTAGACAAACCCTTTTGGATTTTTTATCCTGGATTATTGCTAATCACTCTTTAAAAAAACAACAACAACAGACATCAAAGATTAACAATCAGCACGGGTGCTGGTGTCAATCTTTGTCTGATTCTCCGCTAACGAAGTGTCGTTACATTAGTAGTTGAAATTTAAACGAGGAGGGTTTGAGGTTTCACGGTTTTGACGCTGAAGTTGTTCCTGAGTCTGTCGCAATTCGTGAAAAATCAACCTTTCAAGTAATCAGCAGAAAAGTGATAATGATATGCGTTCGTTGACTTGAATTGATTGATTGATTGATTGATTGATCGATCGATGATTGATTGACTGACATTGATTGATCGGTTGATGACTGATCTTTTGATTGTCTGATTGATCGACTTATAGCGAGAAATTAATAGCTCTCGTGTTGTTATTTAATTTGCTTTGTGTCACCATTTAATATTTCTTAGTGCAATAAACCAGATGATAAAAAGCGCTAAATGCCGAACTGGCTTCTTTTCCTTTATAGGACCATCGTGGCCCTCGTTTATAACGTTTTGAAGACCTTCATGGAAATGAATTCAAAACTGTTTGACGAGCTAACATCTTCGTATAAAAGCGATAGACAAAAGTAAGAGTAGTTTCTTATTTTATAATGGTTTATGCGTTTTCCTCTGGCAGGAGCCCATTAAGTGATGGACTCCTGCCAGAGGAAAACGCTGAACAATGGGCTCCAGCTTCTGGTTATTTTTTTCTATTGTTTTTGGTGATAAAAAAGAAATGGAACAAGGCAGTGATTAAGAGCTGATTCGTAATTCTACTTTCAAGCTTGAAAGATACATGCAGAAATTTCAGCTTGAGAGCGTGTGAATTTGTCCAAACAGAATAGGAAGTTGAAATTGAGTGCAGAGGGTTAAGGTAGTAATGTGTTATTGAATTCTTATCTTATGAATTTTTTTTTCAACATGGTTTAAAAAAAAACGTTTGAGATGTAAAATATGAAATATAAAATGTGATAAATTCAGTGAATGAACTCAGAGAATATGGTTACTCAACCTACCTTCACGATTAGACTGGTTCTAAATTTTTGTTTTGTTTTGTTTTGTTTTCATTTGAAAAGGGAAAAGAAAAAAGAGAAAGAAAGAGATGAGCTATGGAAGAGACTTAGTAAGTTGGAATTAGATTCCAAAAACAAGTCAACTTCCTCGGTGTCCAGTCCCGCGGGTTCCAGCCTTAGTATCTCGACCAGTTCGGGATCCGGGTCAGCGACGAAGAGCTGAGCTAGCGGTCAGACCTTCTCCGACATTTTGATTTGTGTGACAGTGTTTTTGCAACACTCCGTTCACCAGTGTCTGAAAGAAATTATTAATTTCCAATTTGAGGAAGTTGAACTTCGACTTGCCACACGTTCTTCGAGAAAGCACGAAAGAATTTATTAATTTAAGATGTCGTATATTGTTCAGACTACTTGAGAGTTGTTGCGTACCCGTCTGTTAAAAAAAGTAGTTACCTCGGCGGAGGTCGGTCGGTGAAATGAGCTCCGACAAGCGCCATTTTATCGTGTAGGTTGTTTAATGCGCTTTGTCGGCTCACCTACCCGTCGTTGCTGGGCATGCGCAGTCGATCCATGTTCATATGGTGGGTGGTCTGGTCTTGTCATACTTGGTAGCACAGTAACCATGGTAACGTTTTCTTGTATATGACCGGCGTAGAGTGGTGATTCTCCATAGCTGGTTACCCCTGTAAGCCTGTATGAAATCAAAGCTTAGGAAGAAATAACGTGTAATCAATTTCTGTAGATAGCCCCTTTCTTGACGGGAAACCTCGGCTGTGAAACAGTTTTAATTAAGTGGTGGCCTCTTTAAGACAGATTGTTGTGGCTTGCTAGAGAAATATTGTAAAGGGAAAGTCATTTTTGTTTTTATCCTGGAGTAATATTACGGCAAAAAAGTTGTACCCCCTGTTCACTATGCACCTCTTTAAAAGCATTGGAGTTCTTTCTTAATTTACTGCAAAATCATCAAATCAACTAATGAAACTTTAAATCAAGAAATACAACGCAGCTTTCCAGCCGAGGTTTCCTTTTACATTTTGCAATCCTGTTTCTCCAGCAGTATTTTCCATGTATGTAGGTTTTTACTCTGAGATGGCTTTTCTTTACTGCTTTCAAACAGTTCCTTTAAGGGACACGGATTAACTGAGTTGACGGTATTTTTCACGTGACGAGGGAACGAACAATAAACAGTATAGATCTTCATGACGTGCCCTATGTAATGTTGCTAGATTTTGCCAATGAGCGAATTCTTGACTTGAGTGCGTGGGCGTAACTGGGACACACTTTGCACAGACAAGGTTGCTTTAATTTATCGATTCGGTGTTGTTAAGGCGAAACCAAACAAGTCGTAAACTAGATAATAAGGTTTTATCAACTTAGTTGATAATGTAAATTTGCCACCGTGAAGAGTTTCTTTAAGTGGTCAATTTACGTTATCAACTCAGTTGATAGAACCAAATTCTCTTGTGCAAACCCCCCTTCCTCCGACGCTGCACCACCTCAACTTCTTTTACTTTCATTGGTCTTAAACGACCAGTCAGAACAAAGGGAACAATGACAGTTTCTGTGTGAGCTTGTGTAGGGGGTGTGGAACTGGGGTTTGTGTGAATGAAACACCACAACATAGCATGGTAACGCTTGACTACCGCCCGTAATACCATGAAACTTCCATTGCAGGTCTGTTCAAAACATAGTAAACCGAGTGCGCGTTAACCAGCATAAAAAATTTTGATTTTGCTCTGAAGCCCTGTAGACTGCCTTACTGTTTAAATTTTGCACGGTTCAGTTTTTTCCATACACCCAGATTTACGTCCGTAGAAGGATGGCCGCGTGCATGATGGTTTTTTTTCCTACTCGGGGGGAAACAAGTCGAAGTTAGCGTTTAGTTTTGGTTTGGCGCTACCTGCCCTAGAACAACTGGACCATAAACCTGATCGGTTCCTTGTTTGACGTGATAGCTGTATGAAACAGCATTCCTTTGCATTCAAAGTGATCAGTTTTCGTCGAAAGTCCTAGGTTCAGATCCGACTGACTCCATTAAGACCGACTACTGAAAGTTTACTCTTGTTTTCACTTATCTAGGCGCGAACAGGACCAATGTAAAGTAGTGATGTTAAAACGTGATGGAACATTTGGGTTCTGTGTATCTCGTTGCAGATTCTTTTCTCGGATAGCCGGATTCTAGCATTTTGCTTCTAGTTTTAGGTTTTCCCTCGGTCTAATCTATGATGTAGGTGCAGCTCGATCTCGACTTATTCTTAAAAACCCTCACCTTGGAAGTGGATCCCCCATGGAGAACAGTTTTATTTATTGATCCCAAAATGATTACTATATTTTCCGCAGGTGTACTTGTTTTGCGAGGTTAATCAACAATAACCTGACTGAATAGATTCCCTGCGCAAGTCTGCGATAAATCGAACACTGCAGTTTTAACAACTAAATGATACAACACAAAATAAAATTTGGAAATTGGATTTTAAAGATAATATGAAAAGGTAAATACACAATGAATGCTGGTGGCCTGAGCGATCACTTCCGGCATCCACCCGTGCAAACCTGGTTGAAGTTCATAGCACAAGTACTGTAACACCGGTTCGATTCGGAACGCTTCGATGCACTGTGTCTATCGTGGAATCAATGATCATACCGTGTTAAATTTGTCGCTGTGACGCCCGCCAAACAAAGCAAATTTTGATGCTATAAGGAAACCCATGCCAATCTGCTGGGGAACTGATGCTGAACAAAGCTTCCGAGAACTGAATATTGCAGTGCGTTGGTAAAGATTTTGCTTTTTTTAACTTTCCAAGGTACGTGAGACTGATTGGGCTTTCGTTCCTAGTATTTAAATTTTTTTTTTCACCTCTGAAGACAGGGTGGTTTTGCGAAATCGCGCTGCTCTTAAATCCTTTGACTGATTCACCCGTGTAGACAGCTCGAATTGGTTGCAAAGCGGTCAGATACAGTTGTTTAAGATGGGTCTGGAAGCTTGCGTTTATTTTAAAAATCGAAGGAAAATTTCTCTAAGATTTTTCCTGAATACCCTTCGAGTCACTTGAGCAGCTAAACAGGTAAGCTTTTGTTACACAACTGCAAATCTCTACTCTGTTATACTCATCTCCTCTTTCCACACCAACTCAGATTTCTCTGTAGCTGCAAACGAAGCGTATCTATTTTCTAAACGGCTTTCAAGTCATTTCTCCGCAATAAGGCTGTGAAACCTTCTTATTGTCAAGCAGCTCTATCTTAAACTGGAACCTCTTTTAAGTCCTTTGCGAATCGTTAATTATTCATGGCTTCTCTATGTTAACTTTCTTAATCATATCATGAAATAGGCCTCGATTTTTGTGAGTTTTGGAACATATTTTATGCCTTTAGTAAAAGCTGCGAAATCTCAAATGCTCTCCAAGTGTTTTCAGCGAAAACTCGATAAGATAACTTCATTATTCCCGTTGTCTTGGTCCATTGTGTTTTTTTTAGCAACTCCTGCTTGCACCGGGTCAAACCACTGAAGCACTAGCTCACACGGAATCGCACAAAGAAAAGATTGACCATCGCACGTCATGAAAAAAAATTAATAATAATAATTTCAGGAGTATCTTAGATAATTGACATCCATTTAAGAAATCCCTTTCACTTCAGAACCTAGAATCAATATCGTAAAGAATATCTTCGAAACAATCTGCGTTGTAGCAAAGACTCTCTCTCATTGCGCAATTTTCCGGGGAATAGCGGAACACAATATCGCAATCTGCATAAATTATAGCTTCAAGGAAGAAATTGTGATATGTTCAAGGATATCTCAAGAGTGAGTCTCAGAGAAATTAATGTAGCTGGTTATTTTGTAGATACCAACACCTGAAGAATGACATACCAAGTTGCAATCATAGAGTTTATAGGACTAGCTAAGGGACAGTGCAAATATTATTACGCCTTCAGCAGACTTCACTGATCGAGTCAGTCTTTGCATTGCCCGGATTTTAAAATTAAGTGTTATTTCACTTTATTTTTGGTGAGTCGCTCCAGTGGTCCATTAGAGCGAACTGGGTGATTTTATCCACGTGTATCAGAAACACAGGTACCCTGAAACTGGATAGATTGATTAATCGGTAGGAAGCTGTTCCTCTCCCGGCACAAATACGGTCACTTAGGACCAGCTGATTGCACGCATTACCTAACTAGATATCTTTGGTATTCGTTCAATGATTGGAGAACGGCTTACATTGTCAGTTTTTCGACTTATTTTTTGACGCAAACTTGTCTTTGTAATGCTTCTCAATAATTAAAGGAAACGCAGAGCGTTTATAGTTTCCGTAAGTTGCTGAGGCTGGAGTAACGTGCAAGTTCCAGACAGCCTGTTTTGCTGGACGAAAAACATCATTCCCTTATGAGCAAACAGACAGCCAGCCAGGAATTTTTTCAACAGATTATTTAACTTGAACTTCGAATCATTAATATAATCTGCACAGATCACAATTTTTATTTGCTCAATCGTGGCCTCTTGAAGCTTCCGTACGCAAAGAAAAATCCTTGATTGCGGTGAATCAGGAACGATTTAATGTGAGCAAAACTAAGTTATCAGCGCAGGGTCCTGGGTAATTACTCGCGACTTTCATTTTTAAATATGAAGGATTTTCCTAACTTTTTTTTTTCTTCATTTTGGAAATTGGAGGCTTTAGCGCTGCAAAAAAAGTATGTGCATTCGTTCATGAAAGAATTTTAATGAGTGGCTAAAATTATTCCAAATCTATTTTTTTTTTTAATTTAAAACTGAAGTTACTGCGTCATTTTTCTTGTCAAACGTGTAGTCTCAGCCCAGTTTTCAAGGTAAAGTTACACAATTGTTGTTGAAAAACGCCTCTTAACTGTGGGTTTAGGATTCCTGAGATATTATTTGTGCACAATAGTGAAAGATGGAGTTATGGGATGGCGGAATTGGAAATAAGTGAAATTCTTCCGAATAAAACTGCCTTTGTAGACATTAGTCCATAGCGGTAGCTCTTCGCTCTCCAATAAGACCAGGCAAAACCTGCTCTCCGACCGGTGTTCGTTTACAAAAAGTTTATGGGACGAAAAATAAGAGATCCTGGTCGCATGTAAAATTCATGACCATTTTCTTCAGAGCACTGAATTTGAGCGATGGTTTCTGACGGGAATGAAGGCTTTGGTACAAGTTAAGGGAATTTTGAAGCGAATGCCAGTACAAAGAAAGGCATCTAGGACAACATGTAAGCAGGTGGGTTCCTTTGTTCGCTGCGCAAGCCGTATTGATTGACTTGCAAAACAAGTTGGAAATTATTTCGTTATTTCGTTCAAACGATTTTTACGTTACACTTTTCTGCAGCTTGCATCATTCAAAAAACACAGTTCTGCTTCTCTTAGGACGAATATAACTTTTGCGAAATATGAAGTGATGTCTATTTGACGATATGAACTTCGATATGAATTTCTTGCGTGGATAGTTCAGCAGCTTTTAGCAGGGCTGGCACAGGCATTTAAAAAGCCTCCGGATCGGAAGCTGTCGAGGGTTTTAAATTTAATCTATTTAATTGTTTGCAGCCAGTATTTGCAAAGGATTACTTAAAGAAGAATGTGTCAATTTCAATCCTCCAATTTCCAGAGCGCACAATATTTTGAAGCTTTCCCTGGACGAGGCTTTTCAAGTAGAAATTACTTACTTTTATTTTGCGCCTGCTGGCAATTTAGCAACACGTGCCTTATAATTTCACGCATTTTCTGATAAATCAACAATGAACAATAGATTTTTAATGGACAAATCTGCTCGAGGATAAGAGATTGTTCTGTTTAGCGAGCACTGATTTGAAATCTCCTGAGACTATACATTTCCGACCTTTTGTCTCGTTAACAGCAGTAAAATACACCAACAGGTGTTCCGAACAAGTTTTCCAAAAACATGCCTGCCCTCAAGTAAATTGTTGCAGGAAATTTTCGAGTGTTTGAACAAAAAGAAAAGCGAAGTAGCAGCAGTGGATCACACGATAAGGTTGCGATACGATGAAACAGACTTCTGAAAGTTTTACGCAAAGGAATTTTTCGAGCGCCACTCGTCAAAGTGACGCAAATTCAAATTCGTGCTTTGTTTCACAGATCGCGGAAAATAAAAATAGGGAAATCTCTGCGCGAAAAAGTCCCTAAATTTTCCCCCAATAAACTAGTTTCAATTTCCGCTTTCGGTCAATGTCCACAATCGGCACTTTTAGTAATAATCACATGAGACGGCAAGATCTATGATCACGGGTCCATGTTTAATTGTCCCTATAAATAACACTGCTGGCTACAGTTCAGCCTTTCTACGCGGAGACTGTGCAAAGTTCAGGCAAGCTTGGAGTATCGTTAGTGTTTTTTTTTTGGTTTTGTTTTGTTTCTCTGAGTGATATCTTTTCGCGAATCGTGCTGGTACCAGGGGGCTTACTAGTACTAGAACTGGTTTAGGACGCCAGTGTTGTAATTAGGGGCGTTAATTGGATGTTTTGTTACTCCTTTATAATACGTTCGAAGGGTCGACTGTGACCCGCAAGGACGTTCTAGAACTCGTGGTCAAAAATAAACTGTGAGGTAATTGCATCGCGAAGCGGAACCTTTGTTAAAGGATCGATCCTTTTTAGGGGACAAATATTTGACACAATAATATTGTTGCTACGCAGCTTGCAATGCGGGCTGTCAATACACGCTGCAGAAGCGAGAACATTTTTGTGTTAGAGAGCTCATTATAGGATTCTAAGGATGACTACAACATGGAAAATTCGCCGTTTGTCGTGTTTTTAGTTCAAATTTCTGCAGAAAGCGTAAAAAAAAGCGCTTGCGTTGCATGTCAGCACGCTTTGATGTCGCAGAGGTCAAATTGCTTAGCGTGTGTCATAGTACGTATTGGCTTTCGAATGTACTGGGTAAAATCGATGACGTATCAAAGACTTCCGTTTAATTCCACCAAGAGATAACGCATGCAGAAAGCGAAAACAAAACGCTTCAGACTGCAAGCAAAATTAAGTCTTAGAAAGAATAATTTGGTTTGTTTCATATTGAGCTAATTTCCGTCTGCATTTATAGGAGTTTTCGTTTGCAACGTACGAAGTCCATGCAATGTTTACCTCGATTAATTTGAGTGACGGTATTGAGAGTCGAGGTCAATGGACGTTCGCTTTTGGCGCGGAACCGTATTGTTTATATTTATAGTGAAATCTGACTCATGGGTTGTTGCCCACCCATTCCCAAGGGATCTCTATGGCTACTATGATTGGTCCGTGGGCGGGAAGTGATTGTATGGTGATGTGTGACGTAGATCAATAGCTAGTTGTGAAAGGCCCCCGGTTGATGAACGTCGCACAAAACTGGAAACTCCAATACTTAGAAGTTGGGAGCCAAAATATTTACGAGTTCCTCACTTCAATTTATTGCTTAGACTGTGATCGACCACCCAAGAGTTGATTTGAGGTGTTTTTTGGGGGATCGAATGTAGAGTTCTGCGGAGAACCCAAGTTTCCGGTAAGCAAATGTCGTTTTCACTTCGAACGCGTGGAGACGTTGGTTTTCAGTTGTGTCGTCATTTCGTCTCGCTACGTGGAAGCTTTGCGCTTGTTTACTCTGCTTCTAGTGCTGCCGATTCCCAGGGATTTTGTGTTCATCGAAGACTTTTCAGTCATGGTGGGAGTGAAAGTCCGTTTTCTGTTGAATTCCACGTTTTTCTTTCTTAAAAGCAAGCTGCAAGTTTTATTGACGGCTAGTTATAGCTACATTTGCATGAACTACGCACGCCGCTTCAAACTCGAAAAGTAGGGCAACACTAATCTTGACCAAGAATTCTCCTTACTCGTTGTGTAGATCTTGAGGAGAACGTCGCATGATTGCCATTCTTACCAAAAATATGATGTACTAAAGGCAACAGCTATTTCCTTGTTTCGTTTTCCATTTTCTGCATCGCATTTTTATATATAAATAACTCGATATCGTTCCAGTAGAGAATGCGTAGGCACGGAAAAACTCGTTCTTTGTCGTGTCGAATCAGCATTCTCTTTGATATTCCCTTTAGATCGTTTTTTTTTCACAGTTTTATTTTGCCGTGGAAAGGTGTTCAGGCATGAAAGTAAAATTATGTACCGTTCATTGCAGCTTTCACCTTTTATTGTCTCGTGATCCCCGTACAGTTTGTAGCTTCGTTCGTCTTCGACGCTTCCTTTCTCGTGTTGTTTTTGTTTTTTGCGATAATCACATCAGTGGCATGAAAGGACAGTTTTTAAGTAGCCGTAGTTCGTCACGAGTGTTACCTGGAAATCGTGCTCATAACATGTTGAATCGTGCCGGGTCAGTCAAAGCGAACTTTGAATATAATGAGTTTTTCTGAACACTATTACATGAAATACCGGGTTACAGTAAGTATTTTCCGCACAAAAAATTTCGAGTAAATAATGTTTTTCTTGTAGAAGGGGTTCGAGAAACATATCTTTAGGAGATGTGAAGAAATTCAACTAACTAGCCTCGCCAAGGTTTCATTTTTCGTTTACCTGAGATCCTTATGGTTCGTGTTTTATTGATAACCTTTCTATTTGCTTTGTTACAGCTTCTTACGAAAGTGAATTACGTCCATTGATTCTTTGCTTTGAGCGCCCTGCCTTGGCGCTTGCGAAAACAACCAGCAGCCGCGCGGGACAGTGTTTTATTGGAACAGACTTTACTCGTAATGTCTTTTGAGACTTTTCCGTGTGGTAGCCCCGAAGCTGAAAGCACAGAAGAGCCAGCTCCCTCATTATATGTTGAAACTCCAGAGGACGATCCCTCTAGCTTGCTAATCAAAAAGCCAGTCATGAACACAGAACCCTCAAGGCTCGCCGAAACGGCGAATATCGAAGATCAGATGATGAGCGAAGATGAAATTGCTCAGGTAAATGCGAAAAGTGGCGATGCGTTGAAGCTAAACATGCGTAAGGACTACCAGGAAACAGAAGCAAGCCATCTTGGGAAAAAGAACGTCGATGATGCAGGGAGGCGTGCCATGGAAGGGAACAATGTCTATGAAGTCGCTCGACCTCACTGGATTCAGTTAAATTACGGAAATTCGTCATCTGTGCCAACTCATGCCACCACTCCGAACGATCGTCAACAACAAGAAAGCGATCGCGCTAGCGTAATAATTAAAAGATTGAACAATAAAGAACAACAGGAAGTCGATTCGGACTCTGACAACGATTCACAAGATTCGGGGAAGATACGAGGTAGCGAGCTTCGATGCAACGAGAAAATTTCTGATGGAAACGACGAAAACGTGAATGCAGTTCAACCTCATTCCTCGCGTGCACTGTATTATAATTATAATGCGCACCACGAGGATGTCAACAAACTGGAAGACAAAGGAAATGCCAAATTACAGAACGCTCGAGGGGAGATTTTGAGGAACGTGCACGGAGAAACCAAAGCGCTTCCTGTTTATTATATGCCTGCTGGAGCTTATCCACATATGGTTGCAATGGCCAGTGGAAATGCTGGAAACAGTGCTAATGTGCTAAAGAGGGAACATTTTGTGCACACTGGCATTAATGAGCTCAAGGGATTTCCTGTTCAGCACATGGATTATGTTTCAGGAAGGCCAGAGCAGCAAGTGCCTGTGGCAACAAGTACAGTAAACCCTGGAGAAGGAAATGTTTATGGAAATTTGCAGCATGGAGCTCCAGGTTTGCAGTTTATGGACAGGCGATTTGTCCATGCAGGGGGCTATGCCATGGTACCTGGACTTGGACATGTGCGATTGATTGATGGAATGTACTATCAAGGGCTCTCTGTAGGAGGTGATCAGGGTCGTTATGAAAACTTTGCAGCAGTACCTTCATTTGTGCCACTGAATAACATCCCTTCGGATATATCAGCCTCTCAGTCACAGTCACAACTACCCAGTTCAGCTGCTTCAAACACTGATGTGGTAAACCAGCGAGGTCAAGACAAGCTGCTAAGTAGGTGTCAAAAATTCTTTTAGTTATTGCGTCTGTAGATCAAATTAGATTTTCTTTATTATAGGTCCAAGGTATTGTTATCTTGCAATATTGAACTTGGCTTTCTGCAAGGCCAATACAGCACCTATACCTGATGACGTAGGTTGTTTCACTTGTTCTCAAAGCAGACTAATTAAGACAGTGGCTTTGTAAGATCTCTTCAACTGACATTGTTGCATTGTTTTATGAAGAGTCTTTGCATGGTTCAGTTAGCTCAAAGATCACTCCCTCCCTTTTATTGTCAGGCATTTGACAGCTCTAAGCCCAGTGGTAATATTTCAGGTCTGGTTTGGAAGCCTCTGTGCATGCAATGATTCAAATCAGTTCTAAGTACTTTTATCTACCTCTGTGCAAACCGCAAAGTGCCCCTGTTAGTACTCTGACAGATTTAGACTGAAAGTATTTTTTTGAATTGAGTTTTTTTGCAAAATGCTTTGGGAAGGGCTAAATCAATATTTTGGTAAGTATCTGCCATACAATACATTCTTCTGCAGGGAAAAAAAACCTCCCTTTCCAAAAGTACAAATTATTTTTAGATACATAAACTCTAGACATGTTGAAAACTTGAATGCCATAAAAGGTTATTCATCATGAATTGTGATATGTCATGAGTTGTATGTTTATCATTGGGTCTGAGAAATCTGCATATTTACTCCTTATTGTCAACTGATTTATTGTTTGCATGATAAGTCCATGATTTATTGTGGCTATTGCATGAAATGAAATTATGACCAGTGGAAGTATCCTTGAGAGCAGATGCTTGCGTTTAAAACTCTTTGCTTAGTCATGTGTACATCAGGCGATTTTGACAGCACTTTCTTTTTGACAAGCTAACTTGAGAAATGCAAACACTTCAGGGTTCATTTTGTAATTTAAGGCAGTAAAGAATTAGATTGGTATAGAAAAAGGAGCAAACTTTTTTTTCTGATTGAATCAAATTTTGATAATTTGTGTCACTGTTGTATTTAGATCAGAAAAAATTATTTGGTAGTTTCTACTGTTCCATTAAATAAGATATTGAGAGACAGTGCTGAATGAAGGAAATAATGTACAGTAATGGAACTGTGAGGTTGCTTTTAAGCTAAGCTTTTACAATGCGCAACCACAACCAAGGTAGCTTCTCATATAAAAAAAAGGAAATTTGATACACTCTATTTTTCCCAATGAAATATCTGTGATTTAAGTGGTTGTTAGTAAGATCTTATGAGCAGTGCTTGAGCCATTAAAAATACATGATAATACTCTGTCAAAATTTTAGCTACTGCATGTGGTGACCAGAAGCCAATCTTGTCCCACAGTGGACTGATAATTTATTATTTTAGGAAGCAATGGATTTTAATTGATGCATTTTTTGTGGTGAAACTGAGCCTGTGAATTCATTATTGACATTCCACAGATGCTGCCAAGCCTTATGTAAGCCCTGTTCATTCTGCTGTGTCTCCTGTGTCAAGTTTGGAAGAACGGAGATCAACAAATTCTCCAGCTGTTAAGAGTGACAGCAGTAGTCCAGCTCCTGGAGAAGATCCTGACAGTAAGAAACTTGCTCAAAGCAAATTAAAAGGCAAACCAAAGCCCACCACAGGGGCCTCCAAGCCAGAGATAAAGTGTGAGCAATGTGGGAAAACCTTTACGTCATCTAGTGCCCTTGCAAAGCACAAACTTACTCACAGCGATGAGAGAAGATATGTCTGCTCTACTTGTGGAAAAGGATTCAAAAGACAGGATCATTTGTGAGTGAATTAGGCTGTTTCCTGTTTGTGTAGATTGGCTTAATTCACTGTTGACATTCAACATAGTACCGGATCCAGGGGAAATACTCCCTTTTGTGGTCATCAAATTTGTACCTTGATTTGTATATCTGCTATAAAACATTGTTTTGTGAGCAGAATTTGCACAGATGTTGAAGGAACATTCAAGTAAACAAATAATTGAAATTGGATCTTCAGGGTCAAATCCGGTGTGAACTTAAAGATCAAAGTCAAATTTTTCTCACATTGAGCACTTTCTTCTTTTGATAACAGAGAATCACCTGATATGTATCTAAGGAACTCTCAAAGTAATGGTATACTGAAGGAGCAAAAAAATACTTGTGAAATTCACCCACACCACAATTATAATTGATTGTTTTGACTCCAGTAGATCAATTAAAAATAGATTACAAACAGGCTTTTGCGTTTTAGTATTCACAATATATGATGATAAGTTCATTAAATATGAACCAGAGATCAGATTGAAATGAATTTTTATGTTTTGAAATTTCAGAAATGGTCACATGGTAACCCATCGAGACAAGAAACCGTATGAATGCAGGTTTGCTGATTGTGATAAGAGCTATTGTGACATGCGTTCTCTACGTCGACACCTGGAGAATCATCACCCAGCCAATGGGAATAATGTCAATGATTCTAGACCACCTGGTTCTGGAAGTCCGAGCTTAAACTGCAATGATAAACTATCGCCAGCAGGAAGTAACGAGCAGGTGGGATCACCAAGAAATTTAACCAAGTTGACAAAGGTCAGAACAGTCAAGGATCGGAATGAGCACCTTCAAGTCAGTGGGTACGATAGTGGCAGGAGCTCAGGTAGATCAACACCTGGAAGCACTCATGAACCCAGTGCCCCCCGTGAAAGACCTGTGGATTTACCTCTGGAGGGGGCAGCATTGAACAGCTTGAGAGAAAGGGAAAGGAATAGTGACAGCTTCAGCTCAACTACGTCTGAGGATGGGCTTGGCAACTCTGCAGAGCAAAGTGTACCTGAGAAAGCTGCTGATGCTGCCTTAACTCATTCAGCAGTTGACTTGCTCAAGCAGGCAGCGGATCGTGTCAAAGGACAGAACAGTAGTCGAAATGTTAACGAAGGGTGGTCAGATAGGTTACCACAGCAGTCCTATGTGGTATACCGCCCAGAGGGAACACTTCACCCGCAGTGGTATCAGACAGCATTGTACGCTCAGGACCCACGGCTTATGTACCCATCCATGTATCACTTTCCCCCGACAGTGTTCCAAGTTCCTGTTAGTTCCCAGCAAGTCAGTGGATTAGTAAATGAATCCTGTCAAAGGATGGTGAATGATGTAGACACTCCTACGGAGATGACAAAGACTGTTGGGGTGTCAACACAGGCAACCCCATCACCTTCCCAAGATTACCGACCAGCAGATGCCATGCAGGTGGCATACTACAAACAGCAGCAAGGTGGAAGACATGCTGAAACTCCTACGGATCCCACTGCTGTTGCTGTAGCCACAGCAAAAGAAATGGGACAATTTAGATACACTGGTGAAAGTTTTTATGGAGTGCATCCTTCTGGAACACAGTGGCAACAGGTGAGTACTCCCTCATGTGATGCATTTCTGTAACAACGGTATTATGCAACACGTATAGTCCAGTGGTGACCTAGAGGTCAGTGCACTGGTCTCTGCAACAAGAGGTCTGTGTTCCAGCACGGGCTGGGTCAATGAGTTGTGTACTTGGGTTTGATACTTCACTCCAAAGTACCTTGCTCCACCCAGGAGTGAAATCTGATTGTGTCCAATTTTTTTTAGGTAAAGTTTATGATTTCAAGGAATTACCAGCAGCGAACTAGCATTTAGCAGGACTCTTGACCCTTCCACTCCAAAGATCCCATGATTAATTCTCCCTACTGACTGCTATACTTTTTCCTTGTAATTGGACAGGAGAATTAAGTCTTATTCCCAATTAACACCCTCAAGCTGATAAGTTTGTTTGTTATCATAACCCATTTTCAAGTTGATTTGATTGGGATTTTGCAAGAAGAAGTTACAAGTTATGAAAGGAACAATTGCTCCATATCATGAAAATCAGTGTAAGCACTAGCAGCAATCAATGGTTAGGCTAATTAGATGGTAGCAAGTAATTTAGTGTTAACAACTGGGTTGAAAACGTAAATTAGCCACTGTAAAGGATAAAAAAGCTGACGTTTCGAGCATTAGCCCTTCGTCAGAGTGATTAGAGGAATTGTGGGTTGTGTGTGGATTTATATGTAGAAAGTGGAGCTACGCCATTGGTGGGAATATGGTGATGAGAAAACAGGAATAAATTAGTTGAATGAAAAGCGCTCGTTGATTCCGTGGGGATTAAGGGTGCCGATTTGGAATATAAATTTTTTTATTAATTAGATGGTAGACTATTACAATGTAACAAACTCAAAGTCATTGCTGGTTTTTTTAATATGTTTTTTTGGTCGTTTATTTGTTGTTTGCTATTTGTTATTTTTTAATGTAATCTAGCTAGTAAGTTGCTCTGTCAGCTATTGAGTTGGTAAGGATTTCTTGCTGTATCATCAACCTTTTAGTTTCCATGAACACCTAGCCAGAAAAATATAAATGTATTTTTACTAAAATCAATTTGCCAATGATCTTCAAATGGTGACACTTTGATATAGTCAATGATAGGAACTGATGAGCAAAAAAAAAGATTCACATTATGTGAATGAGTTGTGTTTGATGCACTCTGAACATCAGGTTTTGGAATGTTATTTGCTAAAAAAAATTTAATTCTCTCCCTAATTTTTTAAAATGATTTTTATTCCATGGCATTTATGACCTAACTGTGTAATTTGGTGAATGATCAATGCATACATTTTCTTTTCCTTTCAAAGCTATTGTTTTTTTTTTCTTTTACAAAAGAAGATGGTTAGTGATCATTCTTTGTATAAATGTTCCTTTTTTTAGGACAATAATTTTTTTATGGACATCATGGAAAGAAAAGTGTGCATATATCATACCATTGTCAGATTGAAGACTTAGTGAGATTCTAGGCAGGCTTGTTTACTATTGAGATGGAGCACAATTTGTGGAGACGTTTATCATTTCATGCCTGACTGCTTTTCAATGAAGACTGATATGAATATTTAATTTAAAGTATTTGAAGTTCATTTGTTCAAAGATGGGAGCTTTAGACAGGCATGTTTCTTTTCTGCTTGACAGTCTCATATAGCACTCAGTGTATCACATCAAAGTTGCCTACTTTGATTCTATTTTTGTAACTCTCTTGGCTTGCAACATGCATTATTTAGACAGGAGGGTTTAAATTTGAAAACCAAATAGATTTAAGCTTAATGTCATCAATATTCATATTGAGTTGAATTGTTTTGAAATGCAGGCAGCTGTTTCTTAGGTTATCACTTTCTTGACAAGTCACCTGTGCACTAGTGTGGCTTCCCTCTTGTGATTGGCTGGTTGGATGCTTGTCTGACACATGATTGACTTGTGTTTGTCTTCTGTGGCCTATTCAAACTGAGCAAATTTGCATTTTAGCCAGGACTTGAATGAAATATTCTTTAGGGCCAAGTGATCATGTGACCTAGTGTTTTCTCTTGTTTTCGTGGAAGAGAGCTCTCCTTTCTGTGTTCACTGTTTGTGAATCAGTTGTGACATCACCAGCAGTTTGTAAAAGTTCATTTTTGCTCTATAACCTAATGGAAATCAACCCTCAATCACTTTTCTACAGATGCCAAAGTGCAAACTCTTTGCATAGCTTTCTGTTTTCGGCGAAACAGAATGGTTAAGGCACGTATCTGAGTCTCTGAATTTCTCTTGTTTTAATACTTATTCTCAATTTATTGCTAAGAACATTGTGATCAATCACTCTACCAAACTCTCACCAGTTTTTAGCTACAGTAATGGGTCATTCTTGAGACAGTGTCTTGAGACAACAAAACTTACAACTGTTGATGATAGTATGGGTTCTATCTTGTGTTTCACCATACCATTTTCACAATACTACAACTGTATTTGTTATTGATCTTTGATCTTTAGTTTTTATTTACAAGGTTACACACAGTATTTCTGTTTTCCAATTTGATATCTTTGTGAGGAAGCTGTGTCTTCAAGTATATTAATTTTCTTTGTGCCCATCTGTGCTTGCCTCAAAGTCTGAATTTTTATGATGATGAATAATCTCCAAGGAAAACCTTTTAACGAGATAAATTTACAGTTTTGAAGACAAACCTGCAGGGGCAAAAATTAATCTTTCTTTTATTGTGAACATTGATAGAACTAAAGGTGAACTCAGACATTTTGTTGAAATTTTCAAGTTAAGGCAAAGGAAATATATTGTGAGACTGAAATCTTAGATAATTAGCCAAACAGTTTGTTCATATCCTGTAATTACAATATCCATACATCTTGCATCTTCAATCCGATTTGCGCTGAATCCTTGGATCCTATGTTTTAATGCTATCCTAAACTGAGAATGGAGATTTTGATTAATTTGTATTAGCCATCTGGTTAAACATAAAAAGTAACTGTTATAAATGTTTGGTTTGGTTTTTATTGTTGCAAGGGTTCCCATGAAAAGTCTGTTTTATTCTACAAAAACCGTAATTGCATTGCTGTTAGGGTAAACTGGGCAAGTTAGGATGTCTCTTAACCAGGGAAAATTATGCACAAAAGCCCAATTTATGCACTCGTGTTGCGTAATACTGTTGTTACACAAGTATTATTCCACTTGGAACTACGTCTCATTGCATTTTCTTCTTCTCTACTATCACCAGGCGATATTTCTTTTACTTTTAAAATCTCAAAAGCATAGAATAGATTCTTGTTAATATCTCAATGCAGTTGGATAAAAATAAAACTTGAAATTCTTGATTTGCCACTGAAGGTGCTAACACAATTAAAAGCATGTTTTAACATGATTCATGCCATTTCTCAGGTTCGCTATGATGAAACAGCTAATACGTACAACTCAGCTTCATCCATGGGTAACAGTAAATCACTTTATGGACATGCAATGACACCAGAGAGTAATGGCTCTGCTTCCATTGACAATGATTTAAACCACGTGGAGACACTCCCAAGAGGAACAGAGTTCAGAAATAGTAAAAATGATGATGGCCAACCGGCTGAGAAGAGACAAAGATTATCAGAAGTTGGCATTGGAGAGAGGAGGGATGCCAATGGGCCATCTATTGTTCACATCAAGCTGGAAGACAATAATAATGCACAAGATAAAGGAAATCAGGCCGTGTTTAGAAATCCCGCCGAGATAGTTACCCCAAGGCGGAAACAGAGGCCACGTCCAGAGCCTTTGACTATCCCACCATCAGCAAGCACTACCTACTTTCCTAATCGTCCAGGCTCTCCAATGAATCGCAGTCAACCATGTTCACCACCATATACACCTCCTCCAATGCTCAGTCCTCGCAGCATATATCATGTTCCTTCCTTAGGAAACCTGACACCACGACTGAGTGCATCCTTGCAGCATCCTTTGACACCAAGCAGGCTTCTACTAAGTGGCCACAGAAGTAAGCCATGGTGTTTTTTTCTTTGTTATAAGCAGAGGTTTTTCTCTATTTCAAGTTCAATGCTTACAAGTTTGCCCCCACTGTGACAAGTTCACTACCAAAGAAATTCTGCACCTTACTTTCAAACCGGTCACTAGCAGCTACATACTGTCAGTAGTAGTACTTCTATCACATTCAAAAAATATGTTTTTGTATTACAACAAAGCATTCATAGAATCGGACTAAAAGTTCTGTTTCGAGAAGAAAAGTTACAGTTTTGCCACAAGAAAACTGCTAACCTGTTGTATTTGTTGCTGTGAACTTTTCATGATTCAGAGAAACTTGTAGTGGGCCAAATCTTAGTCATGAATTTCTTTGTCACCTTTATGCCTTATAATATTACATTCAGGGGGAGCATACAAAGTACTTAAATTCTGTGTGAGCAAAACCAGAAGGGGGTTGTTGCTTGGGTTTGAATTTTATTGTAATAAGTGTTTTTCATTGAGCAACATTTTCTCACAATTTTTAGGCAGCTTTGATGGAGAAGAAGCCAGTCAATTCCCTGAGCCGTAAGTATTTCATAAAGTTTCATTTGAAGTTCAAATTACAAATAATAATTACTGTTTGTACGATGTTTAAGTCTCATGAATGCTAGCCCTAAAATAACTGGTCTAATCCCATTAACATTAAGAAACGTTCCCAAACATGGCTTGCCTTTTGCAACTAGTCAACCTAAAATTACTGGCTTTTTAGAAAATTAAAATTTCATTATTGGGATTGTCTCCAACCAAATTTAAGTATGCAATGCCATCACCCGCAGAGAAACAAAAGTAGCCTAGAAATTTGTTTTCAATGATTTTTTCCTACTTTTCAGTCTTTGGTTGACTGTTCCAAAATTAATGCTGCTGAGAATAAAAGAAGTGTGTAGTATAAAAGTGTTCAAAGTGTAATTTACTTACAATGTCTGTCTGTCAACAGGAAAATAAATGTTGGCCCACAGTTTCAGGCTGAGGTGCCTCCTTTGGCAGGTGAGTATATCATTTCCACAGCAATAGTTCCTTGATATCTCCATGTTGTCTGAATTTAAGATGTAGAGCATGCAAGTAATGAAAATTCAGAAGGAAATTTAAAAAAAAAGGTTTAGGAAGCGAGTAAAGGAAGGGAAGGTATATTTTCAACTGAATTTGACATGCAGAATTTCAGAATATGCAGTTACTCTGTGATTAGTGGACTGGACTCTTAATTAGGGTGTTGGTTGGGTCAAAGTGCAGTTTCACTCTCTCTGTCCACTGCTCTGTCTGAGAGTGTTAATGGGTATAAGCAAATAGTCGTGAAACATAACAAAATAATGTGCAGGTAGCCTGAAAGAGAATAGTCTCATCAAGATGAAGAAGTAATATTCTTGTCCCATAGAATTACAGCATTTCAACCTTAGCAAAGAGGGTAGATGCATTGGTGTGACATCAATCCTCTTTTTGCCTGGAATGTTTTGCTCAGTAACATAAAGCTAATTTTATCCTCCCATTTACTTCCAAGGTCCCAAAGAAGGAGCAATCCATGATGTTCACAGAGCAACATTGTGCTGGAAACCTCTTGATGAAAAGAAGAGAACAAGACGGGAAGAAAGTAAGTTCTTGTACCATTTTACACAGCTCTATTTTTATCACTCTTTATTTTGTGGTCCAAAAAAACTCAACTTTTCAGATTCTGTAATTTTCATTGCCCAGAAAAAGTTTTGTTGTTCAGCAGTTTTTGTGTAAAATAAGACATGGATATGTACAAAGTGGTAATAACCTTTCAGCTCCCTTAACCCTTAAACTTCCAAGATCTGATTGTTAATTCTCCCCTCTGGTAGCTACACAATTTCTTGTGAATAAGTGATGAGAATTTGGTGTTAGATCAAAATAACAACTTCAACCTGATAAGTTTTAGCATTCTCATTACTTGTTTACTGGATTTTGTAGGGATATTATAGGGAGAAGTTACATGTTAATCACACCTGGGAGTTGAGGGGTTAAGTGATCAGCATGTTACTTTTCACAACAAATTTCATTCATTAACAAGCAAAGGAGTGGTGAGAAAAAACAGACCAGTTCTGGTTGTTCTCTCCACAAAACAGCATTCTCTCTGCAATTTTTTAAAGGAATTTTTTAGAAGCAATAGGGGGGGATTACCAATCAAATCTCGTCACTTTTTTAATCATTTAAATTTCAGTTGAGTCCTTTCTGGACATGGCCTGCTCTGTTGCGATAGTTGGTGGAGGGTCAAACAAAGAGTATGCATTACACATTCTTCATAAAGCAAATGGAAATATTAAGGTAGGTAGAAAACACAACTCTAATCTGCCTCGCATGTATGTTGCTACAGGAATAGCAACAATCAATGGATTTGCGAGTTTTTCTTTTTCCCCTTGAAAAAAATGCATGTCATAAAGTTGTTTGTTCACTAGAATCATTTGATGAATGCTACAGGTTTTTCTAGGAAGAGTAACAATCAATGGATTTGCGAGTTTTTTTCTTTTCCCCTTGGAAAAAATGTATGTCATAAAGTTGTTTGTTCACTAGAACCTGTTGATGAATGCCACAGGTTTTTCTAGATATGAGTTACTTTTGCCATTGAATATCCTTTTCAGGACTGCCCTGGCTTGATTGAGGGCTTTATGTAATGAGAAGTTGTTTATGTGATCAAATTCTTAAGTTTGTTGGTGTTATTCTAGTATTTTTTTAAGAACTTTTGGTAATTGAGGGGGATTCTTCATAACATTTATCTTTCTTTTCTACTTTTGTCTCACCAGGAAGCAGTAAAATTGCTGCTCTGTCAGAATTTCATCACCCAAAATGATGACCCAATGTATGACTATCACTATGAAGGTAATGAAGAAAAGTCAACATTTATGACTTGTTTTTATTTTCCTTACTGACATTTGTCTATGGTGTTGCACTTTATTATAGGTTCTGTCAGGTGGGCTTCTAAGGAAAGGCAGATTTTCAGACAAAATTTCAGAACTAAGGGAAAAGAATTTTCTGATCTTCAGAAAGATGTAAGTTTTACTCCTTATTGCTACAATCACTTTATGCCAGGCTTACAAGATTTATCCCATTGTTGAATTTTCCTTTTTTTAAGAAGCTTGATTGTCTAAAATTTTTGGTGAACACTTTTCTGTGCCATTTTAGATTGGAGGCAAGAAAACAATTTTTGACTGTATAGAGTTTTATTACCATTGGAAAGCAGCACACCCAGAAGCTGTACGAGGAAGAACACGCTACATTGACTCAGACTCCGAGGTACGTGCATGATTATCGGGAACACTAATTAATAAAAAATTATGGGGCATGTACAGAGCCTCTTATTTGTTGGTGAATCCCAACTACAAACTGGGGGAAGAAGTCATATTTGAAAGAGAGAAATCTGAGATCTTTTGGTGACTTCCCTCAATTTCCTGCTGTAGAACAGTTACGATGGATCTATAACTGAAACTCCAATTTAAAAATATAACGAATTTAATAGTATTTGTTTGTTTTTTGTTTATCAGGATTATGAGGACACAGGAAGTGAAACTAACAGCAATCCTTCATATTTTGAGTGTGATTTCCCTCAGTGCAATGCTGTAAGTCCTCACTAAAAAAATTCTGTTTTTTAATATTTCTACTGTACAGAATATAGTTGCTGCCCAAATCCGTTTCTTTACAGCAGCAAGAAAAATATAGGTTCAATTTTGTATTATAATAATTTTTACTATTCTGTTTATCCATTGTTTTAACACTGTTATTGCTCTATATTGGTAACTGGGATTGAAATATTCATGATTAAGCACAGAAACATTTTTGTCATCAGTAACTTTTTGCTCAACCATGGAATCTGATAGTATGAGACCTAAAAATTTTTTTGTTATTTTCATTTTTGTAGAAATTTGTGTCCAGGCAAGCACTGAATGGTCATATTCGTGTCCATGGAGGAAGGTAAAGATATCTTTTCAGTAATTTTCTTGATGTAAATTGCAATGGCTTTTCCAAAAGCATAGTTGAGAAACAGTAGTAAACCAGTGTGATGTTGTGACTTAAAATTTACTTTGAATTGGTGAAACAAACCAATTGAATTGTATAATGTTGCTTAAATTTATCATGGGTTTAACCACCTAATTATTAAGGTAAAAATAATGACAATCTCTGTGACTGGTAGAGAAAGAGCCAAGAGTTTTCTGGATCAATTACATAAACACTTTCCTGCATTACATTAACACAACACTGAAAATTGCTCTTTGAAAAGAATGCTCCATAATACAAGATGTGAAGCCCAATTTTCATGAGTGAGGCAATGGGTTTCTTAATAGCTATACTTCTTCTCTATTTAAATGAGTTTTTGTGCACCTGAATTCAGTCAATGAGTGTTTGCTCCCAATTTCACACGATAACCACAATATTCTCAACAGCTTTATGAAGCCTTCAGAACCAAACAGACGTAAGAATCGAAACACTGCAGGTTCATCTGCCTCTAATGGAACAAATTCGGCACCTGTAGTTAGGAAGAGGAAGTCTCCATCACCAGCACCTGCTTCAGTGCACCCTGATTTAAATAATCCAGATGGACAATTACCTGAGTTTGCATGTAAAGTCTGTGGAAGGTTAGTAGCTCTCTTTCTTAGGTCCACGCTAAAGCATGATCAGTACCACCTTGCATATGAACTGACTTTCCATTGAGTTAATTCAAGCTTAGCTGAGCTATGATAGAGACTGTGCTTAGCCAGGGTCTGTGCTTATCTAGGGCCAGCACAAAGCTAATGTAAAGTCTCAATATTTGAGTTATATGGTCACAACTTACAACACACCTAAATCAATATTCTACTCACTTAAATACATTTTACAACATTACTATTCATATTTAACACACAGTCATGCAGTTGTGCTGATATATTTCCATGATGAACCCATTCTTAACCCTTTGACTCTCAGAAATGATAGACACATAACTTCCCCCTAAATATTCATACATTATCCAGCAAACAGGTAATGAGAATAGTCAAATTTATCAGGTCGACTAATTTATTAGGAAATGTGTAGCAGCTAAAGGGGAGAACTGGGAGTTAAAGGGCTAAAGATATGGCACTACAGCTATGGCCTGCCCTTAGCTAGGGCCTGTGTTTGGCAAGGGCCTTAGCTGAGAGGGTGTCGCTTTCCTTTTTCTCAGGTCTGTTTTTCTTTTCCAATGCTTAATTGTCTTTCAAGTGGTTGTTTTGTGCTGTGGCTATCAAAGAAACTTTGATTGCTTGATGTCAAAAGTTATCAGGATCACCGATGTAAATCAAGTTATTTAACAAAGTGCATTTCAATTAGTTGTGTCTGTCACAATGCTAATACACTTCTCAATCCACTTGCAGAATATTCCACAAGATAAAGAGCAGGTCAGCCCATATGAAGACTCATGTAAAGAGACCAGATGATGATGAAAAACTTTCCTCAAAGTTGCCTTCCAAGAATCACTGATGCTAGTAACTTCAATCTAAAAGAAAATTGAACCAGTTCATATAAAGTATCCCTTCCACAGTTTGACTGTTAATGACTATTTATGTACATGATATAGCTAAGTTATTCCTAATTTATATATTTTTTGACTTAAAGTCATGTGGTGAGAATGATGAAATTTTCACCATTTGGTTCTGTATTTAGCCTTTGAAGAAGAAGAATTCTTGTATGGTAACAGAAGTTTTGAAATTTGTGCTCTAGCAGTATAGCCGTAGACATTTATGGCTGCATATAAGCTTCTCATATCTCAAGTTGTATTTATATGGTTGAATAATTTTGTGCTCTGGCAAACTGGCCGGACAGAAATAATATTTTTTGTTATGGAAATTTCTACGGATTATGTAATGTGAAATTTTGTTGTGCAATCATTCCCAGATCACCCAGAGCAAGAGTGACAGCTCTTGAGTGTTAAAGTCAAGTTCAGTTTCAAAATATTGAATATATAACTTGAGTATGCCAGTCCACTAACTTCTTTCCTGAATGGTATTTATGAAATCTCAACTTTTATCTGCATGGAAAAAGGCCTTCCCAGCCTTGTTGAAAAAAGATTTTTCTTCCTTTAAACAAGGCTAAGAAGTTTTATTTGCATGCTGTAAAGGAGAATAATCAGTCTAGCATTGTGGAAGAAGTGTGAAGTGGTTCTTTTCTCACTCTTTTTTGATCTTTATGGGTGAAACAAAGATTCCAAAAATAGAAATAGTTAAAAGTTAGAAAGTTTTAAATCTTTGAAGGTCTACAATGAATCATGAGAGGGTTTAATCCTCTCCTCTAAGTAGTGTCCATGACTCCTCAAGCTGTGGTCTGTAGATGGGAATCTGGGAATGAGTCATATTTTCATTGTGCATTGGCAGAGTTGACCTTTGTCTTTTCAGCAAAAGTAACCGCATTTTAAAGTGATAAGCTCTATTTTGTTTGTTAGGTCTTGTAAACAAAATACTTGTTGCAGTGCAGCAGATTGAAGGGTCTTGTAAATAGTTTGAATTTAATTCAATAGACAGACGTGTGTTAAAAGAACCTCTCTTTCTTTGAAGTCATACCATTTTGACAGCAGCTTCCTTGGGGTTCTGTTCCTAAACATTCACAGTCTGGATTTTGTGACTGAGTTGTCTTGTAAAAAAATCTGAATTTATGGTAGTGCTGTCAACCAAGTGTATGTTTTTTTTTTATGTTGCACACTTAATTTGTTCTTTAATCATGTTTTTTGTGTTCAGGATGTTCTGAAGGCATCTGACTCTCTTGCGTCACTGATAATTTTTTTGGTTCTGCTTTGATTGATTGCAAAGTTAGTTGTACACTTTCTTTGAGAGAGTTAAAAATTATGAAAAGTTAATATATGTCAGAAATTATTTGTTGACGTTTTTTTAGAAACAGAAAATGTTTGGGTTTACTTCTTAATCAATTTGCTAAAACAGTTTTTTGATGCACCTGTTATGAGCTGGAAAAAGGCTCCACATACAAACCTGAAGTTGGACCTGAATATCCAATATCAGACAAATTGGTAATGTTGGATTGACTAATCTGTACATAGGAGAGATGTGAATACTTCAGACAGTAAAAAAGACTCTAATAGAGTGCAAACTTAAGTGTTAAGCACGGTGTACATTTGCAATTTCTCTCAGAAAACTAAGGAGAAGTTACCTAATGTAAAAAGAGCTGCAATGCTCTGTTTTCTAGCAACAGTGTTGTGGTAGATATTGGAATAAAGCGTGTATTTATTGGTTCTATATAAATGGTTTTAGATTTTATGGAGCTATACAAGTGAATCTTGTAAGACTGAGACCTACCACTACGGTCAGTAAGGCTTGTGGGAAACATTGCAAGGAACCAATGAAATCTCAAAGTTTAAGAAAAATGTCTTCTAAAACCAAGTACAGTCAAGACTGGGTTAAGTTTTACATCTGATTGGTAGAGAATGGCTTGAGTTTTCTAGTCCAAGCACAACCGTTGTAAAGCAAAATGAAAGCGATCACCAACTATTTTGGAAACTCTCCCGAAAAGCGCTCAATATGTTGTTGCGTCCAGATCTGTCCAGATATCGTGCTTTTGGTTTGTCTCAGTCAAGTATTGAAACAACCACAAAAGCTAGTTAATTTTAAAGATGGTAATCCAAAAACGTTTGACTTTTTTTTAAGGCTCAAAACAAAATGCTAAGTTAAAAGAATAGCTAATTTACAAAGTATAACACTTCATCACAAAGCTTATTTTCTTAACGGCATCTCGAAGAGGTCACATTAGCGCTGAGAATAACATGAATTCTTCGAAACTCTCTCAACATTCTGAAACCTGGAGTTTGACGAGCGTAGTTTCTATGTTGTCTTTTTATCCATTCATGTTTTGCAAAACCTTTAGAATATGTTTATGCCACTTTAAAAGCATATGACTTTTTCGGTTACTAATGTTAACTGAACTGAGTGGAGTGCATTTTGGTCTTTGATCCCACGCATGATTGGAAATCGAATGAGCGCACAGCGCGAGTTTGATTTGAAATCGCAAGTATAATTTCACACCAAAATTACACAACACGAAATTAAAGTACCATTTTATAACATCCATTTTGAAATTGTGGAACTCAGTCGCTCAAATAGAGGCTTTTGTAGTCCGTAAAATACTTTATTGATCCAAAACTAAGCTGGTTTGTTAGAAGTTACTAAAGTTGTCTTTTTTGCATGGGAAATTTCTGTCAGATCTCCTCGCGCGTGCTCGGTGTTCGACCCTTTGTTATCAAAACGCGCCTCTCAGCAAGACCGCAGCCATTCTGTCGCAACTGTCCTTTCAAAGTTTTCCTCTGAATTCCTCTCCTCGTAACTGTCGTTAATTTCTTTTCAGCCATGGCAATATTACGCGATGACGCAGCGAATCATTTCGAATTTCAACTTTACTGCCACAAATGAAGAAGGTTTCGATCGGAGGAAGGTAATACAAACTTCAACAAATTCTTCCATGCATCAGCGGCAGTTTAAGCTGTTTTGGATTTTTGTATACCACGACAGTTGATTGACAAATGATCTAGAGGTACCTAAGGCACCCCTTTTTTATAGCGCGCCACCGGAAATATTATGACGTCAGAAAATAGGACCTACCCTCTCGGAAATCACGTGATAACATTACGCATCACGCTACTTCTAATCTTATAGTGCGTGACAACCGTCGATCACAAGACGGTCACAGTCGATGATACCGTCGCTGCGAATTTTGTTGTGACTTCCAGAAAAAAAATCTGGCGGTCTCTCATATTGATCGTAAAGGTTAGTTCATACCTTAGGTCACTTATTTGCAAAACCGCATCCTCTTCAAGCAACAAACTGAACAATGTTGTTGGCTGACAGTGTTCCTTTTTCGCTGAAAAAAGGAATTTGGGTCTATCCGAACGTAGTTTCGTATTTTTAAAGTATGAAGTTAATTGTCTGGGTAAAGTTTCCGCACAGCCCCATACTATTGTAAAAAAAATCTGTTTTCCCAACGGAAATGTATTGTTTTTGTCATTGTTTTCTCTGTTCAAGAACTGAATGCATAATGTAGGATGGGGCTGTGCGGAAATTTTACCATTGTCTGAATTATGACCTTTTCTGCTCCTCGCAGTGAATCAATAGATTACACCATTAGTCAAATCGTGACTTTCAGTCGCACCAGGGCAATGATTTGTTTTGGGGTGAATTTACCAGTGATAGCTGATATTAAGGAAAAACTATGTCCGCTTCGGGCTGCGTGATTTTAACTAGACTGCCTTCAACGCCAAGAACTTAAGTTTACGAAAACCTGTTATTTCAAAATTTTGTGCAGGAAGATTCTCTCCAGATTCCCACACACAAAGCTGCACCTCTTGCACTTGAGGGGCTTCTCAAGTTGACGTAATGGCCCACCCCACCCAACCCCTATCAAACATCTTTTCTTTTCGGAAGCAACCTTAGAAACCGTTGGGCGGCTTAAGTGAGGATGAAACCAGATATTGATTTCTATAGAGCAAGATGAAAAGCATCCAACACTTTCAACCTCATTTTATTTGTCAGCCCATCCCCATAGTTTGTCCTGGTACAAACTTGGAGTAGAAGAAAAGAATTGGACGAAACCTCTACCCTTTTTTCTTCATTTGCCCTTTTTCTTTGTATAATATACAGACCAAATACCAACCTGTCATGACTGGGATATGGAGAGCAAGTTCCGCTGGTATAAGACTGTCAAACCAACTTTCCAAATGTGTGTGTCGCTGTTTGGGTTCATCATCTGTACAGCCCAGCAAGTTTGTGATGAAAGGTATTGAAGAGAAATCAGGAAAGAAAATGCTGAATGTTACTTGGCAAGATGACACTTCAAATGCATATCCCTACATATACCTTCGGGACAACTGCCAATGCTCACAGTGCTATTTCAAGGATTCTAATCAGCGCCTTGTAGATGTCGTAAGAGATGTTGATCTGAATGTCAGACCTACCAATGTTGAAATGAGTGAGGATGGAAGTAAACTTTCAATAGCATGGCCAGACAAACACGAAACCACACTTGACGCTGACTTTCTGTTTGTGAAGCGGCTACCAACTGAAGCAGAGTTAAAAGACAGAGTTTGTGAGGATGTAACTACTAGGAAAGTGAACCTTTGGGGAAGTGAATTTAAGGACCACATTCCTCACATGAAATATCATGACATTCTTCAAGATGAGATGGTGGAGTTTGAATTTTTAAACAGTTTGTATAGATATGGATTGGCCCTGGTCACTGACATGCCAATTCAAGATGGGCTGGTGGAAAAGCTAGGGGAACACATAGGTTACTTGAGAATGACAGCTTATGGGTAAGGTTCATTGTCATTGAGTCATTTAGTCAGTTGGTCAGTCAGTCAGTCAGGTAATTTAGTGTTAACAACTGGGTTGAAAATGTAAATTAGCCATCGTAAAGGGTAAAAAAGCTGACGTTTCGAGCATTAGCCCTTCGTCCGCAGAGCGATTGACAAAGGGCTAACGCTCGAAATGTCAGCTTTTTTACCCTTTACGGTGGCTAATTTACGTTTTCAACCCAGTTGTTAATACTAAATTACCTGCTATACTCTCCCACCGACGCAGCACCACAGTTTCTTTAGAAACTTACCCCTTTATTCATTAGTCAGTCAGTCAGTCAGTCAGTCAGTCAGTCAGTCAGTCAGTCAGTCAGTCGGTAAGTTGCTCAGTAAGAAATTTAGTCATTCAGTCAATCAGTCAGTCAGTCAGCTGCACAGTCAGTAATTTGGTCCTTCAGTCAGTTGGTCAGTCAGTAAGTTGCTCAGTAAGTTATTTAGTCAGTCAGTCAATCAGTCATTCACTTTTTCATTTGCAATGTGATTGTATTCACATTGGAAGACTGTTATTTATCAACGATTTCTAAATTAACATTTGGAATATTTTCTCATAGGAAAACAATAGTGGTATCAACAAGGCTACAGGCCAACAGTGTTGCCTATACAAGTTACACATTACCTTTACATTCTGATCTGCCATACTATGAAGCCAAACCAGGGGTATGGAAGATAACTTTTGATAGTGAATTTTATGCGGTATTTGGTTTGAACTCTAGATAACATTTGATTGTGTAGTCTGATCGTTCAGGTGAACGCAGTCTGGAGAAGGAAAATTGACAGTGGCAGTGACTGAAGTTTCAACAACCTTAGCATGTAATTTTTTTTTTATGTATATTACTAACAAGAAAATGCATTGAGGTCAGAGGGGAGGATTACTAACTATATCATGTGGGATGAATCTTTTTGTGTTTTAACCCACACTGATGTGGTGGAGTTTACAATGGAATTGTAACTAGATCTGATGTGAACGCTGTGGCATGGTAGTAATGATAATAAGTTTTATTTAATATCTTATTCATTCAGACTTGAATAAAAAGTTTGGTGTCATGAGGATGACCTTTTCTAAGGTGTTTTATCCCTTAGTAAAGAGAGAAATCAAATTTGAATTGAAGAACATTTAAATCTAAATGATTTCATTTTTTTATTTTGGTATAAATTATTTTAGATACAGATGCTATTTTGCAAGGAACAGACTCCAACTGAAGGAGGAGAAAATTCCCTGGTTGATTCATTTCATGTTGCTCAGCAATTAAAGAAGGAAGATCCTGGCGCTTATGAGTTGCTCACCACAACTCATATTCTTTTCAGAACAAGTGGAACTGACATACTTGGTGAATATGATTTGGAAGGTGCAAGACCACTTCTTGAGTAAGTTGTCAGATGTTATGTGAATGTGTACCAACCCTTCAAACCTTAATCCTTTGAACCCTAAGAGTGACCAGCATCTAATTTCTCCTTACAATATCACCCCTGTATCACACATTAAGGTCATGAGAATAAAGGAAATGATCACCAACTGAAGAAGCTCTTGAACCCTTTGACCCTTAAGAGTGACCAGCATCTAATTTCTCCTTACAAAATCAACCCTGAATCACACATGATCACCAACCAAAGAAGCTGTTGATTGTTAAACAAATTCTCCTTGTCAGCACCTTAGGAAATTAACAGGGAACATTATGGAGAATATGCATATTGATGTAAGTGTGGAAAGGGTTAAACTGGGTGACTAGCATCTAATATCTCTAATATCTCTAACATCAGTATCACCCCTTAATCAACTATCAAGGTCAAGAGGATGAAGGAAATGATTTCCAACCTAAGAAGCTTTAGATTATTGAACAAATTCATCTTCTCAGCACCACTATGATGGGAAATGTGTAGTAAACAATATGGAAATTATACATTTTAATGCTAAGGTTTAAAGATTTAAGGAAATAGTGTGGTTATAATTAAAAGATTAGGTTAATCAATACTATTGATTTTGTACTAAATCATTTAGTTCTTAATTTCATTTGCAAGTTTGAAATAACAAGGGTTGTCAAACCTTGATCACAATAAAGTATACCTAGTAGAGTGATGCTATTTTTTTCATCTCTGATAAATTGAAGAGACACTGTGCAGAGGAAAAATAACAACCATACAAAGACTGAATCACAGTGAGATTCTGGCAGCACTTGAAAGCAATTAAACATTTTATTAACCCTTTACACCCTAACATCAGTATACTCATTTTCCATGCTGTTCTCTAATCATTTCCTAAGATGCCGACATGGAAAACTTGTCTAACAATCAAGAGCTTCTTTATTTGGTGATCAGCTTCTTTATTCTCCTGACCTTAATGTGTGATTCAGGGGGGGATGGTAAGGAGAAGTTAGAGGTTGGTCACTCTTAGGGGTTAAAGGGTTAACTGCATTTGTTGTTAAGGTTTATGACCCAGAAAAAGGCATTTTGCAAAATTTATTGCAGGATTTTTAAAATAAAGCACATAGTTCTAGGTTTTAAGATGGCTCCTCAAATCAAACCCCAAATCATAATTCTGACCATTTAGCTATCCCACTTGTTAAATAATGCAATATTTATTTTTGGAATCTTTTAGGCTAGATCATCATGGCAGGCTATTACGATGCAACCACAATGAAGGCTGTAGACTGGACTTTTTGGGTGTGCCAGCAGAAAAAATCCATGAGATGTACAAAGCCTATTATTCATTAACCAAGAGATTGAAAGATCCTAAAAATATGTTTCTTCACAAGCTTTCTCCAGGAGAGATGATTGTGTTTGATAATGACCGTGTCCTCCATGGAAGGGAGGGGTACACTCTTTCAGAGGAAGGGGGTAGATGTTTGGAATCAGCATACATTGACTGGGATGTAGCAAGGTCCAGATTGAGTGTCTTAGGGAAGAGACTTGGTAAGGGTCCTGTGGCCAGAATGGACAGTAAACTTAGTGTTATAGGACAGTGGTCTGTGTCATGAAATTACCATGTGCAAAAATATTCAACAATAATTATTTGCTAGAGGTGAATTGAACATGGTGCAATAGCTCTCAGTACAAAAGAAGGGATTATTCAACAAAATTTCCTGAGCCTGAGGCAAAGAATTTTTTTTTTGTATTTTTAAATGAGTGATTTTTTCAAATGATTTTGTAGACTCCAGAAACATCAACAATTCATGGAACTACTATTTGGCACTTAGTGCTTTAGTATGTTTGTGAAGAATTAATAAGATGTGATTTAATCTACAACCAAACTGATTGCAGCATTGCAATTGAGTATGCCAAACAACAATTTCACATGAGTTCTAAGGTTTTCATTTTACATTCTGTGCTTTTTAATTACCAGAAGTTAATGATATGGTAACAATATAGAGCAGGAGAAAGCAAGTCTTCTTCAAAAAATATTTATACTTTCATCAAAACTGGAAAAAAATTTCATTGTTATCTAAGGCATAAGACAGTATATCATCAGTTACAAAACCAGCCAACTAGTTTACCCTCATTTATTAATACTGGCCAACTTATCTTCTATCAAAAGGCATTAGTTTTTTCTTAGGATTACTTAAATTTTCACTAGAGGACCTTACCATATCTGAAGATAACATTTGTATAGTAATATAACAACACTTACGTTGCTTATAAGTATTCTAACCCTTTATTAAAAAGATAGCATCCAAAGCATATTGGAAAAGAGAGTAATATATTTGCAGAAATTATGAGGGTGGTGAAAAAAACAGCAATCAAGAAATCAGAGAAGAAAACTCTGTTTTAACTTGTTTTATTAATTACTTCTTGAGATAAATCTACACATGTGGTTTGTAATACACAAAGTGTTATTACTGTGTACATAATATATATACATTTCAGGAAATTAGAATTAAATAATTTCACTTAGAGGACGTGACCTGATGGTCTCTCATATGTCTGGCATTTCATTTGCTTCTCTGGGTAATATTTGTTTCAACAACTCTCCAACAGCCTTCTAGCTGTGAAACATCATCTTTAAACTTAGATAAGAAATTTTCTATTATGTTTTGATGTCATGCCTACCAGCTAAACCTCTTTCCATTCTCATCAGCTGTATATTGGATAATACATCAAACTTATTGGCAGAAATGATTAAAATAATTTCAACCTCAGAGTTACACTATCACAGACTTTATATTATAAACAAATGTCATAAAATTTTTCAAATTATGTAATTCACTGTCTTTGTTAAATAAAAGATGTAAGTGGCACATAATTTATAATTTACTCGCATGTGGCATGAGAGAACAGAATTACATCATAATCACAAGGAATAATCATGGTAACTTGTTACAAAGGGTTTAGTGTTTACAAGTAAGGAAATTTTGTTTTGAAATTTCATAATCATATCATAGCCAATTGTGAAGTGAGTATTCCTGAAACTCTCATGACCTGCATGAGAGAAAACATTTCTTCTGGTAGATCATGATCTGATATGAGTTAAGTACAATTTTTAAGAAACTAAAATCTCTTTTTTGAAGTATTGTTTTTACTTGATTTTACACCTCAGTCTATAAAAAAAATAATTGGTTATAAGACATTAAACTCTTAAAATAAATAAAATTGAGAATTGTGAGTAGATAATCTTGCAATAGTCTTTTGGTCCATGGAATATGACTACATATTAAATAATTTTCTAGTTTACAAAGGGAATAGCTTTCCCAACATTTTTAAAGATCTTTAGTACCCTCTGAACTGCCATGCTTGTAAAACTCTACAATGTTGGAAATCCATCTAATGGCTTTTACCAAATGTAACCAATTTAAATGAATTTTTGGCTGTAATGTGATGACTCAAGTGAGGGAAGATATGTAGAACACGGCTATTGGTGTTTGATATTACAGTAATCTGAATGATTGTCAGGATCTGATAAAAAAAATTGTTTGTGATTGACAGCTTTTGCTTAAATGTTTTTTTCCAGAAAAAGTTATGTGGAGTTTGTCCCCATTAAATGATAACAGTATTTTCTGTAATTCTTCAATCATCTCTCATTGATTTTCTATAAGTTAAGAAGATTATTATTAATAAATTAGGACTCAATCTGAATCTTTCTGAGATTGTGATTTGGAAGTTCCAAGGCTGACACCTGAAGAGGCCACATTCCACCAATGATGCCAGCCTGTATCGCCACCCCTGTGGCTACTGCCAGCTCTGGGTCTATGGCAACATTAGGTTTCTTTCCATTGAAGTATTCTTCAATAAGCTGCCGCACCTTAGGAATCCTCGTCGATCCTCCAACTAGAACCACTTCATCAACATCTTCTTTTGGAAGGTCAACTTCTTTTAATACCCTTTTGATGGGCTGTAGTACTTTCTGAAACAAGTCTTCATTTAACTTTTCAAAAGTTAACCTTGTGATTATTTCCTCGAAAAGGACATGTTTGTCCCCATGATCCAGAGAAGGCAGAGGCAATCTTATAGTCACTGCTGCCTCTGTTGTCAGGTTAATTTTTGTTGATTCAACTTCTTGTCTCAGACGCTGTATATCTTCAGCATTTGTGAGTTCCTCACCAAACCTATCTTCTATAACAGACATTAGGTAAGACATGAGTCTTGAATTGAAATCCTGACCACCTAGCCGGTTGTTTCCAGCCATGGCCATAGTTACAAACATTCCCCCTTGAATGTTAAGCAATGAAACGTCCAATGTTCCACCACCCAAGTCAACAACCATAACATTAGAAACTCGTTCCTTTTTATGAAGTCCGTATGCCATAGCTGCCGCTGTGGGCTCATTTATAAGCCGTACAACTTTGATCCCAGCTAGAGAAGCTGCCTTGATCGTTGCATTTCTCTGTGCCATACTGAATTCTGCTGGGACCGACATTACAGCTTGATTCACTGCCCTGCTGATGTTTCTTTCGGCAGTTCGCTTCAACTCCCTCAAAATAGCCGCTCCAATTTCTTCTGGCGATACTAAAGTAACGTTGCCATGACTTTCGACCACGAACTTAGGATTGTTCTTTTCGTCAGAAGTGATTTTAAACTGGTAGAGAGAAGACAACTTTTTTAAGTCTTCCTTCGAAAACGTCTTTCCAATAAATCGTTTGGCATCGTATATCGTCGATCTTGGATTCAGTTCAGCTTGATCTAAGGCTCTTTTTCCCACCAACACTCCTTCACCGGTAAAGGCAACGACGCTGGGAATGACTTTGGTGCCATTTTCATTAGCCAGTATGTCAATATGTCCTGTGATTGCTTGATAAACTCCGACGCAAGAAAACGTTGTTCCTAAATCTATGCCGATAATTTTGGGTTTGGGAGGAGGTAGACGACTTTGAGCAATGTATCCTGCGACGACAAGTGCGAAAATCCCGCCGAGAAAAAGTCCTAACGAATTACTCATCCTTCTTCAATCACCTACTTCGGCGGTTTCACCGGAAGACGAAAAGCTTTAGTTTACGACACGTACATGCGTACTGTGGGTTGCGCAGACTAAACATCCATATCTCCAGGGAGGGTAGGGTAGTGAGTTTTGCGTACAAGAAAAATAAAAGTACCCTTGATCTGCATAACTGAAGTCGAGTTTTTTGTCTCAAAGGATCAGACCTATTTTTGGGGGGCTACAAATTACTGTGAAACTAAAAACAAGAAGTGTGACCACATGAAAGAACAAAGGAAAAATTGATTGAAAGCTGTAATAATTGTGTTTCAAAGAAAGAGGTAATAAGGCAGAGGGATCTGTGCCACCAACAGCAATAGTAATTAGTCTGAGGTTTTGATGTTTGCTTATGTATAAGGAACTTTATTGTGATTGGTCAGTTCTCATGTGTGAGCTGTCAGAATAAAATCAAAAAGTTCACAGTTTCCTGGTTTTCACAAAAATCAATAATGAACAAACCTAAGTATCCTCACCATAAAAAAACAAAGCATTGAATTATTCAAAGTGTTACATTTTATTACATTGACCAATATATTAGAGATTCTGTCACACAATTACAGATCTGTCCTTGCGATTGGTGTGGCTCAGGACATAATTAGTTCAGGTTAACACTGAGTAGTGCTACCATCTTGATCATGTCTTTCAATCTTAATGTTCAATCTGAGTTAAGTTTCTCAGAAAGTAATTGATTCTGAGTATTAAAGGTTCCTGCCTATGGATTATAAAAATCAACATCTGACAGTATAGTGAGATTAGATACATCTTAAGATCTCATTAGTAATTCTCCTTACTGTCTGCCATGTAGTTCTCGTAATGTTAGTTTGGAGAATTTGGTCTTGGATCAACTAATAATCCCCTAATTAAAATTTTTCTTTATTCCCATCACTAGTCTGCTTGATATTGTATAGATATTGTAAGGAGGAATTCTGTCTTGGTCACTCATGGGAGTTAAAGGGTTAAAGGTATGATGAGTCTCTATTTTCTCCCTCAAATTATTGAGCTGCAAAGTTTGAGCTGAGCTGCCCACCTGAATTGTTTCTTAAGTGAAATTATGGAAGAGGTATTAAACTTTTCTTTGGAGAAAATCATAAAGTGTGGAATGCCAAGTAAATTGACCCTGATGACATAACCTGGGGCTAGTTTAAGACTTAAGTGAATTGTCAGCCTCTGAAAATTCACTTAAAATTAAAATGTAGGACAAACAACCTGTTTGAGGTAATCATGATTGTTATCAGCAGATAGTTGACAAGTTGGTAAAAACCAAACCCATTTAAATATATTGGGATTGTTATTTCTAATTTTCACACTTGAGTTATTTAGATTTCCCCTATCACCAATGCATCCACCATCTCTCCTGCATCAATCCTGGTTAGAGTTTCACTCTTAGGTGGCAGCTCAAGCACTGCATTAGCACTCCTCATGCTCATTAATCTACTGCTACATTGACTACCAGTAGATATTGCAGATGGAATAGCTTCTCCTGGCTTCCAAGACAGGGTGACTCTGTAATATTCAGGTCTTGGATCCAGATTTACTGGTTGTGGCAACTTTGCTTTGATCTTTGTTAGATGGGGATGCTCCGAGCCAGACATCTTACGCAGGGCTGGGAGAACAAACAGGTTGAAAGTGACCATTGCAGAGACTGGATTTCCAGGAAGGGCAAATATAAGTTTTCTCTTCCCACTGATTTTGGTTGTGGCAAAGGTTGCTGGTTTACCAGGCTTCATGAAAACTCTCCCAAAATGGATAGTTGCCCCAAGTCTGTCTTGTAGAACAGGTTTCAGAAAATCTTTCTCTCCCATTGATACTCCACCAGATGAAACAAGAACATCGGCCTTTTCCAAGCCACTTTTTAGAGAGGATTCCAACTCCAGGGGTGTGTCAGCTGCTATTTTTAAATCAAGGGCCTCAAATCCATGCATTTTAATCAGCGACTTTAAAGCGATTCTATTACTGTCCCTGATTTGCCCTGCTTTGGTTTCCTCTCCTGGATTAACAACCTCGTTTCCAGTAGAAAGCACAGCAACTCTTGGCTTTTGGAAAACTTCTACTTTGGTGACTCCCAGTGAGGCCAAAAGACCCAGTTCTGCTGGTCCTAGTTTTTGATTTGTTGTGAGTACTTGTTCCCCTACACTGACATCAAAACCAACTGGTCTGATATCTTGGCCAGGTTTAGGAGTTGTAAGGATTTTAACTTTCTTCTCAGTTCTTCCATCGTCATCACTTTCAAGTAATTCTGTATCTTCCACTTGGACAACTGCATCAGCACCAGGAGGCAGAGGTGCACCAGTGTTGATGCGCATCACATGGCCAGAAATGACACTGCAAGTAGCTACTTCCCCTGCAGTGACTGCACCCAAGACCACACGCTCTCCTGGTCCATCTGAAGCTAATACAGCATACCCATCTTTGACTGATGCAGGGAAAGGGGGGAGGGGTTCTTTTGCACTGACGTTTGATGCCAGTGTATAACCTAAAGCATCTTCTATGGGTAAAACTGTTGTTGAGAGGCAGTTAGAATTATTCATGATCATAGAGAGGGCTTCATCCATCTGAACAAGTGGATATGGGGAATGGCGATCCCTTTCGGCCACTTTGCTGAGATCTTGTATTGGTTTGTTGTGAGCCTTGTGTGGACAGACATGTTGCATTGCTGAATGGGTGACACTCACATTTGGACTATTCCTTAGCACCTCTATGGCATGCGGTAAAGCTGGTAAAACAAATTGGAAACATTCTTGTGAACCTTTAACACTTCCAGGCAAATTAACAATCACTGTTCCTTTCCTTATACCACAGGTAGCCCTGGACAACATGGCCATGGGAGTAACCTTAAGGGATCCGCACAGCATTCCCAGTGAGAGGCCCGGAGCAGATCTTTCGATAACTTCCGCTGTAACCTCAGGGGTGACATCTCTTGGAGAAAATCCTGTGCCTCCTGTCGTCAACACGAGGTGCAATCCTTCAACATCGCTCCAGTTCAAAAGAACTCGTCTTATTTCGTCCCGTTCGTCAGGGACACAGTCATAGAGTACCTCACTTACATTCAAAGTAGAGGAATTCACCAACCTCTGCAAATTCGGCCCACTTTTATCTTCAGCTTCTCTGCGGGAGCATCTGTCGCTAACTGTTAGGATTCCCACTCTAACAGTGCCAGAGGCAGGCTCCATCCGAGTCGCAGCCATGATCTACGTCTCCGGAGGGGTTACTACGCCACGGAAATGTCCGACATCAAACGAACATGACCCACGACCAGCGCCGAGTTGTTGAAAATTTTAAGTTAGTGCCCAGTGTTCCGCTCGCTCATTTTCAAAATGGCGAAAGATAGAAAGAATAGACAACATAGGAAACAACGGCGGGTAAAGAACGATTTTAAAAAGAAATTGAAAAGCCAAAAGCGAAACCTTGAAGAGATTGTAGGATCGCATTCGAACGATACAGAGTAGGTGTAATTGCAATTTGTGTTTGAGTGCTGGATGACATGTTTATAATGGCCACGTGCAAATGCATTTTGTATTCTCAGTGATCTGACGGACGGATTTTGTTGTTTTTGTTTGTTCTTTAGATGTGACGATGGGATTCTTGTGAAGAAACCGAAGAAGGATTCTAGCACTACTGAGGTATTCTAGCATTTCTTCATGGTTTCGCTTAGTCGAGGGTTTTAAGTATAGTATACCTCGGTCGAATGCCATGCACTCTGTTTTGGATTGACTAGTAATAGTGGTCTTTGAGGATAGGTATCCACATTAGGCAGTAAAATTCGAGAGATTCTTCCATTTGAAGGTTTTTCATCGACATTGTAAAGTTCCATAACATTTTGACGTCTTCTATGATTTATAATTGAATTGTAATATCACAGCAACGTGGAATCCTCCATTTTGTAATAATCCATTGAATAGGGTCACCTTGCAAACTGTGGGTATCGTATGTCGCAGCTATTAAGCGGCTCTTTTGGGCTTAAGTTGCTGATTCAACCGTCAAAATGCTGTTCTTTCAAAGAGAAAATTCCCTCAAAGTTTCCACGATGTGTAGATCACACCTTTTGAGGTATTTCTGCAAGGAACAGTTTTATTTTTCATTACGCGTCAGTGGATGTCATTGAGATTATTTTGAGATGTTTACCGTCTTGTAATATCAAGGCAAGAAATGAATGAATAATATCTTTGGATCTACTGGGCATAATTTGCTGATTCAAACAATAAAATGTTCTTCTTTCAAAAAAATGTTTTTCCTCTTAGTTTTCCTGATGGGTGGATTACACCTACTAAGATAACAATGAGCCATCCTGAAATGATTGTGAAATGTATATTGTCTTCTGTTGTCTTCTGTATGTAGTATATAAAAAACAAGTGCAAGGGTTTGATCGCAGTATCCAAATATCGAGAAACAAATGAAAGCATGAGGCCACTTCTGCCAAGTGCTCTTATTTTTCTTGAGATGTTCAGTTACCTCGATCAGACCCTAAGCACAAGTGTGTTAGATTGCTTCTCAAATTTGCCATATTAATTATCCCGTAAATCATAACACTATTGTTAGCTACCATTCATCTATGGTCTCTTTGGAATTCAAAGGGAGTACTAAATTTACGTTAGTTTTGCTCATTTAGTTTATAGCTCTATGGTTAGTTGGAGCTTGACTATAGCAGAAAGTATTGTAGTTAACTGGTTTCATGTCCCAAAAAGTGGTGAAGAGGAAAGTAAACTGCTATTAAAGAAAGTGTTCCCAAATCGACCATTAGTGTAGTTTTTCTTATTTGCATTTCATGCTATGCATGGATCTAGATATCCAATTAAAACGCCTATCCAGATCACTAGTGATTTGGATATGCAATTTTATTGCATATCAGCCTCTTAAAGGAAAAATTATGCCAACTGACAATGCTTCTGGAAAAATTTGCAAACCATTCACTATGAACACTGCGCTGTTTTCCCAATATAGAGTAATGAAATAGACAGTTCAGATAGTGAACAGGATGTTGGCAATCTCTATCTGGAGCTGGTCGACTCACTTGGTGCAGGTCCTGGATCATATGGAGAGGAGTTGAAAGAGAAATGGAAAGATGATGAGAGTGACAAAAATGATGTGGAAGAAATTGAAGAGGAAATGGTGCAAACTGAAAGTGAGGATGAAGTTAAGGAGGCCAATAAACAAGCGAATGGAGATGCAGAGGCTGTTGAAAAACTTAAGGTGTGCACTTCAAGACTTTATTTTCATAATTGGTATTTACATAATGATAACAATACTTATAATGATAATAGTGATGGTTGTTAAATATCAAGGAACCAATGATGGTTTTAAATGAGACGGATTAAACCAGATTTAAAAGAACAACATAACAAACACGTTTATTATAACATGGCAGCTCTCCCAGTTGGGCTGCCTTTCAATGTGCATGTGCGTAAGAAAACTGCAGGCCAAATACATTACAATGGTCTATTTACAATATCTTCATCACATAAAAATAACTCTTCACTTTTTAACATTAAATATACCCATGATAATAATATCCTAAGGGTAGATGCACATATATGTAATAATTAAAATTGAAAAACAAAATCCTTATTACTTAGTATTATTGATTGTCATGTACACTTAAGTTGCAAGTTTATTGAATTACAACCTGTTAATAATTGTTTCCTTACACTGCAGCAAAATTTACTATAGTCACTGATGATCCTCATTTTTTAAATAAAAAACTAAAGCTGCTGTATACTCAGAAGTTCACGACTCTTGAGGAGGGTTTAGTGCGGGTGTAGAAGAAGATCTTAAATTAAGGGAATTGGCATCATGCAATGATAGATTGCTGGTAAGAAAGGTTCTCACAGGGATGCTTGATTTGGGGGGAAATTTTCAGGGGTGAATTGTTGCTTTTAAAACAAGTCTACTTGTCTTAATTTTTTGACTTACTCAAGAATTCTTGAAAAAATGTTGAGAATGATGAAGTCAGTGAAGCTTAAACATTAAATTACAGGAAGATAGTGAGGGTGATAATGTCAGCAAGGATGTTGATGATGATGAAAATGGCACTGATGAACCTGAAAACATGGCTGATGACTACAGAACCGAAGGTGCTGCAAGAGAAGAAATCGAAGATGGAGAGGAAAAAGATGAAAGCAGTGATACCGGATGAAAGAGAAGGAAAAATGGCAGTAGGTATGTAATTGAATTGGTTTGTTTCCTGGCTTAAAAAAGTCTATTTTCACTACTGATTAAGAAAAAGTAATATATTCTTATTTGACCCTTTAACTCCCAAGATCTGATTGTTAATTCTCTCCTTTAGCTGCTACATGTTTCTTTGAAAATTGGCTACAAGAATTTGGTGTTCAATCAAGAAAAATCTTGTACCTGATAAGTTTGAGTAATCTCACCACCTGTTTGCTGGATAATGTATGGATAGTATAGGGAGAATTTACATGTTAATCACTCGCAGGAATTAAAGGGTTAAGCAGCCTTGAAGACAGTAAGCTCTTTCCAGACCAGTATTCGAGTATAGATATATATGAGGAAGGTTCTTGTAAGAATGAAGTACTTATGTACTGAGAACAATCTGGTAACCTCCCCTCTCTCATCACTGGCTTGTTTGCTCACTTCAGGCTTTCCTCCTTTTTATCAGGCCAAAATAGCAGCATAACTACTGGATAGGAGTATTTAGCACTGACTGACAATGAAAAAACATGCAATACAGGCTAATAACATTGAGCTAATAGGAATGTTTCCTTAGTTAGCACCTAGTAGCTACCTCTGAATTGTGGTTAGGGACAATTTTAAATTGGTAAGCTTCAAATGAGTCTCGCAACTTAAAGCTGGTGTTAGATAATGTGGCCTAATCCCTTACACCATAACGTCAGTATGCATATTCTCCATCCTGTTCTCTTTACATTTCCTAATGTGCTGAGAAGGAGAATTTGTTGAACAATCAAGGTTGCTTTGGTTGATGATCATTTCCTTTATTCTCATGACCTTAATGTGTGATTCAAGGGTGATATTGTAAGGAGAAATTAGATGTTAATCACTCTTAGGGGTCAAAGGGTTAATATTTAGAACCAATTGTGCATTCCTCTTTAGGATCCCAAGACCCATTTACAGTGCATTTTGAACAAGATCTTTCTGAAACAACAGAGAAGCAACTCAGTGATCTCAGAACTTGGAAACAGACAACAAGAAAAGTGAGTAGTGTTTACACAGACATCTCTGTGATAAGCTTAATCAGGAAATGGCATTTAAAGAAACATTTGGCAAATTCAGTTAGGTGATTTGATATTGATATGTTACATGATATTCTCTTTTAGGAGTTACAGGATAAGACAGAAAAAAAAAACCTAATTAACCTGCTGATAGACTGGTAGATTCCCATTACAGATTTTCTTGTATTTCCCTATGAAACACGAGGAGAATTTGGTCAAGTTTTGCATATAAATTATCTGAAGGCTTTATTTCAGGCACCCTTTCCTTTGCAAGTGTTACCAAAGCATAACTGGCTATTTTAACCTGACCTATTTTTATCCTCAATTTTTTAATTTTTTGAGGGGGAAGGGGTAGGGATCATTGGCCATCTGCAAATCCAGGACTGTTGGATTTATCATAATTAAAAAATCATCAGACAAAACCGTCATTCAATTCCAATGTGCAATTCTTTCATTTCTTCTTAGATTCCTTCATTTGGTAATGTTACAGAAATTATTCCAGGGGCTGAAGGCTTACCCACATTACATACAAACATAGAAAAGGAAATGACATTTGCTGATTTGAAGGTAATTTAATATTATTTTGGCATCTCTGTTGTATTTTTTTATGTATGTAAGTTACATCCTTTTAATCAATAGGTATGTACATTCTTGTCACCAGTTTGAGTTGGATGATTTATTGGTTTTTTTGGGGGAGAAATTTCATGACAAGACTCTAATATAAGGGGTTTACTGGTAACACAAGTATTAAGCAACACCACATTAAGCGGTCACCCTGTATTAAGCATTTGGTTGTCAGAGTTCCGAATTTTATCCCCCTTAGTTGCTGTAATTTTCACCTCTCATAAGCAGTTACCTCTATTTAGTGGTTGTGATCACCCTTTACTGGGTCCTAACCACCTGTTTTTTAAGTCTTTTCTTCATAATACCCCTAATCTATAAAACCTTATTAAGTAGTCAACCGGTATTTAGTGGCTTCAACTATAGTTTTAATTGTTAATTATAGCTGCCTTAGCTACAAACCTTATTTGCTTTTCCAGATAAAGTCAAGACTTGCTCATGCATGGCAGGCAATCAATCAAATACCTAACTCTGAAGGTACACCATTTCTAATATATTTTGTTTCACCACATTTTATCTTTTACTAGTATTGTACATGAAACCTCTGAGCTCATAGTTGCCAATCATTAATGATAATTTAGTGAGTTACAATAAGTGATATTTCTACCATTATGAAAATCTCCCTATAACTATATGAGACCTCTCTGTTTCCATCTTGTTGATGAGAACTTTACTCGAGGTCCAGTTGTGAGAGACTGTGGCTGACTATAACATATATTATAGCTTTAATCTTCATAATTTTTGAGTTGTGGATGTGGAAAGGGTTGGGGGGGGGGGGGCAAAGTTCTACTTGAAAATTCTTACATTTTTTCCTGTGGGGCCAAAGTTCTAACGAAAAAAATGCAAATTAAACACGCAAAATCACGTGCAACTGTGAATAAAAAAAAAAATGCATGAAAATACCACATGGCTTTTTTTCCTGTGACCTTCCTAATAAAAGCTAAATTTATATATATTACTATAAGCATTCGTAATTGGAATTTTTTTTAAAGGATAGCTTTAGAAAGGCCAACAGTTTAAAAGATAAATTTATTCTCTCTTTAAAAAGTTAAATTTAGTTATTTTATTACCACTCTTTTTAAGACTGTTCAGTATTTAATACAAAGAGATTGCTCTTAGTTTATGGGAATTTTTTAAATAATTTGATTTTAAAGTTAGAGTTCTTTTATCAGGGTTGTTTACTCCACTTCAGCAAGATCTTTTTTACCATATCCATTCATACAAGGTTAGTGAAAGGCATGTAAAAAAGAAATGCTTGGTGCAGAATATTTTGGATTTGAGCTTCAGAGTAATTTGAAAAATGTCTTTTCCCTTTTTCAGTTGATTTTTCATTTTTTCTTTCAAGAAACAACAAAAAAATGACTTTGACCCAACCTATATTCTATCAGAATGGGAAAGTACCAGTAATACATGGACTGTGGTTTAGCTGATGAACAAATTGAGATGTCATTATTTTGTATCTGGTGTTTTAATAGTTACACAAGATTTAAAAGTGTTTGCATACAATTATTGTGTCAGTTCTGCTCCCAGGGTGCTTTTCACTTTCTGATTTGCCTTTTTTTCTGATCAATAGATGCACTGTACATAACAAAATGAGATTATAGATAAAGCTCTGGTGCAAAACAACGAAAAGTTGTCATAAATTTGACCTGGAAATACTATTATCATGATACTAATAAAAATTTTGGCATAAAATGCCAATCAGCATTAGAACCCCCTTTTTCATTGTATATTTTTTGTAAGAGAATGGAAACATGGAACACTTGTATGCAGGTTTCTCAGGGGAAGGAGCCTCAGCATACATGTGAGAGAATTCTTGAGCTTTTTTTTTTTTGACAAATTCTTCCTTTTCTATAGGATGTTTACTACTCAAGCCGCACCTTCCAGAATGGTGATGAAATAAGAAGGATGTATTGTCTACATGCAGTTAATCACATCTTGAAGTAAGAATAGAAGTATTTTTAATAACTAATTTTCAGTCTAGTAACACTTCGATGATGTTATAAAGTCTGGTCTGTGAAAAGATGCATAGCTGTTGCAATTTCTATGGAACCATGTAAATAAATGGCGGGTACACTGTAGAGCCAATTGTGGAAATGATGACATAAACAATAAACTCTGAATCAGCAGACTATAGGTCACAAAAAAGTTTCGGCTACTAGTTTGGTTACACGAACTACTGATACTCCTGGGTTCAAAATTTTTTAAAAAGAGGGACTTGAGGGATATTCTGAATCAAAAGTTTTTTTTTTTTTTTGCAATATTTTAAAGAGGGGAAAGATGGAGACTTGAAGGATAGCAAAACTTTTCTTGGAGGGATCAAGCATAAAGTGTTTTATTACTAAACCTTCCAAGGATGATTAACTGTTGAATGAGCCTTCAAGCAATTATACAAATGCGGGTTTCTTTCTCTGATAGCAAATATCTGAGAAATACATCATAAAATTTTAAAATACAAAATAGATCCAACCAATCAAATGAAAGGTCATTTTTCCTCTGATATTAAGGGAGAAAAAACCAAATATATTTTCCAATTTAACCATTTTTGAGCTGCCTTCAACTGGCTGACTTTACTTACTTGAGGTACCAAACCTCCCCGCCTATGGCTTAAACCATATGCTAATCATTGATTGCATCCAATTCAATGCGTCCTGCAATGGAGAAAATCAAGGACGCATGACGTGTTAGGCCATGTGATCATAGGCTGGCCAATCACAATAAGTACAAAAGGAGCAAGGGAAATTGCAGCTGTATAACAGTCATAGTTACCTTAAATGATAATAGCTCATATATGTTATTAGTAATATTATTTTTCTTATCATAATAATATTATTATCAGTCATGGATGATCATTCAAATAACTTTATAAATTGAAAAGTTTAGGACAATAGTGCGCTTAATAAGGTTTCACTAAGAAAGCAAAAGCTACATTACAAACATGCATTGCTTTTATTATAAGCAGTTGCATAACCCTTTAAGCCCTAAGAGTGACCAGTATTTAATTTCTCCTTACAATAATACCCCTGAATCACACATTACGGTCGCAAGATTGAAGGAAATGATCACCAACTAAAGAAGCTCTTGATTGTTTGACAAATTCTCCTTGTCAGCGCCTTAAGAAATGTACAGAGAACAGTATGGAGAATTTGCTTACTGATGTTAGGGTGCAAAGGGTCAACCTAATTTGTACCCCTTAGGAAGTACTTTTTGTCTGTCTATTTCAACTGAAGTTATAGGAACCAAATGAATGCGTTATGCAAAAAAAACAAACAAACTTGTAGATGTGCAAAATCTGTTGGAAAGTGAGTTTGTGTAATAATGTAAATTTGAGTTATCACCAAAAAATATGTCTCCATTGCATCTTTGATGGAAAATACGTGGAGCGATAAAGTGCTTAAAGTGGGCAAATATGGCTCTTGGAGATTTAGATCAAGCAAGTGTCTGTACAAAATTCAAAGCTGAGTAGAAACAACCTAATAAAACTGATGCAATTTTAGCACACCTTACTTAGAGGGTTGAGATTCTAAAGATTGGTGTAAAAATCGACTTGACTTTAGGGCAACTTTACCAGAAAAAACTCTCACAGACTAAAAAAAAAGGAGAAAAAGTTACTGTTCATTGAATTATGTCCAAGTGAAGAACACTGTTTGATGTCATTGTTCACGATACTATTCAGATCAATTTAGAAGTGATTCCTGGAAAACTCCACGTCAGACGTAGACTCCCGCTTTAAATCTGACACAAACATTAAATGCACATTGAGAGCGAGTTTAATGGCTGTGGTTCCGTCGATCGGAAAGTACTGGCGAGTGAAACAACCTATGAAAAATGCTTAAGAATCTGCTTCCGACTGCGGTCACTTCAAGATCGTATTCTATTCCATCCTATTGGTGTGCAGCCACTGCGAGCCACTGAACTCGGAAAATAAACTTTATAGGGGTGAGATATCAGGGTCATCGAAGAGACTTCGTTTTGTAAAGCTTTTGGGCAAGGAAGGTTGTGTTTTATCGATAGAGTCTACTCGCGGTATCACGTTATCACCTAGAAAGCTTTGGGCAATGGATAACTCTTCTCCTCTCGAGCGAGAGGACCAAGGGTCGACCCTCAATGGTAACAAGTTTTGTTTTGTTTCCTTTTTTTACTTCCTTTTTCTTTCAATTCCTCTCTTTATTTACCGTCTCACTCAAAAATAATTTTTTTGTACTACCATTTCTAGCACAGTAATCGGCGTTCAAGAAGTTCATGCACGTAGTCTTAAAATTTGCTCATCTCAGATCTCAGCTGTCATTTGAGTCTGCTTTAGTTGAGGGAGGATGGATGGATTGAGTGAATTTAGGGTATATTGATCAAAAACTGGAGAGCCTGCCCAGCTCCTCCATCCTCCCCTCAGACCTCTCACGGACAACAAAGCTAAAGTGAACATCCAAAATCAAAAGCGGAAGTAAATTCACTTGACTCCTGCTAGGCAGCCGTTACCAAGATGTTGTCTGTGATTTTTCCCGTTTTCATTTTTCTGGGAAATGTTAACAAAGTCTATTCGCCGACAGATCATATACATTGCGAGTGGTTCTGTACGATTGCGGCTAAAAGTCCCCTAACCGCTTATAAGGTGGAGATGTGGTTCAACGTAAGCAAGCGTATCGATCAAAAGTGCGTGGCTAACACGTTATACCGCAGCTTACAAAACACGACCACAACGGGTTACGTCTTCGTTTTACTTTCACGTAAAGAACGTGATTACCATGACGGATTCAGTTTTATGCCGTTTGATGCCATGACAGCTTTGGAACACGTGTTTCAGACAGAGCAAATGAACAATGCATCCATGAAGAATGTCTCCTGTCTTCTACAACCCATGGCAAACCGAGCCGAAATGACTGTTTCAAATGGACTCAATGCTCTAAACTCGCTTCGTTTCTACATTTCTTTTGACAACCAAAGTTGGAATATACCTTTCGCTGGTTACGTCCATTTGAAGGGTAACTACTATATTTCTGTCGGTTTTTCGAATGGGAACGTGTCAGAGGATTACGAACTTACGTTGACTACCGTGTACCGTGTTTTGAGCCTGCTGATTCGGATAGGGTATGTCATATACTTTCCTCTATGCCTAACTCTTTTCTGCCACACTCTCGAAAAAATAAAAATTAAAAATAACAACGGAAGAGAGCCTGAGAATAGTAGACAAGGGCCTACAGAGGAACATTACCTTGGATCCTCTGCAAGGAAACATCGGTATGAGAAAGTAGAAACGGCTGCTGCTTCCCAGAGAGACACTAACTCTGGAACTGAAAGCGAGATGAATGATGATGTTGATGTGATTGACGTTGATGGACCAGCTAGCCCTGTAGGTATAAGAAACTTTTTTTCAAATAAAGTCTTCTTGAACAAGGCAAATAGCAACGAAAAACAGCAGAAAAAAGTATGTTATCGTATGGTTCAATTTGTGATATTGATCATGTTTCCATTAAGTATTTTGCTATGGGTTGATGCTTTTGTCTTTTGGATACCAAGACTGTTCTCTCAAGGTTTCACCAATCTGCCGTCTCCATACTTGACTAAATTAGTGTTTACCTTTGCCTTCAAAATAGAACCAGCCTTCCTTGGATTTCTTTTTGCTTATGTCTTGCTAGTGTTATCTGTGTGCTCTGAGCCATCTTCCTTAATCATATATCCCAGTTTCATTCGTAGGAAGCATATAGTTTGCTTTTGTAAAACTTTGTTTATTTCCACCAACCAATGGTCTATTTGTGATGAGTGCAAGGAAATAAAAGCATTAGAGGTTAGCAGTATTCCAGATAAAATTCAACAGTATTTCCAATCATTTGGTTGGGAAACTTTGAAGAGAAACTGGAAAGATTTTTATGGAAATCCAGTCAAAAAATCATCCTCTGGGAACCAGGAATATTCACCTGCAACTTTTGAAGAAAGTTCTTCAACAAATCAAGTAAAAGCTCTTCCCTTTTTAAGAGGGGTAGTTAAATCAATAAATCGAGAAAATTTTTTTTCCTTTTTAAGATGGGTAGGTAAATTACTCCTGGTCGGTATTATGACTCTTGTAGACTGGGTCATTTCAAAACCAATTGTTTCTCTTTGTCTTGGAGGTTGCTTGTTTACAGTTGCCTGGTTTGAGAATAAGTGGACAAAAGCACTATTTCTCTTTGGAAAGTTTGCTCTTATTTGTTGGTCAATTGCCTGGGTGGCATATATTTCATATTGCTGCTCCTTATCACTACAAATTGCTATCGAAAGTTTGTTAATCAGTGGTATGAAATATCCTATTGAAACTTTGTCGTCTGTGATCATATGTGTACTTACTTGGCATTACATTTGGATGTTGTACAGCTTCTTTACGAACAATTATTTTGGCCTTTTAGGCAAGTTGTTTGATATATGTAGAGAGCATCATTGCAATGAAATGAAAGATTACACAATAGGATACAAAATGTACATTCCTAAGAAACTCTTTGATTGTGCATGTGACAAATTTGAGCCTGTGACTGAAAATTTAAAAAAGTTAGGTCTGCGCTTACTTTTATACACAATTTGTCTTTTCTTTTTATTTTCATTTGTTTATGGGACTAAGTATCCAAAAAAAGTTGTTCTCCCTGCAGCTTCAACATTATTAGTTGTTCTTCATCCTTTGTTATGGGATTTTCTAAGGAAAAGAGATGAAGAAAAGGGGCCTAAAAATTCTAGTAGGGAAGAGAAATTAAAAATTCTTGCAAAAGACTATTTTATGGGAAAAATTGATTAGGCTTCAACTAGTTTAACTAATCCCCTAAAATCTTATGCAACTTTTTGGCTAATTGTGTAACATGCAATTAACCCCTTCACATTTAAGATCTGAAAGACTTGGTAAGGTATAGCCTTTTATTTCATTGTTTACTATTAATGAGAAAAAGCAATATCCACCTCAACAACAATTTTTTTTAATTTGTGTGCTTAACATGGCTAAGAGAATACATCATCAGGTCAGTTAAAGTATGGAAACAGTGTATAAAATAAAGGAATTTTTTTAAAAATACTGTCAATATCATTAACCTTTTTTTTTAAGAGCTGAGGAAATCAAAAGGCATCCTTGCTTTTACAAGAGAGTATAATCAAGCTTAAGGTATTAGTTGACTCTATGATGTGAAGATCTGATTGTCAATTCTCCCCTACAGCTGCTACAAATTTCCTGGTAAATTAGTTTTGCAAATGTGATGATAGCAACTTCTACCTAATAAGTTTGAACAATCTTTGTGATTGTAAGTTTGCTGGATTGTGTAAGGATATTATGGGGAGAAATTACAAGGTAATCACATCAAGGAGTTAAAGGATTGAAGAGTTAGTCAGAATGCAAGTACTGTGATTATGGTAATACCATCAGCATCAACCAATTGATTTAGATCTAAGTCTGGTGCAGAATTTTATATTGTTTTAGTTAATATGTTATTGTTAAGCTTACTGTGTCTTTGTTGTTTAACTTGAAGAAGCTGAACTGTGAACTTTTTGTAGTATAGTAAACTCTCTGTAACTGAGATGAGTTTGTAAATGTGTTTGAGAAATAGTAAGAAAGTTGTAATAAATTAGAAAAAAAATCTGTTGGATAATTGAATGCAACTACTGTTTGTAATAGTTTACTTTTAGCATGCAACCCACTTAAAATAGCACTCAAGCAATCTGTGAATCCAAGTAATAAAATGTATTCATTTATGTATGTTAGTAGCACTAATTTTTTTTTTATTTGTTTTTGGTGTAAGAAACTTTTCTTTCTGTTTTTGTTTTGACTTTTTACAGTTTTGTTGCACTGTTGGGAGATAATAAGCACAAGACATAATGAATTTAACATCGGCTTCAATCTTTTCCACAACATACCACACAATTTTGGGAGCATTGCAAGTGATGCTAAGCTTTTAAATCTAAAGTCAACCTCTACTCAACCCTGTTGAACTAAAATTCATTAAAATGAACGTGAATGATTTAAAATTTTCAAACAAATCAACAGAAAACTCATAGTTACCTGCAAAGAAGTCCCAATTACCTTTTTTCCATTGAGGAAAAATATTTATACTTGGTTTTCCCCCTCTTTCTTTAACCCTTAATCCCAAAGGATGATTAGCATCTAATTTATCCTTACAATATCACCCCTGAATCACACATTAAGGTCACGAGAATGAAGAAAATGATCAGCATCCAAACAAGCCCTTGATTGTTAAACAAATTCTCCTTGTCAGCATCATAGTGAATGTATAAAGAACAGTACAGAGAATTTGCAAATTGATATTAGGGTGTAAGGGTTTAAAAAGTCCTCCTATTCTTAAGACTGAATGTGTTGCACAGGACACTGTAATATTGATTCTACAACCCTGAGGCGAATTGATGAGTGGGATAAACTGGTTAAGATACATTGTTTCAAGTATTTGTACCCACAACAAACACTTCTTGACTTATCCAAAGGGAAACAGCTCATTTTGTTTCCTAAGAATTCCAATGTCACCCATGGCAAGGTAGAGGATGAAGATTTGAGGCTGTTATTGTCAAAGGAAGGAAAAAGTTCTTCTAGACTTGCACTCCTCTGCAGTTGAATCCTTCTCAATGTCAAAGCAAACGTGTGTGGCCTGAGAAGGTAAAACTAGAGGAAGAAAAGAAGAACTGAAGACTTTCCTGTTGGCTCTTTCTAAATTTCAAACTAGGAGTATTTATTGTATAAATCTTGAGAGATTCCCCTGTTTTAAACTTATTTTTTTGCAGAGAAACTTTAACTAAGTGACTGATCAGGAAAAAGGGAGGAAGGGAACACTCCTCTGCAGTTGAATCCCCTGTTTTAATGTATAAAATAAGGAGCTGCAAAAGAGGCATTTTTGTCTCAAATAATATATATATATACATAAATAGTGGAAGAAAGTGGGCAACAAACAAAAAACAGGTCTGTTGGGATGAACTGGTAGTTTATGCAGACTTTTTTTTTTCTCCCAAATATATATATATATATATATATATTTTTTTTTTTTTTTTTTCAATTTGCATCAGTTTGTGAACCACAGGTTGTGGTTTAAATCAGTGCAACCAGGTTAATTAGAGCACTAAGGGGGGTAAGTTTCTAAAGAAACTGTGGTGCTGCATCAGTGGGAGAGTATAACATGGTGATTTAGTATTATCAACTGAGTTAATAACGTAAATTGGCCCGTGTAAAGAGTTTAGAAGCTGACGTTTCGAGCGTTAGCCCTTCGTCAGAGCTGAAAAAGAAAATCGCTCTGTTGAAGGGCAAACGGTTGAAATATTAGCTTTTAAACTCTTTACGGTGGCCAATTTACATTATCAACTAACTTGATAATAATAAATTACCTAATTAGTCCACTAATTTCAAAATGGAAGCAGCCACAGGTATTTGTCTGTCAGCTCATTGGAATCCCCAAATGCTTTAGGTAGAAAGTTGTAATGAGTACTTTTAAATGGAAGAGATAAACATCATACGCTTTCTGAAGTACACTTCAGCAGTACATGGCAAGTCCTCAGTCTTGAAGTATTTTTGATATTGCCTGATAGGACGCGGTCAAGAGTGATGAAGAATACTGCAAAAATTGTTCAGTCCTGGAAAGACAAAAAAGAAATTGGGTAAGGAAGCAGTCATTTTACAAATAATTTCAGGGAAAAAAAGCCTGTCTTCTTTCCAGCATATTATAGCTTTACTTCTTGCTGCAACATGACTACTAGGGTGAAAAGATGAAAGAAGTTTTGACGAAGGAGTAGAGAAGTAGTGGAGCAGGGTAGCATCCCTCGATGAATAAACCTTTGTTAAGAACTCTCCCCCTTGCATGCTGATCACTCAGGATACCATGTTTAACTCCAATACTCCATGTAACCACTAAGGTGTTGCCAAATGTTCCTTGTGGCTTTGTAGATAATTAGTGTTGATTGAAAAAAAGGTGCAGATCTAAATTTTTTTTACTTGTAATTTACTTGTGTCTCTTTCCTGTTTTATGGTTAGTTTTGCTATTTGTTGAACCCTGACTGCCTGTGTGAAAAAAAACACTCAGATTGGGGTTCATACTGACATTGGTTCTCTAAAGTTGGGTGACTTGCTGTATTATCTGTTTCAGAACTGTTTTTCTCTGCTACTAAGAATCCAGACGTAACCTTTTTACTCAGTACTACTTCCTTTTGCAGTGAACTCCGTGATCAAGGACTTACAAGACCCAAGATTTTGATCCTAGTTCCTTTCCGTGATGCAGCGTTAAAGGTGGTGGAGGTTATCATGCACCTTATCTGTCCAGAGGAAGGTGTAAGTAAAACATTATTTTGTTTAATATTGCACAATATCAGGTAACTCGCTCCTCTCACTTTCTCTCAGGCAATAGATAGTAAGTAGTAGGTAATCAGATTTCAGAATTTGTGATACAATTTAAGGAGAGTAATGTTACAGTAAAAAGCAATAGACTACTCATGAAAAATACATGTACACCGTTTATATTACACTTCTACCGTACTGCAAGGCTGGTTGGAATATAGCAATTTTCTCTTGTCCTACTTTTGTAGGGTCAAGTTATGAACAAGAAACGATTCTACGAGGAGTTTGGGGAGACAGAGGACTCGAGCAGTTCAAAGGAAAACAGGCCAGAAGATTTTAAACAGATGTTTGCAGGGAACATTGATGACTGCTTTAGGATTGGAATTTCAGTTATGAAAAAATGTTTGAAGTTGTATGCCAAGTTTTACTCATCAGATATTATTGTGGCGTCGCCTCTTGGACTGAGGACAATCATTGGAAGTGCAGGGTATTTCTAAAATATTGCTCACGTAAATACATACATAACAACTCTCCTGTATTAGAAACAAACATCCTTGGTTCCTGTACAGTTACTAGATCTCTCAAATAAGATCAAGTTTGGTTAATTTTTTCGCAAAGAGAGAAAATCAAGGAAATTTGATTTCCATTAGTTAAAAATGTTTTTTTTCAAGGTTTTTAGGGATAGTTGTGTTTTTGTGCTTGATTTTCAATTTTGGACTATTTTAGTCCACTAGAGCAGTTCCCAGTCTGTACCAAGAGACTGAGACAAACAAGTTTCAGTTATCTGTTGGATTTTGAAATCGACCATATGATTTCAGACAAAATTGTACTCCACGCGGTTCAAATTATATAGTAAATTTCTCCATGTGCCACAACAAACATAAATTTGTTTATTTATGTATCATGCATATCTATTTACAGAGAGAAGTCCCATGAATATGATTTCCTTTCATCCATTGAAGTTATTATTGCTGATCAAACAGATGTCTTCCTCATGCAAAACTGGGAACATGTTCAGGTATGTATTTTATTATATCAGCCTCTATAATGATTACGTTAGTTGAATCAGACCATTTTTGATAGCACTGCATGTCTTTTGTCGTTTTACCTTGTATAATTATGGAGAGAACATTGGCTAGTTTTGCAGAAGTGATAACTGCATATTACCTATGGAATTTTATCGGTTAGCGTCACTTTTGTTAAGTTAATCACACGTTGTACTTTTTTATCATTTGCAGCACATCTTTGAGCATCTCCATCAGCAACCAAAAGACTCGCATGATGTTGATTTTTCTCGTGTCAGAATGTGGTGTCTGAATGGATGGTAAGTGCAAGAGCGAGCAAAGGATCTAGAGTGTGTGATGACTCTTTTCTCTTGTATAAAAATCCTGTTATACTTGTAAATTCTGACTCAACACCCTGAAACATCTAACGTTCAAAATAAGTCAAGTAAATGTCAACTAAAATATCAAGCAAAATGAACAAAGTTTGTTCTTTGATCTTGTGAACTTGGAAGTTTGTGCAAAATTTTCTTTTAAACTTCCAGCCCTTTTGAGTAACTTTTAATTGTAAAGGGCCTATTCTTGCTCTTGATGTATAATGGAGAATTAGCTCGCAAATTTGTGCTCTTTTATGATCACTAAGGTCAGTTAGCACTAGTAGCGTTGGTTTGCCTTGACTCTATAAAATGCCTCCTCCGGTTAAAATTTAGAGATAAATCAAATATCTGTCAATAACATTGTACTGATTTTCTTTGTAGGTCGAAGTATTACAGACAGACCCTCATATTCAGCAGTTTCGTGTCACCTGAAATGAACTCACTGTTTAACAGACAATGTTTCAATATCCTTTGTTTACAATAAAGTCTCTTTATGGATAACAAGCAGTAGCGATACATCTACATAGTTCAGTAAATAATAAACACAAATGTTTATCATATTTCATAGTGTGTCAGATAATTGTCAAGACATTGTTTGTTGTCATGAACCTTTTCGCTGGCAATCTTTTTTTTTTTGTGTATGTGAGAGATTTATAATTTATATCATTGCATTTCCTCTTTTTTTTCGGGGGGTAGCTTTGATAAGTCACTAAAAGATATAAGAATTATATAGTAAAACACATTTATTTTTCTTAATAAAGAAGTCACATTTTGCTGGTAAGGTGAAAGTTTGTTCAACTGATGTACCAGGTTCTATTTGTCAAGTGGCCGTCCAGGTTCCCCAGGTAAGCCCTGAAGAGAGATCTGGATACGATATTACTCACAGATACAACGCTTCAGATTACGCATGGATGCGACGGTTCAGATTACGCATAGAAACAACGCTTCAGATTACGCATAGATACGAATCGTCAGATTATGCATAGATACAACGCTTCAGATTACGCACAGATACAACGCTTCAGATTATGCATAGATACGACGCGCCAGATCTCAGTTCAACCGCCCGTCACTAGCGGAAACTATCAATTGCGGTTCGCTAACACTTTCTGCTTTAGATATGATCCTTCCTCGCTCTCCAGGTCGAATTGTTGGACTTTGCTCCTGCCACTGGGGTGAACTAAAGTCTGCTATACCAAAGTTACGCAGTTAGATATCTAGTAGACAAAATTGCCATGTCCGTTGGCAAATATCTCGCAAATTTTCAGATAATTTTTGGGAAAGGCTATGTTACTGTTTGGGTTCTCAAAACGCACTCAGTTTCATGATTTCAATTATACTCTTCGTTGGTGGAGATAAAAATTCTTTGGTTTCTTGAGTATGCATGCTCTTTAGGGGAACTTGCGCACGAGGAAAACCTTGATACTTTTATATAAATTATGCTATTAACCTAAAAGTTTATGTAGGAGTTATGGAGTTTTAGTGATTTCTGTTTTTTATTCTAGACCTTCCATCGTTTTGACTGCTCAAATTTTTCAGAAGCCGCCAACAAGAGATTCCAAATCTTTATAGATAAGGTAAGACGAGTTCAACTGGCCACCTATTTGTTTCACCAGGAAGGACAATTCCTTCTTTCGTTGTGGCTGTTTGGTGTTTCTACACTAATCGCAGCAGTTCTGATAAGCTCCCCTCTCTAATAAGACTCCCATCGAGACCTTCAAGTTTCTAACAAGCTTCCTTCCTTCCCCTCCTGGGTATTTAATAATCAGGGAAGCGTGTCAGAAGATAAATGTTGATGCGCATTTTGTCCTTCAATAAGTGTCTAATAATCCAGCACTCTCTAATAAGCTCCAGGTTTGCTTTGCTTTTTTTTTTCGCATAAACAGGCTAGTAGTTGATGAAGCACAAGTTCAAGTCGTGTCCAAGCCCGTATCCATTTTTTTGTTCTCAATTTCAGGCTTTTCTTTCTACAATTGCTTTAACTGTAGTTTACCTTTGATGATGAATTCGTCACACACTGATTGATAGTGGTTATTCTTGCGTCAATTGACTCACGATTAAATTAAGTAAATAAAAGGCCGTTGTACACAGCCTGCTATGCGAGTTCTCAGATAACTGATTAAACTTTTCAACCATCTTTTTCAGGTTTTACCCGATTTCAAAGGTTCCCTTATGGGCCACACAGCGATCTTTGTTCCATCGTACTTTGACTTTGTGCGTCTGCGAAATTACTTCAAACGTGAAGGCATAGACTGTGCGCAGATTTCAGAGTAAGTGCTTGTTTTGCACTAAATTCTCCTTATCTTGATATACCCCTGAAAGACCAAGATAGCCCCTCAGAGGGCCTTCCTATGCGTGTTTTCCATGAGTCATGTGGTCCGATCGTGCGGGTGAGAGTAGTCGCGAGACGGACTGTGGACAGTAGTAATGACTAGCGTTTCGACAACCCGAGCCAAACTCATTATCGGAATCAAAGATGAAGGCGCGCAGTATGCAGTCGAAACGTTACTTTCCACATCAGAAGTGACTACATCGTGAGACAAACATATACTTCATTGAAAGTGTACAAATCACGATGGCTTTCTGTAACCTGTGTGTTACCGTATTCAGGGAAGAGTTGTTTGCGAAGTCTGGTTCGTGGATAGTGATTGGTAGTGATGGTATTGGTTTTAAGGGTCGATTTGCGCAAGTCGGTCTCGATTGGTCAGTTTCGATCAGTTGGTAAAGTGAGGTCATTCTTTTCAGTTCGCTAGTTGTGTTAATGTCATGAATATGTCATTTATGTGTTTCCAGTAGTTGTTGACATTTGTTGAGTTTAGTTTTGCAGCTGATAAGTTGAGAGGTGGGCGCGGGTTTTCTACACCAATCACAGAGCGAATCAAATCAGATTCAAAGGAGTTTCGTACCACTCTAACCACTTGATAAAAGAGTGCTTCAATGATCTTCAAAATAGTCAGCGTTAGTTTATTTCTACCAGATACTCACAACCGAAAGAGATACAGAGAGCCCGGACGCACTTTCAACAAGGAAAGAGACCGTTTCTTTTGTTTACGGAAAGATTCTACTTCTTCTACAGGTATACTAATGTAAAATCCCGCTCTATTAAAATCTTTCTCTGTTCTCATTTTGTTGTTTTCTTTACAGAGCGTGAGAATGAAAGGAGAGATTGCTTTTCGATTGAGGGTAGAGAAGCCAAAACTTACCTAAAACATGGTTTTCTCATTTTCTCATTCTCATTTTCATCTCATTTTCTTTTCCACCCATTCGCTTCCTTTATTAAATTGTGAACAATAGTTAACCCATTAACCCCCAAGAGTGACTAGCATCTGTTTTCTCCTTACAATATTACCCTTGAATCAGTCATTGAGGTCACGAAAATAAAGGAAACAGTCACCAACTAAAGAAGCTCTTGATTATTAAACAAATTCTCCCTGTCAGCACCTTAGGAAACGTATAGGGAACAGTGCAGAGAAAATGCGTACTGATGTTATGATGTAAAGGGTTAACACCGAAAACATTTTTTTCTAGGTATCGCATTCGAGGAGTCAGGAATATCATTTTCTACGAACTTCCGCACTACTCTACGTTCTACACGGAGATTCTAAATTTCATGGATACAAGGAGCAATCGGTTGAAGCCTCAGATGAATCCTGTTAATTGTACTGTGTTATACACAAAGTCTAATGCGCTGCGTCTGGCTAGAGTGGTGGGTTCGCGACGCTGTAGTCGCATGATCTCCTCTGAAAGCCAGGTTCATATGCTTGTTACTGGTGATGAGGATGAATGAATGGTTGCTCATGCGTGTTAGAGCGACGAAGGAAAACACCCCAAGGGGCCAATAAGAGCGCAATTTAAGAACAAGCAAGCATCTTGTTACACCCAATTGTACACGCGACCCAGACTGGTCCCCACGTGATTCCAGACATAAGGGCAAGAGGGCTGCCTTAACGTACGGTGAATCGTGGTGAGGTAACACATTTGCAAATGCGAGCAGAAATGCTGTTTGGACTTGCGTAATGGCCAGAAGATTGTACTATCATGGCGGAATCTAATGCGATCATATCTCAGCAGACTCAGAAAATGACATTATCAATATGCAACAAAATAGTTTAATTCGAAACTTTTCCAGTGTTAAAAAACTTTACGCAAGTGTCTTGTCGTCTATAACGAAATACGAAACTTCTTACGAATCTATTTGTGTTAACTAACAGAACTTTGTGTGAATTCCCTTCGAAACAAACAACTATCACCCATACGAACACTGGTACATCATGGAAGGTAACATTGCACAACTCGATCAAACGTTTAATCAGATAAACTAGTTTTACCATACATACAAACAATCGATTAATCATCAGTCAGCGAGTCAGTCAATCATTCGATCGGTAAGTCAATGACTCACTGACTCAGTCAGTCAGTCCATGCATCAATGAATCAATTATTCAGCAATCATTCAGTCACTTAAACGGAAAGAAATTTTTCCTGTCTTCATGAGTTTATTAATCGACCGTTCACAAATCGTTTAAGAAACTTCTGGACTTGGGGCAAAAAAATCTTATCTTATGCAATAAAAGTAATGATGAAAAGGCAGTCATCTGGAATAATTTTTTTTTACTGGGAGGATGGTTGAAGTTTAGAAATGAGCAAAGAATAACGATGGTTAGTCTCCTTCTATTATCATTATTTCGATCTTCTGGTGCCAGTTGCTTTTGGCACCGGCATTAAGGTCTAATTAACTTTTAATTCGATTCAGGAATTTTTAATTTGTTCTACGGACAGTTTGACACGAGCAGATTAGTTGAGCTCAGTAAATGATTTGAATTAGGGCTTTTCCATTTCTTTAGCGTCTAGATCTGAAGCCTTTTAGTTCAATTTCATTCTGAATGTCGCTCGCACTTCATGCATTTTTCTGTTCACCGCACCTTGCAGCACTTCTTTTGTATGGGTCCGCTGGTTTAGTATGGTGAGCTACTTTGACTGAGCTCAGTATTCTGGTGATCAATTTCGCTTCACGTGATAATTACTTCTGTGTCTTTTTAAGAGTAATCTTTCCAAAGCACTGTTCCCTTCCCTCCCCTCCCCATGCCGAAAAACAGCCACGCCCGTCTAGTCCGTGCAAGAGAGAATGCAAGTCCATGGTCTAACAACTTCAGTCAGATTTTAGGTTTCATATTTTCTTTTTAAGCTTTTTATTTCAACTTTTTAATTCTAAATTTGAAAATTAATCATAACCTAATTGACTCTACATTCTTTTTCTAGTTTAGTCAATTTGTACTTTCTGCTTGACTGATAACTTCTCTGACCCAGTCTGTCATCACTTCCATATCAGCGTACACCCCATACTTGTGGGGGTCACCACATTTATGTCCCCAGGAAACCACCCCAGTCAGATACCAGAGCCCCTCTTCTTCACAGGCCAGCGGTCCACCGCTGTCGTACTGGCATGCGTCGACTCCACCTTTCTCGAATCCAGCACACAGTGCTCTGTTGTGTATGGCTCCGTTGTAGGATTCCTCTGAGTTGCATTTGTCCGGATGTACAAGTTTAACCCTCGCCTCCCTCAGAATGTCTGGCTTAGGTCCTCTCCACTGAGTGTGGCCCCAGCCACTTACATAACACTCCTTACCTACGGGGAACTTGAAGCCTGGAGGAAGGAGGCAGATGGGAAACACAAAGTTGTCTAAAATGGCGGGAGTTTTAAGATGCAAGACAGCTGCAAAACAATATACAAAAATGCTCAGTTTGGTTTTCACAGAACAGTATCGGTTGTTGATGAATAGGTGGTAATTTCTACTATTCAGATAGGTGATTCTATGACAATGTCCCTAAATCTCATCCACATCCTGTTAAGCCCTCACATCAGCGCTTCGGCCTGAGAGTTTCTTCGCCCAGAAGGTATCAGGCCTCGACCAAAACGAGTCAGCGAAAGGTCGGCAAGGGGTCTGGCACTAATTATTAGTGCCAGATCTCCGGAAAGCCTCTCCCCGACTCGTCTCTACTCTTCCCTTGGGGGGGAGGAGGAGGAGGGGGGGAAGGGGAAGGGGGAGGGGGAAGTCCTGAAGCGTTACTAATAAGGGCCTACTAACAGGCCTCATCTTGTGAAAAACAAGAGAGGCCGGCAAGGAATCTAGCACTAATTATTAGTGCCAGACATCCACAAAGCCTCTCCTAGACTCATCTCTAATCTTTCCTTTTCTGGGGGGGGGGCGTCCTGGAGCGCTACTAACAAGGGCCTTCTCTCAGGCTACATCTCGTGAAAAACAACTGAGCAACCTCCCACAAGCGACCGTTCTGTGCCATTTTCTGTGTCCTATTTGCTAAGCAGTGGCAAATCAGTACAAGACAGTTCAATGATGATGAATAATCAGTTCTTTTTTAAGAAAAGTTCAAAGTTGACTAAAAATTTTCGCGTGAATAAATTCACTCACCAACGTCGTAATCCGGTGGGATTGACTTCAATTTATTATCGCTAACTTTGTTGGCAGAGTTTTTATACTGCGGATGAAGGTAAATTGCTTTCACCTCTCTAGCTTGCTCAAACCAGTCCTCATTTTTTAGGTGATGTTCACCTAAGGTTACTGTCCAGTGATTGGGATTCTTGGACAATCCAGAACCTGTAACCAGGAAGTGTAAAGTATTAGGTTGCTAATATATCAAGGATACTTTGACTTTCTGTTGTTTTAGAACTTGCACTATATATGCCCGACAGGAATGCACGAACCGAACTATAACTCGCAAAGAAAATAAATTACGTTCTGAGAAACAAAGGGAAGCAAATTTAAAAATTCCTCTCAAATTTGATCGAAATCCTATTTCTCTGCGAGAAAAACCCTTCACTCTCACTGGGTGAAATGAAGAATTGTTTTTCTGGAAAAGTGCTTGGGAGTATCTTGTGCTTGATCTCTACTCAGTGGAAGAAAAACACAATTTTCCGGGTCAATGCGCACTGGGATCAGCAGAGCTTTAACTAATACCTAATTTGAAATTGTTTTCAATTAGGTCGTTGTATTTCTAATTTTTTTCCACGTAATTGAGTATTCTTGAACAAATTTATAAGCAATGAGGTTGTTCGTGTTAGGAAGTTGGATGAGCTCGCGCGTGCGTTTTTAAATGGAACTGCCCGCTGAACATGCGCCACTTTATGATAATACATTAAAACTTACCCACAAAACAATGTGAAGCGGAGACAACCCACTCTGGGGAAACAAGCGAGCCTCCACACGTCTGTGTGTTGTTCTGCAGTAGAGCTACCTGCCAGGGCCATGCCCCGGGTGAACTGATCTGGCCTCCAACGATCCGCTTAGCCTCAACGTCATTTGAGATATACCTGGCACCACACTCGGGTTCTATGAAAATGTTGACCGAAAATCCATTAATAAGACTTGCTTAGCACTCATGATGAAAGTTTTGTGTAAGTTATTTATTTGTATAGCTATGACCAAGACTTAGAAACTATCAGAAAAATGAAACGACTGATGTGTTGAACTATCTGTCCTGTTTGTCTTTCTGTTTATTCTTTTTCCTACAGATTACGCGGTTTTTCTACCCCTCGCGCGCGACTAACGTCTCACCTCATGATTGCCTCCGAATGATTTAAAAAGCAAAAAAGTAACATCAGTTCTGTGAGCTATTTCTCGACCATAAGAAGCGAGTTCTCCTATCGTTTGATATAGAAAGCAATGAGCATATAATTCAGTATACCAGCTGTCTGATGTAGCTTTCAGCCGGTGCTTTATTGCCGAAGATTTCTCTCAGTAAACTGAGATGCACAAAAAGAAAGGTACTGAATTATTTAAGCTATGGACGTAGTACTTTGTAAAAATGTATAAAGCGCTTGTAGTACAAACCTAACACCTGTTCCTGGTTGGAGAGAATAACAACGGTTGTCAAGAGGACTATGCCGACAGTATTGTGCATGCTTACCGACGTTATGAAGCCAAACCTGGTTGAGAGAACAGACACAGTTAACGAACGTCACTTTTTGAGAAACACGGCTAATGCCAGACACACGGTCAGCGTAAACAAGCGGAAAAGCAGGCGGGCAAAAAATGGCGAGAAAAATGCTGCTGCCGTTTCCCGACAACCGCTGGGCATTGTTTTGCCCCTTCATTTCGCTCGTCTCCGGAGAGAGAGTGAGACCGGGAGCCTGGAACATATCGTTGATGAACAACACAATATCGCAGCTAGGCAGCTGGGTTTAAAAACTCGCTCTCACTGTTGAAATTGCAGAAAAATAAGAAAACATCAATTTATCGGACAAAACATGTACTAATAGAAGAAACCAGAAGAGTCGTTTGCTCAATTACATTACTTTTTAAACAAAACAGTACTTCTGCATTGTTTAAAAGAAAACTTCTAACAAATGAGTTTGAGCGAATGAATGAAATATTACTCGCTTATTTATATACAGTTTGTTGTTTTAATCATATATGATCTACTTTTTTCTACCCTTCTACTTTAAAAAATATATTTCAGTGAGGAATGGTCATGAGTAACCAACTTCAGCCAGAAAAATCGCTAAATTCTCTTTCAAGGAATATTGAATTCGATTCAAGCTTTATATATTTCTATTTACCGAATGAACTTCGTATTTTCTATAGTTCATATGACAGTTTTGCATATTTGACAGGCGGAAAAGGCACCGCAGAGGAAATAACACTGAGTATTCAATCTTTCTGCCTCGTCTTCGCATTCTTAGGCCACGGCCTGGAATAAATAAATTAGGAAATGCAATCTTTGCTTCACTTGATAGTTTGCTATTATTGTCGAAATCGTCATCATTTAACTCGCTGTTTAATTACACCATTTGAAACATTGTCTAGAACATTTTTAAATAATGCAAAATTATTTCTGCAGAGAAAAAAAACAGTGGTTAAAACTTTAAACCATTGGTTTCTTTCACATAACTTTGTGAAATTGTCTCTCTTACCATCGATGATACACGAACTCTTCGATTAATTACGAGTGTCGAAAGTCTGATATGTTCTGTTTCATAATACGCGTTTACTTCGAAGAAAAACGTCGTATACTCCAGAAAGCTCCATTTTTTATTTTAGTCTTCAACACTGATGAATGAATTATCGTTTCTTTGAACAAACTTTAGAAGGACTGAAAAGGTTATGCATAACGCTTACGGCAGACGGAAAAAGCGTGACAAAAATTAAACTTCTTGTCGTCTGCTTTCAGCCGTTTTCATATTTGAAAATGAAGACATCTTACCGTGAACAAGATACTTTTTTTTGCAATATTTCCTAAAGAGTTGACCGACGGCGGATTATAAGAAGAGGAGTGAAACTAGAGTTCATTTTTTTTTCTATTTGCTGTTGCTGTCGACGTCAGGATCAAACTCTCTTATGCTCACCAAACAACTGAGTGCTAAAACGAAAACATCAGTTAATCTATTGTGAAGCCATAGCAAAATGTCTCACCTCAAACGTTCAAAAAGGGGCTTTCAGGTATCCCAGTGCGATCACCTTCAGGATAAGCTGAGGATTTTTAGGATCAATCACTTTAAAGGTAAATCTTCTGGAAACAAACATAGACCCTTATGCGTCACGTAGCGTGGCAAAAGCCACCGCACATGCGACACGACTCTTCATACGAGAACTAAAACAATAACACCAGGTGAAAAAAGGCTTCCGATGAAGGCTCTCTTGATTGGTTAAGTAGACATAGTCAATTATTGGAAACATAATTATTCGCTTTGAGAGGAAGTGCATCACTGGAAAAAGTCGAAGAACTCTGAGCCTATCGGTCGAAAATATTTCTATCAATACTGGCGAGGTGAATGCGTTGACATAACAACATTCTTCCTTTTTAGTTCTGTTTGGGAAAATTTTTTAGACCATCTTCAGATGATTTTTCTGTCGGTTGATTATCGTATGGACGCCTATTTGTCTGAGATCAAGGATCCGTTCTGTGATTAGCATAATCAAAAGATGGCTTTTAATTCCATCTGGCCTCTTTCGCCCCTTGCAGCTAGAAAACTCGACAAACTTACGTTTTCCTTGAAAACAAAACGTGGGCAATGCCAGCATCCTTTATCCTAGTTTTAGCATTTTTTAAATTAGTTTCGCTTTTAGATTTATTCTAAGTATTGTCTCTAAGTCATTTTCTTCGCACAGCACAATGAATACAATTTTTTTAGTTCACTGAAATCATCATGTCAAAAATTAACCCACCACTCATATAACTGATGAGCGCACAATCCAGACAGTGAAGAACGCTTTTTGCACGCATGAGAGTAAAAAATTATGAATGTTGTACATTAAAACAGTTAGAACAAAAACACCAGTCCAATCTCATTTTTTTTATTTAAACGAGATTCTAGGCGCGGAATAGACTTGCCAGTAAAATTCGTACCTTCTTCAGAAAATTGCGAAAACATGAGTTTGAATTCTTTTGATATGCATTAAAACAGACAGAGTGCCTCACGATAAACTTGCGACTTAATTTTATAGTTTTTTAAGCAGTTTTGTCATTTACAGTTTTTTTAAGTCTACAAGTCTCGTCTAACTAAAATAGAATTTCTAACGACTGCGTATTTCTTTGTACGAACTCTTTGACACACAGGGTAATTTATTTCTCATGTAAATCCTTGAGTTGTTTCAGCTTTTATTTGGTTCTTCCTTTTTCTCGAAAATGGGTGCATAATTGCCACAAAATCATCCTAGTTTTAGCATTTTTTTAAATTAGTTTCGCTTTTAGATTTATTCTAAGTATTGTCTCTAAGTCATTTTCTCCGCACAGCACAATGAATACAATTTTTTTAGTTCACTGAAATCATCATATCAAAAATTAACCCACCATACATATAACTGATGAGCGCACAATCCAGACAGTGAAGAACGCTTTTTGCACGTATGAGAGTAAAAAATTAAGAATGTTGTGCATTAAAACAGTTAGAACAAAAACACCTGTCCAATATAATTTTTTTTATTTAAACGAGATTCTAGGCGCGGAATAGACTTGCCACTAAAATGCGTACCTTCTTCAGAAAATTGCGAAAACATGAGTTTGAATACTTTTGATACGCATTAGAACAGACAGAATGCCTCATGGTAAACTTACCACTTCATTTTATAGTTTTTTAAGCAGTTTTGTCATTTACAGTTTTTTTAGTCTACAAGTCTCGTCTTACTAAAATAGAATTTCTATCGACTGCGTATTTCTTCGTACGAACTCTTTGACACGCAGGGTAATTTATTTCTCATGTAAATCCTTGAGTTGTTTCAGCTTTTATTTGGTTCTTCCTTTTTCTCGAAAATGGGTGCATAATTGCCACAAAATCATCCTGATGTAAATCAGTCAGTGACACAATTCACGTCTTGTTAATGAGTTGGTGGGAATTCACCAACTGTTCACTAAATTCTGTTTGAGAGGCTGGTTTCTCACGGAGAACCAAAGGGAGGTGGTTGTGCCTTTATTATTTGACACAAACCAGAGTTACGCGAGTTACCAATGGTTATGGAGGAATGTGACTGAAAGAGATATGGAGAATGAGAAATGGAGGGTGGGAAATGGAGAATGGGAAATGGAGAATGGGAAGTGGAGGATGGGAAATGGAGGGTAAATGCGCAAATACTAATCTCCAGCACTTATCTGTATAACGATATACAGAATTTCATGTATGCAAAGACAGAATGAAAGAATGAAAGGCAATTGTCTTCATACTGACGAGAGAACTACCTGCTCCACTCTCTTCCCTGGGGGATTCAATCATTTACGACGGAATCATTTTAATGTAAATCAGGGGCGCTGTTCACCTTGATAACAAGGTCGAAAATCTTTGTTGGGGCGGGTTAGTCTTTAGTGACTTTAAATGGAGTTCACTGATACACAGTGAAATCTTTCTGACGAAAATCAATGGTTTGTAGAATTAGCTTGACACAACCGATTATGCAAATACTCCTTTCCAGCTCTTGTCTGCATTGCGATAAACACAATGTTTCATGCATGCAAAGACAGAATGAAAGGCAACTGTTTTCTTACTGAGGGGAGAAGTGTCTTCTTCTCCGAGGGGCAACAGTTGATAGTTCGAAATTGTTTGAAATTGTTGGAAGTCATCTCAAATGAAAAAATTCTTCGCAAACAAACGTGACAATCGAAGGAAAGTTTGCAAGCCTTCCTTCTTTAAAAAGGGACAACGGATTTTTGGTGAAAGCCCGCGGAGAGTAAATTAATTTTAAGTTATCCTAGAAGCAAATTTTAGTTTTATCCTGATCTTTTGTTTTTTATGATTAAAGTTCTCAGAAAGAAGTCGGCTTTCTTTACATTTTGGAGAACCTGAAGGAATTGGTCCATTCAATCCTTTGGGCCCGTGTGGTCATCAGTTTATTGAATCACTAAGCCCTAATTTCAGTAATGGTATCGATTCTTCTAATGAAGCAATGCGCACGCTGAAGGAGTTATTTATCATCATATTAGGATTACCATTTCTAACTAACAACCTAACGAGCCCTTCCATTAATTTTGCGTGCTTCTATTGGCTATTTTTTATCACGTGGTACAAAATCACCGAACACTTATCACGCAATATTCGTCGATCTTTGTCCTCTGATTATTTCGTCGAAAGAACCAGCGCAGCAGTTTCGCTTTTTCATCTTTACTGCTTTTCAAGGAAGAAAAACGAATTGTAGAGTCCAGTGGTAGTGAAATAGCGTGTTTTTTTGCGTCGTGATCATCTGTTTCTTCACCCCCAGAAAGAGCTTTGTTTGTATAAAGGCAAATCCCGATATATTTGTCACTCAGTTCAAGTTCGTTATATAATGATTTTAATTAATTCTGAAGCTTCTAGTCGACCTAAGCAAAGTATTAGCAGCTATGAAGGTTTCGTGCAGCCATTCTTCGTTCGAAATTATCCCTTGTTCAAGGTCCTCTGATGTTAAGTAAAAGGCTGCACCGTGACGTATGTGTTTTTTGACGCTTCTGAAATGGTTCATTTAACCAATGTCTTAAACCTTGTTTAACAATTAAACCAGAGACAATATAAAACGACTTTCTATGAGATCCACCAATGATAAATCTAGGGTTCGGCTCTTTTGATCTTAGGCTCTTAAGCAAATTAAGGCACTTACTCTTTCTGATAATCGCGGTATCCGATCACCCTTTCCACGGTCAGTTCACTCGAAGTCGTATCTTTCCAAATGAGAGTGAATTTGTTCCACAAAATGAATCAATATGTTCTACATAAGAGTCATATCACCCTACGATCAAATAATTTCCGACTTGTAAGGTTGACAGGTACACAGGAACAAATTAGTTTCATTTTTTAATTACTTTAGGTAATGTCGATTTTTTTTCACCTTGAAACAAAGCTTTACAAAGTCAGCTCTTTGGAAGTTAGGACCCACAACGAACGCCCTTCGACACAACACATCACGCGCTGTCTCAAAACTTCGATTTGACTCGATCTTTCGTTTGTTACCAGGCCCTTGCCTATTCTCCGTAGATGACTCTTTTGCTTTCCGTTATCATCGCTTTGAAGATGTGTGTGGCGAACGAAACATTTAGTTGGATTCGAAGAATTTCAAGCCGAATTAAGAATTTCAAATTTTCATATGGCGTCTTTTCTTGCCCGCAAGCTCGCTAAGCATAAAAACAGGCGTAAGTCGATTATACACACAAAAACTAGATTAAACTAGACCAGAAAGCAACGAGTCGAGGAACATTTAGAGTCGATGTCTTTTAAAACTTGGGGATTCTCCCATGAATTATATATTACGTTGTTCCGCTGTTCTGCTTACAGATGGAGTTTCTCCCCATTCATCGAGGTCTAAGCGCTGTGCAGGCACGCCACAAAGCGAAAAGGAAAAACAGTATTATCTGCACAATGTGAACAGAAAATAAGAGGATAGTTGGAAACTGTTTCTAGCTCTAACATTTGTATTAAAGGTTTGAAACACGATTTCAAATCACACGGAACGGCTTCGACACGCTGATGGACGTCGAAAGCAAAACAAGTTCGTTCGATATCGTTGTTTAGTCACCCGCACGTGACATATCACAATTCACGTTCTTTACCAGTGTTTTAAAATTGTAACAATTAAACCAGAGCTAATTTAAGTCATCCACCCATGATAAAACCAGGGTTCAACTCCTTTGATGTTAAGCTCTTGAGAATATCAAACGCGCTATTATCTCGCGGATATTCGCACGGTATAATTATTCATTTCAACGGTTAGTTCTTCCCAACTCATTTCGTTCCAAAAGAAGAGGATTCGTCAGCCTCCCGCACGTGACATATCACAATTATAGAAAACAGAAGATTTACCATTTCATACGCCCATGGAAATTAATAAAGAAACCGTGGAGGTAAATTAACGATACAAATTTCGCAAAAGAACAGTTTAACAATTATTGGGCCGTACGGAAGAGAAGTGAGTAAACGAAAGTGGTAACAGAAAATTTAGCAAAAGTGTTTAATGTTAAAAGTAATCCAGGAACACTTTGATTTTGCCTTACTCCAATGTGATTAGTCTGGAAATTTCGCGCCACTTTCTCAATCAATCAGATTCAAACCAAAATCAATAGCGAGTTGGTCAATCGTGTTTTGCTGCCCTTGAGTTCTCACTGGTTCCTGGTGATATTCTCCCGCGCTCTGATTTGCAAATATGAGAACTTTTGTTTTGCTTTTACGATACTGGATTAATCTAAAAGCACTCACATTTACAACGCGTCGCAACTGATCCTTCAGGGTGGTACAACATAATCCAACAAGGAATAACTGAATCATTTCCATTTTTTTTTCACAATGTTACAGCAGTCAAATATAACTCAAAGTTCAAAAAAATTCTTCAAAACTTTGGTACTCTATTTAGGACCCGAGTAAACAGTAGGTTTATCTTGTTCATAACAAAAGTATGATCCATTTAAATATATGTAAAAAAGAACCCTTCAAAAAAGTTTTCCCAGGGGTTGAGTCTCCGTAAAGTATAAAAATGAAAAAAATTTGACTGCTTTATGATAAACAGCAGGTCCCTCTTGTATTGAGGCATCCTTAAAAATTACTTTCCCTTGAAAAGTCAGTTAAACCGTTTCCCACCCTTTCATTTTCATTTCCTCAACCCTCAGCAAAAAAGTTGTTCTTAAGTTCTACTCAAGCGTTTGACGTTTGAGTTCTAGGAACCGGATCTCCTTCAACTCCCAGAGATCATTAACCTGAAATTTCTCCCTACAATATCAAAACATTACTCCCTGAAAAATTAACGAGAGAAAACAAATTCATCATCCAGATGGTGTTACCTTTAAACAAGACTAAACTCTCGTACTTATTCAATAGGTAATGTGTGGCGACCGACAGATATCAAATTATCTTTACTAATACCTTAAATTGCTACGCAATATTTTTATCTTAACTCCTGACCCTTGAGATCTGATATTAAATTCTCTTCACTAATACCTTACATTGCTACGCAATATTTTATCCTAACTATCTTCCCCCTTGATATCTGATATCAAATTCTCGTCACTAATACCAAACATTTCTTCAATGCGAGGTAAACAGAATTTTGTTTTTAAAAAAAAAATATCCCCAGGTTGATTTTCTTCGTTATTCTTATTATCTGTCTATTCACTTGTGAGTCAAAAGATCACAATGAGTTTTGAGACGAGAGAATTGGTGAAGCATCTCTACCCTTCAACTCCGACAAGTAATAAACATTTCATTTCTCTATTCACCACTAAATCAAACTATATGGTCATGCCAAATGATCGCAAACTAAAGAAGGTTTTGATTATTAGACAGATTCTCCTCAAAGTACCTCAGGAAATGTATAGAGAAGAGTGTAGAGAACTTGCATACTGATATCAGAGTGTAAAGGGTTAAGACATTCTTTTGAATTCTTCCTCTATACTACAGCCAAGCATGTTTTTACTTGTTAGCCATTGGGTCCATAACAACACTCAAACCAATTGAACCTTTGGATCTTTTCACAGTGTACCTGCAGGTCAAAATGAAAAAAATATTACTCACTGAATTGATAAAGAGTTTCCAAGGAAAATGTATCTTGAAAAAATGCTAAAATTAAAACACAGCAAAATTGAATTAAATTGAACCAGTTCTACAATATTTTTTGTACACCTAGAAACTCTGGGACTTTTTCTCCTTTACAATAAACATCTCTCATTTTCCTTTTTTCTTTTCTTGTGTATCTTTTTGTCCTTTTATGTTATATTTCTTCGTTTCCATTTTATTTCCAGTGTAATTTAATTAAGTCAGTAAAGAGAAAATAAATAAATGACCCGCCTCGATTAGCATTTGCTATCTGTGGGTCAAAGGAATATCTTGCAAATATGTAAGAAAATAAGCAATAAAAGTGTGTGAAATTGATAAAGTGATAAATGCAATTAACTCACAAATATAAATTAACTGGGCCAATAAGAAATAAAAAAGCAAAAGAAAAAATGAAGAAAAGTCATGTTACTCACTTAGCACCCGATGGAATGAGAAGAACATCATCTTTGGAAATCTTTTTTGTTTCACCGTTTAATGAGACAGTTGTATCTCCCTCCTGAAAAAAAAATGTAAATAGCTCCTTAATTCCCATGATCTGATTGTTCATTCTCCTCTATGGGTTGCTGTGCTGGATTCTGGGTTAAGAAGCCCAGGCTCAAGGCTTGGGTGGGTCATTGAGTTGTGTTTTGGGGCAAAACACTTTCCTCTCTCCTCCTAGGAGTACAAATGGGTACTGGTGAATTGTTAGGGAAGCCTGATGAAATACTGGAGTTGGGGGTAGGGTAACCTTGTGATGAGCTGGCATCCCACTCAAGGGGTAGTATTAACAATCCTACTTGCTGAACTGGAATATGTTCTTGCTGGATTGGCCGCTAGGTTTGAGTGATGACTTCTCCTCATGCACTCCTTCAAATTTCCTAGACAAGCTTGGGCTCATTAATTCAAATGAGAAGCATGTAGAATATTTTGTTCACAAAGAAACATTCTGTGACATGAACAACATACGAACACTCACCAATTGATAAAGCCATGTTTCCCCTTGCCATTCACCAGTTTGTTCCCCTTCACCATGTACATTTATCTACAAGAAAATAAAATCATACCGAATAAAGAAACAAGTAAGACTTAGCATTTGTAATGATCATGAAAACAAAAGCCTTCAAGTTTATGTACTGAGGTGAGACCAGATGTGAGTCTCTTAACCCTTTAACCCCTAAGAGTGATTAACATCTAATTTTCCCTCACAATATCACCCCTAAATCAAACATCAAGGTCATGAGAATAAAGGAAATGATCACCAACTAAAGAACCTCTTGACTGTTGATACAAAAATTCTCCTTGTCAGAACCCTAGGAAATGTCTCAGGAGTAGTATGGAGAATATGCATACTGATGTTAGGGAGTAAAGGGTTAAAGTATTCATGGCATCCTTTGATGATTGCAGCCCAACATGAATACAAGTTCATTCAGATTATAGTTTTTGTTCTTTCATGCTAACCTTGTAAACCAATATAGAACTTAATGATGACCAGTATGAACTCGTTAACAAGCCCATTTCAGTGCATTTGACAAACAAATTTTTTCGATTTTTCTCTTCTTTACACAGCAAGCTATTGCAATGAGAAAAAAATGCACCAGTTTTCTTGACAGGTAGTTTTGCACTTGTAATAGACACCCTTGCTTTGCTTCAAGTTGTCCTCATTACTTTCCATGACAAGACTAACTGATATCACAGCTTGAACCAGCACATATCATTAGACAATATAGCCCAGAAGAATGAGAAACCACAAAGTGCCCTGAGTAAGGCAAGTCAAAACACCATATTCTATTACGAAAAGGTATCTGAGTGATGTGAATACCTTCTCACCGATAAAAAATAAAGCACTGGTCTCTTAACCCTTTACACCCTAACATCAGTATGCACATTCTTCATACCGTTCTCTATACATTTCTTGATGGTGCTGAAAAGGAGAATTTATTTGACAATCAAAAGCCTCTTAAACTGGTGATCATTTCCTTTATCATGGTTACCTTAATGTGTGATTCAGGGTGGTAGTGTAAGTAGAAATTAGATTTGTAACTCTTATGGATCAAAGAGTTTTAAAGGAGAGGAATCTGGTTGGAAAAAAAAAGGCCAAAACAAAGAAGTAAGTGCAAAACATAAGTTAAGCACTCACCTTGAATTCTCCTTCACCAAACAGCTCCTTTGTTCCACATTCAATGACACTTTTATGTTCAGCAATCCACTAAAAGATAGGAGAAAACCACTCTGTGTGATGAAGGTTGCTGTGTTATTAGTTAACCTATGGAACTCTAAAATTTTTTTGCTTCCCTAAACTTCCAAAATTGTTTGAAATCTTTCTTCATTTTCACAGTGAGAGTAAAATTAACATAATATTATGTACATGTGACTGTGAAATCATAATTTCTGAGGTTTGAATCATAAAAGGCACTAAGATTTCCCAGACATGTTACAATTGTTTAAAATTTTTATCCAAGTTTAGAGTCTGTGATAATAAAATTAACATATGTACCTCTTTCAGTGAAAAGGGTTCACTGACTTCAGTTTCAAGGTCGACTTTGACAGGAGGGTCCTTGGAAACATTTTCTAAGCAATCCAAAAAAAAAAGAAAAATGGCACAATGATTGTTAACAATCAGTCTCTAAATTATTATAAATCATTAAATCTTGTAATTGCCAATTGACCATTCCCCCAGGAGGATTTCTCAGAGTCAAAAAAAAAGCAACAAAAATTAGCAAACGAACATAATAAATGAACTTAGGAAATTTTTCATACAGCTCTACATCTCAACTATTGCATGGTAAACTATAGCAGGTTCTGAAATTAACTTTCTCTCTAAGGTGCCAAGTGGTACTTAAAAATATTTATTGTAATCTCCACGAGAACAATTTGGCTACCAAAAGGTCTGATTCACAAAATTTTTGCCTTGCAGCAAAGCACAAAAATAAATGGTTTTAAAGATTTTTCTTTGCATACAATATATTTCTATTAGTAAAAGATAACCAGGTGAACTTAAAAGAATAAAATTACAAAGATTTGGTTTCTTGAGAGCTGGTTTACACACACAAAAAAGAACATTGACAAGAATTAAGAACTATGTGCTAACTGGTGGGTTAGGGATTAAACTTGTTTTCACCAAAAGTAAATTTCTAGATGCATTGGTGACCAGTGGCTTGAACAGATATATAGACAGAAAAACTTTTCAGGACATTTTTAAATAAAACAAATTATATCTAAATTCCATTAAAAATCATCTCTACAAACCAGAGGTTGGGACTCCTGTTTTGTATTCTTCTGATGAAAAGTATCTGAAAATACACAGACAACAAAAGCATTTTAATACTTTTAAAAGCTGTAATCACAGCACCACATACGTAAATTGACAGCATTTATTACATCCATTTTAAAATCATTGATAATCTTTGCAGTCTGATTGGCTATCATCCATATGATTTTAATCACACCATTTCATGCTTTGAATTTCATCTTTTTCCCAGCCAATGAGACAGTTTTACTAAAATATGACAACCAATCAGATTTGAAGGCTTGTTTAGAGAAGCCAATCAAATTGCAGAAAAACGATGACAACTTTTGCAACTTTTTACAAACCAGCTCAATACTTGATCAATAAAAGATTTGTGCAGACTAAATAACTTGTATTGGAGTGACTGAATTTTGGAATTTCAAAAAAAAGTACCAATGTGGTAATTGAACTTTGTTGTGCAATTTTGGTATGAAACTTGTGACTATAAATAAAGCTTGCCCTGCACAACTGTTCAATTTTGAAATCATAGATTTGATTTCAGACTTAACGGCACTCCACTCAGTTCAATTACCATAATGATTGTTTAGTAACAACATTCAAGTAGAGAAAGATGTTTTTGGTCTTGCCATGAGCAAGGGACAAAGAGAAAACTCTAAGTCCCAATCAGGAATTGAACCTTAGACCTTCAGATTCCACATTATAATGCTCTACCACTGAGCCACTGAGACTCTATGAAGAGTGAGGCCCATTGCAAAGTTCAGAATATTCAAGTACATGGAACAGAATACATTTGATCTATTGCTTACGACTTGATGATTGGTCCCAGCTGCGTACCAAGGTCTTCGCAATGAAACCATCTTTCCCAAAGAGGTGTCACACCATCTTCACAAAAATACCTTTACATGAGAACAAGTTTTTGATAAATATACATTTACATTCATGATTTTGTTACTGAGAAAACAACTCTAAAAGACATGCACGAATAGCTGTAATGGGATTCCAACTTGTTGAACAATACATAGGGGAGCTATATGGCTGATAATTAAAAGATGGATATTTTGAATTAATCCCATAGTAAAGAATTCAACTAGTTGATACTTGACTTGTATGCAAAATTTTTAATTTGACAAAAGATGGTAAATTTTTTGTGACATTTCATTTTGTGCCATTTTTTCCGATGGTCCAAACTAACTTCAAGTCAAAGAAAATCTGCAAAATCCAAAAGAAATTAAAGCCCTCAAAATTGTCATGCTACTCCATAGGTTGCTTTGCTTGTGCATTTATCAGTAACTATGAAGAACAGCTTCACCTTGGCTGAAAGTTTTAAGCTCAGCTATTCACCAACAAGCAGCCAACCAACAGCCGACAGTTGGTATCAACTCACTTTATAAGTGGTACGACACATGCAAAGTATTTCAACATTTTAAGGTAGATATAAAGTAGAGTCAAAGTTTTGCTTTGGATGTTAATGCTAGATTATATCACCAATTAGTAACCTGGCGGTAGATTGTCAGTGGCTTGTTAGTTATCTGTCAGCCAACAGGTTTTTCAGGGAGCTGTTCTTCAATATTATATTTTTATTAATTGCACTGAACATGAGTGCATCACATCGTACCTTAGACCATCAGTTTCTTCAGGAAGTCTCTCTCTTTCAATGACCTAAAAGGCAGGATATCTTCTCTATTTACCCTTTCACTTCCAAGATCTCATGAGTAATTTTACACCATAGCCTACTCAACCTAAAGTATATAATAAATTTCTGTGTTTTGTGAATCAAATTTTGAACCTCCCTATCACTAATTCCTGGATCCAAACCCAATCACTGGAAATTTAAGGGTTAGGAAACATCTTTAAAAAGACCTCAAAGACTCACTGGGATACTAACAAGTTTAACTCTGAACTAAAAAGTAGACAAAAACACAAGAGCACCAACTAGCACCATACCAATCCAACAGTGTTCTCCTTCCGTTGAGGCGAGTGCGGTATCCTGCTTGGGAGTACAAAGACCTGAAAAAATATTATTGAATTTATTCCAAACTTCTAAATTTGCAGGATAAAACCCAACTAGGATGGTTCAGGGCAAAGAGAACGCCAATTTGGGATCAAGAAACTGCAATAATGTTGCTTTAAATTACTGCTTTAAGTTTTCCTTAACAATAAATATAACAAAGGACCAAATATTTTGTGCTTCAAATTTTTCCTTTATTTCCAATTAGTTTTTAAACTGTTGTCACCATCATCTTTCCTTTTTCAAGATTTCAAATAATTAACTGAGGACAAAGAAAAAATCACATTGGTTTGAAGACCCTTCAGCCAAGAAAACTTTCAACTCCAAAATAGTTGTGAAGAAAATATCATCAAATATCATTTCTATCAAATTGTATTTATCAAAAACTTATTCTCATTATTTATAAAATGAGTTTAGTATACCTCTCCCTCCTTTATGATTACATCTTTTGATTTTCCTCTCTCAATAATCCTCAAGTTCATGTCTCCTTTAACCATGTAAAAGAACTAGCAAGACATTGAAGAAACGGTCAGTCATCCTCCTTTCCAGCTCAGCAAGATATTTTGTTACAAATTCGTAAAGAAAATTTGATTTTACATCAGGATACTCTCTATAACAGATCACAATCAATCTTCATTTGCCTAAAAATGTTGCTTTTCAAATACATTGTGAAGAAATATCCTAAGATTATTCTTATAGGGCATGATGTCTCAACCAGCCCTTAAGAGAGTAACCTTTCAACTTCCTGAAGTGATTGATGGGTAATTTCTCCCTAATGAATCTATAAAATATTCTGCAAAGAGGTCATAAGAATACACAACCATATCAGTTAGGAGTTGTTATCTTGATCTCACACCAGATTCTTGTATTTCATTTACAGGGAAAGGTGTAGCAGGGGAGAGTCAACAATCAGATCTTGGGAGCTAGAGGGTTAATTGAGAAAAACAGCCTAATCTCAAAACCAATTTTATGGATAGTGTATCAAAATTGAGGCCTCCGAGAGTTGCTTCTTAGCCAGTTCTAGTACAAAACCTTCTGGACCTGAAATAGCTGCCATAATACATAGAGAAAAAAAAATTTGTCTGGCACAGTTTGCTAATAGCATTTTGTTAGAGCAGAATTGGAGGTGTTTAGATCTTATCTGTTTCTTTCATATGTTTTTTTTTTTAAGCAGTAAAGCACTAATATCAGGAGATGATATAATCATTGTTAGTTCTTTATTAACTTACCTCTTCTCCCTCATCAATATGGTAATCTTTTCTGACATTTGGTCCACCAACACACATCACCTTTAACTGCCCTGCACCATACCTAAAGGTTACAAAAGTAGTTTTGAAATTCTGTTTCACCTTTAACCCTTTAAACCCTAACATCAGTATCCATATTCTTCATACTCTTCTCTATAAATTTCTTTTACTACTGACAAGGAGAATTCATTTGAAGATCAATGATTCTTAAGTTGGTGATCATTTTCTTTATTCTCATGATCTTAATGAAGGGTTTAGTAATATTACTGTAAGGAGAAATTAGATCCTGATCACTCTTAGGGTTTAAAGGGTTAAATCTCAAGGATTTTCATTGGTTTTGTAAACAATCATGCATTTTATTGCAGATTCTCTTTTATCCATTCAACTCTCTTGAGTGATCATGACATAATTTCTCCTATGACAATACAATATTAAGCAGACAAATAATGAGAAACTAGAAAAGATATCAATTGCATTTAAGGGATTAATATTTGATCCAATACCAAACTCTCTAAATTAACATCATGATATTTATATTGAAGACAGTAAAGAGAATTAAAAATGAGATCTTTGGAGTGACAGGGTTATTATGAACAAAAACAATTTTCTGCATAGATTAAATCACATAAAATAAAATTCCCCAAAGTTACAATTCTCAGTGCAATAAAAAGTCAAGGGAAAATATACAGGGTTAGACATTTTTTTAATACTTCATTTTTTGTGTCATTTCTTTTAGACAGAAACTGGTCTACTAAAACTTACAATTTCCTCTAGTAAATAGAAAGTATTGTAATGAAACAAGTGATAAAAGTTACAACCTTCTACCTCCCATGGGTGACCAAGACACAATTTCTCTTTACAATATCTTTCAATACAATATCAAGCAGACAAGTGATGAGCATAAAGAAAAATATAAATTAAGGAATTAGAAATTGATACAATACCAAATTCTCCAAACTAACATCACTAGAACTGTATGGCAGACAGTATGGAGAAATACTAATGAGATCTTGAGAGTTACAGGGTTAAGCCTTATGCTTCAATAGGAAATTGCAAAAAAATAATAGTTCAAACAGAAATGTCAGTCAACTGGAATTACAACAATTTTCTCCCACAAAACAGAAAAATTAAACACCAATCTGCTAATGTTGAATTTTGCTGGATTTTCCAATCACACTCCAAGCTATAGTTGAACAGTGTAATGTCAATTTTGGGATATACATGATAGAATACATGAGCATATGTTAAAATCATTTGACCAAATGTTCAACACGATATATTCTCACCATGCCTACTATATATTGCATTACATTTGTTTCCTTATACACTTCATGAAATGCTTTGATGGATTCTAACCAGACTACATGTATTCCATTTGAACCAAATTTTTTTTTTTTCCTCCAATGGTAGACGAGACACACCTAAAATTACTGCTGTGACCTCTGTCAGCACCCTTAATTAACACTTTAATTCCCAAGATCTCATCAGTAATTCTCCTTACTGTCTGCTATACAGTGCATGTGATGTTAGTTTGGAGAATTTGGGATTGGATCAATTTATAACCCCCTAATTGATATTTTCTTTATTCTCAACACTTGTCTGCTTGATTTGTGTTGATATTGTGAGGAGAAATTCTGTCTTGGTCACTCATGAGAGTTAAAAGGTTAATTAACATCTTCTGATTAGTCAGCCCCCAATAAGAAATGGTACATCTTGTTCTGAGTATATTAGGGACATTTTTAAGATAATTTACTGTCTGGATAAATCAAAATAACAATTGAAAGCTTCCCTTCAGACAGGCCATCATTACAATGGTAAAAAATTATGGGCTTCACGTTTTCAATGAAAAAACATTTTTAAGATATTTTTTTTTTAAAGATAATTTACTGTCTAGATAAATCAAAATAACAATTGCATGCTTCCTTGTAGACAGGCCACTATTACAATAGTGAAAAAATTAAGGGCTCTACGTTTTCAATGAAAAAACAATGGCTTTTAAAATAAGTTCCAGATGAATTAATTAGAGTGAAGGTGTTAAATAATTAACAATAATTTAATTACTCCTTGATTAGTGAAATAAGTGATTAATAGTCCAACGATATTGTGCCCCTTGCGTTCACAAAAGGTGCTATAACATTAAACTGCACGGAATGTACACAATAGCCACTGTCTGATATTGCAAGATATTGCACCCTTAAAGAACCATCACCAAATTAAATTCCACCGCATACATTGGACATATTTGTAAAATAAATTTCTTGCCTGAATTCTGAATGTTTTTTTAAGCAACCTCGCGAGTTTTGAAATATTCATCTAAGGGTATCGAAATTTTCAACCGTACTTAGTTAGGCGTAACCTTGAAAGAGCGTGCAATACATAACACAAGTTTTATCAACTAGTATAAATAGGGACGTTTCAAAACAAGTGACCTTCATGGAGTTTTCTAGTTTTGTTCTTGTGTTTTGGAAATAGTGAGCAAAATAAATACGTCAAGACTCTAGGATGAAAACAATTCACTCGAATTTGGCAGAGTTTGTGGATAGTTTACTCACATTAATTTGTTGCATACTGGCGGGAGAAAGGAACTCTTGTTTTCGTCGATCCATTTCAGCATATTTAGAGGATCACCTAACTGAGGATTGTTCTTCTTGGTTACAGCTTCTTCGCCATTTTCATTTCCTGGTCTTTTAGACATGATTGAATGATTATCGAGGAAAAGAATAAGAACCCGCTACTGAAGTTGTTCAACAAGCGCAATTAGATGGAAGTGATAGTACTTAGACCAATATACTGCGAACTGACTGGTGCGAGTTCTCTCCTTCAATCTTTTGAGGGACGGGTGAGCTAGTCCATTTTTTTTTTTTTCTTTCTTCCATTAAAAAAAGTTCAAAAGGTAAGGAATCGAGGTTTTGACCTCTCTTTAACAGTAATGTTGATATTTAGAATTAAGACAAAACCCTTTTAGCTTGTAAGCGCCTTTACAAAGAACAAACAAGCGAAAGGCTATTAAGGGAATTTACTATCCCTACCCCGAAGAGTATCCAAAGGGTGGCTACAAAGTCATGACTAATGCATAATCGTTTTCTGGGGCTTTGTGGTTTCGCGAAACTTGTGCCTTCGGAATCATTCGCAGAGTTGATCTAAGAAATCTGTTGCCGTCAGAAGCAAGATTATCATGGCTTCTCCAGCAAGTGTCAGTAAAATCTACGTAGACCAGCTACGAGCCGAAGCAGACATGGAACGAACGCCGATTTCGACCACTGCAGCTGCTCTCGCTAAATATGTCGAGCAAAATCTTCAGTCCGATCCGCTCGTTACGGGAGTGTCCAGCTCGGTGAATCCTTACAAGGAGAAGTCTTCCTGCCTTTTATTTTAGCCCCCAAAAAACTGTCCTTGGCTTGGATTATTTTCAAAGTTTTTTGGATTGTATTTGCGTTTGGAAAGATGCAAATGGTTACGGCGATAGTTTAATTTTAACATGACACTGCAAACATAGACACTCTCTCTGTGGTTTGCTTCTTGACTGTTTACAGCAGATCTGCCGCGACTTCGACTACCTTAAAAACTGATTTTTGCCGAGAAATTTTTGATTCTTGGAATCGTAATCTTTTATTTAATCAACACATATATAAACCGCTTTGCTTCTCATCCGAGTTTCGTGTTGGAAATTTATTAGCATGAACAGTATTTCGAACTGGGATGCGAAATGTGGCCAAGATGACCTCTTCGTAAACAAAGAACATCTGTCTAGCAACGTGCAGCCATTTTGACATTATTTGAGTTTAATTCTTGTATGACCAGTTGGGATGATATCCAGATAACTTTTCATCAATATGGGTATCACTGTGTGTAACCGATGTTTGAGTGAAACTGAAATGTATCTCGAGCCAACATTCCGTGAAGGTAGATTGAATTGATTATCTTAGAAATATTTTAATATTTACTTATGTATACGGCATTTAGCTTTTAATTTTTTTCAATACATTTCTTTTTTCCCCTAATGGGCCATCAGAAACAAAATTGTGAAATGAGGTTAATTATTTTAAGGGGGCAATGCTGGACAGGTTCAATTTCATCATGAGATAGTGAGTGCTTATGATATGTTATTACCACAAGATCAAAATAACCATGAAAAAAAATATGATACCAACTCTTGTTTTTTTTTCCATTTTGTTCAGATAATATTTTCAGCATGCTTCATGTTAGGGTATGTTTTGCAGAGTGTGAAAAACTGACAGGGCTCTCTACAAGAAAATAAAAAGATTTATGTATTTATTTCTGTGGCATAACAGCATTCAAGGAGAAAATATTTCTGTAAGTCATGGCATAGTATTGTTATATCTTATTTGTTGTATATTGTCTTATTAAGATTCAAACCAAACTTTTGCAATGTAGACACTTTGTTAGGCTGTCAAAAGGGAAATTAAAAAGTGTTATATGGAATGGACTTATTTGACAGCCTTGTTTTTGTTTATGTTTTTTTTATTTTTTTTGCTTACTGCATTAGAGGCTTGGGTCAGGGGATAGGATGAAATGATATGGTAGAGTTAACTTTTTTATTGTCAACCCCATCACTTGTAAGATCCATATATTATTTTTTTTTTTTACAGATAACTTTTCATTACTTACTGTGTTAGCATTGCAAATTCAGTGTTGAATAAAACTAAAATCATCCATTAGTATAAACTTCTTTTCCTACAAATTATCTTACCAAGAGAGACTGTAGACATCCTTAGGGGAAATAGGTTTTTGGTGACTTTGGGAAATGAAAGGGTCAAGATAACCTCCAGTTGTTGCGAGCCACACAGAAATGATTGCTTGATTTGTTCACTAATTAATCACCTATGAAAGAGGCTTGGTCCTTTTTTTTTTTTTAAAGCAAATCTGTGCACTGTTTATCTGAGACATTGCCTGTTCCGAGATTTAAGTTGGGATGATGACAAATGCACAGGGCCAAGGCCAGGAGGGGAATATGGCTTCCCTCATCAAATTTTTAGAGAATTAGAACATGCACATTAGAAAATAGAAAATTGAATTTAAAAAAAATTGAAATAAAGCCCACAGAGGCTCAGTGAAACTTAAACAGATTTACAAGATAATCCTCAAGCATAAACACTTTTTAAAAACTCCCTTCAAAATATCAGAAAATAACAAAGAAAATTCATGACTCAGCTTGAAAAAGAGCATTTTTCACATCCAACGTCCGAGTACAATGATCGGAATCGTCGACAAGCTCCGGACATGAGCGAAAATAAGCGTTTTGAGTCGTGTTACCCTACTGCCCATGCTCGGAAGGGACCTCACCCTTCTCACTTGCGGCTTGTATTTCACATTGACAAGATTAGAAGGTTTCAGTAAAAATTCGGAAGCGAAAGACCAAGAGGATCAGAAGTTTCAGTTACCAAGCGAGCAAGTTCTGGTGATCAATCCTTGCAGCAATGTCCTACGCTACAACAACAGAAACCCTCAGAATTCAGAGAATCACCGTGGATCAACTTAGAACAGAACTGAAAGTTAATCGCATCAAAGTGTCGGAGGCGGCAAACGAACTGAAAACCTACGTGGAGAAAATTCAGCGAGAAGATCCGCTTGTTACGGGAGTCCCCGGGAACCAAAACCCGTTCAAAGAAAGGAGCTCTTGTACTTTGATTTAGAACAGTTATACATACAAAGCCCCGCGCATTAAAGTCCAATTGAGTTGCAAGTTCAATAGACAGTTTGGGTATATCACTCGATGTGACCTTTTGTTTCCTCTACGAGTCTTATTCACTGCAGCTTTTCCCGTGGTATTTTATGGCCTTAAACACTGTGATTGTGCCATTATTGGAACTGATCACTCGCGATCTCTTCATTTTGGGAAAGCGAATACACTTTGATCTGCAATCTTCCCCCAAATAATAATGGAAAATGAAAGGGAGTCGGGAAACGTTTACCGACGACCCGTGGTTTTGCCGTTTCGTGATTTATTGTTGTAATGGGTGGATGTGCCACCTAAGGAGGTAAAGCAATTTCTCTTAGTGTATTCTCTGTAATAACGAACGTAAGTGAATGTGTAAGTAGACTGTTTAGAGTGAATTTGTTCCTACCCCACGGTTGATCGAAGCTTTTCAATTGAGAAATATCACGTACTTGTAAATCTTGCTAGAAATAAATAATTTCAATTATTCTACATTTAAGCTTCTTCAGGTTGCATCGAGAGAGAATTGAGGTAAACCTACATAATGGATCATTGTATTTTACTGACTTCATTGTATTAAAGGACTGATATTATTGTTGTTCGGAATGTTTGATCTTTGATGAGAAGATTATATATGGTAACGGGCAAGTTATTCGCATTCGTCACTTACTTGGGAGGTGTCCTCGCGGATTTTTTATTCAGCCGATTAAGCAGGAAGTAGTTTCAAATTTTCGTAAATAACAGTATTAATTTTTCATGCATGTCTTAAAAATCGAGCATTTTCATAAACAAAGTACGCGAGGTGAACATGTGCTAAGGAATGGTGAGGTTACTCCAAATGTATTTTTGTTTGCATTTTCCAGTCCAAGTTGTAGAAAGAAAGTCCACTCAATTTAATGGCCATGCTTTGTGATCTCGGATGAACAAAACAGAAAAAGAGAGATATTAAAGATAAAGGAGTTTCTAACAATGCTTGAAGACCTGGTTTGTTAGGAGAGGTTACTGCTTTGATGCAAACTCATCATTGAACTTTTACTTCAAGAGGACATGTTTGAAATGATAGCAAGCTAAATATTTACTGACACAGCTTAAGGGTTAACTTTAAGCGTTTCATTTAAGGGGTTGATGTACAATGTAAAGTATATCATGATGACATTGGAGCCAGTGGATTGGGAAACTTAATTGTGCTTGTAGTGTTAGACCAACACAAATTAACCCTTTAACTCCTAAGATCTCATTATTGATTCTCTCCTTTATCTATGACACATTTCCTTGTGATTTAGTTATGAGGAGTTGGTTTGAGATCAAGATAATAACTTCTACCTGATAATTTGAGTGTTCTCATTACCTGTTTGTTGGATAATATTTGGATACTGGGGAGAAGTTACGTGTGATAATCACTTCTGGGAATTAAAGGTTGAAGGGCATGTGAGACTATGAAACCATCTATGAGACAATGTGAAATTTGAATTTAACCTGTTAAATCCCAAGATGTAATTGTTAATTCTCCCTGCAGCTGCTACATGTTTTCTTGGATATCAGTTTCAAGAATTTGGTGTTAGATCAAGGTTATACCAACTTCTACCTGATAAGTTTAATTATTCTCATTACCTGTTTGCTGGATAAAGTTTGATATTATAGGGAGAAGTTACATGTTAATCACTTCAGATAGTTAGAGGGTTAAAGAGCGTATGAGACTGAGACCATGAAGGAAACAATGTATCAAAGACCTGTAATGTGAGGTCACCCTTGATCAACAGCAATGACACATCCAAACAGCATAGCACTTGAAAAGGAATTCCAAGGTGGTGCCCTCTTTTGTCTGACAGAGGCAGCAATAATTTTAACTTTGCCAATCTTTGCATCATAAACTCTGATTCCCATTTCAGAAAATGACTGCTCTTCTTCATGAGAAGAGCCTGTAAGTTGTACACTATCATTTCCTCACAAGCAAGTTTATCGAGAGATGCCAACCTGTGCATATTTCAAAGCCTTTTTTTTTTAGTGCGAAGCACCATAACTATACACAGTTCACACTAACATCTTCAAGGGAAATTCTTGGTTAGTCTGTTCAAATTGCAAAAGAGTACAGGGTTGTAAGTAGCCTGTGCTTTGCTGACCAATCAAATCGCCTGTTTCGTGTAGTGGACTGGGAATGACAGCTGTGGTCAATATGGCTGCCAGTGAATCTGAAGAAATCGATGTAGCGAAGGAGTTTAATCTTCTCCCGATAATATTCGAAACGATTCAGGCACTGCAGAAGACAAACGATCCCCAGGAGTTTACAAAGAAGGTATCTCTATGTTTTCTATTTCAGTTTCGAGAGATATTCGTCTTACTGTATTCACGTGAAATACTCGGTCTTGGTTGAAAGCACTAACTACAGTCGAACCTGTATGAAGCGGCACCGTAATAAGCGGTCGATTGTCAGAGACCCGAAATTTGTCCCCCTCAATTTCTGTAATTTTTACCTCTATTACGCGGTCACCTCTTAAAATCCCTTAACTGATTCCCAACGGCCTGTTTATAATGTTCCCCACTAGTTCAGTAGTGTTCATAGCTGCGAGGATTGTTCTCCACCTGTATTCAACGGTCACTACAAGCAGAACCATTCAAATAAAACTAAGAATAATCTTTCAAGTAAAATTCAATTCATGTTTATCTATCGAAATCAGTGTTAGTAGCATTTTTGAGAGAGTTTTTGTACCATAGTGGTCACTTAGGGCACAGAATGGCTTTTTTTTCTACCATACCCTTATTCTGGGGAACCTGTATCAACCCTTTACCCCCTGAAATCAGTTTGCATATTCTCTATACTGTTCTCTATACATTTCCTGAAATGCTGACAAGGAAAATTTGTTTAACAATCAAGAGCTTTATAAATTGGTGATCATTTCCTTTATTCTCATGACCTTAATGTTTATAATGTTTGATTCAGGGGTGATATTGTAAGGAGAAATTAGAAGCTGGTCACTCTTGGGGTTAAAGGGTTAAGTGGTTGACTTGTATTAAGCAGTTACCCCACCATTCCTTATGGGTGACTGCTTGATACACATTCAACTGACTGGTGCCCCAAGAAAATCATTGGAATTGGAAAATTGTATGTAGGTTTTCACCTTTTTGATGCAACAAAAGATGATGTAATGTCTTATCTTATTTTTTCGAGAATCATGAATGTTCTATTTTATGCATTTTATTTGTTCCCATGAAGTACATATCCTGTCAAAACCTTGGTCAAAATGAAACCACAGCTGTTCAAGGACAATAAATATATTTTTCAAACAATGAAATAGCCAGAAATTCATCATACAAAACAAAATGGTTTACAAACCATGTTTAATTCAGCTCTTAATTGTAGGTCATATAAAATGAAAGAATTCATTCACATTTAAAGATCTCTAATTAGGATTTGCAAATAAAAAAAAATCATATCATAATTCACAAGGAAAAATGTTGCCCAATTATCACATTTCATGTCATAAGTACCTTGTTCTAAATGTTGTTTTAGGTTAATGGTTTCCGTGCAAAGTTGCAACACTGCAGAGCATTGTTAGACAAGATACCTGGGATAGAAATGAGCTGTGAAGAACAGAAGGAACTTTTAATTAAGTGTAAAACCCAATACACCGAAAAATGGTAAGTACTTACTCAGTAACACTTGGAGTTAGTAACCAAACAGTCTAACTACCCTGTATTTTTCAACCATTCCTAAGTAGCTTATGGTTTTGAAGGGGCATAGGCTGCTTTTTTCTTGAGGTCAACATTGAAGAACAAAATAAAGATGTTTTGAGTGCAAAAGGGATGAAGGGGCATGGGGCAAGAGTGATTTAATCAATAATATTTTATTTTAGGGGTTCAGAAGAACAGGGAAAAGTTTAGTAAATCAAAACAGCAAAATTTCCTTATCATTAAGATTCTTTCTTTATCCTTAATCAGTTTCATACATAATGCTTTTTCTGTCATTTGACCCTTAAGAATTTGAGCCAAATGAGACAATCTCTTTGGCTATGAATAAGACACACAAAACAAAATGTTTTTCTGAAATAAGCATGAACTGCATAGAGGTTTGTACCTTGGGCATTTCTTGCATGCTTGGCAAAAACAAAAGAGGATAGGTGAGGCCAGTCACATCAGCTTATTTCTGCAAATAAACTGGGTATAAAGATATGTTTTTTTTAGATTTCCAGAGGTATTAGAGAGTGTATGTGCTTCACATTCCTAACCTGCTATTCTCATATACACTCCCCTCAGAGTCGGTTTATCAAATTTTCATGAAGCTTGAGTATAAGAGACTGTGCTTATGGGCTTTACTGTGTGCATGTGGATCCTTTTGTTGAGATTTATTCGATAATAAAATAATACCCCATGCACATTTTAGGATTTGCAAAGCACCTGAAGCTTTTCCCTCTCTGTGTATTATTTCAACAGTGAGCTGCTGAGAAATTACCGAAATCTACCGGTGTTTGCAGAAGCTTTTGTCAAGGAGACAAAATAGTTGAAATTTTGTGATGTCAAAAATACTAGTTGGAAGATGCAGAGGTTAAAAAAAAAACTGAGGATGCCTTTGTGCTGTTGGGAGGAGACTTCATTCCCTTGGAATGAGAGAAAATTCCTGCCTCTAGAGGTGGAGGTGGGGGTGCTTGATCATTCTCTTTGTTATCAGGTGGGGGAATGTTTGCTTCACAAACTGTGATTAACCCTGGTGTTTATTAGACCAACCCTCAATCAGACTGCACAGTCAACCTCTTAATTGTACACTTTCCATTTTCACCAATACTTTCACTCCTAAGCTTATTCCATATGACAAACAGGTCTGAAAGAAAGGTCTTTCTGGAAATCAGATTGAAATCACTTTCAATAAATTTTTGTCAAAAGTTATATATTCTTAACTTTGATCAATTTCCCTGTGAGCTTTGCCTTTTTTTAGAGTATAATTAGCAACCAATGTTCTTCTTCACTACTTTTATTCACTCCAAAGAAAACGTTATGTAAGTTGAAATCGATTGTACCACTTTGTTGACTGATGAAGAAGTAAATACAGAGACAAACTGAGGAACTATGTAGAATTTTCTCTTTTGAAAACATGATGTATTAATAACCAACTATACTGATCAGATGTAGGTACTGGTAACTTACTGCCATTCTGCAAGCCCCAGAGACACATATCTGTGTGTCTCCTTGAATGTTTTGGGAATGTCATTCATTTCACAAGATTTTATAAACATCACTTTCTATAAAAAAGGCAGAAGGAACAGGTCATCATGTTTTGTTAACTAATAAAATATCTTTTGAATTTTGCTCTTGTTGGGTTTTTTTGCCAGCCATTGCATTTGTTCCTCTTGTGAGGTATTAGTTCAGTTGTTCTTAATGCATGCTCAGAGATGAAGGATCTGATTATTTCCTGGATGGCATTGCATGAACAGATAACATTTTGCTAATACTCTGTTCATATGATGACACCCAGGAAATAATGAGATGTTTCTATTAAATACTTTTGATAGTAAATGACTGTGAATATATGAAAATCATATATGTGAACTGTGGATAAAGAAATGAATATGAAAGTGATCTTTGCAGTTATGAACACTACTAAAGTAGTAGTGAAAATAAGGCCTAAAAAAGATTTAGGTCTGTACGTAATTTGAACCTATGACCAATATAATGACCAAGAGAATTTAGTATTGGATCAATAAATTATTCCCAAATTAATATTTTTCTTATTCTCATCACTTACCTAGTTGATATTGTATTGATGTTGTAAGGAGAAATTCTGTCTTAGTCAATCATAAGAATTAAAGGGTAAGCTTAAATCTATCATGTTCCCTCAAGGTCCGCCAGGGGAATGTAGAGGGAAGCTATGTTTATGTTGGTGAGGTCAATTTTATCAAAAGAAAAATAACTTTTTATGAAGCTGTGTTACTTTTGCAAACAAGCTTGGAATGTTGAGGGGTGGTTTTGGTTGTCTAAAGTTGGTCAGGGATTTGCCAAAAACTAAATGATATGGTGTTCAGGCTTTCAGGGAATACCCAACCACAAGTTGGACCTTCAACGGGTAGCTTGGAAAGTAAAACCATTTGAGGTGTTGAACTGCATTTTCCCAGTAATTTTCTCCTTTGATAACATTCTAGAGTGTGTAGACTAACATTACCTTGGGTAGGAAGTGAAAAACAGTTGTCCTAGGTAATAAAATGGGTTTAAGGTGAAAGAAGTCTACTCTGTGCTGTGTTTTATTGTGGTGCACTGTAGAAATTCTTACCACAGATTGGTGTTGTTTCTAAGTATTGTGTTCTCAGAACTTTATTCCTCTTCTCGTGTGTTCCAAATGGTCTTAATCAACACTTGTACAATTCCAAATAAACCATATCATGCTCTCTGGTTTGGCCCAAATTTTCTCTTTGGTTGTTGCCCCAAACTCACTTTTAGTCAAGTCTACCGCAGTAAAAGACAAATTTCTAGATGGATTATTTTTCCCAGTTTTGTATTTCACTCAGTCCAGTTACTTTCAATCAGCTTTACCCTTGCAACTTGAAAATCATTTTAAAGCCTTTGCAGTGAATTAGTAATCAAATATCAGAATGAAAGGATTTTTTTTACTAAGTATAGTATTGTTTCATTGTGGCATAACAGAAGTGGTGTCACTTTTACTCCTGTGATCATGAACTTGTTAAAGCTTACTGCTTCAACTGATGAATTCCATCTGTTTTACCCCGTTTTGCTCAGGTACAAGTTAGAATTTTTTCCTTTACTCAAAAAAGAATGTGAGCGGCAAGTCTTAGCAAAAAATATTTGAGAATGAGTTACCCGCGCTTGGAGACAAAACCTAGGCTTCAACACAAATGAGCCCCTCCCTTCTGTCCAATTCCTAGAAAACAAAGCCCATAGAATAGTTCTCTCAATACTTACCAGTTTATGATGAAGTGAAGAAACAGCACTTATAACTTTCAAAGGAAAGGAAGGCACGTTGCTAGCAGAATACCATGCGGTAATTTTTCAAGCGAACAATCTTATTTCTCGAATTATTTCCTTCCATTTAATGGATTATTAGAATATTACAAAATTCTTCATAATCACCTTTTGGTCCCTTGATAATTCAACGTTCATATTTAAAACGAATTCTAGTAAATATAGACTTGAAAACATTTTTCCTTGACGAGAAAAAATGTATGCAACGATTCCTTATGGTTATCTGCTATAGCAAAGACATACGAATGTGTTCCTATCACTTCAGCAAACTACAAAATATTAAAACTCTTAGAAAGGTCTAGGTCTTCTTATGAGGTAGTTTTGTTTCTGTTCGTTTTACGGAGACACAAACTCAAATTGACAGTGCAAGATTTTTTTTTGTAAGCAACACCATGCACCACGGCTAACCAACGAGAATTGTAAAAAAAAACACTAAAAAAATGATATAAACTTAATGTTCGTTACCTTATGAATCCCTTTATGAAGAGAGCCTTGTCACTACAGTAAAATATTACTGGTTAAAAATTTAAAATGCAAAACAAATAGGATGCTAAAAACTAATTTTATATACAAATCGCCAATTTCTCTTCAGTTGAATATTTGAATCATGTTAAGCAACATTAGTCCACTTTAGCCAAAATTTAGCGTCGTGCTATGAGATAAAGATGCCCTAATAGTGTCCTTCCATTTAGCTAGCTTAAATGTTTCTAATTATTTTTAAGATCCCGATGCCCAAAGTAAAGCAGTTACATATTTAACAGTATCTGGATGGTTATACAGTCGCAGAGACTGAATGAGAGTCATCAACAGTGATTATGGTCCAGCAAACTGTTCTAGTACTTCCAAAACTTCTGTGGCCAGTCTGAACGCTTCCTGAGCTTGCTGAGAATCTTGGAATACCTCAGCAGGCACTTTAGCTGGGATGTGCTTGTCAGGATATCGAGTGCCCTCGTAATAGTTAGACAGCTTGGCTACTTGCGGTGTCACATCTGGAGCGCCAGGAAGCCGTGAAAGATCATTTGCCAATAGAACCAAGTCATTAGATTTCAGCTGCCTGTCATCGACTCCTGATAGAGCGTAAAGAGCTGCTTTGAGAGATTTCTCCGCGATTTGATGACACTGGAAGCAGACAAGGTAGTAAAGTGGATCTCGGGAAGACAGAAGATGTTTTACAGAGCGCAGGTCTACTTTGCTTTGACGAATCCACATCTTCGCTACGTGTGGATTAGGTGCCGTGTAGGTCCTTCTCGAGTGTGATCGGAAACCAGTAAATCGTGGGTTGTGGCGGCGGTAGTTGGTGTAGCTTGAGCGCTGTCGTCGAGCTCTTTCATTCCACTGCTTGAAGAAGTCAGAAAAATCTGGTGGCGGTGGTCTTGGATACCCCTCATCGCGGCTTGACGACTTTCCTTTTGATAACCTTTCAACCTCGTTTTGTATAAACTTCATGACCTCATTTGCAATATCTTGCATGTCCATGTTCTTGTCCGGATGCCATCGCAGGTATAGTCGCCTTATTGCTTTCTTTCTTTTATCTTCAGGAAGCTTCCAAATTTCGGCCAGAGCTTTTTTTACCTCTCTCAGAGCGCTCTCCAATGTCTTGGGCTTGGGTGGCTCCCTTGCTTCTTGAGCGGGCCTCGATGACTCCGCCCCTGCTTGTCCAGTACTTTGGTCACTCGCTCCTGCATAAGGCACAACCTCCATCGACTCTGAAATAGACTCGTCCTCGTCTTCTTGCTCTTCCCCGCTCTTCTGCGGTCGTCTAAACTTGTACAAATCCAGAACGTCGACCTCTTTCCTTTCTTGGCCAATGTCTATTAGATACCTACTAAGCAGGTTGCTCTCTCCTTTTTGTTTTCTTTTTGTTCGGTCCTTTTTTACTTTAGCAGAACTAGACTTTTTAATCTGGCGGATGATTTTTGCATAAATGTACTTCGGTTCCTCTTCGGTCGAATCTTCTCTCTCGTATGCAACAAACTCTTCTGGGCGAAAATAGAAGTCATTGTACTGGTCTAGAAGCTCGTGGAACTCTTCAGGGACCTCAGAACCAAGGCTTGGTTCCAATCTTGGTGTTTCGTCAGCTTCTACATCATCCGACACTCCAGCATTATCCAGTGTGATGGAAATATCAGCCGGAGACGTACATTCAAGGATAGTAGCCAAGAGCAATACGTTCTGTTCATTGAGGAGGCAGCCGGTCAGACTGTATATTTCAGAACATATCTGTCTCCTCGTATTACCAGAATCTGTACCATGTTGGATGAAGATATGCTTTTTACCGTTGTCCTGCCCCACGAAGCAACCTAGGTACGTTGGTTTTTACTGTTAAGAATAACTGTGTTGGATTCATTATTGATTAACTCCGTGGATAACGTTTCCATGCAACTGATGATTAGTGCGTTTTGAAAACCGCGAACTTTGTCGCAAACCTCTTCTGTCAATTTGGCTTTGTCGTGCTGGGACTTCAGTATTCGTAGAATTCCATTTACGAGATCTGGTGAGTACAACATGTGACGAAAGCGATCTGTAGCCTCACATTTCCCTTCCACGTCAGCTTGGCATCTCTTTTCTCTGCATTCGGCCTGGAGTTCTTCCCTCACCAAGGATGCCAAGGACTTTGTTTTCAAGTGGTCTGGCAAAAGGTTGACAAGCTTACTAGGGTTTTCCATCGTTAATTGGTATTTTGTTAGGTCATCAAGAAACTCGAAAATAGAATCTGACAGTCGACGCTTGAACCGAGGACAATCAAATAGGACCAAGTCTGTGGATCGCCTGAGTTTTCCTTTGCTGTTTGGAAGATACAGGGTGTGGACTTCAGCTAATGGGTTGCTTCCATTGCTCTCTTCTTTTCGGTCGAGTATGGCGTGCAAACTAGTAAAAAGGCCAAACACAGCCTGTTTCGCAACTTTTAATTCATTGGGGTGCATCTGTTTGTCTCCACAAGATTCTCTGAGTTCAGTTAAAACTTGAACAAACTGCGCAGGTGATGCTTTTTCCATAGCTCCAAGTCGCTTGAGCAAGTGTTCAAAGATCCCATAATCTCGAGGAACTCTGAACAGGTAGGGCGGCTGTTCTTCTTCAAGGTGAAACGCCAGCTGGTTGCCGCGGACGAAGACACGTCCACCTTCTACAAGAACGCAAGGAATATCGGAAAGCTGTTCGCAAATTGTATCACACATGGCTGAACAGGATTCATTAGAATCGTTACCGCTACAAGCACTAGTATCTGTGAAAAATCTATAAACTTCTGTCATGATTTTGCTTAGACGTCGCCGTTTGGGTTCTGGTTGTTCTCGATCGGGACGCTTTGAAAGAGTCTGGGAAAGGTTTTTAACATGATCGATGACTTGTTCCACTGAGGGCTTCATGAAAACTTGAAGGTTTTTAAGCAGTGGGTTTAGGGGGTTTGGAATAGCCCACTCAAAGAGAAGAGATGCAGTAGTCCATGCAAGTGCCTCGTGCATGCATGGAATTGAATGCTTGAAATGGTTGAATGGAGGAATTTGATCTCGATTAGGTACCAAATACTGCCGGCGAAGGAGACTTAAGTCGTCACTCGCCTTTGGACAGGCTACAAATTTTATTGTGGAGAGGTCCACAAGGAACTTTGCATCGTGCAGAGTGTCGTCTCTTAAGAGGTGCTTAACAAGTGCCTTTGACTTCTTTTTCAATGAAGGATAATTTGAATTGCTAATCTGTACTGCTTGCGAAGCCAATTGATTGGCAAAGGTTTGGAATTCCGCTTTGCTGACTTTCTGCTTTAAGCCGATTTCGCGAAGGAGCTCCAACCAGGTTATATTGTTAAACGGCTCTGGTGGCTTTGCTTCACGTGGTAACATTACTGCGAATACTTTTACGCCTGGATCATGAAAATGAGACGCAGTTTGTAACGTGCCATTGGCGTCTGGAATAAATGCCAAGGTGCTGAGAGATTTTAGAACTCTTGCTTGTTGCTCTTCGTTGCAGTACGGAGCCAGTAAACATTTTCTAACGTAGTCCAGGTGAAGCATTCGAGTTTTGGGTTGAAGAAGGGGAAACTTTGGGAAAATGAAGTTGATATAACACTCTGTATGTGTTTTATCACTGACACCTAGAAGATCCTTGTGCAGGCGGGTCAACGTGGGTTCGGGTGCCAAAAATACACAGTTATTTCCTGTCATCCAGATATCTGACTCATCAGTTGGTAAACCCACTGGGATTTCGTAAACTGATTTCAAGTTTCCAAGGCTGATAAATTCTCCATGGAAAGTCCTGAAAAATGGCA